TTGAGGAGAAGATGTCAGATTAAGAGTCTCAACGGAGCAGAGAAACGATGAGAAGTTAAGAGTGAGTTTATAGGTAGCCTTTTTTATGTCGCTTCCACTAGCTCAGAGATTAAGAGAGTTAGAGGATATTAAAACCATTAAACAAGTTTTAATCTAGCTCAGATAGTTGAAAGAAGTATTGAAGACTATCTTCTTTCGAGGAAGATCTTCCTGAAAAGGCTGTTTAAATTTGCAGAGAAATTTGGAAAAATGCTTAACTTAAGGTTATTTATAAAACTGAACTATGAATACGTAAAATTAGAAATTCAAAATAATTAGATAAGAATCAAATTAGATTATTCTTAGATTTGCATTTGTATTTGAAGTTATTTTTGAAAGAGGAATTTTAAATTTACACTTCCTTATACCATTTTGGTAATTATCTTAGTGTGGGTTTTCTGCTTCAGTTATTTCATATGAAAAATCAGGCATTAGATAAAACTCTGAATGTGAAATCAATTTTCTGTAAAATTCTGTGGAAAAGAATAGCGTTTTGTTTAACTATTTCCTTCAACATTGAATCGATTGGGGCTAAAATTAAAGTTTCCTAAGAAATTTGCCTTTAAGTCAGTTATTGCTAAATCCAAAAGTATAAAATATAATTCAATTAACTAACTTTAAAACTAATGCATTTGTGGTGATTCTGACTCAAAAAAATATTTTTCTGAGAAAATCTTCAAAAATTAAGTTAGATTTAAGATGAGAAAATTACCATAATTATCTATCAAAAAGTTGAAGTTCTCTAATGTTTGCTGATAGTAAAGAATTCTTCAAATTATTAAGGAAAACCATTGCTTTACGAAATAAAAAACGGAATGAAGTATAAATATGCTAAATGGATGGGGAAAAATATATGCGTTGGTTAGGATGCATCTAAGAATTCTTTCCTTTCATTTGATTAATTATCAAATTACACTTAATCTTCATCCATTCCTTTACTAAGATTCAACGCAGTGGCAATTAAACTATTAAAAGGTATCCATTTTATAAAGCAATTTCATATGATTTCTTAAACATCATTTTATTAAATGTTGAAATTGGAAAATTTTAGTGACATCTGAAATGGGTGAGCTTTCACTTTATTAAGAAATTGAATGGCACGGTTTATTCAGATTCATAAAGTATATCTCGAGATCCCTAACAAAATATCAATTAGGCCATCTGTATTATCTATTCTCTTTTTAAATTTATGTAATTCAGGTTCATATTTGGTATTTAACATAATACAAAAGGTGCAAAATTTTTCAAATTAGAGAATCAATAAAAATATTCTATTCAAGATTTGAAAATAAATTCACATCATTTTGAAATATCCATTTTGAATCACTTGATATAAGAGTCTGAAACCAGAATAATATAGAAGTTAATTCGAATTAAATAGTAAACCCTCAAATAAATCTATATTTATTAATAATAAATTGGGTTGCCTGTATTTTGATAAAAATTAACTTATGTTATATTTGATTAAAATAGAATATTCATTCATTTTACGAAGTTTATATGCATTACTCTATGAATAGAATAAATACTAACTCAATTGTTTTGATGCCCATTATGATCAATTGAAATGACCTTATTATAAACGTCTAATTCTCCATTTAAATTCATTTAATCTTATAGGCATACTTCTAAGAAATTATAAATTTGAATGACCGATAGATGCAAGAGATTGTTTGTGGTTGGAGTCGATTGAGAGAATCAAATAATATTGAGATAGAGCTTCATTGTATTATTTTAACATACGTAATGATTCCCCTTCAATTCAAATTATGTTAATTACCTTTGCAAAATAAAGAAATTAAATGATATGAATCTATTTATAGTATTTTGTCTAAGCAAATAATGGCACCTTTATACTAATACAACATTCTTAAACTATCAGCTGACATATTTAATTTTTATTACCTTTACAAAGTAGAGCATTAATGTGATTCGGGTTTATTGATAGAACTCTATCTGAATACTCAATGGCTTCTTGGTATTTGCTCAGCATTCTTAAACTATCAGCTAAATTCGTTAAGAATTGAATACCTTTACAATATAAAGAGTTTATGTGGTACGAATTTATGGAAAGTGCTTTATCTGCCCAAGTAATGGCTTCTTCGTATTTACTTAACATTTTTAAACTTTCAGCTATTTTTTAATTTCCTTTTACCTTTGCATCTTAAAGAGCTTAAATGATTTTAATCATTGAATAATGCTTTATCTGACCAAATAATGGCTTCTTAATATTCCTTTAACATTCTTAAACATTCAGCTCATTATTTCATGGAAAAATACCTTTGCACCAAAATGAATTTACATGTTGAGAATCAATTTTTAAAGCTTATTCTGTACAAATGATAGCTTCCTTATAATTTCCTTATCTATATAAGATTTCAGCTTTTATAATTATACTTGATCACCTTTACACTATAGGGAATTGACGTGTGCATTATCATGTAATAGAACTTTATCCACCCAAATAATGGCTTCTTGATATTGGTGATTCAATTTTAAGATTTCACCTGATAAATCATAACTAAACTACCTTTGCACCACATTGAGTTTAAGTGCTCAGAATTTATCAATAACGCTTTATTAATATAATAAATTGCACTATCAAATAAACCTTTTCTTTTTAAACAATCACCTAAAATATTGGTAGAAATACCTTTACAAAACAAAGAATTTATATGATTTGGATCAATCGATAATACTTTATCTGTCCAATATATAGAATCTTCAAAGTTATTTATCATTTTTAGGCAATCAGCTAATCTTATTAAGATTTCTACCTTTACACAATAATGCATTAACATCATTTTAATGTGTTTATAATATCTTATCTATATATTCAATTGCTTCATTATAACAGCCTAACATTCGTAAACTATCGGCTAATATTTTAGAATGTCTAAACCTTTGAAAAAGAGTGCTTATGTATCATTCTTATTCAAATTTAAGGATTAGTCTAAAACCATTATAGCCTCTTAAAAATTATTCTCCAAATATAAATTTCTACCTAAATTATTTTATAAACTTCCCTTTTTCAAATAAAATGTGGGATTGTGAATTATCACTCCAAACACTTTTGTCTTAATTTTGCGGTTCTTTTGGTTCATGATCATCCAGATTGTTAATTTATACATCCTTCTCAAACTATTTTTAAAATTCATTCGTAATTTAATTTTAGATAAGATTGACCTCTTATGAAAGTGAATTCCAATCAATTCTTTCTTCTGAATTGTACAGCAACATTTTGTCGATCACATGGAGCAAATTATTTGAAAACTTAAGATAATGATTCAAATTTACTTTTTTATATGGTTTTTGACACTAAAATGGCTTATCTCTTAAAGATAATTAGTATGATCTCAATGAAAAATCATCCTTTTGTTAACCAAAATAATGCTATCCTTCAAAAACTAAGTAATGCNTTTACAATATAAAGAGTTTATGTGGTACGAATTTATGGAAAGTGCTTTATCTGCCCAAGTAATGGCTTCTTCGTATTTACTTAACATTTTTAAACTTTCAGCTATTTTTTAATTTCCTTTTACCTTTGCATCTTAAAGAGCTTAAATGATTTTAATCATTGAATAATGCTTTATCTGACCAAATAATGGCTTCTTAATATTCCTTTAACATTCTTAAACATTCAGCTCATTATTTCATGGAAAAATACCTTTGCACCAAAATGAATTTACATGTTGAGAATCAATTTTTAAAGCTTATTCTGTACAAATGATAGCTTCCTTATAATTTCCTTATCTATATAAGATTTCAGCTTTTATAATTATACTTGATCACCTTTACACTATAGGGAATTGACGTGTGCATTATCATGTAATAGAACTTTATCCACCCAAATAATGGCTTCTTGATATTGGTGATTCAATTTTAAGATTTCACCTGATAAATCATAACTAAACTACCTTTGCACCACATTGAGTTTAAGTGCTCAGAATTTATCAATAACGCTTTATTAATATAATAAATTGCACTATCAAATAAACCTTTTCTTTTTAAACAATCACCTAAAATATTGGTAGAAATACCTTTACAAAACAAAGAATTTATATGATTTGGATCAATCGATAATACTTTATCTGTCCAATATATAGAATCTTCAAAGTTATTTATCATTTTTAGGCAATCAGCTAATCTTATTAAGATTTCTACCTTTACACAATAATGCATTAACATCATTTTAATGTGTTTATAATATCTTATCTATATATTCAATTGCTTCATTATAACAGCCTAACATTCGTAAACTATCGGCTAATATTTTAGAATGTCTAAACCTTTGAAAAAGAGTGCTTATGTATCATTCTTATTCAAATTTAAGGATTAGTCTAAAACCATTATAGCCTCTTAAAAATTATTCTCCAAATATAAATTTCTACCTAAATTATTTTATAAACTTCCCTTTTTCAAATAAAATGTGGGATTGTGAATTATCACTCCAAACACTTTTGTCTTAATTTTGCGGTTCTTTTGGTTCATGATCATCCAGATTGTTAATTTATACATCCTTCTCAAACTATTTTTAAAATTCATTCGTAATTTAATTTTAGATAAGATTGACCTCTTATGAAAGTGAATTCCAATCAATTCTTTCTTCTGAATTGTACAGCAACATTTTGTCGATCACATGGAGCAAATTATTTGAAAACTTAAGATAATGATTCAAATTTACTTTTTTATATGGTTTTTGACACTAAAATGGCTTATCTCTTAAAGATAATTAGTATGATCTCAATGAAAAATCATCCTTTTGTTAACCAAAATAATGCTATCCTTCAAAAACTAAGTAATGCAAAACAACTCCTAACTAAAGTATACATTAAATATTACAGAAAATATATCGCATTGATAATTATAGGGATAATTTTCAATAATTTCGGGGGCTTTGAACAATTCACTTCCTAAATTAGTGTAGGTTAAGTCCTAATTCAACAGTTTTCCACAACCAAAATCGATAAGCTTTAATATTATTAAATAATAAACTTTCCAAACTATTTTATCATCAACTTCTTTTAATAATATATTTGATGGCTTGATATCTCTATGTATAATACCTAAACCCTTCAAATGTGTGTATCCATTTATTACAGACGATAAGAGATTTAATATCTCCTCTTCTGTCATTAAATAATTCTTTTCCTCAAAATATTAATCAAGATTTAATTCACAATATTCCATTATAATATATTCAGTATGATTTTATTTGAAAATTTCAAAAAATTGTATAATGTTTTTACATTTTTTATTCAAACTTTGTTACTAAATAAGAGCACTAATTGATATTTCGTTATAGAAACTTTCTTTTTAATTATTAATTTTTGTGCAATAAGTAATTTCAAGATTTTACAGATCATAAGTCTTATACAATACCCCTTAATATCCTTTTCCCACGGGGCCTTTTTTATCTATCAGATATCTATTTTTTAAAATTATTAGTTGAGGCTTAAGGGCTTCTAGTTTTTTTAAATCATTCCATCCAAATCTCTATATTGGGTCACGAACAAGCATCTTCTCCATCAACATATTCAAAATTCGATCTTTGAATGCAAATCTATTTTATTAACAGCCTAATTTTTAAGAAATAAGCTCTTCAGTGTTTAATTCTTTAAAACACAATTGATATAAAATAATCCCTAACTACTCATAGCCTCAAAGAATTACTGAATAGATATCGCATTTACTATTATATTTTTCTTGTTCTACAATTTTTGGGGCTTAGAAAGGAGGTTCATTTACAATTTAGGATAACGAAAAGGAACCAATAATAGCTGAACTAAAATCAACAATCTGATTAGAAATATATAAAAGAATAAATACTTTCACAATTACAATATTTTCTCGAAGTTATTAGATTAAAATTGATTTCATATTCAAATTTCTATGAGTTATATTTAATTATTCCAAATGAACACATGCCTCAATGACTTGAATTATTATGTTATATATTTCACTGATAGTTGGCCAATAATTAATTCTCCCTTACAGATATTCTTCTAAAGTTTGTGCATCATATTCTTTTGAAATAATTTTATAATTTCCTGATTATTCAGATTCCAAAGTAAATTCTCCAATATTATGATGAGGATGAATATTTAAAGTCTCTTGTATTTATTTTAGATTTTCTTTTTAGTTCATAACAATATATTCAATAATTAAAATTAGCAAATAGAGATAATAAATTAATTTTTCATAAAACTCTATAGGATTTTGTTCTAATGAGAAATTATAATATTCTAATATTTAAGATAGAAGGCTAAGGTACCCAATTAAGGATATTTACTATTTTCTAGAAAGAAGCTCATCTCTTCAACAAATTAAAATTTGTTTAGTATAAATCTCATATATTTATTGCTCTAAATTAATCATTAATTAATCATTAATTTGTTAGTGCCTACTCATTTATTAGTTTTGAATTATAATTTCAAAATATGACAAATTCTATTTGATGTTGATTGTTTGATGCAAAAAGTAAAGTCTAAATTTGAAAAAATTAACAAGAAATACCTCGCAGCATTTTATGAGAGATATAATAAAAGTTAGATTAATATTTGAATTATAAGTTTAATATATATTGTACAGATATTGGATTTTATTTGCTGAGTTTTGTGGATACTTTTGGAACCAATGCTTCATTCATTTTAGAGTCTTATTTGAAGTGTTTTACTTTGGATCAAAAGAGAGATTTGAAAAATTGAAGATGGATGGATTTAGAGAAATGTGGGAATTACGTTCCTTGGTTAATTGAATTTGCATTAACAAAACTCTGCGATTATACTGTTATTGTATTGTTAATAATATCGGTTATCTAATAAGTCAAAAGTTCTCTTGATTATTCATTTATGTTGTTTTGATCGGCATCGGCTGGTTTATTTCTTTCTCGCGATTTATAGCTGCCATTAAGATATGCATCGAGTAACTTTAATTTATTATCATAGAAATCGCAATAGAATTGATATGAGCAATACTGATTTGGATATAGAATTATTGACTAAGAAAGTAGAATAGTGATTTTAAATACTAATTATGATTAGCTACTTAATAATTCAAAATGATAATATGGTATTAAATATAGTAAAATAAGAGGTTGAATATTGATGCGTATCACATAACGATGAATTATAGAGGATTTAAGAACAGATAAAAACTGAAAACTGAATTAACATTATTAATATTTGTTATCATTTCTTTTTATAATGAGATTCATCTAAAATATTGTTACAAACTCCATGAATGGTTTTGCTAATAAGTTGATAATATATAATACCTTTTGGTTTACTAAGTTAGCTAAGTTGCTTACTTAATATTGTCATTCTAATTTTTATTTATAATCAATTTTTGAATATTATACATTTTAATGTACGAGTAGCTATTTTAAGATTTTAATAATGATTAGCTTTTATCAATGACTCTTTCTTAAGATTATTGGGATTTATTTCTATCATCCTTTCTATTTGATGGTGGGTTGTGGATAGAGTTATTTTAATGAGAGACGTTGTTCTTCAATGGGAGTCCTTTTCCTGGAATGTAACTGATATGTTGAGTGTTGGCACTTCTACGTTCACGATTTATAGGTTCTTAAGATGTAGTTTTGTTGGGTATTTGCTAATCTTGATAAGTGATTAGGTTAGATTAATGTTGCCGATGATATATCTAATTGCCCATTATGTAAGATTTCTTAATTACGTTAGGACTTCCTTCACGTTGTTGAGACAGATTGGATGGCTTCTTTTCCATTTCTTTGGAAGATAGGAAATTTAATTGTAAAGTTGATGCCTTACGATCTTACTAATTAGAATGACAATTATTGTACTTCTATTTATTGCTTTTCCAATTCAAGTTGTTCAATTTTCTCTTGTAGGTTATCCGTATAAAGTTTCATCTATTACTCTAACTACAATTATGCCAACTTCGATACCCTAACATGAGAACGAATCTCTGCTTCAGCTTTTTAGACTGCCTTTTCTAATTCATCATATTCGAGGCTTTTATTTTGAGATACTAATTCGAGTAGTATAAAGATTAGAAGTTTGAGTGCATTCAGAATCTCTTATGTACTCTACTCTTTTGTTACAGCTGGTTCCTATCTCAGTGAGCTGCAAATCTACATTGACTTTTAAATACTTACGTCTGTCACCATTTGCAACAACTATTCATTGATACTCATTGGAATAATTTAATATTAAATATGATATTTTCAATAGATTTTCTGCTATAATTATTTTTATGACCTTACTAATTTATTCTAATTCCACTTAAATACTTAACATTGTATTACTTATCCATTGAAACACTTTGATTATACTTCTACTCCTCAAAGTAAAACTTCTAATTCTTCTTAGCTGATCTAGCTATAAACTGGCTAAATGCCAATAATCAAATAATTATTCTATCTACATTAAAAGTTAGTTTCTATATAGAAATATCAGAGGTCTTTTATTTATTGTTTGTTTTATCAAAGTGACATCAAAAACTTGAAATTTATGTTTTTAGCTAAAAATCAAACTATTTTTTTGACACATTTGTACTTGATTTTGCTTAGTTGACATTGTAATTCCATCCCATCAATATTTTGAATTTTATTTGATGATTCTTCTTCACTTGGGATTCAAATGACTTTACATTTTTGTACCGAATTTTAATGCGGTTTGTAGTTGAAAATATATTGATTATTAAGATTATGTCATGTTTTAGATAGTAGAACTCACAATATCGAACATCGGGAGATAGCCTAAGAAGTATTATTTGGATAATAAATAAATATCTAAGAAATATAATAATCTTTTATTTGGTTCACAATCCTCTATGCTTAACTAAGCCTTTCTCTTCACAGTACTTGAGGAACGCTTCCACAAAATATACCAAGGGAATGTTCTAGCCTTGGAATCTATTCAATACTTTAAATTAAAGAACATTCGAACTATTATAGTTATTGGATAATAAAATCATACAAAATTTACAGAGTATGCTACCTATCATGTACTATTGATAAAATGATATAGAGAGTAAATGATAACATTGGAGAGGCAATAAATATTTTTGACAAGACTAGCCAACTGATTTAGAATGAAATCAAACGTTCTTCGATATTAGTATGTTGTTAGAATGGATTAAATTGGAGCACAGCTGTATTGATAGCATATCTTGTAAAAATTAAGTTATGGCAATATGAGAAGGCCTTTTATTACATTAAATCTTTAAAATCTTTAGTAAACCCATCACTAGCACTAAAAAAACAATTGATTTTATATAACACTAAAGTTCATAGCGTGAAAAATTTTAATAATGAAAACAAGATAAAACATTAGAGTCTGATTGTGCCCTCTAAGTTCCAACAAAGAATTATCGAACAAAGCCAAAAACAATAATATTTGGATGATTCTATATAATCTCAAGAAGAAAGACATTCAACGAGTTCTAATTAACTTGATAGGACTCCTGTTTTCAATTCTCCGAAAAATAATAATGTTAATAAGAAATCTGTTGTTGTTGCTTAATCAGATATTAATATAATGAAAAAATAGAGCATAACAAAATTAGTAAGACATATAAGAAATTATACATTCTAAATAGATGACACAAATATTAATATTAATACTAATAGTCATTATCATAATAACAATAATAATAATTTTACTAATTAACCAATAATTATTAACTCTCCAAAATTCAAAGATGAAGAAGATCGTGTTGCCTTAAGACATAGAAGAAGAAGACATCCCCATAGAACCAAGAGTGCAATTAATTATTGTTGATTTATTTATTTAGTTCCTTATAATACACAATTTCTAACAAACTATTTAGTTCCATTTTTGATAATCATATAGCTTCCTTATTTTTAGTAATGTTATTATTATATTATGATTTTCAACATTTGCTTTTTGAACATCAGAAGACATCCAATTATAGAAAAAGTTAAAAAGCCGCTCCAATCGCTCTAGTAACTATGAGGAATCACCTCTATGTGTTAAAACAATTTATCTATATTTCAAATTTTATTTTATTTATTACATTAGGCATAGTACATGAAATATATTCGTTTCTAAGTAGGGGTGGCGTTCTATTACTCTTTATTTTTAAACGTCTTTTTCTTTCTTACTACTTTTGTCTAATCATTCATTTGTTTTATATTTTCTATTCATTTATTCTTCCATAAATTAAATTAATTAAATGAGGCCTTTTCATGTCAGAGGGACAGACAGAGCTATAATGACTGTAAAAATCAATTATGATGGAGATTTATTCTTTACTGCCTCATAAGATGGTGGTATAAATTGTTGGTTGACAGAGACTGGTGAAAGGTATATAATTAGAGAGACCAATAATTAGATTAGGAAATTACAAAGCAAGTGGTGCAGTGAAGACATTAGATTTGACAGACAACAGTGAATTATTAGTGAGTGGTTCATTAGAAGTAAGGAATACTAATGATATCAAAGGGTTCTGTTGATTTCTTTTAGATCAATGGAGGAAAGAGTCTTGGCAAATTAACAGCTGATATGAGAAAGGCCAAATGGGTTGAGTTCTCTTTTGGGGATGAAAATTTAATTATTGTAATTAGATTAGATGCATAATGTATAGGTATATTAACCAATGACTTCAACAATCAATTATGAGACTCGAATTCTCAAAGTGCAAGAAATCTTAGATAAGATTAAATTGAGATAAACATAAGATGTATTGGAAATTACAGACACTCTTATAACTCCAGAAAAATTCAAGACTACTCAAGCAAGTTGGGGATATTTGAACCAAACCATTGTAATGGCATCTACTGAAGGAGAACTCTTATTGTTATCTTATCCATAAAGTATATATTAAGTCTAGATAATTCATAGAGTAGGAAATTAAAAGAGTATAGGTGCACGATGGTGAAATCAAGCAATTTACATTTGCCAAGGATTTTTCAATTTTGGCTACAGCTGCTAATGATGGATGTAAGATATTTGATCCTGCTACTTTATAATTGCTGAGATAATTCAAATATGAAGTGCCCATGAATGCCGTTGCTATCTCACCATTATTCAACTCTGAACAAAAACCAAAACCACATTTGATAGTGGCTGGTGGTATTCCAGCAAGAGAAACAGCCAGAACCAAATTCTAAGGATTTGATATACACATTTGCAATGTTATTTATGAGGAGGAAGTAGGAAAATTATTAAGTATAATAAATTATTAGAATGTATAGATCCTAATTAAATTGGACCTATCAACGCTTTGGCATTCTTCCCTGATGGAAAAGGATTTATTACTGGAGAAGAGGGTGGATATTCTAGAGTCTATAAATTTGATTAGACTTATTGGGAGAATGATTTATTCAAATGAATTTTAGATTTGTATATTTATGTATAAAATGAATTTATTTGTTTTAAAGTTATCTTTTTTAACAATCTATTCTTATTTTGCATTTTTATCAATTAAATTAATGTAACCATCCAATAAAAGCTTAGAAGAGTATTAAGAAGAAAGAATGAAATTCACAAACTCTTGGACTTTCATGATGACTGCTCTAGGCTTCGCTGCAGGCTTCGGAAGTGTTTGGAGATTTCCTTATTGTAAGTTTCTCATCACTATATAGTGGTATTTAAAAATGGAGGAGGAACATTCCTTATTCCTTACTTTCTTCTTGTTTTCACACTTGCCATTCCATTATTCTTCCTAGAAGTTGGACTTGGGTAAACAAAAGGAATGGGATTTGCTCATCTTATCGCCTCAGAAAAACCAAAATTAGCAGGTTTTGGATTCATTGGCATCATAATAGCCTCTTATGTTTCTACATATTATGTAATTCTAATCTAATACTAGAATTTAATTATGGCATATTCCTTTCGATTTTTATGGGATTCCTTCAAATATCCCTTGCCTTGGTTATAAAGCATTATAAATGAAGAACAACCTTTTTCCAAGAACTATTTTTATGGTGAAATTCTTCAAATATCAGATTCAATCACAAACATAAGTATTAATTTTTAATATTTAATATTAGATGAAATAGTATGGAGTTTACTTATTGCGTATATGGTTTCATTAACAATTGTCTATTTAATTATTAAGTATTTACTCTTGTATATCACTTTAGGGAAGGAGTAGGAACCTCAGGAAAAATAGCAATAGTGACAGCCACTTCCCCTTATTTTTTATTAGTGATTCTACTAATAAGGGGCTTGATGCTTGAAGGTTCTAGTGAAGGAATTTATTATTTATTTAAACCAGACTTTGTTAAATTATTTAATCCCTCTGTTTGGGTAGATGCTGCTAATTAGGTCATATTTCAAATGAATGTCGGTTTGGCTATTCTATGCTTATATGGCAGCTATAGAAAGAAGGATGATAATCTACCTAATTTCTCTTATGCTATTCCAATAATTACATCCTTATGTGGTATGCTTGCGGGATTAGTAGTGTTTAGTTACATTGGACATGTTAGCGTTAAATTCAATATTCCTATAGATGAATTGCCAGTAATTATCATAATATAAATAGCTATCTGGCCCAGATTTGGCATTTGTTTTATATCCAGCAATTTTAGCGTAGATGCCGATGCCAAATTTATGGTGTATTTTATTCTTTTGTGTTCTTGTTTTATTGGGAGTTGATACATAATTTGGATTTGTAGACCTGATTGCTGGAACAATAGAGGATGCTTGTTTAGGAGAAGTAATTTTGTTTGGATATAAACTGACAGTTCAATAAGTTCGATTGGGAATCTGTATTGCATTGGGAATTTTAGGATCAATCTATTGTACTGATATTGGATTTTACCTACTTGAATTTGTAGATTTGTATGGAACTACTATTTCTTTTATGGGAGGATTGCTCTTTGAAGTTTTTTATTTTGGAAATCCACAAAGATTTAGCAAATTCAAAAAGGACTTAGAAGAATGTAATATTTAGATCCCAGCATTTATTGAATTTTCTATCGTTAAACTATGTCATTTTACAGTAGTCATTCTATTGATAATATCAGTGATTCAATAGATTAGAGGGTCCTTAAATTACGATGGATTTTTTATAGTTGTTGGATGGATTATATCTCTTTTACCTTTTCTATGGGCATTAATAATATATATATAGTAAATGTTTTTTTTAATTTTAGGAAAAGAAATGAAAAAGAAGAGAAAACCGAAGATGTGGAATTAAACTTACTTGAAAAAAATTGATATTTTTGTGTTAATTGTTTTAAGAATAAATAAGTACATATATTTATTCAGTCCGAAATAATAAGCTGAATGCTTCTTCTCTGTATTTATCATCTTTTTCTAAACAAAAATCAATCAATTCGCAGATCTAATTTATATCTTTGCATTTTTAATTTAATATCCAATTCAATAATGGCTAAATTGTGTTCATTATTTTTCATTTAGATGCAAAACATCTTTTCATATTTCAAATAACAAATAATAAATGTATAATATTCTTATAAATATCATCAATTTTTCTTTTGTAGACCTTTCATATATCTAATAAATCCTTATTTTCTAATAGTGCCATTTCCTTCAGGATCACAAGCCTTGATTATATTTTCTAAGTCTTCATCTTTTAGATTCTCGTTACATTCCGATGCCATCTCTCTGAGATCATCAATTGTTATATAACCTAGTTTATGGGTTTGACTAAGTACCTTTGTAATCTAAATCGAATTGATAAAAGACATTTTCAAAATCTTCATCTGTATCTTTTTCTCCTGGATGCATGGACATCATTCTTACAAACTCTCTAAATTCAATTATACCACTTTGATCTTAATCAAAATCAGCAATCATTTGATAAATAATTTACTTTTTTGGTTAATATTTGCCAGCACTTGCAAATGCCTTTCTCAAATCCATAGGTTAAATAACTCCATTATTGTTTGAATCCAAAAAGTCAAATATTTCCTTATACAAAATGATGTCTCTCTTAGTTGTCGATCCTGTTATATAATCGTTTGGATCGAATTTAGGTTCAGGTGGAATGTATGTTGAATATGATTAATTTGGACTCATTATTTATGGAGGAGGGACCAATGATGATTGATTTATTTTACTTTAAGGCAATGTAGGAACCGATGTTGTATTTTTCTTTCTATTCATATTATAATATATTGATAATCGAATAATTTTCTAATAAATTTGAAAATTGAAGAATGAAAGAGAGAGTATGTTGGAATTGACATTAATTATGATGTAAACTTATGATTACCCTATTAAATATTCATTATTCTTCTATTTAATCCTATTTTAGAGCAAGTACCAATTTAGATTCATCTCCAAGATCGAAGTCTTTCAAACTGAAATCACATTTTAACTATCTGCCAGATGTAACACTTTTAGTGGAAGTAATAAATTTCATGAATTTATTCTGTCTCTCTTTTCTTAACATAGGCTCTTTAGATTCTTCTATTTATTTGATTAGTTCATATTTCAAAAAACGGGACTCATTATTAATCATTACAGATTACACTCTTCTTATCACAATTCAACATGGTTATGCTTTTGATATTCAATCTACTTTTTGATTCATCAATAAAACTAAATTATTAAAGCATTGATACTCAATCACTGATCTTACCAATACTTCGGCACTAAACGCTCTACTCTATTTGATTGGACAATCACATATGAGAATATCTTTAAATTCTTCGTCATTCAACTATGATAAACTAATAAATGTTTTAAGCAGTATTTACCACTCTCTAAACCCGTTATAATATTGGAACAAATCTTTATCTGACTCAATATAATAGTTTATAATACTTCAAAAACTCTAACTCGATAATAAGTTATACACTTATAAGTACTCATTTCTAAATTTTGAATATAGACTTATTCATATCCAACTAGAGGATTAGCATAATTAATACTTCGACTGATATTGTCATAAATTGATTGAATAATATTTTACTATAACGGAATTTTATCAGGATTTGTATATAAACAAACTTTATAAATAGAGGGGACACTTTACTTACACTTTCTCCAGATTCTTTTTAGATGTCACCCGATTTAACCGTTATTTTCACATTCATATATTCTCGAAATATAACTAATTCATTAGTCAAAACATGATTCTCCTTCTACCTAGAAAGACAACACATCCCTTCCTGATTGCCCATCTATAATTAAATAAATAAATATTTGAAGCAAAATAAAACAAAAATTTGATCATCTAACAGATTAATCATTTTTTAAAATGAATTCTTTATCCCCACTCAAAACTATCCATCAAATTTTAAACTTATTGATCTGAGATTTGATTGCCGATTTGAGTAGAAAGTGTTCTTTCTTCCAAAATCTGTCTAGACATTAGATTTGTGTCATCAGATATAACATATTAAGTGTGTATACTCTAGTCTTCAAACCAAGGATGTAAGGAGATATCTAAAATTATTCATATATGTACCTTCAGCATAAAGTCGATGATGAGGATTGTGTTTCAGTAATCTTTTAATCAAGTCTCTCTCTATGTAACTCAGATTCTAAAATTCTTCTGTGTATTGGAATGAAAGAGTTTCTGAGGTAATTAACTCAATTGTATCACTGACACTATCAGCAAAAAATGGAAGTCGATAACATAATAGTTAGTATAATATTACACCAATAGACCAGATATCAACTTTAATATTATACCATAACTACCCTTTTCGTCATAGCCACCACCTAAAAATACTTCAGGTGCTTAGTAAACTATGGTTCCAGTTGCAGTCCACATATCTTTAAAGGTATCTTTGAATTTGAATCGTTTACTAACTCCAAAATCGATTAACTTAATTTATATTTCTGGATTCAATTATATTAATATGTTTTCTGGTTTTAAATCGCGATGGCATATCCCCTTAGAATGTATTTAGGCTATAGTTTAAGAAAGTTATTTAATAGTTTCCTATTTGTGTTTAAGTGATAGTAATGGAAACACCTAATCCAAACTAGGAATATCGCAATATTCTATCACTTAATACTAATGTTTCGTTTTTTCATCTATAAAAAGATCATAAGCTCTACAAATTCGAGGGACATCTTATAATTATCTTTACAAATTAAAGGTCTGAATAATTGTATTTACAATCTCTGGATCATCAGTTCTAAAACACTTAACTGCATATATTTAGGTTGATTTAGTCATAAGAGACCTAGCACTTTTTTATTTGGGTAATCTTAAACATTTACGAACCACAGAATGAGCACCCTCGCCTAGATAAGAACAAACTGAATACCTATTTTCTCCATTAATTAGTAAGCATCTTAAAATGTTTCTTGCAGCTAAAGAGAATTCTATTGCGTAATGTTATTTTCAATGTCAATAGATTTCCTCTAACGCAATCCTTAATTTTCAAACAGTTGTTTTTTTAATTGGTTTCTTATTTATTCTTTTTGCATAGAAATAAATATAAAAATTAAATAAATAAATTATGAATAGAATCGCTAATGGTGTGATTGGACTTGCTCTTAAGAATTAGGCTTGTTTCAGTGCAGCTAAGAAAGCCAAGATGGAGTTGACCATTAGAACTCCATACAGAACAATATTGGACAAATTCGAAGGTTTCTCAAGAATAGTGGCTAAAACAAATGAAGTATTCGTCTATTGTAATAACCTCGCAAGGCAGCTCTCATTATTCAAAATAGAACTCCTGCAGCAGTATACATATTACCCCCTGGTCCTTTGAAGATTAAATTCACTTAAGATGTCAAAGGAGTCACTGGTGACTTTTTGCATTTGGGTGGCTATGTGTTTGTGAATCCGTATTTAATTTAAATCTATATTAGTGACAACACTTGCGAAATCAATTTGATGGATGTAGTTGATAGAAAAGAAGCAAAAGTCGATTAATTTGACAAGGCTGAAGTAAAAGATGCTGATACAGTTGCAGGAAGATATGCAGGTAAGATTAGAAGATCTGCATAACGTACCTTTATTAAAAAAGCAACAGCATGATATTATTATACATAAATCAAATAAATACATATACCAAATGGTCTAAATGAAAGGCATGTTAATTATTTAGAGGCTTATTAATAAAATGTTTTTGTTTATTAAATAATTAATACTATGGATTAACATCCTAATATTTGTCCAGCACCTTCCTTTTACCTAGAGAAGTGTATTCAAAATAGAAAAAGATTGTTGGAGCAATATAAAAACACAAATTTTAACAAATCTTACCCCTCTATTCAAGAAAGTTCTGAATAATCCATTTATACAAATGAGCCTCTTTAACATTAATCTGTTCAAGAGAACATAAATTAATAAGACAATAGTGGATGTTCTGAGATTCTAGAACCAGAAATTCAGTAAATCAAAAAAAACAATTAAACCAATCAAAAGAAATTCCTTCTATAAATTAAATTCAAAACCAAGATTTAGTAATAAACAAAGTCTAATGATGAACTACCAAATTTATCAATTGAGTAAACTGCAGAAAATGTTGACAAACAAATAATAAGCAAGAATTCAAACACTGTTGAAACTCAAACTGATTTCTCCTGTAATTAAAATTTAGAAAAGTAACAATAATAGCCTAAAGTGATTGATGATCAGTGTCAAACAACTGAAGATATTCCAATTCAAACCTTAATTATCTAATAAATGAAGGAAGATGCTTTAAAACCAAATAAATAATGGTATTCAATAAACTTAAATTCGTCAATACACCACAAATTATTGGCGACTGATTAATTTATGTCAGACAATAAAGCAGCAATTGATTATTTCGATTCTCTTAAGAGTAAATTGAATGAAAATTGATAAATTAATTTTTGTATATATAGAATCCATGTTAAATTAATACTTATCCTTGTAGTAAGGTATCAAAAATCATGTAATTTATTATTGAATTATATGATGTCATATAGATTAATCTTTATTATTATAATTATTCACAACTATGAAAATAACAATCATACTGTTGTTATATATTGCCAGTCAGGCATATTGTCAATAAAATGATGAAATCTTAGGCTATATGTATGTGTTTGCTTAAGAATGGCCAGGATCTATATGTAAATTTTAGAAGTGTACAAAAACATACATGGGAAATTATGATAATGCTAGATGGAATACACATGGATTGTGGCCAAATACAATGCTAGAAACTACTTGTGGGATGATATTCAATTGTAGAGATGAAGACTATGATGAAGATAAATTAACTGTGGCCACTAAGACATTAATTGATGTTACTTGGAATGGCATGTATTCAGACACATTCACATTTAGAAAGTAAAGGATTATAATAATGTAGACATGAATGGGAAAAGCATGGAACATGTCATCCAGACAATCTTACTTAAAATGGTTATATGTCAAGAGTTGGAAATCTTAATAATCAATATAATTATTATAAAATTTTGGCATCAGCAGGAATCTATCCAGATGATGATAGATAATTAACAGACGCCGAAGTGAGAGCAGCATTTACAAAAGTATTAGGAATATCAACAGCAATGACATATACATGTTAAAAAGATTGTAAATTGAACCATTAATTAATTAGCTGCAACTGGCAAATTTTATATTGCTGAATTAAGAACTTGTTTCACTTAAGCTATGAAACCAAGGACTTGCGATTGTAGCAAGCCTGTTGGTGCATTTGTTACATGTGGAAAGGTCTTCTATTATCCAACTTTTCTTCTAACATTGGATGAATAAATAGAGCTGGAAGAGATCTCTGATTTGAGTAATGGTTTCTTAGAGTGAGATCTTATGTTGAGTTTTATATTATTAAAAAAAATATAATTAAAAACGAATTTAGATGAGCTTTTGGAACAGATTAATGTCATTAATGCCAACATTTATGTTGTTTGGCGTGCTAATATTTACATATAGCATTTATTACATTGTAAATTATTCTATTTCATGTAGACCAACCTAAAACCCAATTTTAATGGGTATACTTATGAGATCATTATATTGCATTGTATTATCATTTTATTCATGGTATCAATGTTTAGGGCGATGTTTCTGTAGCCAGGAATAATTTCAACGGTTTTCTATTTTCTTATTTTAGGAAACAATTGATGAAACTTGGAAGTAATGGGAAATATTTAAACAATAAGAAAAAGATAGATTAACAGAGGAAAAATAGAGGAGAAGTTAAAAATCTGTAAAAACATTCAAAACAGAGAATGATGAAGATAGAAGTGTTGTTAATCTGGATGCAGAAGAAATCATTGAAGAAGAAGACAATGCAAATAAAGATCAGAATCAAAAGGCTGTGTAAAAAAGATTTTGCAAAAAATGTTGCATTCCTAAACCACCAAGAGCACATCATTGTTCATAATGCAATACTTGTTGGTAGAGAATGGATCATCATTGCCAATGGATAAATAATTGTGTTGCCAGAGATAATTATAAGATGTTTTTCTGTATGATTTTTTATGCAAGTAAGATTAAATTCATTTAGAAGTAGAGGCGCTCTTTTAGTTTGGGTCACTATTTCTTAATATCAAGTCTTTGAGCAAGTAATTCATTATGATGCTTCCGATTTAGAACTCTATATTATAGTGCTTCACTTTTATTTTGTATGCTTTCTTGCTGTCTTGATATCAGGTTTTTTTATATTTCATGTTTATCTTACATCATAAAATAAAACAACACTTGAACAACTTGAAGATAAACCAGATGTATTTATGAGTATTTATTATAAGAAAACAAAATATGATCAAGGAATCTGGCTCAATTTTTAAAGTGCCTTGGGATCCAACATATTGTTCTGGTTGATACCAATTTGATGATTTATTTCACAGTATTCATATCAAATAAATGAAAATACAATAATATGACTCCTATATTTAGAGATATGAAACTTTGAAATGCCATACCAAATTCCTTCTGATCAGTTGATCCTGTTAATTAGTTTAATATTAAAATTTGCTTGAAAAATACTATAGCATAAAAGAAAACAAAAAAAGGACATTTATAAATTATTAATTAAATAAATTATATTCATGCTTATACAAAATCTTATGCATTGTAATATTGTAACATGTCAATTTAAAATAATAATAGTTGTTTATATGAAATTTGCATGAATTCTTCCCACCATTTTTATGAACAAAACTCTTCTTTTAATTTCAATAATTTCTATTTATCCACTGCATGCATTCTAAAAAATTAAATTCCCAAATAAATTGAACCTTTCACACAATCTACTTGAGTCTAGAATTATTGAAAAATCAATACCGTGTCTGTCTAAAAATCAACAAAGAATGTATCCTGAAATATATCAAATATCATTTATCTCAAACCTTATTCAAATTGAAAGATCTATAATGTAGTCTCTCTAATAACATACCTTTAAATAATTCAATAAGAGTTAGTAGCTATCCAAAGTCTCATTTTTTAAATCATAATTTATTATCCTTAGTATATGCTATTCTGCTTCCAATACTTCTCTTTTCCATTCTGCATATTATTCATTATTAAATAAAGGTACAAATTTATCAAAAAACTCAATATTGTAATTCTCGTATTGTTCTATGCCTAAATACTTAATTGGATCTTCATCATAATCGGCTTGATTATTAGCTTATAATTTCTATTTTCTCTCTTGATTTGCTAATGTGTACATTTTATTAACTACGCAAATTACTTACTTATTAATATGAAGTACTTACTTACTAAAATGTCTCTAATTCTTTTCATATCTTCAACTATTTTACTCACTAAATAAAAACACGCTGTGATCACCATTTCTTTTTTAAATTATCTCTTGTTGCTTAGTGTAAATCTATTCATTGTTACTATTTCTTTACCTTTTATATATAGTAATCACATGACTAATTGTTGGAGTAGATAAATTAAGAATAACCCCAATTTCCTATATCAGTCTCAAAAATTCATATCCTTTCATTATTAAATTATTTTATATTATATCAAATAAAAGTCATTAATTAATTCTTTAATTCACTCAATTCCTAATTCTCATACTCTAATATCCATGACATTTATTTCAGTTATTTATTAAATTGTTTAGCCACATTAAATATCATATGTTTTATAACTGGTAATGGATACTCCTCAATAATCCATTCCTTTAATTATTTTCTTTATGCAAATTCGTCAAAACTATCTCTTATATTATTGAGTGCATATTCTAAATAAATATCAACTATGTCTTAACCTATTAATAGTCTTTAAAGAATCATTATTAAGTTTCTTAAATCAATCTTATACCTTCGTCTTCTTCGTTTTTCCAAAGAAAGATTTTTATCCATAACAATCTGCTTATTAAATAACTTATTTAAACTATCATTTTGAGAGTCTATCAAATAAATATTAAGTTTGTTTTCCTCCCATATCAAATCAATTATCAAGTAATGTATTGTTATACCACAAATGAGAGTTAAATTAGATAACTATTATTATCTTAATCTATTAAATGATTCTGAGATGATAGATAACTCCTCAATTGAATTTTAAATGATATCGCAACCATAAAATAATGGAATTACTTCTTTTGGTCTTTTGTTGCCAAAATCCTAATACACTTGGAGTTATGAAATAATTTTATTATTTAGTATGTAATCAAGATGATAACGCTATAATTCATCAAAATTTTCGAAGTCCCCTTCAAACATTTGATTTAACTATTTTATTAATTCAAAGTAGAATTTCCAAAATAATGTAATATTGTGGTTGATATCAAAATATGTGTTATATAGTGCATAGAATCCACAAATGTTAGGTAAAAATTATTCTAATGAAACAAGTCTCTTTACACTATAGATTTCTTCTGCTATTATTTTTGTTTCTACAATGTTGGATGAAAATATTTAATCAATAATTTCATTTAAAATTTGTTATTCTTCTAAAGCGTATTTATTCATATTTTAATTAAATATAAAAATCAGAGTATTTGTATTTAGGATGAACATCTATTATTTAATACTATTTTAAGATTGGGATTGATGATACAAATAAATAAGGTTTAGATTAAATGCCAAATATTTATATATATAACAGTCTAATATTTAAAAATATTAAAATTATTTGAATTAATATAAATAGTTGAATTACGAGATGGATACAAAGAAATTAAGTAAAATAATAGAGCTAATTTTCTTATCAATTGCTGTAAGAATTCATGAATAATATTTTGAAAGTGGTTATCAGTACTAGCCTGTTTGATTAGAACAGATTTTAATTTTCCTTTTGCTTTCTTTTGCTATTATTTATGGATATCAAGAGATGACAAAGCCAATTCTTTAATGGTAATCATTTTATTGCTATTTCTTAGTTAATGGTTTTAAATGGAATCTTAATTTTAGTTGATTTAATTTGGTTATTGTCAGTTGGATCTATTTGGACTGCCACAGAAAAAAATAATCCTGTTTGGGGTAGATTACATGGGCTCCATGTTTTTGTAATCTTTATTAGCATTGTGAATGCCTTATTAAAAGTAAAATGATTGATATATGTATAGGTTGGAGCAATTGTGGCAATAAATTCATATAGAGGGAATTAATAACAAGTTGGTAAATGATAGATTATTACTTTAGCTGGTCCAGTTGGAACTTAGAATCCTTAATAAAGTGGATTTAATGATATGTCTTAAAATAGATAATAACCATATGCATAATTTTGATGAAATGAAATATTCAAAATTATATCAACTTTAAATAATAATTATATAAATAAATTTAACAGTAAAATTATATGTCAATGTCATAATAAAGATATCAAACTCTTATGGGTTCTGATGATATTTCGTAAATATGCAGTGGATTCATTAGATTTATTGAAGAAGTAATTCTCTTAAAAATATAAATTAGATTTTACTACCAATTGCTAAATAAGATACTAAGCAATTTTAAAATTGGACAAAGTTCAAGGAGATCATTGACCCATTTAATAAAAAAATAGAATTACAAAGAGTTGAGTAGTTTTTCTAATAATTTAATAATTCCAAGATTAATCAAGAAAATAAACCACCAACTCCAATTCTTAAAGATTAAACTAAAAACACAGTAAATATTCAAGACCGAAGTTACTCAATACCTTAGACAACAGTTGTTTAAAATATAACAAATGATTACGAAAATAAATTAAAGGAAATCACAGAGAAAATTAATAAAACATTTCACTAAAATAACACTCACTTAGATATACTTCTAAAAATGAATAGCACAACCGAAGATGCTAAAAATAAACTAGAGCTAAATAATAATAATTAAAGAAATACTTCAATCACCAGAAGAGTTGATTTTAAAAGAAGAAATACCGATTACTATTCGTTTAAACCAATCAATATATAATGATTAAATATTAGCATATAGCTAAAAATATTTAAACATATACTAATCAAAACTCATCTTCTGGGTTCTCTCCATCATCAAACCCCTCATCCTCTTATTGTCTCTATTATGATTATTTTTGTAGTGTTTGTTTATTAGGAAATTAAAATAGCTTTTGTTATTGTGGCTCCTATTATTTGGATGTATTTAGATCATCAACATCAACCTTCTTTTTATTTGCATAGAATATCTAATCATGTATCAAAGTCACTATCTTTTCATTATCTAATAAGGTTTGAATTAATTTATCTCTATCTTCCTTTTCAAGCATGTCTGATTTATCTATATAGTCTACTTAAAAAATTACTTTTATTATTCTTATTGAATATTCTTGCTTCTCCTTTTATTTATATAATTTCCTCCTTGATATCATCAATACATTTTCTAAGAATAACTTCCAATTCTGACTTACTTTGCATCTCCTTTATGTATAATTATTTCAATTCTCTCACTCTCTTTTATTCCTTTTTTAATGTTGATTACAAAGATTTTATCGTTTTCTCATACCTTGACAAAGTTTATTAAATAGATTATGATCCTTGTAATTATTGTTATTGAATTTATGATGGGTTTTTTGATAATTATTCATCCTTGTTTAACTTATTCTACGATTAGGCTAAATTCTTCACAGACCTAATTCTCACTTTAGCCTTACTTCCAGGTCTTACAATATCTTGATAGGATGGTTAATCAAAGGATTAATCATCTTATTCTACTTCATCCTTTTAGACTTCATTCAATAATTTCTCATATTATTATATTTAAGATTTAAGAATGGCATTTTTTTTCTTTTTCATTATTAATTCTTTTAAAAGCATTTCTCGATCATTCTCTTATGTCTAATACTATATTTTTAATTCTTTATATTTTTACATTAGAGAATGATTTTCATTATCTATTTTTTAAGCTATGTTTTTAATCCATTCCAATTCACTAATCAATTAATTTTCTTTTTCAATATACTCCTAATCATTTTTACCTTTCTTAATCCTTTCCTCTTCAAATTGTTTCTTTATCTCATTAATTTTGTTATTAAAAAATCGAATAATATCTCTCTCCTAATCCACTAATATTTTTGATGTTCTCAATTAAATATTGTTTATTCCCTCAATTATCTTGTTGTGGTCTTTATAAATATTCTCCATTATTTTTCTATCTCCTTAATCTAAAGCTGTTTTAGCTCTTAATTCAGACTGTAATTCTTCTATTGTTTTTCTATATTCAATTTCTCTATTAACAAATCTTTCCTATCTATTTTTCAACTCCAATTCCAATTAATTTGTTCTCATTTTTTCTTTTTCCAATATTGCTTATAATTCCTAACACTTCAATATCCAATCTTATGCAGTCATTTCATTTTTTGTAATAACAGTACTCTATTAGATTTGCTTTTTCTTATTTTTTGGATCATTAGGATCACCTTTCTTGCCTTATTGGTCAATTTGCATTTTAGTCGGTTTTAAGATTGCCTCAGGATTGATAACTAAATTTAAATTCAAACTCACATTTTGTTAAATCAGGAGTTGTTGATGCCAATTTGTCTGTTATTTCTTGCATCTTTAACATGCTCTTTGTATTTTTTATATATTATTAGTCATCCTATATTTTCTACATTTATTTAATTGTAATATTATATAATTTCAAAATGCTAAGCCTTGTGCATAATATATATTATCAACACTCTTCATAAATGTTTTGGTTTTAGACAATTCAAAATTGCATAAAAGAAAAATATTACAACTGACAAAAATTTAAGTTACCTAATCCTTTTTTATCTAGAATTACTAATTATCTTTGATTGAAAATTTACATTATATATTAGAAACTATCCATATCTACTTAAGACTACAAATTTTGCAGAATAATTAAAAATAGACTTGATTTACTCGAATGAAATTATCAATCTAAATTAAAATATCCTTCTATAAATCTAATCTAATGGTTAGATCATAATATTTTCAAAATAACTAAATCTGGAGATGATTAATTTAATAATTCTTTTGATTTTATTTTGTTAATCTAATAATATATAGCATATTCTTCTATTATTTGTTTCATTTGTTAACTTTTCCTATCTTCTTAAGTGTTTGAGTAATAATTTGTTAATCATTATTCGTAGAATGCAGTTATATCTCTTTACTTAAATTGATATAAAATACGAATGGCCTAAAGAAGAAATGTTTAGATACAAGATATATAAACGGAATATTGTTTTGGGAAGTTTAAAATTAATTAAAGCAAAAGAAACAAATTAAAGCATTAAAAAAATCTACCTGTAATTTATTATTAAATTTTTGATTAGATATAATAACTAATCATTTATTAATAAAATAACTTAGAAACTATGAAATTTATAGAATAAATATATAACTTTTACACATAAAATTTATAAGTTTTCATATATCCAAATTTACTCTTTATAGTTTGTAGTTGTCCTCAAAATTCTATTATCAATAGGTCGTCTTTCATCACAGACATATTTTTTCTCTATTTTTTTGGCTTACTTTAAGAAAACAGGAATTCAAACTTACTTATGAATTTCTATTAACAGAGCCTAGAAAATTATTTAGCTTTTTTCATTCAAGGGAGAAGAATAGAAAGTTGTAGTTATTTTGAATATTCCGAAGAAGTTGGTCTATTTTTCTTGAAACTAAAAATATGATAGTTATTTCTTAAAATTAGGCGAGTAAAGTTAGTATTTGTTTAATTAGGCTAGCTGAAGGATTAAAATAAATCTTCAAAAAATACTTATTAGTTAATATTAAATCTAATGAGGCTGTCAATTTTACTTTCACCATTTTTAAAATTGTTAGGTATCGAATCTTTATTTTTTAATTTATATACAGAATAGTAAGAGTGTCATTTTTTGACTTTAAAAAACAAGCATCAAGAAAACTTTATGCAATTTTCAAAATTTCTCATAGTAACATGCTTGATGCTCATTAATAATGTTATTAATTTAAATACAGGTTTGTTTACATCATATTCTAAGAATTAAATAAATTGGTTTTTGATATTAATTGATGCCAATGATTATTCTAAATACCAAACTAATTCATTCATGATGTTTATAGCTATATATATCATAATAGTTATTGTTCCAACAAATTGTGTATTTATAATTCTATAAGTTAGCATTGGTTAATGTGCAGAAATTATACTAATGAATTTTGATAAATTATCTTATTTTTATGAAATTGTTATTCAATTTGAGGTTTACTGTCGTTGCATAATTAGTTTTATTGTTTTTTATGTTTTTTTTCTTTGAAAAATATATTAATATGATAGAGACAAAGTATAATCTATAAAATTCCTGATTTCATAGTTCTTAATAGGAGATATTCTTCGTTTACAAATATAAGATAACAAAATAAATTTAGATTAGTCTTTTTTCATTTGAAAATGTATGTGATTATGATGAATTTAATCACATAAAATTCTGACTTATGATAGTAATGAGAGAAATAAATGAGACATATTTAATTGGGAATGATAAGAACGAGATGTATTTAAATTTCGAAATAGTTGAAGTAAATTAATTTAATAATGTAAGACGATTAAAAACTTTATTCAATCATATTTCCTGATTCTAATCTACAATCTGTAAACCAAGTGCCTTTTTTCATTAGAGATTACGAAATCAATCGGAAACAGATTTATTGCTCAGCTTATTCAAATGAATTGCTAGTTTTAGGACATTATGTAACTTATTTAAATTGAGAGTAATTAGAATTGCATTTCTATAGTCGATATTGTGACGAGAAACTACATAATTTAATACACGAATTTGAATAATTAAGGGTGCATTGTTACCGCTGTTGCAATAGGATATTATAACAATTATATTTTAATCGGAACACAAAAGGGGAGATTGGAAATGTATTAATTATGTAATTCAATAAAATAATACGACATTCTGAAACAGATAGAGATTATAAAATTTAGTGAAACTTAAATCCAGAATATTTTTTTAACTAATGGCGATTTAGCGATAATAATTGATTTGAGCAGCATAAAATGTTTTTATATAAATTAGTTGACTTAATTGGTGTAGAAATAGCCAAAAGAAGAGAGCAACAAATATTAATTGTTATAATAAGATATAGAGACAATAACTGAAAAGTTTATAGTTGGTATAAGTGCAAGTGCATATTGTCACGAGACGAATCAATTGGTAGTTTCATTAGGAGATAGTTCTATGGTGGTCTACACTTTTATAGGGGAGGATATAAACTCTAATTTAAGGAAATCTAAAGTGTATGTGATTGAACCTTTTGAAATAATAAATAAACTTACAATCAGTAATGATGGGCGATTGTTGGCAGTGGCTTAATGCAGAATGGTAAATGGTTTGGAATACAAAATCAGCATAGTGGATTTAAATAGAAAAGGTAAAGTAATTAAGAAGTATCAATATTATGATGGAGCAGAAGTATTTGATATGAAATTCTTTCCAATTCAGAATAAATTATATGTAGTTGTAAACACAGGATAAATATTTATTGTCGATATTGATCAAAGTAGTGATGAACGATTATATCTTTAAAATTTGAGTGATGTAACTAAATAAATATATCCCTTAAGTCAATATTAGGAATTTCCAAACTTATTATAGATATCAGAGAATGGTCTAATATAGATTATCTCTTATGATACACAAAAAATAGATCATTTAATTTAAATGCCATTCCTCTATTTTATTGAGTTGAAACTCTAGGAAATATTTAATTACAAACCCTTGTTACAACAATATTTCTAATCCTCATTCTATATTGGATTTTCAGGCATTGACAAGAAAACTCAATCTGTGCAATAGATAATGTTAAACGGAGAATAATACTTTGAACCATTATATGATGGAATTCTAAAGATGAGTGAGTTTAGAGAATTTTACAAATCAGAATTTCAAGAAAGATTGAGACACAGAAGAAAGAAATACGAATTAAGAATATAGATATTAGCATGGTCATTGAATAGTGTTAAACAAAATCTTTTGCCATAGTCTTTTGGAATGGGTATTCCATAATAAATAGACTTGAAAAAGAATGAAAGTGAAAAACAGGAAATTAGAAAATAGTCAAAATAGAAGAAGAAAAAGCAGTTTATGAAAATAGAGCAGTTCTTTGATACTGCCCAAGATACAGATAATAAAATGTTCTTGTATCTTAGCGATCTTGCTGATGCTTATCTTAGATAATATAATGATTTGAAACTAAGTGATGATAGATACTTAGTGATTTCTAAGCTTTTATAGAATTTGCAGTACTAAAATCTAACTATGTTACTGTTGGGCAATTGCTCATTGTTATTTGATGTGAAACTGCCTTTTAAAGAGTATATCATTGATTTGATCAACAAAGTCGATAGATTAAGCTACCTGGATCTCAGTAACAACAAAATTACCTTTGAAGATATCAAAAAAATAACTCGTCTGACTCAATTGAAATATTTAGACTTATCTAGTAATTTTCTTGGAAATCAATCTAAAAAACCGATGATGAAATAAAAAATGAGATATCAGAATTTAGAAATGGCTAATGATGATGAATAATAATTGATTCCTGAAGATGATTACTCATTTTATAGATTACTTTTTTAAAAGATTCCAATCATCAATTTAAGAAATAATCAATTTACTGATGAGGAAGGTTGTAAATTATTGAAGACACTTGAAAATAATGAAGATTTGAGAGTGCTGGATATTTCTGGCAATTAACTCTTTAAAGAATAAACTAGAAATCAATTAGAAATGTTGATTAAAACTAAGAATCTAATCATGAAAAATACCCAAACATTAATAATTGAATTTAGTGAAGAATTGTCTGAATCAACAATGAAATAATTCACAAAACAAATTATAGAAAAATTTAATTTACAATTATCTGAAGAATAAAAGTTAGTTAAAAATCCTGATGTGGAAGCAATTGAATAATAGGTTTATGAAGAAATTCCAATGAATTTTTATTTATATATTGTAAATTCCAATTAGAACTACTATTGGGATTAATCACTATTATAATTGTATGAAAGACAAGATGAAGGATAAGTTGATGAAATTAGAACATGCTTTGTAAATATCATATTATAAATTTTAGTGTGCCTTTATCATGATCTATGTTAAGATGTGTGTGGATTTGTATTAAAACATTTAAACTAATTTTGTTGAATGTTTAAAATAATGTTTTTGTTCAATTTATTTTGTTTAAAAATACCTCTTATGCTGTTATTGTGTATTTTTACAGAGTAATTATGGATCCTTTATCACTCATCTTTTAGGTATTAAGACTGCAGATTATGAATATAACAACAAGAAGGATGATCTCAAAAAACACCTTGAAAATAGTAAGTATCCATTAAATATAATATTTTGGATTAACTTTATCGCTTTTTATTTCATATGCGTATTCATACCCATATATTTTGTACTTGCATGTTCAGGACATTAATGGACAGGACATTTTATATATTGCGGCTATGCATTTCTAGTTTGTTTATTAGAAATCAAATTGGCAAAGACTTGTATAGATCATGAAATTACTCATTCTGAGTTTTCAACTGGTCCTTTTTGGAAAAGAGCAATGTTTTTTGTATATATTTCATATTTTATATTTTAAGGGCAAGGATTTGTTTTTAAGTTAAATGGCTAAATTTGATGTGTATTCTGATATTTGTTTTATTACCACTGTCATGACATGCGGGGATAATACTGGCATAGGATATTGTGCTATAGCTATTATGGCTTTGACATTGTCAACAACTATGTTTCATATCTTAAGTTTGTTATTATCGAGATAAGATGGAGATGAAAATTATATTGACTATTTATGCAATTATTGCTCTTTTGTTGAAATACATTTAGTGGGTTCATTATTAGAAAAATGGACGATATAAAATACAACCAATTTTTTGTGGATGAAAGGAATTCCAAATAGAGTTTATGCAGCAACATTTAGAACATTTGCAGAAGATTTACCATAATTTTTACTATAGGTTATCTACTTATTTCTGAATCCAAACAAAAAGTCAATTGAAATCCTTATGCTTTCCTTAGCATCCTCAACTATTTCAATTATAATTTCAGTCACTAAATCATTGACAATAACCAAAGCTAATAGAATCAATGATATTATTATGATGAATGAAGTCAAAACAAAGCTAGGATTGCATAAGGAAGTTACAGATCCAAAATTAAATGAAGAGCTCATCCAATTTCTACATGACTATTATTAAAATTTTGATGGAGAAGAACATGTTCAAGTATTGCAATATGGCATGACAGATACTAAATATTTAAGAAAACCCATGGAACACACTACTAACATCAGAACAGTAAAAGGATAAAAATAATCAATTAAAATCATAAAGGGAATATCTATGTTGGTTGAACAATAACAACAAACATAGTAAAAACCATAACCAATGATCAAGAATCCAACTCAGGCTCTGGATTATGAAAAATTGGATTTCTTTGAGCCATATTTGTTTTTAATGAACAGCAATTAAGCTAAGCTAATTTAGAAATTATATCAAAGGGGATAAGAGATGCATCCTGAAATTGCATAAGTACTATTAGAATTAGAAATACAAGATTATGTAGACAATGTTCCTTCATTTTAAAATGAGTATGAGAGGTTCGATTTTGCAGAGGGAAGTTTTATTGAAAGCTTTGAAGTTTAGATCAAAATCTTGGAGACTATTTATAGATATGTCAAGAAGGATCTAAACAAAGAATTGTAAATATTGGATATTGGTTGTGGTAGTGCATTTACAGCAACAGCCATACTGAAATTATTGGAGAAACTTAAACCAAAAGGAACATACAAAATCTTATGTCTTGATCACATTCCTTAAATATTAGAAAGAGCAAAGAATGTCATTGAAATGGGATTTGAGGACTTCTTGCAAAAGAAAATAATTTAATTTGATATCTATGATTGTCGAAACTCATTAATGCAATTTGGACAATTCGATATTGTTAATTATGGCTTTGCTGTTTATTAAGCAGATAATAAACTAGTTAAACAAGATGGAATTGCAATAGTACCGTTAATAATTTCAACACCTTAAGAACATGAATACTATGCTTTATAAAGGTAAAATGATCAAGAAGATGAACTCGTAAATTTAAATTTAGAGGCTTAATCAGGGTAATTAGTTGCAAAAGAATTGTAATTCCCTGATTTATATCAATGTATTTATTATCCTAATAATAGACTTTGAAATCAGAAAAGGAGAGTAATGTAATCTCTGTAATAAATCAATCATTAATTAAGGATAATTCTATTCACCATGGTTATGCAGATATTATTGTATTGAGTGTGGATAATAAGATGATGATAAAACAGAACTATAGGAATTCAAAATCCTAAGTAATTTAGTATTTATACCATCTTGTTCAACTGATGAAGAAATGAATAGATTAAGTTCATATAAATTTGGACATAACTTATTCCCTAAAAAGAATCAATTACTTAATAAGTATCATCCCATTGATTGCCATCCATGTCAAAGAGAAAAAGGAGAGGAAAAAGATTTTGACCCATTACCTAGATATATCTGTTTAAATTGTAGACCAGGCAAGTTTGATGGCCAACATGTTGATATCTGTTATGATTGTGCCAAATGCTTTATTGATGATGAAATGGAGAATGAGAGAGACCTAAAATTATATTATTTATCAGGACATTAATCAAGCCACTTATTGTTAAAAATTCATTTTTATTATGATTATAATTAATATTGATGAATTCAGAAGCATTATACCTTGAAAATGATTATTATAATCAATATTTATAAATTGATCTAAGTAATCTATTTATTAACTTTTACTTTTTACTGATGTGTTCACAACAAAATTATGATAAGCTATTTAATTTGATTAATGTTACAGCAGAATTAATGTAATTTATTTTAAGAAAGGTTTAAGATGCCATTTCAATAATACTAACAAAGTTTAATAATATATTGCATTTTGATATTTCGTAATTTTGAGGATTTCAGAAATTGTAATATAGTTTGGTTGTGTAATGCCAAAATTAGTCATATGACTTTTGTCCCAATAAAATAATTTATATACATTCTCTCAACTATTTTCAGTTGTAAATATATAAAATTAGTAAATCAGTTAGATAAATTTCGATTTTCTTCTTCACACTTAAAATGAATTAGGCAATTCCTACAGCTCCTAAACCTCCTTTAATATAAAGTTGTAACTGATGAGAAATTCAACTCAATTTATTCTTATAATCCTATTTCTAAAATTTGGTTAAATGAACCTTGAATTCATAATATAGATTAATTAAAAATCAAAATAGTCTTTTTTTGATTTTTTCAAGAATGCACATATTAATGTCTTAAGAACAATTTTGTTTATATATTAGAATTATTTATAATTAACTAATAATAATAATAAATATAAAATGATAGTGAAATTATTTTCATACAATCTATGCAATTCCGTCATGTTTTTAGTTCTGTTAATTTTCTTCAATTAAAAATATAACAAGATTTTCTTTTTATAAAGAATTACTTCTGTGACACTTACACCTTTCATTGTTTAAACTATTAATTGATTCAGTTCTATAATTATTCATTTAAGAGACGCTTCTCTGCTGTCTATTAGCCTATTAGATTTGCAAACAAGGCTAAATACTTTGTTATCGATTAGTTACTAATTTTTCGATGCTTGCTTACCTACTTAAGAATCTAAACCTATCATAGTTAACTTTATGCCACTCTTTTGCATTGAACTTCTTTTTCTTTTGAACTAACTAGGATGATGTTTTTGAGAATTAGTTTGTTACTACATGTTCAAATGGTTTATTGTTTAACTTAAAATTAGCAGGAATATATTGTTTCTTTTTGAATAGCTGATGCATATTATAATATTTAGTGTGTAATAATTGATTTAACTATTTTGAATATTTATCCTCAATCTTATAAGCATCTTGATTAATTACACCAACAGTAGAATTACGACGATGCAGTGAGTGAGAGGATTTAAACTCTTAGCTTAATTATCTTGTTGAGAACTTCATTTATTAATTAACAGCGGCCTCAAGTGTTTTGATTTTTGACCCTTATAAAAACATGGTATTTAAGTTTATTTTATTTTATTATTTTTTGTAATTAAAATTCTCTATCATCCATTAAAACAATAATATTATTTAATATATGATATAATACGGCTTTACAAGTTTGAAAATAAAAATTACAATAAAATGCTTAATTTATTTTATTAAAAATAAACAAATAAATTATGGATTATTAATCATCAAAATCTTTGGTATTCATTATAATTTAAAAAACCATAAAAATCATATTAAAACTTCTTATCTTTACTCTGCATCTAATACTTTAGAATGTCCCTTGTTCTACTTTCACATTTTTTTAGATCTCATGACTAGATTTCTTACAAATATATTTAACAATAAAGGACATTCTATTTCAATTATGCGATGATATGATGACCTTGTACTAAGCAATTGCCATCTCATTAATAAAGATTTCTTTAAGGTTCATTTGAGTCTGTAGGATTCTCTTTCTGTTATTGTAAAAAATTGGTGATAAATAAAGGTTGTTCACAGTTCTAATGAATAAGGATCATTTATATTTTTGACTATTAATATTATTATTTACAAATTTTCTATTATTGTATCATGTAATTTAATTGTAAAACAGATGTTGTGAAGAGCAATACCCTTTATTTAAAACAGATTTAATTTAAATGATTTGCTTATTCTAAAGACTATTAGATTCATTATATAAATAAGGGTTTTAGCTAATTAATTTATATCTTTAGTAATAAAAATAATTCATATTAACTATTTCATTAAATGAGATTTTATTCGTTCAAACATTTTTATTTCTACCAACTCATTAAATCTGACAGTTTTCTTCTTATATTATTCCTCAATTAATCTGTCTTTGTAAGGACTAACTTACTTTAAATTCGATTTAGATCTTGCCTTTTCAAAATCTGATTTCGATCTTACAGGTCTTTAGATATCTTCTTAATTCTAAATAACTGAACTTTTTCGAAGGGTGTTTATTAAAAATTTTTTGTTATTTTCTAAATCTTCCTTTGAAAATTGTATTTTTTATGGCATTTTAATATTTATTTTCTTAAAGTTAAACTTTATTTTTTTTGTATTATTAGTAGTTGAGCCTCCTACAGGAAAATCATATTGTTTTAGATGAATTTGTTTATTTCTATCTGAAACGATATTTAATAATCCTTTTAATTTGTTATCCTCAAGAAATTTCAACTTATTTGGAGAAGGTGATTTTTCTTATAGTTGTTTGTTCGATTATGTTTTATCTACTTTCAAAGGTTCGAAACGATAAAATTCTCTGCTTGTTGCATTTGCTTTAGTGGTTGAGGATTCAAAGAATGGCTGATTATTAGTTCTGGAACTCAGTTATTACTTCACATTTATAGGAGATAGATAAGGTTCTTGAAAATATGTATTCAGGAGTGGTATTTTGAATCCCTTTAATATGTAAAGAGGTTCATCAATTTATTAATGTTTGATTGACATTGTATAGAAGTTCAAAACACAATATAAAAATTTATAATAGGTAACAAAAAGAAATTATCAATAAAGTATTATTGATCATGACATTCCAAAATAACTAGGAGTTTCAAATTCCGAATTGTCTTTCTCTTAAACCTGTATAGAAAATCTTGGATAGGGAAATGGAATTTATTAGTTATTATTGTGTTATTCCTTAAAGTCTAGAGCTTTTTAGTATTTTGAAGCTCTATTAGAGATGATATGAATTTTAAACATTAGATTAAATTTTCCTAAATTGATTTCTTTCCTATTTCATTCAAGAATGTCATTTAAACTAATCATATTAAAATAACTATCAGCAGAGTTCATATCTTAAATATAAGAGATCTAAATGACAACTAGGTTGTAAGTAATCATGATTTCTTAATCTTAGCTATTTTTATTTTGTTTTTGTTCCTGAAAATAAAATAAACCATGGTTCTTATGTAGTTATTTGCTTAATTGCGAAATTTGATTGGGATTATTTTTCATGACATTTTGGTTTTTGTTATTTTTGTTAAAATTGTAGTTTGTTAGTTGTTATTCCACAATCAAAGTTTAGAGTTTTTATTATTACATAATGGAAAATCCTATTAAGATAATAATTTTTTATGATATAATAATATTCATCATCCATGAATTATGATTATTCATTGGAAACCTATAATTCTTATTGACATTTGATAATAAATTATTAAAAATAAGTCGATTCAACATGATTATAGAGAATGCTTTGTACTGCCAAGAAATTCAACATTAAAAGAAACCACTGATAGCTATATGTTTAAATAAAGAATGCTAAGCAGCTCCTGGTTTGTGTATTAGTTGTTTTCCAACTCATGCTAGTCATAATGAAGATTTATAAACAATAGACAATGTAAGACAAAAACTTGAGGAATAAATATAAACCACGAAACTCAACTACTCTATTTGTGAAGAAGTTATACAAATAATAAATTTAATAAAAATGGAAACAACTAGAATTATCCAAAATATTTTAGGCATCTAAAAAATTTCCAATCACGAAGATATTGCAAAAGTTAAATTAATGTTAATTTACTCAAAACCTTCTAAAGAAAATAACTCTATTTCAATAAAAACATAAACGGAATTAAAAAAAGTCAAAGAAATATTAAATGATTTAAAAACAGCCCTTGAATTTTCACAATCAAATTTGACTGATGGGTAACAATAAGAATTTTAAGAGTGCTTAAAATTAGCCAATTAATTGTATGCTTAGGGTAGGTTTGAGGAAGCAAAGCAATAGTTTAATTACTGCGTATATCTTGATCCAACCAATTTATATAGTAAATGGAGAATAGGTAAAAATAGTAATAATTATGATAGGTATGTGCTTAAAGATGTAGGGAGTTTATGACCAAGCCAATGAAGTTTTTGATAAGATTCTTTATGAAAATCCAACCTTCGTAGATGCTCTTTGCCATAAAGCAGATTCTCTAAGACTCTAAGGCAAATATTAAGAAGCCTTGAGTTATTTTGATAAGACCCTATCGTTGGATGAAAAGAATTTTGTTGGCTTAAGTTACAAAGGCGAAACTTTAAGAAAACTGTAAAGATATGCTGAATCTTTGATATTTTTTGATAGGGCTTTAATAATTAATCCCAAGAATGCAATAACTCTGTTCGGAAAAGGTATGATCTAATAATTATATATGCTAGGGGATTCATTAAGATGCTTAAAAAGATATGATGAATCTCTGATTACTCTTAATTAAGGAGAGCAAATAGATCCAAACAATGCATTGATCCAATATTCTAAAGGTATTTAAAATACTTATAATTTTATAGGGTATTCTTTTAAAGCCAAAGGACAGACACAGGAAGCAATGGAGTGCTTTAAGAAATGTATTGCTATAAATCCATAGTACAAAAATTCTGTTGAAAAAGAATTAGAATAGTTGAAGAATTGAATGAAGTTAATTAGCAATATGATTTAAATTATTTATTAATCAATTCTATTTAATCCATTCTTTGAAAATTTTGAGTTAAAGAAATTTATTATCGCATTTAAATAATAATATCTAATTATGCTATATTCCTGTACTAAACATTGTCGTATTAATTATCTAATAATGCAAAGCTTTTCCCTGAGGTTGCTAAAATAATTGCATTCAAAAATTGGATATTAATAAATATAATAATTTGATATACATTACTCAATACTCATCCGGTTCCATAAGTGATTTTTGAAAGATCCAAATTAGGGTTATTTTATAATTATGTAAATAGATCTTAATTCAAGAATTCTTAAAACTATGATATCAAGAGAATGAATACCTATTTAAATTGATCAGCTGGAATAGCCTATTTTCTAATATTTTCATAGAATTTTTCGACTTTAATGGCTAATTTTAGATCGTTGAATTGAGTAGGATAATCAAAAGGATCAGCTATTTTTTAGGCTAAAGTTTATTGTTTAATTTTTACATATGATTGGATGAGTTTTAGCTAAAGATTCCTTCCATAATTTAACGATAGGACTAATTTTGGAAGGACAATAAGTTTTAGCAAAGAAGGCAGCTTCAGGAAGTCTATTACTTTTGAGAAGAACTTCAAGACATTTATCAAGATTGGCACATAAGAAATAGGCAGAGAATGCAATATTCATTTTTGTTTATTGGAAAGCTTTATCTCCCAATTGCAATAGTTGAGTTTTCAATCCTATTGAGGAATAAATTAATAGGAGTCCTCCAAAATCATCTGCTTCTTCTAAGGCTTAAGCGGCTAATTTTATTTTTCCTTATTATAAGGCAAGATCTCCAACTTATCTTAATTTGAGTGTGTCTTAGCTTTTTTAAGCTATTTGGAAAGCATCATCTACAATTGCAAGCTAAAGAGCAAGCTCAAATTTATGGTCTGTGTCCTAGACTAATTTATATGCCCATTCTTTAAGATTAAGGGTGTCTAAAAATTTAGATAATTTATCGTAGTATTATAGTGGAATTGTTTAGAGTATTTCTTCAGCCTTAGGGTACTGTTTTTTAAGAATTTAAGTTTGAAATTCAACTACATTACTATTAACTTCATAACTAATAATATTATAATTTTTGTCAATGAGATATAGTTTATTTTATTGTTGGATGTAACCAATAATGAAATACTTTTTATCCTAATCGACAATGAAGATCTTTCCATTAACAGAGTATGCTATTTTGCCATTGACAGTAGTATAATAGAAGACATCTTGGATGAAATAGCCAGAATTGATAGATTCAGTTATGTCGCATAAAGGTTAGAAGGCATCTTCGAATCCATCAGGTTCTTCCTCTTACTGTAAAAAGATTGGTAATTGCTCTGGATCATATTATAAGAAATACACTTCATCATTTGTTGCCAATGCCACAATTGTATTTGTCTCATNTATCTAATTATGCTATATTCCTGTACTAAACATTGTCGTATTAATTATCTAATAATGCAAAGCTTTTCCCTGAGGTTGCTAAAATAATTGCATTCAAAAATTGGATATTAATAAATATAATAATTTGATATACATTACTCAATACTCATCCGGTTCCATAAGTGATTTTTGAAAGATCCAAATTAGGGTTATTTTATAATTATGTAAATAGATCTTAATTCAAGAATTCTTAAAACTATGATATCAAGAGAATGAATACCTATTTAAATTGATCAGCTGGAATAGCCTATTTTCTAATATTTTCATAGAATTTTTCGACTTTAATGGCTAATTTTAGATCGTTGAATTGAGTAGGATAATCAAAAGGATCAGCTATTTTTTAGGCTAAAGTTTATTGTTTAATTTTTACATATGATTGGATGAGTTTTAGCTAAAGATTCCTTCCATAATTTAACGATAGGACTAATTTTGGAAGGACAATAAGTTTTAGCAAAGAAGGCAGCTTCAGGAAGTCTATTACTTTTGAGAAGAACTTCAAGACATTTATCAAGATTGGCACATAAGAAATAGGCAGAGAATGCAATATTCATTTTTGTTTATTGGAAAGCTTTATCTCCCAATTGCAATAGTTGAGTTTTCAATCCTATTGAGGAATAAATTAATAGGAGTCCTCCAAAATCATCTGCTTCTTCTAAGGCTTAAGCGGCTAATTTTATTTTTCCTTATTATAAGGCAAGATCTCCAACTTATCTTAATTTGAGTGTGTCTTAGCTTTTTTAAGCTATTTGGAAAGCATCATCTACAATTGCAAGCTAAAGAGCAAGCTCAAATTTATGGTCTGTGTCCTAGACTAATTTATATGCCCATTCTTTAAGATTAAGGGTGTCTAAAAATTTAGATAATTTATCGTAGTATTATAGTGGAATTGTTTAGAGTATTTCTTCAGCCTTAGGGTACTGTTTTTTAAGAATTTAAGTTTGAAATTCAACTACATTACTATTAACTTCATAACTAATAATATTATAATTTTTGTCAATGAGATATAGTTTATTTTATTGTTGGATGTAACCAATAATGAAATACTTTTTATCCTAATCGACAATGAAGATCTTTCCATTAACAGAGTATGCTATTTTGCCATTGACAGTAGTATAATAGAAGACATCTTGGATGAAATAGCCAGAATTGATAGATTCAGTTATGTCGCATAAAGGTTAGAAGGCATCTTCGAATCCATCAGGTTCTTCCTCTTACTGTAAAAAGATTGGTAATTGCTCTGGATCATATTATAAGAAATACACTTCATCATTTGTTGCCAATGCCACAATTGTATTTGTCTCATTCCAAATCACTTTATTAGGGGAGACATCAATTCTTCTGATAACTTTAGCTGTTTCCCAATCGTAAAATACAATAAAATCAGTAAATTTAGCACACAACACAGGTCCAGCAAATAATTGGTCAACCAAATACTCTGTTTTCATTTCATAACTCAAAGTATTGTTCTTAAATAGTTTGATAGAAAATATTTCCTTGACAGCATAATCCCCACTTGATGACCAAATTAAATCTGTACCAGATCCGAAACCTGAATTCTTAAAGTTCTGTGATCTATATATAGTGTATTCAGAGTCACTAAAAATTGCAAATAAATGACCATTTGGGCTATGTCTGACACCACAGGGATAGATATCACTAATTCCCAGTTCTTTTGGATTTGTCTATACAATCTAACCATCATTTGATGTATTATTAATGGCTTTGAGATTGATTGTAAAGAATTCAAAGTTTTTACCATAGACAACTTTACCTTACTGCATAGAAACAATTGGTTCATCTTAACCAAACTTGACAACTACAGTTCCTTCATCAAAACCAAAAGCTATTGTATTATCCTTCCCTATATCCGAACTCCAAACTCTTTCCATATCATAACTGAGTGATGTTTCCAGTTTGTAAGTATTAGAATGCCAGAACCTAATGACTCCGTCTTCAGCAGCTATAAAATGATATAGAATTGCAGATACTTGAAATGATCAGTGGTAAATCTGGGTGGAATTTAGCTGATGATATATTTTATTGATGTGCTTCTAAGGTATGTATGCACTATTTTGTTTAATAATCCCATATCTTAATGGATCTATCATCCCCCCCTGATATCAGATAAGGTTTATCTCCATGATGAAAATCAACACAATTTACTCCGCCTTCATGACCAGTCAGTGTGAAATTAGGTTTGCTATTCTGGATTGTCCACACCTTTACTGTATTATCCATACTAGCACTTGCAAATGTATTAGGATCTCTTGGATTATATGCAACCATCATCACATAATTTACATGATCCTCAAATATTCTTATCAATGTAAAATTATTATCAATGTCCCATAATTTTATTGTCATATCATCTGAACTAGTTATTAAATATGGCTAAGATGGATGTACAATCACACATCTAATATAATCAGTATGAGCATCAAATGCCTATCTATTAACTTCTTTTTACTTTGATCTTTTCATTTGTATTATAATTGAATACTCTCAATTGAAGATCATCACTCACCGCCACTATCCATTATTTTTTTGTTATAAACTTTGCGCATCTAACAGGTTACTATTTCTGATTTACCTCTATTTATTTTACAATAGTCTAATTATATAATTCATATACCTAATTGGAATAATCATGAATTGTTATAATTCCGCTATATAATCCTGATAATACCCATGCATATTCAGGATGTAACTCTACACTCTTAACTCTTTCTGAACGAGCAACATGTTTCTTCTTTATCTCAAAATTCAAAGACATTTAATACGTGTAAATTATTTATTTTAATATTAATTTTTCCTTATCCTACTAATGAAAATCTCTTTATCATCTAATTCAGAATAAGTGTAACAAATAAGAGTTATAAATATTTTAAATTGCATTTAAATCTATATCCTAACCTAATCTGATTGTTAAATGGCAACAGTCTACTTTGATAAAAATTTCAGTCTATAATTTTCGATTCCTTTGGATCAGATTTTTACATTTTTTAAATTTTAGTATCTCAATCTTATGTCTTCCCATAAATATTTCTATTTTTAACTCCAGCTCATAAATCCTTAATTATCTATCATTCACTTATTCTATCAATTTTAATTCATAAATTAACTAAATTTATATGCGACCATCATTATTATTATAAATAGAATAAATAAGTGTGCAAAAGAAATAATCTATGTAAAAACAAAGAACTTCTATAATATGGCTAAAATAATCAAAAAAGGAGGCATTCCAATTTTATAAGTTTTAATAACCAAATTAGTTGTTATGATTGACTTTCTATCACTATAAATTATGTATGCTCTGCTTTATCAATTATAATTTCGATAGTATCATTAATTTGGCCGTATTTTAACTAATCATCATTAATTATATATATCTTATATTATCATTCAAAAAGAGCACATACAACATCTTTACTGTAAATCTTTCTCTTTTTTATTATAGATTGATCTTACTAATCAGGAGGTAAGGCATATCTGATGAACCTCTTTTAGTACTCTCCCTCTGTACATTCTTTAAAGATGTGCTAATAGAAGTATTCTATAAGGAAATAAGAATTTTAAATACTTTTGGAAACAGATTCAGTCAATAGCATTAATTTTTCGTAATATTTGATATCCCATACTTTCTTATGTGATTCACTGAATTCTGATGAAACTTATTTCCATTTTTCTGGGATGTCTAATTTCTTAACTAAGGATTTTAGGTATTGATTTTGATTTGCATCTTCGTGTTTTTTGTGTTATTACTTAAACAATTGCTTAGATACATTGATTTCTTTTTTGATTTTTGAATCGTCGGTGTCTTGAGTTTTGGATAGTTTGATTGAATCAATGTCAATTGGTTATGGTTTTTCAACTTTGACTCTTTTTTTAATTGATTAGTCTTGTGTAGGTTATCTGTAAGCAATATTTTGAGATCTTTCAATAAAGTCCAAATTGCAGAAACTAACATCCACCCTTTGATATTTGGAACTTTAGGAAATAAGAGTGTGAATTTAATGAGATTGAAGTGCTGGTTGGGGTGTTTGTTTTTTGATGAAGGCTTTTTTGATTAGTAGGGTTGGTATTGCATGTTAGTATTATAACAAATTAATTGAGAGGTTTGCTTGATCATCATTGACTTATTCAATTATGCAGTTTAGTTAATCTACAGAGTTGTTCTCAAAGTTATATTCATATTCAAATCGATAGGACTGAACAATTAGAGTAGATTGTTAAGGATTAGGAATGTTGAGGAAATATTTGAAATCTTATTTATCTTAATAGATATTATCAAGAACATTGAGCAACTCGAACTCAGTGAGTTGATACTTTTATCCAAGGAGCTCCTTATGAAGATGTTGCTACAGTAGAGAGTAAATCATAACTCAATATTTTTTAAATTTAATTGATTGGCGCTGGCAATATATAAATTATAATTTAATATGGGATTGGTTTGTTTTAAAGAGGGTCCACAAGCAGAAATCAGTGTTGATCCCACGGAGAAAATCGATTAAGTGGAGGATAACGAGGAAGTGATTTCACAACTTCCTTCAAAGAATGAGGAAGGTGAAAAGATTTCATTAAGTCATTTCATAATGCTCAGAGTATTAACTATTCTTAATTTAAGAATTTGGGAAAGGGTACTTATGGAAAAGTGAAGTTAGTTTAACACACAGTCACATAAAAATTATACGCGATGAAAGTGTTAATCAAGAAATCAGTTAGAACATTAAAACAGAAGAGACATGTACAAACAGAGAGAAATGTTTTAGAAATGACAAATCACAATTTCATTACTAAATTACATTATGCTTTTTAGACTTAAACCAAATTATATTTGATCATGGATTTTGTTCCAGGAGGAGAGCTATTTTACCACCTGAAATTATAAGGAAGAATGAATGAGAAAAAGACGAAGTTTTACGCCGCTGAAATTTTGATAGGATTAGATTACTTACATAAACAAAATATCATATATAGAGATTTGAAACCAGAAAACATTTTATTAGATTCAGAGGGACATATTAAATTATGTGATTTTGGATTATCTAAAATATGTTCTGGGAGTGATATGTTTGCTAGAACTTGCTGTGGAACTATTGAATATATTGCACCAGAGATCGTTATTGGATAAGTGTATTCAAAATCCTGTGATTGGTGGACCTATGGAGCCTTATTGTATGATATGTTGACAGGTAAGCCACCCTTTTATAAATTAACCAAAAAATAGATCTTTGAATATGCCACACAAAAGGATATTGAGATTCCAGAGTATTTATCTGAAGAAGCTAAGGATTTGCTAAAGAAATTATTAAATAAAACTCCACATGAACGATTGGGAGGATAGAGAGATGCTCAGGAAATCTATGAGCATCCTTTTTTCAAAGATGTGGACTTCTAAAAAATTGAAAGAAAAGAGATTGCACCTCCTGTTGAAATGCAAAACGAAAGGCCTTTCAAATTTTTTGATTAAAATCTGATAAGAAAATGCAGTGTCAATGATACACCAGTTAATGATTTTGGTAAGTTCCAGGATTACTCTAATTTTACATACAATGGTGACAAATTATCTAGTGAGTATGGTTAACTATTAATAAGTCATTGAGATATATGTTTATAAATCTCTATATTACTTTGAGCATATCAAATATATATATATATATGATTATTAAATATAGGTATCATTACTTTCTAAGATTTTATTCCTTTTTCAATTCAATAAATTCACTATTAGATCTTGAATATATCACTGGGTCAGCTGCTTCTGCCATACTCTCAATAGCTGATTCATCGACTCCTCTTTTCATTCTATTAATGATAATTTGATATTGATACCTGAAACTTCCATTCTCTCCCCATTGGCTGCCCCAACTATTCTATAATAACCAGAATTTAACTCCATCTTCTTCTCCCCAACCATAACACAAAACTGAATGATCTACTTTTTCCTTTGGTTATTACAAATTTCATACCCATTCTGGACGATCTTAGGTAGACCAATCATGTTCAGCAACTGAATGATAAATTCCACTTTCATAATACATGAAATCATATGAAGGTTCGAAGTTCATAATGACTGGACCATTTGTATACAATTCCATCATAATATCTCTCTCATTACTTAATCCATAGCCTCCTCCGATATATTTATAATTCTTTGCTCCATAAACTTTTGATGATTATGAAAAATCAATCTTTTTACATGTGCCCACATCACCCTTATATGGATATTATTCTTCTGTAACCAAATATTATTCAGATGCGAATTTCTCAACCAAAAATGGATAGCCACCATCACATCCCTAATTGAAGTAATTACAATCCACTGAATATTGAGGAGATAGTGTCACCTACTCACCTTTCATCTTCAATCTAGCTGATAACATTTCCATGGTTGATATAGCATAGCAAGATCCACATTACTTTTATTGTCTAGGAGGATCAAGGTATTATTCTAAACTGAATTGCTTCGGTAATCCAGAGACATCACCACTTTTTATTTGTGTAAAAGATGCCTTCTTAATAGATTTACCCTAGAAGTGCTTTCTTCTGCCTGCCATCTTATTTAATTCCATCATAGACATTCCTTCAAAATGGTCATATGCCTTGGCCTTCCATGTCTTAGGAATACTGTTCAATTTATCCACTGCCTCCTTGTGATTGTCGAAATTCTTATGTAATTTCACCCTGTCTCCATGTCTTGTACTTTTTTGAATGAATTCCGGCTAAACCACACTTATGAGTTAATAGGAATCTGTGGCTTCGTTGTCTCCATCTGTCTTCTTTGCTCTATAACAACCCTTCTCTCCAGTCTTTAAATTATTATACCAACCAATCAAAGTCTCACCACAATAAGATTTGTAATCAGATCCATTTGGAGCATATTTAGAGAATGCAAAATATTTAACTCCATTGTGTTCTACTTCGAATCCTTCATCATAAACCATTGTCCATTATCCACTTGTCTTTCTGTCCTTATCTTGGACACTGTAGTCATTGCTCAAATTGACTTCAAAAGTATCAGCTGCTTTAAAGTCATCAAAGCCAGCTTAATAGGATGATTGTTATGAATCTGGAACATGATGTCCGCATGGAACAGCACCCATTCCTTTGAGTTTTGTTTAGCTCACTTCCATCTTCCACTTTCCAGTGATCTGATGTTTCATACAATGAACAGGAAGGTCTGCTTAAACTAGACCTATTGTGAGTATACACAACAAAATAAGTTTATTCATCAAATTATATAAAAACGATTAGTTTTTTTTTTCGTTATTTATTTTTCTTATACTATCAGTAATTGCATTTTTCAACCATTTAAATCCGATTAATGGATTCGGTTTTACTTTGTGATAAAATTATCATTAATAGATATATTATATAATTTATAATAATGATCGAAGAATTTCACAAAAGACTTCATGAAAATATTGATCTATCTCCATTATTGGAAGCACTCAATCAAATACCATAATTACCAGCAATTGATTACCATCCATAATTAAATGATGATGAAATTTAATTATTAACAAAAATCCTAGATCTTCAAGAATAGATTAGATAAGATAAATTGTCATCTAAGTTGATTGTTGAATTCAAATAATTGATCGATCAAATTACTCTCAAAGAATCTATGTTTTATTTAAGCTGCATTGAACAATTCGAGAAACACGTCAAAAATTTAGATTATCATTCCTAACATGAGATTTCCAATTGGTCCTTATAACATCTATCAATCTAAAAAGTTTAATGGATTTTAAGCAATTGCATTTTATTGCCAGAATTGAATTCTACAATGATTCAAAAATTCCGATAGTTAATTCTCAATCAACTAGACTTAATTCAACCAGAAGAATCAGCTTTGGATTAAGTTCTATTTCAATCTAGTAATATCCAAGTATTTGTTTCAGATGGTCATCTAATTCTTAAATCTAATTATCACATCAATAGACAGAGTGAAATGATTAATATTCTCGTTGGATTTCTTACATATTTTGATTACATCAATATTGATATCTAAGACTTCTTAATAAAAACAATATCTTAAAAATACAGGTAGCATTTTATAGCTTTATAGAACCCAGTTTTTGATGAAGTGAAGATGATGGAGAAATATGGAAAATAAATAAAATAATGTTTAGAATAGGCGAATCTGTCAGAAATAATTGACAAATAATATCAATTTACACAATTGGATAAGTTGAAGTAGAACTTAATAAAATTTAAAAACTAATATGTAGAAGCTATTGAGAAATTACAATTCAAATAATAAAAATAATAAAATTGGAATTTGGGGTTTTTCAAATCCAAAATAGAAACCACCTAGAAAATACCAAATTAAATATTTGATTAATTGCAAACAGATTGGAAAACCTTAGACACCTTCTTGAAAAACAACACAGATAAAAATGAATAAATATATCAACTTATTTTTGATCACATCAGATTATTGGATGTATGTTTGGATTACAAAGAAGTGCAGCATAATTTTTAATCTCTAAACTTTTATGTCACAATTTATACCTAAATTGACTAACAATTGATTAAGTTGTTGCATAATTGGAAAAACGAATTGTTAATAGATTACATTTATAACATTAAAATAAAATTAAGACATTATTCATTTTAAGCTAGCGAATTTATTGATATTTGATTATATATATTAAATAGTAATAAAGTAATTAAAACAAATAATTATAAGATTATAAAATCTATTTTACATCCTACCATATTACGACTTTAATATTCCATTCCTTTAAGCTTTTATGATCTCTCTTTTAGTTATAGAAATACATTAATATAATCATGTCGAAAATAGCGTTTATTAAATATGTATTTAATAGGAAATTCAAAAAATCATTTAAACTCTTAAATTATGTTTCTATATATTTGATAATACCATTTAATAGAGCTGTGTAACATCACAATTTCTATTTTTATGTTTTAGAGTCATTAATAGAAATCAAGGGACAATCTGAGATGTGTGATGTTTGATATCATTCAATATGACAGCCATGTTGTGATATTAATATATAATAATATGAGCATAAACATAACAACCAAATCATTATTTTTGTGGATGCATGGTTCTTTTTCTGAAATTAGGGCATTTAACCTATGAAATGGTAAAATTTGGGTTGTGTAATAAAGATTTCAGAGTGTTCAAATTTTATTACCGCTCAGTAGCATCTTTAGAAGTTTAAGGGATTTGAGTTATTTCTGATGAGAGCTGGGAAATAATAATTTCGTATACTTTGATAATTTATTGAGATAGTGTAAGATTCTTTTTTTGAATGGAACAGCCCATAATTCTAGGATGAATTGTGTAAGTATAAGTTTTGATAAATTTATATTTAATATTTAACCAAAAATGATATATAATTGTTTATTTATACTGATATTACCATGAATTATGAATTAAAATGATTTATTTTATGTAAAACCAAGTGAAAGCTATTTTTAGACTGAAATTTCAAAGAATCTATTCTAGATCAGAATACTCATGAATCACAATAAAATTAATAAATTAATTGATTTTAATTAAAAAAAAGGGTTGTCAACACGAGGACTTCCCAAGCGGTCCCCCACCTTAGTACTAACCTCGCCTTAAGCCGCTTAACTTCGGAGTTCGAATGGGATCCGGTGCTTTAGGCTTAGTATGGCCGACAACGATATTTAAAGCACTACTTCACTTATAAATCCCTTGTTTAAATAATAAAATTGTGTGATTATTGAAATACATTATACAAATATTAATGTATAATAATAATAAAAGAAATTAATGAGCAAAAAATTTGAATGTGTACGAGTGGTAATTCGATGTCGTCCGTTAAATGATACTGAAAAGAAGGATGGACATGTTTGTATAGTGAATATGGACACTAAAAATGGATAGGTGACAGTGAGAAATCCAAAAGTAGCAGATGAAGTGCCGAAACAATTCACATTTGATTAAATCTTTGATACCTAATCTCTATAGGAGAATGTGTATAATCAGACTGCTCATCCCATAGTTGAGAGCGTATTGGAAGGATATAATGGAACAATATTCGCCTATGGTTAAACAGGTACGGGAAAGACTCACACAATGGAAGGTAAGGATGATCCTCCTACTTTAAGGGGAATAATCCCTAGAACATTTGATCATATATTTCAGAGAATAGAGAACATGGCTAAGAACAAATAGTTTTTGGTGAAGGTTTCATTTTTGGAACTCTACAATGAGGAGATTAGGGATTTGCTCTCCAAAAATATAAAAAATAAATTGGAGATACGTGAGAATCCAGACACGGGAATATATATTAAGGATCTAAGTAAATTCATGATAGAGAATCCTTAGGAAATGAGAGAGAAATTATTACATGGAAGAGAGAACAGAGCAGTCGGTGCTACAGCTATGAATCAGGACTCATCTCGTTCACATTCATTGTTCTAGATAACAGTAGAGACGAATGAAATTGTGTAAGGACAGAGTCATGTGACTGTAGGCAAATTGAATCTAGTCGATCTAGCAGGTAGTGAAAGGTAGAGTAAGACTCATGCCACTGGAGATAGATTGAAGGAAGCCATCAATATCAACTAGTCTTTAACAACCTTAGGTAATGTGATCAGTGCATTGGTCGATAATAAATCACAGCATATACCATACAGAGACTCAAAGTTAACTAGATTGTTGTAAGATTCTTTGGGAGGTAATACAAAGACAGTAATGATTGCTAATATTGGTCCAGCTGATTATAATTTCGATGAAACCCTATCTACTTTGAGATATGCAAACAGAGCTAAGTAAATTAAGAATGAACCTAAGATTAACGAGGATCCAAAGGATGCTTAGATTAGATAATTTTAAGAGGAAATTTTAAAGTATAGACATTACTAATAAATTTAAGATTGAAATAATAATTGGAGTTATCAATTGAAGGTGGGGGAAGTGTGATGAGTCCAGGATANCAACACGAGGACTTCCCAAGCGGTCCCCCACCTTAGTACTAACCTCGCCTTAAGCCGCTTAACTTCGGAGTTCGAATGGGATCCGGTGCTTTAGGCTTAGTATGGCCGACAACGATATTCTAAGCACTACTTCACTTATAAATCCCTTGTTTAAATAATAAAATTGTGTGATTATTGAAATACATTATACAAATATTAATGTATAATAATAATAAAAGAAATTAATGAGCAAAAAATTTGAATGTGTACGAGTGGTAATTCGATGTCGTCCGTTAAATGATACTGAAAAGAAGGATGGACATGTTTGTATAGTGAATATGGACACTAAAAATGGATAGGTGACAGTGAGAAATCCAAAAGTAGCAGATGAAGTGCCGAAACAATTCACATTTGATTAAATCTTTGATACCTAATCTCTATAGGAGAATGTGTATAATCAGACTGCTCATCCCATAGTTGAGAGCGTATTGGAAGGATATAATGGAACAATATTCGCCTATGGTTAAACAGGTACGGGAAAGACTCACACAATGGAAGGTAAGGATGATCCTCCTACTTTAAGGGGAATAATCCCTAGAACATTTGATCATATATTTCAGAGAATAGAGAACATGGCTAAGAACAAATAGTTTTTGGTGAAGGTTTCATTTTTGGAACTCTACAATGAGGAGATTAGGGATTTGCTCTCCAAAAATATAAAAAATAAATTGGAGATACGTGAGAATCCAGACACGGGAATATATATTAAGGATCTAAGTAAATTCATGATAGAGAATCCTTAGGAAATGAGAGAGAAATTATTACATGGAAGAGAGAACAGAGCAGTCGGTGCTACAGCTATGAATCAGGACTCATCTCGTTCACATTCATTGTTCTAGATAACAGTAGAGACGAATGAAATTGTGTAAGGACAGAGTCATGTGACTGTAGGCAAATTGAATCTAGTCGATCTAGCAGGTAGTGAAAGGTAGAGTAAGACTCATGCCACTGGAGATAGATTGAAGGAAGCCATCAATATCAACTAGTCTTTAACAACCTTAGGTAATGTGATCAGTGCATTGGTCGATAATAAATCACAGCATATACCATACAGAGACTCAAAGTTAACTAGATTGTTGTAAGATTCTTTGGGAGGTAATACAAAGACAGTAATGATTGCTAATATTGGTCCAGCTGATTATAATTTCGATGAAACCCTATCTACTTTGAGATATGCAAACAGAGCTAAGTAAATTAAGAATGAACCTAAGATTAACGAGGATCCAAAGGATGCTTAGATTAGATAATTTTAAGAGGAAATTTTAAAGTATAGACATTACTAATAAATTTAAGATTGAAATAATAATTGGAGTTATCAATTGAAGGTGGGGGAAGTGTGATGAGTCCAGGATAGGAGGTGTTGGTATAGAAGGTAGTGAAGGTGAAAAATGTGGACAAGATCAAAGAGGCTGAGAATATAATTGAGAGAGAGAAGGAAGAATTGAAAAAGAAGATAGAGGAGGAGAGAAGGAAGATTGATCAATAAAAGAATTTGGGTGAAGAAGAGAAAATGAAGTTATTGAAAGTATATATAAATTAGATTCTAATTAGTAATTACAAGAGAAGGAAGAGTAGGCCAATAATGCAAGGGAGACACAATAAAAACTTATTAAGACTATTTAGAAGATGGAACAAAAGTTAGTTAATGGTCATACTGAGGTAGAGGAAGCAAGAAGAAAGGAGAAAGAATTAGAGGAGGCAAGGAAGTTGATTGAAAAAGAGAAAGCTGAGGCTGCCAAGAGGGCTCTAGAGTTGTAGAAGAAGGAGGAATTCAATTTAGAATTACAAACAAAGTACAACTCAATAAAGGAAGAATTGGAAGATAAAACTAGAAGAATTAAGACACTTTAATAAAAGACAAGATAATTGGAATTTGAAAATAAAGAGACCGATGAGTTCATGGCTAAAGAGATTGAAGACTTGCAAATAAGAAAAAGGGAAATTCTATAGGAAGTGAAATTGAAATAGTTTATTTTGGATTATTTCATACCTCCTAAGTTTTTGGAAACCATGTAGATGCTAGCCCTATATAATGAAGCTGCTGAAGCATGGACAATACAAGGCTTGGATTACTCTGGGAAGTTGACAAAAACCTAAATCTAGTAGGCAATCTAAGAATAATAGCAAATGAATGTGAGTGATCAAATTAATAGCGAAGAGAAATTATAAGAATTATTGAATCATCCTAATGTATATTTCGCTTACACAGAAGAAGGATTAATAAGAGAAGAGCAATTGGCACCACAAGAGAAGAAGAAGGTTCAAAAGAGATTACAATCTGCCAAGAAACCATAATCAGCCAAAAAGAGACCATCATCTAAGAGAATTGAATCTGCCAAAAAGAGTGTCAATTTACAAGAATAGAACTATCCAAAAGCTAAGGGACTTACATCTAAATGAGGGACATATAAATATTATAATATAATTTATGTAATCATAAGAAAAAAATCGAGTTTATTATGGAAGGTTTGTTTAGAAAGAGAAACTGAGTGCAGGTATTAAATTATGATTTAAAAAGGCTCCTTTGGAGTTGTTTATATATGCTAAGATAAAGTTTCAAGAGAATATGTTGCAATCAAGGTAGAAAAGGAAAACAGCAATATGTTGAGTTTGGAACGCGAAATACAAATAATTGAAGAATTGAGAGGCATCCAAGGTAGACTATCTAAATTATATGTAGGCATTCCGAAACTCTATTGGTATGGTAATGAATACAACTCAAATTGTATGGCCATGTAATTGTTGGGTAGAGATCTTTCTCATTACTTAAAACGATATAGAAAGTTCTCTATGAAATGTGTATGCAATTTGGCAGAACAATTGCTCTACATCATTGAGGAAGTTCATTAAAGGTAATCAATTCTCTTGAAATTTAAGAGGTGTGATCCATAGAGACATCAAACCAGAAAACATCCTTATGGGAAGAGGCGTTGAAACTAATATAGTTTATTTAGTTGATTTTGGCATTTCTAAGAAATACAAAGTTAATGGACAGCATATGTAATTATCTTCCATAAATGTTTAGTCCATTTTAAGAGCAGAAACCATTTATGGGCACTACTAGATATGCAAGTATTCCTGCACACAAGGGATACGAGTTATCAAGACGTGATGATTTGGAAAGTTTGGGATATGTTTTTATTTATCTCTTAAAAGGTAGTGTCTTTCATAATTGTAGGTAATTTACCATGGTAAAATATTACTTCGTCTTCTGACAAAGAAAAAACGAGATTGGTTGGCAAACTCAAAATGGAACTTGAGACCAAGGATTTATGTAAAGGATTGCCAATTGAAATTTAAAGATATATGGACTATGTTTAAAAACTGAAATTCCCTTCAACTCCAGATTATAAATATTTGTTGAGTCTGTTTTAGAAGATTGCTTAACAACAAGGATTTTAATTGGATAAGAAATTTGATTGGAATGATCAATTTACTACTTCTACTAAGTCTTCGGATGGATAATAGCCAAGATTATCTGGCAAGGAATTTGAATTTGGCTAAGATGATATCTTAAAAGTATCAGAGAAACCTGAAAAAAAGAATAAATAAATATGTGAATCCAATCTTAGTTAGCAATCCTCTGTCATGCTAAATTATGTGCCATCGGTCATTTAATAGATAGGTGGACGATTTGGATAAAAATCTACTGGGTAATCTATTTTTTTATTGAGTTAAGTCGTTCAAGATAAAATTCGAGGTAAAGTTCTTTTTCAAGAGAATCCTCTTTACTGAAATAGTAGACTGGATAAACTAAAAAAAAGGAGGGCCAGATTCATAAGGGAGGATAATTTCAAGATTTTGAGGATTTAGAAATATAAAAAATACCAAAATAAAAATAAAGTGTATAATTCGATGATTTTGGAGATGATGATATAAATGATGAGGAGAATCTAGAAAACAAATTGAAATAATTTGAACAAATTCAAGTACATTTCAAAGAGCATCTTTCCAAGTCTTGAGAAGCATCCAATCTATACCTTTTCTAATGATTTGTATTAGAATATATATACTCTTTTCCTTATTATTATAGCAATTTATAAACAAAGTTAATTTACAATAATATTCCTTATGTGTCACTCATAGGGATCATCATATGTTTTCAAATTTGAATGATAATACGAGATCTATGGAATATTCAAAAATATAAATTGAACACCTAACTTAATAATTTCTGTAAATACTGTTATCAATCTGAATTGTTTATTCTATGAGACATTTTGTACAAAACTAGAATAGATTAGATTTAGGATAATCCTACAATCCTTTTATAGATATGATGTATTGATTATTTGATTCAAAAGATTTTAAGTGATAACGTTGATTCTTATCCATACTTTTGAATATTTCGTATAAAAAGTTTAAAAAGCAAGATTTGATGGTGAAGATATCATCAAATTTGATGTTTGTGAGTTTAATCTTATAATTAATACTTCTAAAATAATTGACTAATTTTTCTATTATTCTGTGAGGAGAGATATTTCTCTGATTTTCAAATTTGTAATGTTCAATTAATAGGCTTTGCTTATGCGAGATTAATAATTTGATTGCTAAATGAATTTGATTACGTTCTACAATAGTCTTTAAATATTTGCATGTTTGTCTAATGTGGTTAACAAAATATTTCGAGTAAATTTGGTGTTATAGTTTGAATTATTGTTACATTTATCGAATATCCTTGTCCTCAGATTATAAAACTATGGTAAAGGTGGGTTGTCCCATATAACAGCCTGAAAGCAACAATGATATTTATTTCTTTTTAAATACTATTTTTAGTTCTTACACGAAAGGTTAAAATTGTTAGGGATTACAAGAAATTATTGTAAAGTAAATATGTTCTTATAAGGTTCTTTTTCCGTACTTGGCTTCCTTTAAGAATGAATGAACTACATTTGTATCTTCGAATGGAAATCCCAATTTATTTATCATTTTCAGTTAATAAGAAAATGTATCAAAGTCAAAATTGAACACCAGAAATGGTTTAGTCAGTATCGATGGTAACATAATCTCTAAAATAATCATTTAGTTTCTTACCCCATGTATTATCTTTTAATGTCATCAAAAATGAAGCCCTCTAAAATTTCTCTGATTAGTATAAGATGAAGTTGAACCCAAAAGTAGACAAAATTGCAATAACTAACTGAATATAGATGATTTTTGTATTCAATCCAGTGACAGACAATCTTATTACTAGCATAGAAAAGTTGGACGCTACCGCATAATTAAAAGTTTGAGAAAAAATGATGATTGTATGCACAAGCATTGTATTGCATCCATAAAGGTAATAATTGAATCGATCATATGCATCATCTTGCTCAAACTCAAATAAAGCTATCAACAAATTCACAAAGAAGAGTCCGATATTAACTTTATCATTGTTTCTTTTGACCATTATCAAAATACCAATAAGCAAAACAACTTCAACCACTCTAACAACAATTTTAGTAACATCCTACTCAATTATTTAAATTATCAAAGAAACCATAAAGTATAGAATTGATGAATATGCACAAAAATTAAAAGTAGGTATTTAAACACTATCTGCAGATTATTATCGATATTTTTTTTCTATTGTCTCATCTTTAAATTATAGAGTATACTTATTCATTTATAATTAATTCTTAATACTTGAAATTAGTGAATATTTATGACATCATTATATATATATGAAATTTAACCAGCTCTAACTTAACATATTTAAATAATCATTTTTATTTCCAAGCTTTGAGTAAGTGATCATATTCAGGATACCCTTCAATTAATTTTATCGCCTCCTCTTTTAAACCGTCTTTCACCAATTATTAAGTGAAATCAACAATATATTAAGTTAATTTTTAGTTATACAATCTGGTTTACTAGTTTATAATGTAACAAATTTATTACGATCTTTTCGAATTCAATTATCCCATTTTATTTATTTATTTCGTATCTTAGTTTACATTTATAATATTATAATTCTAGAACATCTTGAAATTCCTTATCAAGTTCAGTAATCAACACATTATAAAAGTCATTCTTATGCTCGCTTTTCAATATCAAAGATTTTTGGGCTATAATATTCATTAATAAACTGGATTTTTCATTTTAATACACCTTAAATGCCTCTTAAAGATGAAACTCCTGCTTCTAGTAATTTTTGTTATCATAAAATAAATGACTCATCATTACATGATAATATACTGTAAGTTCGCTGTCAATATTACCATACTATTATAAGCCTTTATTGATTGTGTCATATAAATTCTGATCAAATTTTTAATTAAATTGCGTAATCATCAACTCAATTGCTGTTTTCAAATATAATTAAAAATTATTTTCATTCATCTCTCCAATTATTTCAAGAGCTTCCTTATGTAAATTTATAGCCTGCTGATTATCTACTTGTAAATATGTATTAGCCAACTTATTCAAATATTATATGTATTTCTCTGATTATTTTCCAAGCAACTACTCGAATATCTATCAAATTAAACAGTCATTCATTACTTGTAGTCCCTATTTGATGTGTTCTCTTGCTTACTCCAACGAGCCCATATCTTCAATCACTATTATCATACTCTCCAGGATCTAATCTATTCTTCTGATAATGTAGGCATTCTTATCTTGGGACAAATCAATAAACTATTGAAGTCCCTTTTTGAAAGGATCGAAGGATTCCTGCATTTTGCACTCTCTCAACAATAGTAATGCCTCTTTTTCATAGTAATCTCCTAAGTCATGCTAATACAATTAATTAGATGATTTATTTGATTCAATTAGTTGCTTGTATTGATTCATTATTTCTCTAATCTCTCCCAATTTCTCTTTCATTATACCATTGTCTAATGCTATTTGTATGATTCCAATTTTGGCTTCGTTTTCCTTGATGCTTTTCAATGATTGTTTCAAATCTTAAAATTGCTAAGAAGTGATGGGTTGATCGACCAAGGAATCAAAGTATTATTTATTTTGTAGGTAATAGGTTGTTTGACTTATTCTTTGAGGGAGTGTGTAATGAAACCTATATAAACAACGAAATAACATTTTAATTTATTTATCATCATAAAATAAATAAAACTTATAAATTAAGAATCTCAGAATTACTAATTCAACAGATTATATTGATCATTTGAAATATTATCAAAAGTATAGAGTTAATTAAACGAAGAATGCACTTCTTTGAAGATCCAAAAATGAGCTATAAATTAATAATTAAAATTACAATTTAACACTTAAATGTGCTTTTCAAAAAGTATTCGTTAACAATATAAAAATTAATGATCCGCGGGTAACTTCTCAATACCTGAAAGCGATAGTTAAGGAGCCTACGCTTCCTAATTTTAATCAATGATAAAGGATATTTCTGATGTTCGATTTGATTATCTAATAATTGATATTATAAAGTAATATAGTTCTGGTTTGTAAGTATGTATCACATAATCCTATTTTGAGATGAAATATATTTTATATTTGTAATTAGAGTGAAAGATTTGATAAAATTTTTGAAATAACGAGGACATATTAATTCTGGTTAGTTTTGTAAGTTTTAATGATTGCAAAATTCTGAATTCAAGGACAGATATTGATACTTCACTCATCATTTACATTTTACATTTCTTTAGTCTTTTATGTAATAATTTGGCAAGTTTTTTCAGTTGATTATTATACTTTTAAGTGATTTCCTTTAAATGATTCTAGTATCTAAATTTTAAATCAATAAATGCTTAATCCACAGCTTCAATCACAATCATAAATCTAATCGTATCAGCACAATAGATCAATAATTTTATTTTCATCCTACTTTTCTTATAATAGATCTCCAATTTCTCACATTCTATCTTATTAATTAACGTATTGAACTTCTCATATTTTTGAAACAAGTATTTTTAAAGAGTCAATTTATCATATTTGCATTCCTTTAGAAAATCACCAACTGAATCAAAGCACATCTCTTGACTATCTGTCAAAGACTTATTGATTGCAATTTATTAAAAGGAGAAAGCCTCTTTATCAAATTTGAAAATCAGAAAAGGCTTGCATATTACGAATGGCAATATTTTTTCTAATAATGATTTATTTAATTTATACCCCAAGTTGTGTCCTTCGTTTAATATAAATAGGACCTTCTTTATGACAATTCTGATTAATATAATAATCCCGAAACTCCAAAAGTAATCAAGATCGTGTATAGATACTATTGAAAAGTTAAATAATCTTCGTTAACATATGTTATTACTGCTCTTGCTACTGCCAAAACTACATTAGCACCCAAACCAACTAAAAAATCTGAACCTAAGAATAGAATTGCATGTGCAAGCATCTAATTACATCCAAACAAATATCCTTGATAATAAGTATTATTCTGATTTGTCTCAGTTTCAAGTGATACAAGTAAAAAGTTGATTAATAGCAAGGTTAAATTGGGAAATTTCTTGAAATGTTTAAAAAATATGCAAAGCAGTATTACTATAAAGAGTATAACTACTTTATGTATCAAATACACATAGTCATGGATCACTAATTAATATATTAGTTTGCTGCCCACAATTATTATTGATAACACGTATGTGTAGATAAGAATTGGACATTGCCATATATTGAATTTATGTAATTGATAAGAATTCTCTAGAGTGCTTTCCTCAAATTTCAATGTATAAATATTCATATATTTATATATCAAATAGTTAGTGCTTTATTCAAAGATAATTAATTCTAAATTAAATATGTTTTCTATTTGATGACGGATTATCTGGAACTTAATAATCAGATTAAATCAGATGTGGTGATTCATTAATTAAAGATTTTCAACCAAAATGAGTTAAAATTTGGATCAAACTAATCCACAAATTACACCACTAGAAACTGAAGAGAAACAGAAGTCAAAATATTGCTCATTAAATTTGTAAAATTAGAGCTTATTGTACAAACATATTTATAATGAACATAAATTCAAAAAATTCATCTTTGCCTTCTTTGTTTTAGTGATTGTTCTAAATTTTTTTTGCAATTTATCTTTATTTATTGCAAATTTTCAAACACAAGAAGTAATAGAAGAATATTATTATTTACCTTTCCACCAATTGGATTTTTGGGGAGCATTTTTTTTTGCCTTGAGTGAAGGCTGTGTACTCATATTAACAGGTATAGTGACATTGGATTCATACAAGATATATTTAATAATAATTAATATAGGAGGGACATTAGTAGCATTGATTCTATTTTTGTTCAACCCTGAGTTCTTTGAGCCTGCCTCTCATTGGATAGAATACAGTGTTTAATTACTCTTAACGTTAACAGATTTTCTATTTATTTTCCAATAAGATAAGACATCGCTGATGTACAAATATAGATACTCGGAATCTTTCATAATTGTAGTAACATTCATCATGTCCTTAATTAAATTGCTAATCTATGGAGATATCATCCCAACTGATGACGATGGAGAAAGGTAAGCCCATTATTTGGAGTATAGTGGGGAAATGATTAATGATTGCTTTGCCATCTTCTTCATCGTGATCCAACTCAATAAAGAGAATACGAACATCTTGCAAACGATGTAAATGTAACTTGATAAGTTGTTAGAATTAAGTGGAATCACTTTAAGAGAGTGATTGTTATATTTATTTCCTTCATTAATAGAAAATATTTTATCTTATTATTTAATTCATATTTCTATTTTTAATGCCTTTAATATATTTGTGCAACTATTCTTAACAGCTCCAAATGACACTACATATCTTCCTATTCCTTCCTCGCCCATATCAGTTGGATCAATTTTGTGATCTTAAATAATAGAATTACAATAATACTATTTTTAGTACAAATTGCAGGATCTGTCAAACAAGTACCAACTCCTTGAATATCACAAATCAAATATTGATAATCACTTTTGAAGTATGTATAATAAGAAAAGCATTGAGCTAATTTATTAATATCATCTGTTGAACTATTCACAAAACCCCAATTGTTATTATATTTAATAAAATTACCTTCAAAGAATCTTTCAGCCAACCAAAATTTTTCTATTATAATAAATAAATGTACTGTTTGCATCTTGGAGCAGGAGAATATCTGAGTAACTGATTTGTGGATATTGCTATTTTGTCGATGAGGCTACTTCATCCAAATCCTTGTAATATTTTCTCAACCACTTCTAACTCACTAAATGCAGTATGCACTCTTTAATAGCACTTTCTTTATTTGGATAGGGTTGCATATTCAGAGGAGTCTTACATACGTAGAATTCATTCTTAGAACCCATATTTTTAGATTTAATCATCAAAAAGGCTGCTTTCATTGCTCCTTTTGCAAATGCATTTTTTGATCTCAAGCAATCCCAGTCATTTTCCTCAATCAATGAGAAATCATTAACTCCAATATTCTAAATAGCTTTCATTTTCTCTTAGAAAGATTCTTCTTTCATCTAAAGTCTAAAGACCTTAAAGGTCTCTCTTACTGCATTGTCTGCATTTAGGCCCTGCTTGAGATCGACTTTGCAAAGGGCTTCAACTGGACTAGCAGGGGAATTTTTGCTTTCTTCATTTTTTAAAATAGCATTTGCTTGGTTAAAGGTTCTTGTAGTTTTCACGTTTGTTTATGTCGCTTATGAAGATGCAAAGGTTAAGACTTCGGTTAATTTTTCATATTATAAGTCTTACGAAATATTACTTAAATCTGATAATATAAAATATTCTTCTTTTCCGTGTCTCTGATATATTTTCATAATTTCCTCATACATCTTGATTGTATGTTTGGTGAATATAATTCCTATAAAGAATATTTCCTACTAAATCATTCTTTCAATAGTTGGAGTGAAATCAGCGTCTGGTTAGTAATCCCCATTTCTACCATAATTATGGAATTTAGTTCCATGACATGGGCAATCACAAATTAAAATAGCTAGCCTAAATCTAGTTTACCAGGGTATATTATCCAACATTTATTTCATACCTCCTTCTACATCTTCTGGCAAATCTCTATTAGCAGTACATTAGACTTATTCAATAAACCTTTCTAATTCTTCTGATTCTTTTGTGAACCCAAACTATTTATACTTACCTCCCAACCTTGGTAAGATGTCTGTATCGACGTAACATACAGTAGACCAACTTGTGTCTCTCTATGTTAATACTTTGATTGCCTTCACACTTCCTTTAACACAAAGTTAAGCTTATCTCTTGTAAGGCTCCATTGATCTAAAAATAAATTGAAATTAGTTACGCTGTTGAATCTATTAAAAAGCAAACTTCAAGTTAACCAAAGTTCTCTTTAAACTTCATTTGCAATTCCTTTCCTTGCTTTATTTTAAGTTGTCTTTGAGCTTCTTCATATTCTTTTTATTATTTTTTATTGTTGCCCAACGCTATTTTTGATTGTGTAATATTATCTTGCTTTTTCCTTATTTCTAAATCATACATCTAATCTTTATGTTCAACTTCTTATTTTAGTTCGTTTATCTACTATCTATTACCAGGATTTCTAAAGACTGACAAGGCTTTCTCTTCTAATTAGGAAATTTGTTAACTCTTCAGACGAATTCTATCATCATTGAGTTTAATCTATTCTTTCATGGAATCAACCTATTAAATCAAGGTTTTGAGTTTTTTCTCTTCTTATTTTAAATCGAAGCTCAACTGATTGATATTTTGATCTCTCATTTGTATTTGAGACTCATACTAATCAATTTCTTCTTGAATTACTTTGGATTCTTAATCAACCTGCTTTTTATATCGTTCTTTGCTTTCAATAATTTCTTATAATCTCAATATTTAATGTTCTTTATTTTAGTTACTTAATTAGCTTTCTTGTTGTAATTCTAATTCGTCTTTCAATTTTCGATTCTATTCGTATAATTAATCAAGCCTTTATTATATTTATTTGCTAGAGTCAGAATTTGTGCTTCTGACTGTTTCTCTAAATTCTTAAGTCAACTGATTGATCCTTTAAACTTCCATACCCAGTTACGTTTACAATTCATTCCTCTCCATTTATATCTCATCAAATTGAACTTTTAATTCTGACTGTTGAGAATTTAAAGTCTATTATTAATTTTCTAGTTATTGAGTTAGTGTTTTCCTCTTTGCTTCCTCTGCATCAATCTCTTTTTTGAGATTTTGTATTCTCCCTAAAACTTACTATCTCTATTGGTTCAAGCTACTAGTTTTTAGATTCATATCTTCTATGTATCTTAAAAGTTCTTCAGATTTCCTTTCTAATTGGTCTAAGTGATCCTTCTTCAATTCTAGAATAAGATACTATTATTTTAATTACTTAATTCATTATTTTACACATTTTGAACTGGTTAGAACTCCAATAGAGGTTATTACTCTAAACAAATATTTTAATAGAATTATACATATGTGAATTTGAGCTTAATTTTGATGTTGTAATTATGGATTCACCATTGACTTTGTCTGTGGGGGTTATGGGAATTGTGGATTGTTCAAATTGGACTAAACGTTTTGGATTGAAGCTTGTTGAACTACCTATTAAATTTGAGGAATCGGGAAATTTACGGGATTCTGCTAAATCTATTATGAAAGTTTACCAAATTCTAACCAATTTTATTAAGTTAAGAGGCTTGGTTTTAGGAAATCTAAAAGTTAGTGGGTATTGTCTAGCCTTGTTGTGTTGCACTCTATGAATTTTAAGTTGGAATTTATCCAGTCTTAATAAAATTTGATTAGGTCGAAGGGAATTGCTAGGTTTAAACTTCATTAGCTTTCTAGCTGCTCGGAGTCTACTATTATCCTTGAGATTATGAGGATGAATTTTGATTAAACATATAAAATGAATTATATATAATTTAGAATCAAAGTTAGGTTTCATGTATTCATATTATATATAAATATATAGAATAATCTGATGAAATATTATAACTAGGTAAGGAGTGATATTAATAAATAACAAAATACAAACTACAATGATACAATGATACAGTAAGAGTTTAAAAGTGTTGATGTTAAGGATGTTCTTTACTATATGGAGTATTTTTATGAGAGAGATATGTGAATGCAATTGTAAAAATTGGATGGAATAATTATTTGTAATAATCGAATAGTTATCTAATTTGATCAGCCTTTAGAATCATATAAAAAGAAAACAAAGCCAAACTTGACTCATAAGATTTATGTTCTCAATTTACCTATAGGTTCTCTATAATAATAAGTTAATGCAGAAGATTAGGAAAGAATTTTGGACATGATTTTTCAAAACCAATTATTTGGATGTATGAAATAGTAAGTTCAACAGAAATTAAATTGTATATTAATGAGAAAGTTTGTAAGTGGATCTGCAGAATTTATATAATTAAAATGGAGTTTAGTTTAGGGAAAACCTTTATGCATTTATTTTAAATAGATCAGGGCTATGAAAGTAATGCAAAAAAATTTGATAACATCTCAAATAATACTAGGAATCCAGTTCAATTTGAAAAATATAAGGGTAGAGAGAAGGTTGTGCAAAGTAGTTGTAGGAATAGAAACAATGAGATGATAATGAGTGGAGATGGATTGGATTATTCTTAAGGGTGTTGAATAAAGTTGATTTTATTATTAAGATTATAAAATGGAAAGAGAAGAAAGGTTCTTGGAGATTTGCAAAGGGATTCGAAGTTTGGATGGGGAGAGTGTGAATTCAACGATTGAATTCATAGAGACTCCATGTGCTAAGGAGTAGAGGGATATAGTGAGGAAATTGTTGAGGAAGGGATATAGCAATGCTGAAATTTATTCTGAGGTGAATAGAGTATTTGGAACGCATTCGATTTTGAAAGTGTATTGTTGGGATGTATAGGACCCTAAGAAGTATTTGGGAATGGGTATTGTGGGATTGAGTCTTGGTTTTGGGATTGCAATTTTGAGGAAAGCAATAAGGAAATGATAAAAATATTATCAGATATAAATTATATAGGTGTAAGAAATCTTAAATAATTAAAGAAATATTATTGATCATTAATTATATTTTAAAAAAATAATTTATCAATCAAGAAAGGATGACTTCAGCTCTAGACTACAATGTAGACTAGACGTCTGAAATGTTTCTGAAATTAAGTGGTCAAATAATATATAGATGGAATTCTAGTGGAAAAATTTGTAAGTTTTCACAGAGAACTCTTCCTAAAATTGGTTATTCTGACTACTTGAAACGTCTTCTGCTTTATAGTGATTGTTCAATTCAATGTTATGCAATAGTGTTAATATATCTTGATAGATTTACTACTAAAAATGAACATTTATGGTTGGATTAAGCTAGTTTATATACACTCACATTGGTTTTGTTAGTTATTTGTATTAAATTTTGGGATGATCATAAATACTAGAATAAATATTTCGCCAAGTTGGGTGGAATTTCTTTAAGATTGTTGAATGAAATGGAATTGGAAGTATTGGAGCTATTGAATTATGATCTATTTGTTTCAGAAGATCTCATTTTTAGATACATGAAGTATTTCAGTTGATGATGATTTACGAATATTAAAAAATGATTATATAACTTATAATAAACAAATTATTAGCGCTTATTTTTATTTAAATTTAAATTAATCTCATTGGAATGGACAACCAAAAGGGCAAACGTATGGGATAGGGTAAGCTAGCAGGTGCAAAAAGACACAAGAGTAGAATGAATAAAGAGAAGAAGGGAGGGTAACACATCACCAATGGTGACATACGTAGACTGGCTCGAAGAGGAGGAGTTAAAAGAATTTCATCAGATTCTTATCCGACAACTAGGTATGATTTAGTATGCAAATGTTAATTTAGAGATGTCATAGTTAATTTCTTGTCATCCTTGGTCAAAGATGCCATCATTTACACTGAACATGCCTAAAGAAATACCGTTTAAGCCATGGATGTAGTTTATGCATTGAAAAAGTACGGCAGGAATTTATTGCTTAATAATGATTGAATTATCACAGTTTTGAAATCCCGCATCACTATATACATGGCATTCCTATATTTCTCCCTTATATTAGTTATTGTGTTTCTTATAAATAATAAAATATATATTGTTGAAGCCCCCATGTCATTACCAGTAAATCTTTCCTTTACTTGCGAGCGTATCCATTATTTCATGAATTCCTATTATACTGTGAATATCCATCCTGATTAAATTCGAATTAACTAGGTATATTCACACCTTATAAAAGTTTAAATCCCAGAAGACTAAGTATGTTTGCCCACTTAATTTCGACAACAAAGTCTATTGGTACACAGAACAACAAAGAATCCATGCTTTTGGAATCATAGTTAAGAAGAAAGTGAAGTTTTTTAAAGGGAATCACAAGGAATTGGAGGAAATGCGTAGATTGATAGGAGGCAACATAGTGTTTGATGGCATAGTGAACTTGTATAAGTGTAGTAATTAAATTGGAGAAGGAGCAGATAGCAAAGTGTTTAGAGTGGAAGACACCATAAACAAATCGTTGTGGGCACTGAAATGTTTGGAAAGAAAAGATGATTTTTATTAGGAAATCAGGATGCATCAGAACTTAGAACATACTCATATCATCCAATTCAAAGAATACTTTTAGGGTGAATAGTATTATTACATAATAATGGAACTAATGGGAGGTCAAACACTATCAAAATTAATTGAGAGAAATCTAATTACAACACATTAACAATGCAAAATTATTATTTAGGTATAAATATAAATAAATCTAAGGCGCTCTTGTAAGCTTTGGTTTATTTGAAAGGTGAGGGAATAGTTCACAGAGATATCAAACCAGCCAATATCATGTTTGCATAATCTGGAAGACTGGATAGTTTGAAATTAGTAGATTTCAACTTTGCCATGAAATAAGATGACACACATGCTAAGCCAATACTATATGGCATGTATACTGCTCCAGAAGCCTTACAAGATAGTCCCATCCAAAGTGACAAAATGGATGTTTACAGTTGTGGGGCTATCTTATATAAATTATATTCAGGAGAAGATATTCATCCCATTAGATATATGCAAGAATCCAATTTTTTTTACAACATCCTAAGGAGTGGTTCCATAGATTTCAAGGTCTTGGAGAAAACCAATACACCCAAATAGGCAATTCGCTTAATACGGGCAATGCTTGAAATAGATCCTTGCAAAAGGGTGAATGCTCAAGAAGCATTATAGTCAGAATACTTCAAAAATGAGTCATTAAGTCCAACTGAAAAGAGATCTCGCTTTTAACAAAGACATCAAAATGATAGTTTTAAGATTGGAATAACTGCTGACTTTGAGATCAATGCAGAGTAGGATGCTAAATGTGCAAAAGTAAGAAAAATGCAGATCCATCTGCATCCTTGATATTCTCTAATTATGATGTGTATATAATCTAGTATTTATCATATATCATCTATTCCATTATCTTTCATAGTGACATAATCCATAACCTAAGTTTCCTTCTTTGGTGGATATAGAAAATAATGTTAGAAGATCAAAATTGAATCGAAACCAATTGTCAGCAATCCCAATGCAAATTTAACTGGGTTAATCTCATTGTTATCTATTTTATAGACATAGCTTACCATCTTAAATAAATTGATCCATTATCGTTTATAAAACAGATAACAGTCCACCTGTTATATCCAAAAGACTTACCCAAATATTCCAACCTACTGTTTTCTTTCTTTAGTAATTCCAATATACTTATGGAATGTACTTAATAAAGCTTATCAGCAATTTGTCATAACCAATCATTCTATATGCATTGTAACTAACTGATACATGGAATACATCGAATGTCTAATTATTTCATTACTAATCTACTTGTGTCAATAAGAAATAGATGGGCGTAAGGGTCCAAAGGAAAACCAAGATGGCTATAATGTATATTGATAATTTATTGTCTCCTAACTGTAATCTAAGGATTTAATACAGGATAAAAGATCATCTGGCCTATTATTATCATTGTGCACAATAAGCCATGATATGCGAAGGCCAAGTCTTCAGGGTGAATTGTGCCAACTTCCAAAGATTTATCAAGATATCCTGCTGTGCTGTAAATGCATAGACAGATATATCCTGTTATGTTCAAGCCCACATAATCAACACTCAATCCATTCACACTTAGATATAAGTTATATGATACTTTTTCAATTTCCAATTTTCATAGATTTATGGATAAAAACTGATACTCCATGCAGCAAAGTAAGTCCATCCTATTATGTCGCTAAGTATTTGTAGAAATGACATAAATATATAAAATATTGTATATTCTTCTTACAATAAATTTATTATGAATAATGCTAAATTATAAATATCAGAAATACTCTTATCAGAACTCCTCCTCATACTTAAAATTTCATATGGTATGCCATTTCTCTATTCAAGAAACTTTCAATTAATTTAATATTCAAACCCTCATCCTTGCTTGCATAAACATCTTCCTTACTTTCATCGTCGCTTACTGTAAAATACAAAACTTCATTCTCAAAAAGCCATACCAAAAGCACTTTCACTTTTTATTCAATCTCAGACTGCTGACCATTGTGTTATACTTTGCATTCTCCAACCAAGAACTCGCTTTACTATTGATTAACCATCTGGAATTCCAACACAATCTCAAACTAGCCATTTTAGGTAAACTGGCAATTCAAGCTATTCTATTTGATCACTCCAATCTCATAACATTACCTTAAAATTTGATCTTCTATTCTTATTGTTTTTTTGTATTTCTTTAGATAGGAATGCAATGTAAATTCAATGAACAATAATGTCATCAATAGCTGCCTCAGAAACTGACTCAGGATGCACCTCCGACGTTTCATGCTAAATCTCAAGAAATTAAATCATTTAGACAAGATGAAATTTCGAAATCCCCTGGAATGTCATCTTCAGACATTAAACCATTGTAATTGAACAGTGTTCAGCAAGTGTTGAATGAAGATGATCTCATCATGACTAATATGTACTAATGAGTGTAAAAAGAATTCAAGGTCGTGGCTCTCTAATCAGTCTGTTTTAGTTTACAATATAGATTTTACTATTGTTTATTAAACATTCTACCTTGGAAAGTTACAGAAGAACATTGGTGACAAATTGGATTGCGAAGCTACCTTTTTGGAATCCACCATACTGATCGGAAGCAAGGAGATTAATGAATTATTGGGACAATCAGGATTCAGCGATTCTATATTCAGTGAGTAAGTAGACATTAAATACTATTTAGTGGTTCCTTTTTGTTGAACAATCTGAATGAGGTGCACAAATGTAAAATCAAAGGTCAATTTTCACTTAGGGACCTTGCTGTGTTCTTAATCAAAGATTTTGAAAAGTAAAACAATGATATTGATAGAAAGATGGAGATTCTTTACCATGACTATATTCAAAGTCAAGAATGATTTCTTGGATTTGGATGGAATACAGATTAAGTTGTTTGTAAATCAAATAGATAATCATAAATTCATTCTCTTTAGTCTAGAACACATTCCAATTGCTCCAAAGATGCACAATCAAGAAACCAGTTTAGTCTTACAAAACATCTATCTCACTTATTCTCATGAGTCGATCAACTATGTAAATTGCATACTCACTTATATCCTCCTCCTAATCCATCACATTGATCAATAATAATAATAAAATAATGAATAGAACAACGAATCAAAGAATCAGATAAGCCAATCTCAAAAATAACTTAATAATAATATTAATAAAGATGAGTACATTGTTAATAGTTTATAAAATATGAGATACTCAAGTCAAAGATACACCTATTTTTTGTGTTCCATGAAAGATTACATATTTTATCTGTCAAATCAATTATTCTTCAAGATGAATGCAATCAAAATGGAAGATCTGCTGGACGAATTACTATTAAATTTTGAGCCTGTGTTGCAACTCAAACAAATCAAATTGACAACCAATGTAGATTTGTAAGATGGCAATGCAACCATCTTTAGTGATGCAGAAAGGGTAATTCTTCACATTATTTTCAGATTAAATAAATAATCTCCTGTCTACTGTATTATTTTCTGTAATCGTCATCCCAAAGTTCCATTAAGTTGGAGATCAAGAGTTACACTTTATAAGGAGTGATGATCACCATCAAAGATACAAAATCTGATTTTGATGAATTAGCCAAGCAAAGAATTATAAATCTGACCAAAATTCTAAATTAGCAACTGAAAAGCTAGAAGGCTGTAAATGAATTAGACTATACAAATCCCCTAGAATTGCAAATGAGCATACTCCTTTGTTGGTAATTAGCAGGTTCGTTCAAAAGAGGACTTGAATTCCTAATTGATAATTAAGGATTTTGTACCTTCACATTTGTAATTGAATCATAGACTTCTTAAATGAAATACCAAAATTCAGCAGCAGATTCTGGACCAATAAAAATACTTGGCAAGAAGAAATACTTTGAAACCTCTTTGTCTCTGTTACTCCAAGAAAACATGAATTCCAACAATCCAGGAGGTGAATCTAAAGTATTGTCGTTTACTCAATTATCGAAATAATTTTCCTATAAACCCACAGATCCAATAGATTTATAGAGTGCCTATTTTTCGTAACTCTCCAAGATTCGGTAAGAAACATCCAATTCCAAAGCATTCCAGAATAGTGGCACTCCCTACAAATAATCAAGAGAACATAGCGGAAGCTTTTCTGGGACTTTGAAATAACAAATATAATCAGATAGCATCCAACAAATCACGCGTATTCTAAACAGAAACAATTTGAGCGCAGTAGGAAAAAATGAATCTCCCCATGAATCTCAATAGACCTTTACACTTATTGATTTTGGTCAAACAGAACAAGCAGCCAATCAAGTAAGATTACCAGAATTCCATCCTAAACTCCTAGCACATGTCATTAAGTATCGATTAAGAACCAATTGTTGTTCTAAAGTACTACTCCTAGACAATGATCCATTTTCAGTTATTGTTCTACAGAAAGTACTTTAGAAATACGATATCAAATGCGATTATTGTTTTAATGGAGTTCAAGCTATGGAGATAATAGAAAACAAGAAGAGAGAACCCTGTCATTGTGGCAATCGCTTTTATTTATTATATATAATTGATCTCAATATCCCAGTAAATAAGACTATATTATATTACATAGATTTTGAGAGGGGGAGAATTCGTTTAGCAAATCAAATAAATGATGCAATTGGGTAGTATGGACAAAGGGTTTGCAATTGCCACAGCTACGGTGGTTGATTTAAATAGCAAGTTGGAATGCTTTCGAAATGGAATGGATTATTTCATATCGAAACCATTTGATTTAATAGAGATCAGCGCAGCAGTGACATACCTTGATTTTTGAATAGTTTTGTATGATAGGGTAAAATTAATTAAATAAAAATAATAAATGAGAGGACATCAAAAGAGTTCACCAAATCTTAGATTTCTACAACCATAATTAACTGCTCGTTAACCAAAGAGAACTGATTCCATTAACTTACGATATGATATACTGAAAACCTAGCGCAACAATCAGACTGAGAATTCGATGTCTATTGACAAAATATATTAAGTTACTCCAAGTAGAGTACTCACTCTTAAGAATGTGTCTCGAGTGATGAAATAAAATTTCATTCAAAAAACAGAACCCAATGAAACCTTCGAGAAACAAAACATTCCTGACAATCAAAGAGTTTTAAGCAGAAAACAAACAGCTCCCAAATTAATCTACAGACCCATCACCAAATAGAATAGCGATGCATTCTCCATCAAAGACTCACCAAGAATAGTTCAAAACACAAGCATACATGATACTAATTCAATATATTATATTTCTGATGTTGTCACTGCCTTTGAAAGTAAGGATAACTATTTCAACAGACTTTTCAAGGATCATTTTTAATCTAGCTTCATGTCGTTTAAATAATGTGCAAATTCCAAGATTATTTACAGACCAAAACCAGTGATAATCCCAAAGGATCCAAAAGGTAATTCTCAATATTTGAATTAGATAATAAAAAGTATACAATACTGCTCGATTTGGATGAGACGTTGGTACATTGCACTCTAGATTTGAAATTGCCTTGCGACAAAAAGTTAATCATCAAACTTTCTTAAGATGAATCATTTTAAGTTGGCGTCTCTGTTCGACCTGGTTTACAGGCTATGCTCGAATTGTTGGAACCTAATTTTGAGATTATGGTATTCACTGCCTCACATGGATAATATGCAAAACGAGTAAGTTCATTCATCTACCTAGATTGTCGAGTATATTGATCCGAAGAGAATCATATCTCGAGTCCTGTCAAGAGAGCATTGTTGCTTCTCTGATCAAGGCTAATATGTTAAGGATTTATCCATTATCAAGAATCGGCCACTTTCTAAGACTGTTCTAGTTGATAACTCTGCTATTAGTTACTTCTTCTAACTTGATAATGGCATCCCCATTGTTCCATTCTATGATAATAAGCTGGATAAGCAATTGCTTTTCCTAGCCAAATATCTCAATGGAATGGTTGGCACAGATGATATTCGAGAATACAATCAGTATGAAATGATTACTATTTAGAAAAAATTTAAAAACCTTCTTGCTTGCTAAGTTACAAACTTGGGAATAAATTCTAAATATATATAAAGCACATCACAATTCTAGGAAAAATTGATAATACTTATTTAGTAGTTATTTTGTATTAATTTTGTGCTCATCTAATTATTGGTAAATTTGAAAATATAATTATTTCAATAATTTGATAATTGTATTATTAAGCATAATATAATTAATATTATAAAATCATTTATTGCTTTAATTATAAAACTAATACCTTCTAGAAAATGCATTATTCATTTAAAATATTAACATCCAAAACTTATATACGTATTTCTAATTAATTAAAAAATCTAGGAAATCCCCTCCACCCAAATTCCTTTTATTTTTAATTTATCTATGATATCTTTTTAAAAGTTGAAAAATGTATATATAAATATTTAAAATTCAGAAGCACCTCTGGCAGTAAGGTACAATATTCAAACAGAATCAAAACAAAATTACGATAACTTTCTTTATCTAATCTGCTAGTTTTTTTAAGGGTCCGAAGAAATCATACGATTTCAACTAATTTCGGATCAACTGTCATTTTAAGAATCCCAAATTCTTATTGGACGTAACAAATTTTCACCGGGTGGCTTAATGTTTCTCCAACATACATCTATTTAGCATTTTGAAACCAAACAGTTTGGGCTTCTTGAATTGAAATTTTTTTTAGTTGGTCCTTCTGAGTCAAATTTTGAATGAAAGATCTTTTCATGAGCACAAAGCAAATAATAAAGAGTTCATATATTTGAGTGGATTAAATAAAATAAAAGAAATCACTCTTTTTTAATTTCAATTTATTAGGTCTAAACATTATTGTACGTTTAGGTTTGAGGATTAGAGCTTTTATTATTATTATTATTATCCAAGCCAATAATCTAACAGAAGGATTGCTATTGACCATTGTTTTTGTCAAGGTTCTGTCGTTCCTCATTATATTTCTTTAATTTGTCAAAGTCAATGAAAATAAACTACTAGGCTCCGCTTCGTTTCAAGTTCGACGAATTCTTTTAGGACTAACAAACTCCCATTTGATTTTTTTAATATATTAATTGTTTATTAATTGTTTTAGATTTTTGGACATACAAATCATCACTCACAGTTACTAATTTCATTATTGATACGGGATGAATCAGAATTAAAATGGATTGGGAAAGTCTAAGGAGTAGAATAATAGGAAATGGATTTTTAAATGGGTTTACGATTAATTTAGCTAGGTTTTTATATGTTAAGCAATAAATATAATTCTTATTTTTATTGGTAAATAATAAGAGGTTACATATTATTTTTAATAAATCATTTATTGGAAAAAAATGGAAGACAAACAATTTGTAAAAATATTCATATTTACATTTTAGAGTTTAGATATCGCCAGGAAATTCTAAACTTTTTTTGCCCACATGGAATAGTATTGTCAGCAATTTTTGAAGGGATAACCTATGATTGAATTCAGCAATGATAAACCAGAAAAGAAAAAGGAACGAGATCCCAATGCTCCCAAGAGACCTCTTACTCCCTTCTTCTTATTTAGCTAGAAATACCGTGAAAAGGTTTTGGAAAGGAATCCAGGTATTGATTAGAGTGATTATTCATTAGAAGTAAAACTGCCTCAAATTTCATAAATGGCAGGCTAAAAATGGAATTCTATGAGTGAGGAAGAGAAACAAGTAAACATCCTTCTAAATATATCAGCCTTACGTTGATTAATACAATGAAGCCAAATATTAATATGATGAAGACTTAAAAGAATATAATGATAAATAAGGTATAAATACAAATGAGAAAAAGACAAAGAAATCTGAAAAGGTAATACAAATAATAGGGTTAGTTTGATGATAAATCTGCGAAATTAGGATATGATTTCCCTTTTGATAATGTAGATTCTGAATCACTACAACCAGCAGCAAAACATTAGCAATAAATAAAACAATAATAAACATAGAAGAAAGTCAGTCAAAACATACAGTCTGATGATGACTAACCAATATAATAAACCACATAAAATAAGTAGTAAAAAGTGAACTCTTCTAAATCCAAAAATAATTAGGATGTGGATGATGATCTGCAAAGGGAAATTATCTAAGTAATTAACAATGATAAATCACAAAAGAAATAAAGAAAGAGATGAATTATAAACACCATTATTTTATTATTCTTTATTTACGTAAGTGATTTGTATAAGTATGAGATTATCTTTATTCGCATTGTTTCATTATTAAAATTAATCAGGATTGTTCGTCTTCATTTGTCTTAATTATAGAATGTATTGTTTCTGCAATTCATTCTGATATACGCATGTCACTTGCATTTTTGGATCGTTGGATACAATCTCAATGCCTCTTGGTTATTGATACATGTGGATCATGTACAATTAAGTTAGATAGTGTCTACCCTCTTAATTGAAGAACCTATAATATCATAAAGAATTCTACATCGAATCACAATATCTCAAAGCTTATTGTAAATCTAAATATACTAAGTTAATCATAGGATTTTTGAGATTCATCTAATAGATTTATTATTGTAGTGCAGTTATGGTTGCTTGAGCCTATTAGTATTGTAGATTATAGCCTAAATTGAGTGCATTTCTGAAAGTTTCAGCAGCCTAGACTCTGTAATAATGAGACATCACTTCCCTATTGATTAGATAATTTTAATTACTGAAAGACAATTTGCTCAGCTACCATATTGGGCACTATATTAATAAATTATTCAATTGTAAATCTTTCACCAGTCTCAACCGAATCAGTGTGCATTTTTACAGTTATGAATTCATCCATCATTCCAATGGGAACAGATGTTTCAACTATAAAGTCTTTCCTCACACCAAACTGTAATTAAGGTTAATAAATAGAGAAGGATTATTCTTATAAATTCAATGCCCATTTATCACCATATACTTTTTTAATTGTGTTTTTCTTGCATGTTACTGTAATGTGGGTATTATATGCAATAACTGAAGCTTCACCTCCCAAAGCTTCAAAAAAACACTCATCTATTTTTACTATATCAGAAATGTAATAGAATTGACCTTCTTTGAAATGGGCGATTTCTGACATAATTTTGGGACAACAATCTCTACCAAAACCGAAAGTATTGATTGTAAATGGTTCCTTGATGTTCTTTGATTGAATATCATCCCACACTCTCCCTGCTGCACCCTCATCTTCACCATCAGACAATAAAAATATTGAGGCAATAGGATTCTTGAATCTTCTGTGTTTTAAAATAGATAATGCCATCTTCATTGCATTTCCAATGTCTGTTGCTCCATTGGCTTATATGGTATCAATAGCAATCAAGAATTTGTACATGTTCTCCTATGTTGCTCTCATCAATCTAGTCAATCTATAATTTTGATCATCGAATTCTATCAAACACAATCGATCTTGAGGTTGCAACATCTTTAAGAGATGCTTTAACGATTTCTTTACCAAGTGCATCTTCTCTCCACTCATGCTTCCACTATGGTCAATCAAACATATCTAAGGGTTTATTTGAGAATTACTAAATCAATTCCTTATCTAGTAGTTATGGTTTGATTCTTAGTTTAAACAGACAATAGAACGGCTTGAGTACCTTGAGTTGGCAATCCCTAAAGTAGTCACCAAAATTACACAGTAGTTAAGCTACAATTGAATATTGTCTTAAAGAACATAGTTGGCCTACTTCATATAGTTTTAACTCAAGGATTTTCTGCCATAATTGGATTCATTAGTAATGACGACATCCTTGACATGATTAATTCATATTGTACAATGGCATCGTCATCGTTGAATTTGCTATGTTCCTAAGATATCACAGGTCTCTCTCCTTCAATGAACTCCTCATTTATTATGATAGCCTTTGTGGTATTCGCATATGAATCATTGTCTCCAGAAGTACATTGATTTCCCATTTTTAAATATTTATATAATAAAATTGATCATCAAGCCTTATTAACCTTACTTTCATTGAGAAAGATTTTGTAAGCAATTAAAAGAGGTTTCTTTTACTCAGGATTTTCCAGTATTTTTTAGTTTAATACTTCTAAAATCTTCGACCACTATTCCTTGTAATGTTCATCAATTTAAGCATTCTACAATTTCTAATTGAAATTAATAAAATCTTTTGGCCATGATTCTCTAAGCTATTCAAATTTCATCAAACTATCATTATTATCTAAATTAACATGAATTAATTCTTACGTTTGATTTAAAGGAATTTATTCTAAGCTTGATCGCTAAACAAATTGTATTCCATGCACAATATAGAAAATCTTTCAAAAGACAAAGCTCTTTCCTCCTCTGTAATAATATCTGCATTATCTTCAAACACTTCAATCCACTTATCCTCATCGTATTTGTCAGCTTCTATGTATTTATTTAAAATTAAAAATTCATCTAAATTGCACATCCCATTCCCATCCAAATCACTCGCTGCAAATGCATTTATTACATATATCTTTGTTTTCTCTACTGTATTCCTAAACACTTATAATACTTTGATCATCATCAAATCAAAATCTATTATTCCTTATTTATTGATATTTTTTGGATCGTTCTCCTTCAATAGCTCTACCTCATGCTTTAATTAAACTAACTCATCATTTTAAGGACTGAATATTAATTACCCAACATATGACAAAGCCCTTACAAAAGGTACATACATCTTCATCTCTGACTCATTATCTTTTAAACTTTATCCTAAATTCTATTGAGTATTCATAAAATCCCAAGCCTCCAAATACTTCTATTATTCCTCTACAGTATAATTAACATTCTATTCCAACAGTCCCATAAATTTTGCAAACATATTAATTCTAATAACTTTTATGTTCTTTTTCACTGATAACAACAAGACTTAATACTTTTATTCAGTTACTTTAGTAAATCCAAATTATTATAAATAATAATTATATATATATGAACCCATATCTTAATCTCTTATCTATTTATACTCTTTCTAACTCTGCAACTTTTCATTATATAATGTAGTTATGTATTTCAATACTAATTTAACAGGCATATAATTATTAAACTTCTGCATTTATTTAGTTTTTAACTTTTCGATTATCTTTTTTGATTAATCTTTTTAAAAATCATAAGAAATTACAACTTTCTAACCCAATTAAGGAGCCTTTCTCTGCTTTTTTGTTTCCTTAAAAGTTCCTTGCTTTATTAACACCGATACACGTTTCTGACTATTAATTACTAGTGAATCTTGTGATTAATGTACATCATCATCCTACTATTTAAGGTCGGATTAACTTTGAGATTATTGAGGTTATTAAATCTTAGAATTAAGTTATGCTAATTAAATTTGCAACCGTTCATTTTCTTTTTGCAGTTCATCCATTTACATATTTGCATTTTAGGCATTTAATTCAAATTGAGTAATTTATTCATTGTAATACTATATCTCTTATTCCTACTATTGCATCCGAGACTTCAAAAAAGAAATAAAAGATAAAACTTATTTTGATTTGGAATCCCTCTTCATTGGCAGTTAATTATTAATGATATTTGAATCGCATCTTGTTAGAGTAGGCATTTATTATTATGTATTCTATTATTATGCATTTTATCCATTTTGTGAATAACCTGATTTGATCATTGAGAATTAAGATTTATTCATTTCTATATTTTTCTTATGATTCTAAGCAACATCCAATTAATCATAAGTTTCGTCGATTATCTAATCAATCAGACTCTCCTCTGATCCTTTTCTACCTACTTTTTCTATAAATTCAGTGTATCTAACAGCATTATTGATATTGGATTGCTAGATAATATCAAATTATGAATCAATTAATGTTAATTCTGTTTGAATTTCTCTTTCCTTAGTATAAAATGGAAGCAAATCTACTTCAACTTATTGTTCTTTTTATGCTTACTTTATAATTCTTTCAAAATTGATTTCTAATTAATTAAGTTATTCTTCTTCCTATTGTTGAATTTCATTTAATGTATCAGTTAAAGGACTATCATTTTAATCTTCGCCATCTAAGATTTTAGGAGAATTAGTCTAAATTGTTTATTGTCTAATTAATTAAATAGTCTATTGACGATTTAATGTAATAGTTGATTATCGGTTTAATTAACCAGTTGATTACCGATTTAATTGATTATTTGATGATTTATTATTCTGTAAAAGGGTTAATTGTTAAATGGTTTCATAACTTTAATGTAATTTGTTCTCGTAGCATTGTATCTTCTGTCGTAGAATTTATATCTCAGAGTCTTATTGTTTTATCATTTTATCATATCTATTTATTATTTTATTTCTTTATTCTACTTTTTATATGAGTGCACTATTCCTACTAATCAATTCTGAGATGTCTTTTTCAAGCTTTAAATTGTTCTCCTTTATTTCATTTATTTTTTTGTCTCTTGAATTGATAATTAATTCTAAATTGGTGATTTTTTCTAAAAATTACTATTTTTAAGTCTAAATATTCTCCAAATTTATTTTTTCTTATTATTTCTAAGTCATCATTAATTAGCTTTGCTGTTCTGCCAAATTGAATTACATCTCTTTGACAAAGGAACTAAAAAGGAATGATAATTCTCTGAACTCCTCAAACAAAAGGTCTTTTATGAATCCTTCCATTTTTTATAAAAAATCACCTCTATTTTCATTATTGATACATTGAGTGAAATTTTTTTCAATTTCTAAAATTTGGTGTCTTTTCGACACATTATCTTATGAATTAAGAAGTTTTTAGAATATAGTTTAACTATATTTATTAGACTTTGGACTTTGAAGTTTAATAAACTCACAATGTTGTTAAGATTATAATATGGTTTTTAAGGCATTTGAATTAGATTTATTGCGTTTCTCTAGAAATTACGATGTCTCTATAAAATTTGTTATATCTGCTTACATAGTCTTTGCTTAGATTATTCCACAAATTATTTAATAATCTAATCTTTAGGTGTTTTATCTGTCTCGGAAACAGAAGTCTTTAATATTTAATCTGATCGATATGAGTTATCTGTTACCTTTTTATTTAAGTTAAAGAAAATTAAATGTCTATTTGTCATTTTATTTTATTAATTAATATTCACAAAATAAATAAAGCCATAAGAGAATTAGTGCAATAACCAATCTCCTGTTTTAAATATATCGATTGACTGAGAAAGTAAAAAGTAAAAAATAATTCAATAATTGTGAAATAGGATTTTTTATAAACCTTATAAGAAGATTTTAAAGTGATTAACATTTCTGACTTAAGATAAATAAAATAAGATGAATTCTAAATATTAATATTATTTTAAATTCATGGTCTTATATTAAATTTAATTTTATAAAACAAGTTTTTACAATCTATTCACTAATATGATTCTCTCATTTTTTTATTGGAACAGAATGGAGCAAAACAAGAAGAAGAATGCTTCATAAGAAAAAAGAGTTATTCCCTCTATTAGTAGCCCTGCTATGATCTAATAGTACGAACCTAGAACCCAAATCAGGCGATATGTGCCTGAAGTAGAATAAGAGAGGCAGCAAAGAAAGCGATAAACAGACAGGTTTCAACCTAAAGCTACGTGCGAGGATGACGATCTTCAATTGAATTATCTCTAAATTGGGAAATAAACAAAAAAAAGATAGAAGAGTCAAACTTAAAAATTGTAGAAGTATGACTATAGAAAACATTAAAGAAACAGATCAGAGCAGAGATCTGCATAATCTAATTAAATTTAAGGAATCACTAATGAAAAGTATAATGAATTTGATGATCTCGATAAAATATCTGATGATAAAGCTGATCTATGCATTAGAAATCTTCCTTCAAATAGATTAATGAAAAAAATGACAATATGATTATAAAATTATCAAAAGGAGATATGATCTCTAAATTTTATTAAACAAAACTATAATTAAATAAAAAAATTCTGTTTTTCCATTAATTTAAAATTGTAAAGCAATTATTCTTTGAATTCATATTATGAAATCTAAACAGGAGCAAAGATGATTGATCCACTTGATATGCAAAATGAATCAGTAATAATATTCAATTGAACAATAATTGTTATTAAAATACAATCAAGATTTGAATCTATGAATGCTAGGTTCTTTTTTGATAAGTTTAGAATACCTAGGAGATAACAAAATAGTATTGCATGTTGGAATATTTTACTCAGTAGAAGGCTCAGTTTTTAAATACTTAGTAGATCCAAAATTTAAACTAGTTTATTCTTCATTCTTTTGATCCAATATCTTCTGTTTCAATGAAGTTGCAAAGTATTTCATTGAAAAGTTTTAGTTTGTATTTAATTGAGGTTTATTTTAAAGATTAGGACTAACAGCATTATAATATTTAAGATTAGTTTTATCCTTATAATCGATAGTCAATTACAATTTTCTTTTGGGAGATTATTTAGAGACAGTGGGTAATTTCTCATCAACATTTTTGACAATTTTATATCTATCACTTGAAATTTTGATGTAAGATGGATCCTTCATTCCATTTAGAATAGTGATATTTGATTATGTTCTAACAGTTCTATTGGTTACTTTGATCTTAGGAATGCTATGATTTTATTTCTATTAATATTTTTCATTCAAGTAATTTTCATACCAATTCATACCTAAAGTATGTCTGATGATTTCATTAAATTAACTGTACCAAATTCTATATACTTTAACCTAATTTTGAACTACCCCTTGAGTGCATCTTAATAGAGGAGTTGGTGATTTTAAATTAAGAAATTATTCAAAATCCCCAATCATTTACCCTCTACCAAACACTCCTAAATTAACTAAGACTTTGCTTGGCTTGCTTAAAACATTAGTTTCAACTACATCATCTTCCTCAGATTCTTCTTTATTTTTTACTGCTTCCCACTTTTATACCAATACTTCCCCTGAGATAATTAAATAGAGACAATCTGCTTTCTACATTCGTTTAAATAATAATGCTCCTCCATTTAGATTTATTTCTTCATAATCATGTAATAATTGTTGCAATGAAGTTTCATTCAATTAATCAAAAGGGTACATCTGAGCAATGAGCTCTGATCTTATTGTGATGGCTTCTTAAGTAATATCTCGTAAAAGCTTTTGATAAGATTCGTAAGTCAACACAGCCAAAGTTGTAGATTCTTTTGCAATCACAGTAGCTGTCCTTGGTATTCTCTGCTCTATTGCTATTTCTCCAAAATAGTCAAACTACTTTTTGGTAGCTACCTATCTAAAATTTGGAAAACGAATTGCCAAAACATCTTCAAATTTTTTCAATTTACCTATATATATATAGAAGACTCCTATTACATTTTTTCTAGTTGATGGCAGAGTCAATATGGTCCTGATTTTTCACAAGAATCGACACTTCCCCCTCTAAAACGAAATACATTTTTCGTCCAGTTTCCCCTTAATTGAACACTGTCTCATATTATTTAAACCTCTCTATAAATAGAGACTTTATTAATTTAAGGAGAATGTCTTCTCTCAACTGAGATTTCAATTTTCTATCATGACTATTATCTAATACTTGAAATATGTAAATGATCTTTCTAATCTCCTAGCCACATAATTCAATTGCATTATAGTTCGCTCATATGACTCCATGCTTAATATCTAGACTATTTTCAAAACTTCACTCTCCAATTTAATCTGGTTCTCATCTTCCTGAGATTATTTACTTAATGTACTATCTCTTCTTAACATTAATTTTATTAAGAATGTCAAATGTATAAAATAGATAGAATGCGAAAACCTTGAATAATCTGTTAAATTCATAAGCCTCAAAACTGAGGTTGTAAAAAATTCTATCCAATGATAATTACCTTACTAAACATTATCGTTCCAAACCTCTAAGAACTGAAAAATCATGTACCCTTTCTCTTGTTAAAAGTGATAGTTCAATAAATAATGACCAAAAAAACTTCTTTAAGACATCGACAAGTCTAAATAAACTGAATAACATTGTAAATTTCTAGAAGAAAGCCAATGATGAATAACATAAAAGAGTGATTAAGCATCTACTCACAGACTAATCCTATTAAAAACTAAATAAAATTGGCCTCGAAGGAAATCGAGTAAGAACTCTATTAGGTGTTAAGCCAGGACTTTCGGATTTGACAGATTAGAAATTGAAAATGAAAGATCTACAAGAGAAAATCAAATTGAAAATACAAGAAAGAGACTAAGAATATATGCTAAAGAATGGTTAACAACTTAATAATCTATAAATTAAGTTATCCAATCTATAAGCTACTTAATTGTTTAAAAATTTTCTTGTTCAAAATGGCTTCAGATAACCAGCATTCTTAAAAGATTTACAATGATTCTATAAATAAGATGATGAAAGCTTTTAGATTTAATCATAATTTGTATATTTTTTATCGATCCCAAACATGAAAGGTCAATCAATAAATTCTATTCTAACAGAAAGGAAAATTGTGCATTATTAATGCAATTTTCAGGAGAACGTAATTTTTTTATAGTTAAGTATAAGTATCTGTTTATTCTAATCTCCAAAGGATTTATGCAAATTAGCATTATTGCCTAATAAATCTAATCAATAAATATTAAATTAATTTTACAAAGTAAATAAAATATGCAATAAAAAATTGTTAATTGCACAGTCTCGGGACACGAAAATCAATAAATTTAGTCTCTTTGTTTAAATCTTCAATGTACTTTCAGATCTGCTTCCTGCTAATTATGCAAATAGGAATAACATAGAGATCATGATAAAGATCTTAAAGAACTTAACTTAGTGGAGCAATAAATCGCCTCTATAGAAGCTGCCTAACTGAATATGATTTCGGTCTTAAGAAGGATGGAATATGAGATTTAAACAGCCATCAAGAATATCAATCATTCAGTTCAAACATTAATTGCTCCGATAGAAAATTATAGAAAAACAGTTAGTAATCACACTATCGAAGATCTCGGCTAATTTTTCAAAAAGATTCATTCTTTTAATTACCCTGTAAGAGTTTGTATTAATGAAATAGGAGTAAGTAGGAAGACTGTCCCAGATTCTGAATTCTCTTTATAAATTAAATTCATTCGAAGATTAAGGAAAAAGCAACCCTGTATAAACAGTCGTATAACCAAACACAACCAAATAAAATGAATCAAAACAATATTTCGATAAAGGTTTAATTAACTTATATATAATTTAGGTTTTGAGTTATGTACACAGGGGTAATTTAATGAGGCTATCAAGTTATTTGATAAATCGCTTGAGATTTCCTCGACCAACATTGAAGCCATATTTTATAAGGCTGAAGCTCTAAGAAATACTGGAGCCTTTGAAAAATCTATTGCAGAATATGATAGATGCATGAAATTTGACTCGGATGAAAAATTGGAATACAATTTTGGAAAAGGTTAAATTTACTTTTAAATATCATAGGGGAAGCATTAAGAGCTTTGGAAAGATATGAAGATGCAATATTGTTATTTGATAGGGCATTAAAAGTCAACATCAATCATTTTAATTCCCTCTTTGGCAAGGCTGATTGTTTAAGAATGCTGGGGATGTTGGAAGAGTCACTTAAATACTATAACTTTGCATTGAAAGAGAACCCAAAAGATTTTACATGTCTAAAATTCAAAGCTGTTATTATGGAAGAAATAGGTTTAGATGACTTCTTAGATTTTTATAAAATTGCTGCTCAAATTGATCCCAATGATGAGTATATTCAAACAAAATTATCTTTATATTCATAATGAATTAAATAAATTTTATTTTAATAAATTTAGTACTGTAATTATTATCAATTAGATTAAATGAAGAACAAAAACTTTTCATTTTAATAATCATGAAAAATAAAAAAAACACACATGAAACTTAGAACCAAACCTCATCACATAAATCTGTCTAGAATTGGCTTGAATAAGCATACATATAAAATGTAATGAAATTAAAGAAATTTCAATAATAAGATATCTCTAAATTAAATACTTAGACTGAAGAAAGTGAACCATCAAAATATGCGTAATCTTAATAATCAAAACGAATAATCCTAGATTAATGTCTAGATTAAAGCAATCCAATTAGTAATCCAATAAGCAACCCCATTAGCAATCCAATAAGTAATCCAATCAGCAATCAAATACAAGAATAAGATTCTATTCATAAATTTTCAGAGTAATCATCAGATTATGGAGACAAGAATAAGCAAACTCTTGAATTAGTGCGTATTAATGAGAAAAAAAACTAAAAAATACAAAGAAAAAAATTAAAATTTGATTAATTAATTGAAGAAAATAATGAAAGTATGCTAAAATCTGATAAACTTAAGGTTTAAGATGAGTTAAACAAGTATATTTAAATTGAGAAATAAATAATACAGTATTTAGCTAAGGTTCATAATAAAGTTGAAGAATTGACAAAGTAATTATAAGGTTTTAAATGAAGTTTAATATATATTTATATTGAGATAAAATTTCAAATGATAATATGTATTCGTCATTAATATTTACAGGATTATCATTTAGTCAAGATTGAATGATCCATACCACTTCCAAACAAGATAAAAAGTGCCCATCATTCGAAATTTTTGAGGTTATCACTGCTTAACAATTGACTGTTGAAAAAATCTAAATAATAAATGGTGATTTGATACTTGGATTTTCTAAATCTGAACAACATGTGAAAATTTGGAGTGTTTCAAAGAGATAAGCTGTTTTTGAGCATTTTTTTAATTAAAAGAAAGTGAATGAATTGTTGATTATATAAAATTAAAATGATTTGGTAGCTTTTGGTTTTTTGGATAAATAGGTTTAAATTTGGAGTATAAAATCAGAAATTGGATTCTCTTTGCAGTAGGAATTAAGCTATGAATAATAGATTCGGAAGATTAAGCTATCCAATAATGCTTTTTAACTTGGAATATTGCATAGTAATGAATAAATCAGATAATTAAGTAAAGATTAATTATCATCAAATATTCTCTATTAATCTTAATAGCATATTGAAGATTATTGCTTTTTTCAAAATTAAACTTTCCTTGCAATAATGTAAAAGAGAGGGTTTGTTTCAATATTTTCAATAAAATCTTAAAAAGTAATAAAGTAATGGAATGCACATCAATAAGGCTAATGTACTATCGATGGTATTGATAAGGACTAAATCATCGTGACTTAGGCAAAAGATTATTCAATAAAGCTTTGGAACATGAGAAGTTATAGTTTGTTGAGAGTGATAGATTGTAGAAAAATTTCATTATCTTAATATGATATATACAATAACACTTTGTTGATGTCAACTTTTAAGCCATCATTAGATATCATAAGTCTAAAAACGGGTAAGATGATTTAAAGTTTAGAAGTTGATTATCCAATATTGAAAATAGAAATAGAATTTGAAAGTAATCTAATTGCAATTTTAGACTATGAATTTTAGATAATATTAATAAGAAAAAAAAAATATTGAACATTTTGTTATTATAATATTTTAAATTTTGAAATCAATCTTTGATTATAGAGCTATTCAATCAGAAATAATAATAGTATAAAAATAAAAAGGATAAAATAAAGCTTAAATTGATTGATAACTTTGTAAATTAAATATTGTTTATTATTCTTATTAAATGCTTTAGTTAAAATTCAGAAAATAATAACAAAAACAGAATAAGATTGAGAACAAATATTTAGCATAACGTAATTTAGATAATGAACAGAAAATTGAAAATTCGGAAATCAAGGATCATGATGACTTTTTGATAAATTTAGACATGCATTTTTCAAATAGAGAACCTGAAGAGTCAAAAAGCAATTAACATAAAAGAACCAATTAAAAACAAAATAATTAAAACAGTTCCACCATTAAAAAGAAACCTATCAAAATGAACTTTTGTAAATTAGTGGAAAGACATAGAATTGTGTATATAGAAGATGAAAGGGAAGAATAAAAAATTGACAAAATAAAAAATACAAATGGTAACATAAAGAAAGTTACTGATGCACATATTAATAACTAAAATAATATGAGTGATACATAAAATAAACACTAAACTTAATTAGTAATAATTAAATAAATCATTTTAAGAATGTCATCTTAGTGATAAAGAGTAATAGAATTAGAGAAGCAAATAATTGATAAATAATTCTAGTTAGTCAATTGAAATTGGTACTTAAACTGATGATATGGTCGATGTTAATATATTTGATATTCATAATTTAATGCAATAGGAGTAGAATATAGTGAATAGTCTCAATCAACTTCATGAAAAAATATTAAAATTATTACATAATTAAATATGAAATAAATATATTTAAACCTTATGATTAAACAATATATTCATGCAAGCTTTCTTTTCGGAATTGTATTTTATACAGAATCATTCCAATCTTCGCCATTATTGCGTCTTAGTAATATTTCAAACACTTGATTTACTGTTAATATTGAGGATGTTTTTAAATTTAAATTTATTGGAAGCTTCTTTGTCTTTATACCTTATTCTATAGCTTTATTGTAAGTTATTAACTTCAATCTATTATGATCAACTAGTCCACCAATGATATATACTTCTTCCTAATTAAGTTCATCCATAACATTATCTGTATCACCTGTGAGATAGACTAAATCTTCCTTGTTAAATAAATCAATATATGGTTTTTCGTTTAATTAAATACCCCAGTTTGAAGCATTGCTTTTATTTAATAATTATTGGAAATCCTCTGACAAAGATGTCACTATGAGATTTAAAGGTTTTGCTGATTTGAAATTGTTTGAATGACAAAGCTCAATTTATTTATATAAAGATGTTTTTTCTTGAATCGTCATCTAATTCATGAATTGTAGATCGATAACAACTTTGATTCCATTCTTCATTTCTTCTTGATACTGCTCTCTTGGTTTTTTATGTAATTTTTCTTGATTATGGACCTTATTATCATCAACTTGATTGGCTTTTTGTTCTTGCTTTTATTATTTCTTAATTTGTTTTTTGAGAATTTTCTTCTCCTTGAAGTACTCTTTCTATTTTTCCTTTTTGGCTAATTTCTTTTACTACTTTTTTGATAATTTATTTTCTCCTTATTATTAATCCATGAAAAATAATAAATATTATGTAATATTAGAAAATAATGCTATCCTCTAATAAAATTAATCAATAGGTTTAAATTATAAACATATTATTTAATAAACTAATATTTATATAATGCCTAGGTTTTATGATCCAACCAAGACTGACCCTGCAATCATAGCAATAAATTGGGTAGACTAAATCTTAACAGAAAAACTAAAAACCTTATCTCATGAGGATATTTAGAACTACATAAAAAGATTTCAGCAAGANTTAATTAGTAATAATTAAATAAATCATTTTAAGAATGTCATCTTAGTGATAAAGAGTAATAGAATTAGAGAAGCAAATAATTGATAAATAATTCTAGTTAGTCAATTGAAATTGGTACTTAAACTGATGATATGGTCGATGTTAATATATTTGATATTCATAATTTAATGCAATAGGAGTAGAATATAGTGAATAGTCTCAATCAACTTCATGAAAAAATATTAAAATTATTACATAATTAAATATGAAATAAATATATTTAAACCTTATGATTAAACAATATATTCATGCAAGCTTTCTTTTCGGAATTGTATTTTATACAGAATCATTCCAATCTTCGCCATTATTGCGTCTTAGTAATATTTCAAACACTTGATTTACTGTTAATATTGAGGATGTTTTTAAATTTAAATTTATTGGAAGCTTCTTTGTCTTTATACCTTATTCTATAGCTTTATTGTAAGTTATTAACTTCAATCTATTATGATCAACTAGTCCACCAATGATATATACTTCTTCCTAATTAAGTTCATCCATAACATTATCTGTATCACCTGTGAGATAGACTAAATCTTCCTTGTTAAATAAATCAATATATGGTTTTTCGTTTAATTAAATACCCCAGTTTGAAGCATTGCTTTTATTTAATAATTATTGGAAATCCTCTGACAAAGATGTCACTATGAGATTTAAAGGTTTTGCTGATTTGAAATTGTTTGAATGACAAAGCTCAATTTATTTATATAAAGATGTTTTTTCTTGAATCGTCATCTAATTCATGAATTGTAGATCGATAACAACTTTGATTCCATTCTTCATTTCTTCTTGATACTGCTCTCTTGGTTTTTTATGTAATTTTTCTTGATTATGGACCTTATTATCATCAACTTGATTGGCTTTTTGTTCTTGCTTTTATTATTTCTTAATTTGTTTTTTGAGAATTTTCTTCTCCTTGAAGTACTCTTTCTATTTTTCCTTTTTGGCTAATTTCTTTTACTACTTTTTTGATAATTTATTTTCTCCTTATTATTAATCCATGAAAAATAATAAATATTATGTAATATTAGAAAATAATGCTATCCTCTAATAAAATTAATCAATAGGTTTAAATTATAAACATATTATTTAATAAACTAATATTTATATAATGCCTAGGTTTTATGATCCAACCAAGACTGACCCTGCAATCATAGCAATAAATTGGGTAGACTAAATCTTAACAGAAAAACTAAAAACCTTATCTCATGAGGATATTTAGAACTACATAAAAAGATTTCAGCAAGAAAAACTATTTGCTAATTACAAAAACAAAGAAATTGTTATTAGGTATTATACATTACGAATTTAAGTAATAATTGTTCAAGAGGGAACATATACTTAGATTATGATAATCTACAGAATAAATATTTTCCTGTATTGAATAATGGAAATTAGATAGTCATTTGCTAAAATATGATTTTAAATAGCGTATAATTATTAGAAAACTTAATCAGAGAATTTGAATTGTCACAAAGTTAAATTGAAACACAAGGATGCAAGTATATTTCAGCCTGTAGCAAAGCTTACAAAATATACAAATTTCCTTTTGAGAAACACAAATAATTAAGCGATATCTGTGCAAAAATATTGATGAGAGTATCATACAATATAATTATTAGCATAGAGGAGAGAATAAAGATCAATTACCATTAGATTAATGGATTAGACACATAGAAACAGAAGTAAAATCTTAATAATGTTATAATATTTGATTATTCTTATCACACGGGTGTATATTAAAACTTATTATTAATTTTTTCATCTCTTTTTATGTAATTTGAATTTATTAGCTCATCAATTTGAGCAAGAATATCTTAAGCAGAAAAATCGTAATATCCAAGTAATCCCTTCTATACTCCAGCATATATTTATGGATAATACATTTCTTTGTTTGATTTCATCAATTTCACAATACTTGATTAAATTTTAACATCTCTTTCTTTTTTCAACATCAGTTGATCCTCAGTATTTTCTCCAACTTTCTTTGGTACTAAAGAAATTGGCCTATTGGGAACAAGTTGCATTTTCAATTTAGCCTATTCTGTTTAGAGATTATATTTTCCATCTGTCTCCACAAGAAGTCGAAAATCTAAAAGATTTTCCAATTATTAACTCAATTCCTCTTCATAACTAATACCTATGTCATTTAATAATTCCCCTTTGGATCTTCCTCCATTTTATTTTAAATTAAGAATAATAAAGAGTTATAGATTAGAGACGAAAATCTTGCCCACTTATTAGGGTGCTGGCCCAAATCTAAGTATTATATATAATAATTACTTATAATTAATAGTTGATTATCCTATTCTATAATTCCAAACCAACGATTTCTTTTCGGTTTATTATTTTTTTGAATAAAGCAGCTCCATTTTATTTATCGCCTATTAAATCATTTTTGGAGGATTAATTTTATCTCTATTATTCAAAGTATTAAACTCTTTCAAAGAATTTGTCCTTGTAAAAATAGTAAATTAAACATTCGTTCCTTATAATATTTTAGAATCCGACATAAGAATTTACACTTCATTGTCTAAATTTCTATAATATTTGAAATCCTTCCAAACTGTTAATAAATCTGATGGCAAATGTTCAGGATGCTCTCTTCTTAATGATTTTAGAAATTCTTCCTCGTATCCGAGATTCTTAATTTCTCCTCTGAAAATTCTGCTTTTCAGATTGTCTGTAATCTTTTAAAATAATTTGCCCTTGCTATTAATTAATAGGATGAAGGCTAGAATGTTGATGTTGAATTTTTCAAATTTTTATCTATCCTCGTCATTGTTAGTTTCTTTTAATTTGTCTTTCAAAGATATGTGAATATACATTGACAATTTATCCATAAATCTATCAGCTTAATTTAATTTCTCTTTAAATGTTAATTCCATATGATTTCTAAACCTATGTGAATCCTCAAAACTAATTTACACCAATCTTAAGCAATATTCATAAAGTTTTTAGAGATTATCAATTTAGGCTAAATGCATCTGCATAGTTTTAGCACCTTATTGTTATTATGTTTATTTAGTTTGCTGTTATGGCATTTATTATTGTTAAGGTTTTTCTTCAGATTCTGACATGATTTGAGTAATTTAATTACGAATAAATTGTTGAAACTCTTACAATAATTTATCTATATAATTAGTTGCATTCTTATATAATTAATAGAGCTTTGAGATGGGCGATAAATCAAAACTGTTTCTTAATTACACAAATTGCTGTTACATACCATCTTGAGGATTTTAGAGAATTTTATCAACTCTTTGTTCTAGAATTTCATTTACAAATGTTTTTATAATTTCTATTGGCGTATAGAACTTCTTATAAAATTGATTATTCAATGATTCTTCGATTATTACTTATTGTGTGGCTAACTTTACGTACTCAGTGCTAGAACCAGTGGATATCCAATTGAGAGATAATTCTTAATAGATTTTTCTTGTTCCTTCTAACAATGTATTATATAGGAGAGTATCAAAGGTTGTTTTAGGACTTGGAAGTGATTGCATTTTTGGAGTTTTCTATCTGACTGCAACAATAACTTGTTGATCAACGCTTAGTATTTCTAATCTATTCCTCTAAGCCATTGCATTCAAATCTAATATCTACAAATAGCAAAACTTATTTACTTCGATAAAACTTTGCAGTTATTATTTCTAATTTGGATTGTTTGTTAGTCGTATTTGATTTAGCAAATCAATGAATGAATTTTTATATTTCTACTTGATGGTTTCAAGTGTCATCACTTTTGCATCAAAATTTAGCAAACCTATTTCCACAATATATAGTTAAGGAGATCCTAATAAGCAATCATAATTATGGATCAAAGTTGAGAAATATCTTAATAGACACTTAAATAGATCTATTTCAAAAATAAACGATTCGACAAAATCTTAAGAGTTTATTAATTGAGGAATCATTTAGGTTTCTAGATATTTCAATAACCAAATTTCAAAAGTTTCCTTTAATTTATGAGCCTGATTGGTTTGAAATTCAAATGTCCAACTTGAATTGTTAATAGATGGGATAGTACTTATATAATTCCATATATCTGGTTTTTGTCATTGAAACAACTTCACCAGAGCGCAATTTTTTGCAGACTTCATTAGTGTAATCCTCTAATTTTTCTTGAATGCTTTGCTAACTCATATTTAATTTATTAATAATTTCTTATCATCTTTGATCACTTTAAAACAATAATATCGATTATTAATAACACAATGAAAGACTTGAATTTTTGAGAGTAAATTTTATATAATAAAGAACAAATAAATGTTAGGGTTTCGATAACTATCATCCAAATACACCAACTCTTTCAAAAAGATTGTAGTAAATAGCTTCAATCTCTTTGGTATATAACCTAGACTAACAATCACAAAAGCCAAATCAGTAAACACTTTTTTCGGATCAACATTTACAATTGTATTGTTAGTCCTAATAATTACTTTATTTATTTATGATCTAAGTGAATTCACCTTAAGAGAGAAACCAACTGTTATTCAATCTGACAGCGAGCTTGATATAGATAAAGTATGATATTTTAATAGCCAATTAAGGAGTACCCTATTAAACAGTCTAACTTCACATTAGCCTTGGCCATTTACAATAAAGATTTCATGCCTATTGAGTAAATGGAGAGATATTTTACGCTATCAATTCAATTTTGCAAAAAAACCAAAAATAATCCCCAAAATCCAAATCTAACCTTTAAAAAGTAAAATCCTAATATAGATTAGATGATTAGTTGTACATAATTAGAAACAGTCCCTTGTCAATAGAATAACTTTTAGGATTAGGACATTAAAAAGTACTTTGTAGGAGCTAATCTGAGTCATTTTATGTGTATAAAGAATAATTAGTTTGATATTCTCAAACCAGTAATATTTGAAGATTATATTTAGAGTTTGTAAGGAGTAATTTCATCTGACATTTACCAATATTTGACTATCAAACTATCAATTTGTAGAAATAACACTGACAGGTAAGACTGCTTTCCAGAAGAGAATAATAAAAATTAACTCTTCCAAACTTATTATACTTACTATCTTACTGATAATCTTATCCAATTAGACAATTCCTAAAATTTAACTCAATAAATATTGAGAACCCAAAACTTCCAAATTATAAAGAACTATTAAAGATAAATTAAGTAATAATATAAAGTAGTTGAAAGCGAAGTGGATAAAGCATTTATTTATATTTAAAAAGAATATAGTAGTTGTCTATAATTATAAGATCAGAAGGAAGTACTCATTTTTGATCCTTCTGATACTCTTATAAACTAAGAAATTGATCTGAGTTATAAGTAAACCAAACTCATTATAACTTACACGAAAATCTCATCATTTTTAAGTAAACTAGGAGGATATATCTTTATTATTTATATCTTCTTTGACATTTTATTGATACCTATAAATAGGTTATTTTATTTGGTACAATTAACAAATAAGATCTTTCGTTTCAAAATACTCTAAAATGACTTTATTATTTGTTAATAAGAAAATGACCAAGTTATACAAAAATCTGCTTATTTTTAAAATATCGAAAGCCCAAATTCTTATTGTTGGGCAAATGTTAACGAAAATTTACTGCTTTCAAATTCTAGAATCTATGCTTACTTATAAAACTTAAAAGCAAGTATAAATCTATCTTGGACACAAACTATTTCAATTTTGTTAGGATGCAGTAGAGATAAAAAGAATTAATTGAAAGAAGCAGAAATTAGATTGAACAAAAAAACAGACGTAACCTATTTAGTTAAGAAACTCATAGAGATTGAAAAATTAAAATATGTACTACTTAATGATGATCAATTAAACATATTTAATAGCATTGAAAAACCTATTTTGTTTGTTGATGACAAGTTAAAAAAAAATAAATAAAAACAATATTTTGATGAAGATTCAAAAATCACTAAAATCTAAAAAGGCTTTAAGTCTTATGTTAGTTTATAAGTAAAACCCTAAAAAGGAGCCACTGACTTAAAATTATTATCTCTACTTGATAGTGATATGATAAATCTTTATGAACAATTATATCGAGATTTAACATTTAAATCATTCTTCTAGAACATAGAATTAAAAGAATCGAAAACATTCAAATCGAAAAAGAATTCAAAAGAAATTTCCCCAGATTAACAAATGCATAAACACATAAAATTATAGACCAATGCTGATTAGTGAATTTATATTAATTTAATGTTATAAATAACAATAAGCTATATAAATATCGTTGCCGGCCATACTAAGCCTAAAGCACCGGATCCCATTCGAACTCCGAAGTTAAGCGGCTTAAGGCGAGGTTAGTACTAAGGTGGGGGACCGCTTGGGAAGTCCTCGTGTTGACAACCCTTTTTTATTCTATACTATAAAAATGCTTGATTAATGTCTCACAATTAATTTCATTAAATTAACATAATCAAAAAATAAATAAATGATAACCATTATATCATAAATGTGTGTTTTTAACAAACCTATTTCCTTCACTTTTAGTTTTTACGGTTTTGCTGTTCGGTTTTTAGTATTTAGCATTATAATCGATTGTTCCTTTCTTTTATTCATTTTAATTCTACAAACAATAAACATTATATTTACTTAAGCTTGCTATTATTTGATTTATTATTATTATTTCCAAAAATTAGGATCAGCCTCTTGAGGATTGATTGGGGTACCGTCTAAATTCTTTAATAAAGGCATTTCCTAAATGAATTTAGCTCGATAACTATTGATGACGTTTTTACATACTTAACATATTCCTCTTCTCCTTAAGTAAACATGGGACATATAGGATTCTTTATTAAACTTAAATGTGTTAGCTTTGGAAACTTCTCTTTACAATGTTATATGAACCTGAATATATATATAGATTACATGTCAAAATTATTAAATGTGTTTTTGTTTGCGCTAAGGGTAATTAAATTTGGCAAAATTGGAAAATCATCCAATCTGAAAAAGTAATTATTATCTATGATTAAGGTTTCTAAATTTGGAAACATGCTGAATTCTTTTCCAGACTTTAATAGATTACTCTAAAATGACTAATGGATATTACAGAAACATCCAAATGCTTGATGTTTTATTGAGGCTCTTGAGCTTATTCCTATAAATCCTTTAACTTCAATCCAGCCAAGATTAACATGTGAAGGGCAATTATTTAAATAAATAAATATATATATAGAAAAGTTCAGTCTTTTTTAGCCAGAAACCCTATTTGCGTAATTTAAAGGCTATTGAATTAACTTGATGAAGGACTCAGCTTGGTTCTTTTACTCAATTTAATTGAATCACCGTCAAAGAACTTCTCCTCTTATCCCCAATTATTTAACTTTTCATCTGAAATTAGTATCATTGGATCATTTGATAACTTTTATTGGGTAAATTAAAATGGTTCAATGTGAAAACAAAACTTTCTCATTGTTAAATAGATCATAGCAATTATCGAAAAGCAAAGATAAAAATTTTCCATTAACATAGCAGGCAAATACGATTAAAAAGATTATGTCACAGTAACCAAAACCTGAAGTAAATGCACAAGAAGCAATAGTAGATAATAAATCACTTTAAGGAATTTTCTATTTATTTTTGAATGCTTTACTTCAAGGTTTTCCAAGTTTTCTTCTTCATAGAAATCTTGAGACATGAATGCATCAGAATTATTACTCCCAAAACTGAAATCACTCCCNTTTTTTATTCTATACTATAAAAATGCTTGATTAATGTCTCACAATTAATTTCATTAAATTAACATAATCAAAAAATAAATAAATGATAACCATTATATCATAAATGTGTGTTTTTAACAAACCTATTTCCTTCACTTTTAGTTTTTACGGTTTTGCTGTTCGGTTTTTAGTATTTAGCATTATAATCGATTGTTCCTTTCTTTTATTCATTTTAATTCTACAAACAATAAACATTATATTTACTTAAGCTTGCTATTATTTGATTTATTATTATTATTTCCAAAAATTAGGATCAGCCTCTTGAGGATTGATTGGGGTACCGTCTAAATTCTTTAATAAAGGCATTTCCTAAATGAATTTAGCTCGATAACTATTGATGACGTTTTTACATACTTAACATATTCCTCTTCTCCTTAAGTAAACATGGGACATATAGGATTCTTTATTAAACTTAAATGTGTTAGCTTTGGAAACTTCTCTTTACAATGTTATATGAACCTGAATATATATATAGATTACATGTCAAAATTATTAAATGTGTTTTTGTTTGCGCTAAGGGTAATTAAATTTGGCAAAATTGGAAAATCATCCAATCTGAAAAAGTAATTATTATCTATGATTAAGGTTTCTAAATTTGGAAACATGCTGAATTCTTTTCCAGACTTTAATAGATTACTCTAAAATGACTAATGGATATTACAGAAACATCCAAATGCTTGATGTTTTATTGAGGCTCTTGAGCTTATTCCTATAAATCCTTTAACTTCAATCCAGCCAAGATTAACATGTGAAGGGCAATTATTTAAATAAATAAATATATATATAGAAAAGTTCAGTCTTTTTTAGCCAGAAACCCTATTTGCGTAATTTAAAGGCTATTGAATTAACTTGATGAAGGACTCAGCTTGGTTCTTTTACTCAATTTAATTGAATCACCGTCAAAGAACTTCTCCTCTTATCCCCAATTATTTAACTTTTCATCTGAAATTAGTATCATTGGATCATTTGATAACTTTTATTGGGTAAATTAAAATGGTTCAATGTGAAAACAAAACTTTCTCATTGTTAAATAGATCATAGCAATTATCGAAAAGCAAAGATAAAAATTTTCCATTAACATAGCAGGCAAATACGATTAAAAAGATTATGTCACAGTAACCAAAACCTGAAGTAAATGCACAAGAAGCAATAGTAGATAATAAATCACTTTAAGGAATTTTCTATTTATTTTTGAATGCTTTACTTCAAGGTTTTCCAAGTTTTCTTCTTCATAGAAATCTTGAGACATGAATGCATCAGAATTATTACTCCCAAAACTGAAATCACTCCCCAATCAAAAAAGTTTAGTATCTGAAGACTTTCTTGAAGAGTTATCAATCTACTCCTAGGTTAACAAAGTACAAAATCAAAAACATATAAAGGCATCGATAATACAACAAAAATTGAGCTAAAAATTACAGAATTAAGTAACGGAATTTTGGATTTAGTAGGTAAGGTATTTGTAAATTCTTAATAATTTAAGCTAAGCAATCCAATTTTACCCAAGATATAGAATAATTAATTCGCATATATGAACAAATTATCTATTCCTTTTAACTTACACACGCTTTAAGAATACCTTACTATTTCAATTGTGTGAAGGGTGATATTACTTAAAATTATTATGGTAAAATAACTAAATAATAATTTCCAACTACAATCTATTCTCTAATCTCTATAATAATATTTAAAATTCATGTTTTGTTAGTATTTGATCTCCGGAATAGGTAGGGAAATTTAAGTCAATTCTCTAGTTAATTGCTTTTTCTTTTTCTTTTTTTTAAACTTCTTTTTTTGCTATTTTTACTTATCAACTTATCTAGGCTCTGTTTATTTATTTTCTTCTTGGATTTGAAATAGAAACTATTTAGTTTTATTGATTCTTACGTCTTTGTTTTATTTTTTAGAATGATGATGGTCTACATCAATTTGTGGTGAACAACTATTATTAATGGATTAGTCTGACAATTCATTAATTGTAGAGAGCTATCTTTTCAAAGTGATTGGAATTCTAGTTGATAATGATCTTGAGTAAGTACTTTTTGATTCTTTCCTATCTCTCCATTTCCTTTTGCTTCAATTATTGTATGTCTAATTATTCTTCATAGATCTCTTACAATTCGGATTATTCTTGCCGTTTTTCAACCTCCACCACAATGAACTCATTTGGACTCTACTTAATCAGATACTTTACTTTATTCTCTATATCATCTGATTATTAATCGTGAGGATCGATATTAACAATAGGGTCATTTGAATTGATTTCAGTAGTAATCATAATAATATATTTAATTTATGAAGTACTCAATACAGAGCAATTACATACTTTACAAAGATCAATTAATAAGTGGATACGTGTGCATTGAAGATGAATACATCAAACATATTTTGTCTGAGCCGAATGAATTATTAAATCAATACCCTATCAAGTATGTCTACATGAATTAAGTGCTCATGGCAGCTGCTATTGATACTAATGTATCATTAAGCATTTGGAATCATGTTGAAGAATTTACTAAGTATGAAGTTTAGACTATTAGATTGGCTATTGTCGGAGGTGCATCTTTAATTGTTAATAAACCTTACTAATTGAATTTCGATCTAGATGCATAGGAAACCTACTAAATGCAAATCCAATAATTGCAATCCTAATCACAAACTGATTTTATTTAAATGGCGAAAATTCTATAAAATGAGGATGTACACACTCAAGCCCTATTTTTGCATAGATAGATAAACTAATGAAGTTAGGCGCATTTTGTTTCGATTGCCATTTACTACCTTCCTATTCTGGCACATATTTTAAAGATTTCCAGTAATTGTAATAGGCTTTATAACAATTGCCCTCCCAAGCATGTCTTTTTATACATGCTTAAAATACCGTTGACAAAGATTTGGGGATTACATCTCCCTTCAGAACAAAACCCTTTGCTGAACGACTTAATATTACTTAATTAGATTTAGTAGATGCAGATGGAGTTTCAGGATCATGTATCAGTGATGATGAAAATATTCAAAATGATGATCCCAAATATTTGTAATAAATGGATTACCTTAATGAGAGTAACTCTCCTATTAAGGAAATAGGTATTAATTGAATATTAAATATAGTTAAAAAATATAAGAATTCAGATGAGAAGAGAATCTCAGAATTTGATGACTAATATGACACTCCCTAGTCTCCAAAACTTCAAACAAATATATTTAAAATAAAATCTAAGTAGATTACTGAGCAATCATAAATTTCTCTAATAAGTAGAGCTGAACTTATAACATATAAGGAAGCTCCTAAGATGGAATCGAATTATAAATTTCCTCAAGAAGACTCAGATAGTCCATAATAACAATAATAATATCCTTCATTCAAATTAGAATAAAAAGGATCCACTTAAGATCAAGAATCATCCCCTTTAGGATCAAAAAAAGATTCAAATAATTAATAAGAATCCAATCCAAAACATAGTCCTCAAATGTCCATATAATCTTCAGATGTATCATCACCAGAAAGTCTATCTTTCAGATCTGATTGCAGACTGAGATCAAGAGCTTAGACTGCTTAAGGACTTCTACAAAGAAGATAATCAAAAACAGGATTTGCACTAGTGCTGCACTAAGTTGAACAAAATTCAAATGGCAAGCATGGTTCTGGAGATATGGTACTTTTCAATTTTTCAGAATCGAGGCCTCGTTAGAATTAGAATAATAATAATAGATTCAATAGAGATTACTTATGTTTTTTAGCATTTCGACCTGCTACTTGGGAAAAATTTGCTCTTTAAAAAGTGAAAAAAATGATCAAGCACTAATTTAAATGCAACATTATTCTAAATGGGTTTTCTTCTTCGTTTTCTTTGGTGGAAATAAAAGAGTTGATAAATAACTAAATATTCAGTGATATTGGATATCCTTATCTTTTATTAGATAGTGATGACATAGGGGATGGAATCACTAAATTCAAATCTGATCCTCCGATTAGGCAAAAATACAATAAATAACTATTATAAAAAGGCATATCATAAAATAATTGGATTAGTAGCATATCAAGTTCACATCTTTATGTAAATGGTTTGTATAAGTTTGAAGAGCAAGGAGATTTTAGAAAAGCAGTCAGTGGATTGTGTAGTATTGGTTGCACTTTCCAAGCTTTATGGACCTTGTTATTTTGTAAAAAGAATCAAGATCCAAATATCATTAAAAAAGCATTTTACAATAAAGATACAACTAGTTCAACTTATAAAAGAATGTTGTTAAAACTAATTTAATTATAATAACTTGTATCTACAGGACCAGCTCAATATTTAAATTTGAAAGACAGGGGATGTATAGAAGAAGGAAAATTAGCAGATTTAGTTGTGTTTGATCCCTTTAAAGCATGGAAATTAAATTTCGAAAAAATAAACCACACTTTTACATTTTCTATTGATAAACACATATTTAAAAACAGATTATTTTTAGGTTCTGTGGAGTCAGTGTTTATTAGAGGTACTTATAAATTATAATTTTAGGGGAAATTATTTTAAATTAAGAAAATCAAATAATTTCAATTCAAAATAGAAAAGGGATTTAAGTATTGAAATGATTTTAAATTAAATCACTAATTATATACTACTTTATATAATTAAAACTTTAATTTCTTAATTAGCCAATAAAATTGTATGTTATTATTTCTTTTTCCTTTTTGAACTTTTTTTAATCAATAAATAAGCGATTCAAAATGAACAATGAAATCCAATCGGTTTAAAAATTATCTTTGTTTCTATGGTATTTGATTTTTTATTATTTGCAGTGATTATAATATTAATTGATTGTTGACTAATAGAGAACAGGAATCATCAATTCTAATATAATATAATATTATATAAGGCAAAACATTTAAAGAAGATTATTCTAATGTTTAGGGGCAGAATCCATGAATTAAACTAACGAAAACGCTTTCAAATAATTTTTGTTTTCCATTAAGATAATTATTGATGACTTTTATTGTTGAATTCATGAAATAAATTAACTATTTCATTAAGATATCAAAATAAAGATTTCTCATTTATTTATTAAATTGTAATTTAGATATTATTTTAATGTATTATAAATATTCATTTAATAAATGGGTTCCTGTAATAGCTGCAATTCCTCAAAATATGTGCAATCAAACCTTGAATCAGAGGATGATTGTAAAGTGATTTAAAGAACAAAATCTGCATTAAAAAAAGGCACTGTAACATATGAAAAGAGTAGAACAGATTTAGAGGATAATGTAATTGCAGATGAGAACAGTCTTGAAAACAGCTAGCAATTACCTACTTTTATTTAATAAAGACGGATAACAGAAATAGTTGTGCAAACAAGAGTTAATAGATTTATGAAGGATATTGAAGAGGAAGTAAGATATCGAATAAAATAGATGTAGTTTATACATGATTACCTAGATAATTAGAAGAAAAAGAATAAATGGACAAGCTTATTCAATAACAATTGCAATAACAATCTATGTCCTTTTAGGATTGCAAATAGGAATCTGCTGATTTCAACAGTGCACATTTTAATCAGTCTATCTCATTCTAAAATTCATAGGATTTCTAAAATATACAAAATACCCCATCTAAAACATATTTACCAAGACAATATTCATAATTTGCACCCAAAAAAGATAATGATACTGTGACCTATAATTCGTAAGTGAGTTAGACAATCAACTCTTAAAAATAAAAAACACCACCCAGAGAAAAATATAAACCCATCCAAACTCTAAAGGATGAGGAGAAGAGCATTTTAGCTAGTTTCGGAAGTCAGCATAATAATCCTCGTAACTCAGATTCTTAGGATGCTTAATTTAGTGATCATTTTCGAGAATAAATTTCAAGTAATGCTAGTAAAGAACATAGTGTGAAAAGCATTTTAAAAACTAGTCAAAATTTTTAAGATTTAAATAGAAATTATTCAATTAAATCAACTCATACCAATATTAAATAAAAAAAAGTCTCATTCTCAGTTGAAACAAATTACTATTCTTCTAGAACTACAAAAAGAAACTAAACAAATCTATTAAATAAAGCATGACCTAATTAAGTATTGATTTCATCTAATATTTGTCATTTTGTTATGAACATTTATTTTCTATATCTACATATTAGATTTGATAAGTGCAATCATAATATTATTAATTCACCCCTTAATTACTTAAATTTTAATTGATTTTCAATTCATCAATGAATTTATTAAATTGAAATGGATTATAATTATGTATTTTAATTTTCTTATCAGAACTCAAATATATATAGTTCTTTAAGTATAACTCTTGTTACCTTATTGGATAATATTTATTATTATTTTCAGATAAAATTCTAAAGATTATTATTAAAATGATTAAGAATTTTAGAAAAAATTAAATTAGTTAATATTATCAAACTATTTTTTTACTGATTTTCTTTATAATATCCAATATATTGGTATTCAATCTTAGCAAAAAGATTTATTAATTATAATTAATTTATGTTGAATTTCAATAATTCATAAAATTAAATTTTATTATTATATAACTGAATGTTATATGATCCAAACACTTATAAAGGAATTAAGGGTGGCACTTAATTTAATGAAACTGAATTTTTTGATGCTATAGCAAATAAGGCTCCTAAAAGCAAGTCTATCCAATCTAACATAAGGGTCTAAAACCAACCTAAGATTCTTTATAAAAACTAAAAATAGTCTACTTAAAGTGCAGAAAAAAAGTACACTTCTCCACAAATCAAGTCCCCTTTAAAATTGTTTGCTTATAAGCAAAGTGGATCCTCTTGTTCTTTAAATAGTGATGAATATATTTTGAAAATAAAGTAATGGAATTAAAATATGATGAATAAAATAGCTAGAACTTAATAATCCTCTCCACCTAAGAAAGGCATACTCAATTAATGCATAGACTCTTATATGAAAAAATAAAAATGTAAACAGTTTATTTCATCAATATGATTTTTCCATTTATTTTCATGTTTATCTCTACATTATTTTATTATCAGTCTCAAGTTCTTTAGTATTTTTTTGGAATTTGTATAATTGTTGATATTAATTTTATGGAATTGTAGTTATCTTTGTTAACTATTAATCAATATATATAACCATTAGTCCTTCAAACAAATTTTAAAGTTTTAGAATTAGATTATAATTATATATCAAACTATAATGTTATATAATAAATTGTTCATTTATTTAATAATTAAATTTTACCATTTTTAGAAATCTTCTAAAGACAATGATAAACTCAAACCAACTAAATATTTATAGGAGTGAAGAATAAATGTTAGAAAATCGATTACTATCTTTACCATTCGAAGTATGAATAAAGAAAAATAATTCATAAGATTCTTATTAATCTATTTGTGGTTCATATTTATAATAAGATAATAAGGAAATATATATGTTGAATCATTTTATTCATAACTAAATTTATTGGGATTGAATTTTCAAAAGAAAATAAGAGGGTCATAAAATTTATAAAGGTTTTGTAATGTGCAAACTTTCCACATTCGTTAAAAAACCAATTCAAGCTTTCATCATAATTAGTGATAAAATTTAAGCAAAAACAATATATGGAATAATATTTAATTTTATGACTTGCAATATTTGTAAAAAGTCAACCTTTATTTTTGTATAAACCTAAGTGTGTTTGGGATAACCAGCATAAAATAGCCTCTATTAGCATAAATAAATCCATTATTTTTGATTAGATAACAATGATGTGATTAGCAAACAGCTTAGATTAATTTTAATAAAAATATAATAGTAAATGTTGAATTGGATTGGGCTGGATGAACATAATTTCAAAGAATGCCGATTTGATAAACTTGAAAAGGTCATGATTATTCATTCCTAAATTATAAGATGATGAATCTACTATATACTTATCCATACTTTCCTTAGTATTACTAGATCTAAATTATNGCAAATAAGGCTCCTAAAAGCAAGTCTATCCAATCTAACATAAGGGTCTAAAACCAACCTAAGATTCTTTATAAAAACTAAAAATAGTCTACTTAAAGTGCAGAAAAAAAGTACACTTCTCCACAAATCAAGTCCCCTTTAAAATTGTTTGCTTATAAGCAAAGTGGATCCTCTTGTTCTTTAAATAGTGATGAATATATTTTGAAAATAAAGTAATGGAATTAAAATATGATGAATAAAATAGCTAGAACTTAATAATCCTCTCCACCTAAGAAAGGCATACTCAATTAATGCATAGACTCTTATATGAAAAAATAAAAATGTAAACAGTTTATTTCATCAATATGATTTTTCCATTTATTTTCATGTTTATCTCTACATTATTTTATTATCAGTCTCAAGTTCTTTAGTATTTTTTTGGAATTTGTATAATTGTTGATATTAATTTTATGGAATTGTAGTTATCTTTGTTAACTATTAATCAATATATATAACCATTAGTCCTTCAAACAAATTTTAAAGTTTTAGAATTAGATTATAATTATATATCAAACTATAATGTTATATAATAAATTGTTCATTTATTTAATAATTAAATTTTACCATTTTTAGAAATCTTCTAAAGACAATGATAAACTCAAACCAACTAAATATTTATAGGAGTGAAGAATAAATGTTAGAAAATCGATTACTATCTTTACCATTCGAAGTATGAATAAAGAAAAATAATTCATAAGATTCTTATTAATCTATTTGTGGTTCATATTTATAATAAGATAATAAGGAAATATATATGTTGAATCATTTTATTCATAACTAAATTTATTGGGATTGAATTTTCAAAAGAAAATAAGAGGGTCATAAAATTTATAAAGGTTTTGTAATGTGCAAACTTTCCACATTCGTTAAAAAACCAATTCAAGCTTTCATCATAATTAGTGATAAAATTTAAGCAAAAACAATATATGGAATAATATTTAATTTTATGACTTGCAATATTTGTAAAAAGTCAACCTTTATTTTTGTATAAACCTAAGTGTGTTTGGGATAACCAGCATAAAATAGCCTCTATTAGCATAAATAAATCCATTATTTTTGATTAGATAACAATGATGTGATTAGCAAACAGCTTAGATTAATTTTAATAAAAATATAATAGTAAATGTTGAATTGGATTGGGCTGGATGAACATAATTTCAAAGAATGCCGATTTGATAAACTTGAAAAGGTCATGATTATTCATTCCTAAATTATAAGATGATGAATCTACTATATACTTATCCATACTTTCCTTAGTATTACTAGATCTAAATTATGAAAGATTATAAAATATTGTTATGTGAAAATAATTTTACTATTAATTGATTTATAATTTAAATCCAAATAAAATTGAATATTGCTTTGATAATTCATTTTATTTTGATAAGAGTTAAAAATTGATTTTAATAGAAATATCTTACTATTGAGAATGTATAGGAATTTTTATAAATAAAAATTAATTTATAAACAATTTAAATGACAACACAACAAATAAATAGGTATCTATTAGGTTTATTATGATGATATTATAATTAATGTGATATATTAATTATAGTGATATTATAATTATATTGAGATATTATAATTATTGTAATTTAAATCTTTTGATTTTTATTGCATACAATAAATTAATTAAAAATGGCACACTCATCATCAAGTGGATCATCAAATTTCTTATATGACTTTTTAGCAGGTGGTGTTTCTGGAGCTTTGGCAAAAACAATTGCAGCCCCAATTGAAAGAGTGAAATTGTTGCTCTAGACATAGCACACTAATCCTAAATTAATTGCTAGACCATATAAAGGTAATTAGATATTTAGACTATGATTAGGAATTTTGGATTGTTTCAAGCGAGTGTTTGTAGAGGAGGGTGTTCTTTCATTTTGGAGAGGAAATTGGGCCAATGTCATCAGATACTTCCCAACATAGGCCATTAATTTTTCTGTGAAGGATGCTCTTAATAGATAATTCTTAGCTGGTGTTGATCCCAAAAAAAGACCAGGCAGGTATTAAATACAAGTAATTAGATTCTTTGCTGGTTCATTGTTAAGTGGTGGTATTGCAGGAAGTATCGGATTATTAATTGTGTATCCACTTGATTTCAGTAGAACAAGATTGGCAGCAGATATCGGAAAGGCAGCAAACGAAAGACAATTTAAAGGATTGGTGGACTGTATGGGTTAAATTATCAAAACCGATGGCATCACCGGAATCTATTAAGGATTTGGCATATCAGTCGTTGGTATTTTTGTTTATAGAGCTTTATACTTTGGGTAAATCTAATTTATTATCATTTTAGTGGTTATGATGCTGGTAAAAGAGCCATTTGGGGAGATGATGCTGCTTAAAGAAATTCTTCTATTTTAGCTAGATTCTTCTTTGCTTAATTTGTAGTATCAACATCTGAAACACTTTCATATCCACTTGATACCGTTAGAAGAAGATTGATGATGCAAGCTGGGCAAAAAACTAACGTTGAATACTCAGTAATATGCATATTTAAATATTTAGGGAACTGTAGACTGTTTTGCAAAAATCATAGCAAAAGAAGGCCCAACAGGATTCTTTAAAGGAAATCTATCAAACATTTGGAGATCTGTTGGTTCATCTTTAGTGTTAGTGTTTTATGACGAATTCCAAAAATTAGTAGCATAAGGTGGAAAACATTGATTCATTTAATAGCAATAATTACAATTATTTTTTTAAAATATGTAATAGTATATGGAAGAGGCATCCAAAGTCATTCCTAAAAATCTCACTACTTATTTTAACACAGTTGTAGGTGCTCTCAACATTTTCTAAACTATGGCTAACAAGTTTTACCCTGAATATATGGAGGTGTAAAATGCAAAGAATTTTTAAATAGATGACCCAACAGCTTACTCATCAATATATTAAGGTGATCCTTAATTAGAAAATAATAAGAGAAAATCTAGAATTTTAAAGTATGTGGATTCATAATATTAAACCAATTTAGAACTGAGCATTACAAACTTATGGATAAATTTTTAGAAAAGTACAATTTTGATAAGCAATTCAATTCATAATTGATAGGCCAACACTTTTTTAATGAAGCTATGGGTTGCTGTTAAATTGAACTATAAGCAATTATTAACGACACATCTGGAATATTTTATGAATAGTCAGGAATTCTGGATAAGACAAAATGGCTGAACCAAGCAATTGATGAAATATCACTTATCCTGTTAGAATATTTCAAAGGATAATTCTAAAAGGAATAGATTTTAGATGAATATATTGTTTCATTTGCTGAGATATAAAATAAAGTTTATTAAAAAGTAAATAAAAGAGCAAAGGCAACGTAAAAAGAGACTTATATCAAGTTGATACAAAAAATAAGTTAGTATTTTAAAGAATTGCATGATGTAGATCTTTAACTTCAAACCATATGTAGTTAAATTAGATCTCAAAATATTTCAATTTTAGATGCTAAAAAATTAATAGAAAGTTAATACTAAATTTAAATGGCTTGTTTTTAAGAACACATTTAGCAGAACTATGGGTATAATTTAACAAATGCAATTATGTATAAAATTATGCATTATTTAGATATAAATATTGTTAAAAGTTAAGAAGAAATTATGTCTCAACTGTATAAGACAGTTTTGCTCCTTATCTAAATTTCAATTAGGAAGAAAGGCAGAAAGAATATTAATCTTTAATAGAGCTTAATTTCTTAAAATATTTTCATAATAGTTAATTTATTCAAGGCATTACTGAATAAAATCTCAATTCAAATTTATAATACATAATATACTCTATTGATTGGATTTAATCCAGTGATGAAGCTGATGAAGCATTGAAACTTTTGGATACTTTATCAAATTTTAATCTTAATGTGAGTTAATCACAGAGTCAAATATTTTGCAATCAGCAATTCTCAGTTAATGTCCTTGCAAATTTCAAAAACCATAATAAATAAAGATGTGAAAAGGCATTATAATGGTGGGATAATGAAGTTGATGAAGATACAAATATACAAGTCATTTGTTAAATATATATAATTCTAGCAGGTATAAGAATCAGGGATAATAAATTAATATTTGGTGACTATGAACCTGCCAAAAGAAATGCCTTCTCCCTCATATTAAGATAATTAAACAATGGAAAATATCAATATTTTAATAATATTTTGATGAAATTATGCGAAAAAGTGACTGACAAAATCTAATTCCAAATACTAAATGAAATAGAACATAGATTAGAAAATAACAGGTCGGATTAATTAGATGCTGTGATGTAACTGCCTTTCTCGATTGATTTGTATGGTACATAAATTAATGTTTCTCTATTTGGTCAAGGTTAAAATTAAACCTAAATTAATTTTGAATTTTACAAAAAATATGAATACTTAAAATTGATTGTTTCAGGGAAAAAGGGAGATAATGCAAAAACATAGAAGGAAATTCAATATTCCGTAATTTAAAGTCATTTTGAGGAAATCAAAACAAAAATAATGGACAGCCAAAATAAAAAAAAGAATAAATCCGATGAATCTCAGGCCTTCATGACACCTCCATCTCAAATGTACTTTCAATTACTTTCAAAGAAAGAAAACAACTCGAATGTTATAACACTATGTATCTCTGGGTTCTTGAGTGGAGATGAGGATAAATCTTCTTAATGGGTTGATTTATTGCATTCCTGTTCTGGTACAGTAATTGGATTACATTGGAATTGCAGTGAAACGAAAGAAATCTTATCTTCTGTTACATCACATCTGGCTTAAAACATTTTGCCTCAATTAATTACGAAAATAAATGCTGTTGGTGTAGCATTGGGTGCAGTATCATTGCTTACTTAAAATCCTTATGAGAGGGCTAGCAAGGAAGCTGAAAGAGTTGGGAAATATTTGGCATATTTAATTGCTGAATACAAACTATTTGGAAATAGATAAATTAATATAATTTGTCATTCATTAGGTAGTGTGATTGTTTTAGAATGCATAAAAGAATTAGATAAGCTATATGAAAAAAAAAAATAATAATTTATTAATGAAATAATGATAATGGGAGGAGTGGCTGATGTTTTCAAGTTATAAAAGAGAAGATGGAATGCAGTGGCTGGAAGAATTTATAACACTTATTCAAAAAAGGATTAGATCTTGAAATATGTGTTAACAGTCGCAAAGATCTTTGACTCTCCTTGTGGTATTTATATAGATTTAACATAATTTTAGGATTAAAGCCTATTTATTTAGGATATAAGTAAGTAGTAAACTGCGATTTCACCTAAATAGTTAATGGACACTCTGATTACTGGAATAAGATGATAAAATTACTAATGCATTCTGATTTTAACAATGACTTTAAGTTCATGACTAGCTCAATAAAGGAAATATTTTGAATAATATATAAAATTATGGAGGATATTTAATTGATTATACGAAGAATAAAACGTTCAGGGGAGCCTCGCTTGAATCTTTCTGGTAAATCTATGATCAGCATACCACCTGAGATCTATTAATTGAAATTAACTCATTTGGATCTAAGTTTTAACAAGATCACTTCAATTGAATCGAAAATAGCAGGATTAACGAATTTGGAAGAGATTGATTTGAGCAACAATTGCATTGAAGAAGTACCAGAGGAATTGTTGAACATGTCGAGCTTATAAAGTTTGAATCTAAGCAATAATCCATTATTACCTAAATTCCAAACATTGTAAGGTCATTTCCATTAACCTCAATTGAATTAAATTCTATAAAAGGTGTTTCAAATAAGTCCAGGCTCAAATCAACAGGCAAAGCAAGAAAAGTAGTAGCCAGTTGTAATGGAAAGACCTAAAACACAAAATCGACCCATGAGATAAATATCTGAATTGCAACATACTAATCATGTGTTAGAGATAGATTCAAATGAATTCGAAGTGCATGAAATAATTTCATAAGGAGGCTTTTCAATTGTTCATAGAGGATATTTGAGAGGTACAGAAGTAAGTCTTATTGTGAATTATAGATTGCCATCAAAAAAATATTCAACCCTAACATAACATAATAATTATTGGATGAAATCAACAATGAGATTGAAATGCTATCATTGCTAAGACATCCAAATATAGTATTATTAATGGCCTGTTGTACAAAACCACCAAATTTGGTTATTGCCACAGAATATGTTTAAGGTGGAAGTTTATATCATTTATTGCATAAAACAAAGTATTTATATTTGAAATAAATAGTCATTAAATCAATGAGCAATTTAAATATTCTATTGCAATTCAAGTTGCAAGAGTGCTTCAATACATGCATTAAGCAGGAGTTGTACATCGAGATATTAAATCACATAATGTGCTACTGTAGGGATAGACAGTAAAGTTATGTGATTTTGGTTTGACCAAGAGAAGTGTAATAATATTGTATAGATATGGTAGTCTGAGTTGAATTAGGGATATTAGTAATTTAGTGGAACACCTACATACATGGCTCCTGAACTGTTTGCAAAGAGGGTTTAGTTAATAAATATGCATAATAGGCTTACGATAAGAGTGTTGATTTGTTTGCTTATGGAACCTTGTTGTGGGAGATCTTTGCAAGAGAGATTCCCTGGGATTGTTTGGAGATGCAAGAGATTGTTCAGAAAGCAATGAAGAATGAATAATTACCAGCCAGAAATGTTCCAAAGAACATCCTACAATTGGTGAACGATTTGAGAAGCAAGGATGAGACAAAGAGGCCATCGATGGATATAGTAGTTAAATAGTTAATGAATAGATGATTTATATATAAATAAGATAAAATGATAAGGTTTGCTAAAATGTTTAAAGGATTGAACCATAGATAACAATATTGGCACATCGTTTCTAAGAGAAGTATCTTAATCCCAAATATATATTAATAGATGTTTAAATAACATTTAAGGATGATTTATTAGTGTTGACATTTCCATTTATAATGGGATCAAAGATGTTTTTTGCTCATTCGCAATATTCATTTTTGACTTTGTAGGAGCAATTGTAACTAGAAGAATCAACAAAAGTGGAGTTCTATTTAGATGGGACAGACCTAAGTTTGAGTAGCAACCTTTTCAATTATATTTTAAATGACAAAAAAAACAAGGCCATTAAACTGTTGATTTAGGATGAAGAATTCACAGTGACACCTGCTTATCAATTAAGTGAAGCTAAGATACTAAATTAATCAACTTAATTGAAACATTCTCCATAAAAGAGATATATTCAGATGGTCAATATGGGAATGGATCCAAGTCATGCAAATACATTGTCGTGGTTCTTGAATTCATGCAACATATAATAGAATCTCACAGAAAAGGAAATAGTCTAAGTGATGGAATAAGGATTATCTATATTGAAATAACCAACTAAAGATAAGTTATATGAGTTGCAACATTTGATCAATATATTGGAGGCTGAAATTTGCAAGTAAAGACAACAATTAGATGTGATGATTGGATAGGCTGAACAGACTGGTTATAGATGGTTAACACTCTTATTTGTGTTATCTGTATTACAGATCGGAGCATTTTATTATGGGATATACATGGTTGATGAATGGGGATGGAATGTATGTGAACCTTTCACTTACACATTGCAATGTGTCACAGTTTTACTAGGAATGATCTTCTATGTAAGATACAGAAGACAAAGAGAAATCGAATCAATTAGATGGGCATTTACATTCAGGTTTATTATATTGATATGATAGGAAGTAAATAAAGGAGAGAAATTGGAAGGATAGATGGAATCATTTGAATACATTGATTTCTTTGAAGGAAGAACAAAAAAGGGGCTTAGAATTAAGAAAAACTATTCTGTACAATAGAATGAACTATCACTATTATGTGTAATAATAGAAAAGATGATTTATATCAATATACATAAATAGCAACATTATCAATTCCCCATGATGCTTAACATGCGTCTTTCTTTCCCAAAGTTGTAGAGAACTCCAAATTCTCAAATGAATTTATGTGATATAAAGTTAGTCTAATAGCTTACCCTATTTGATCTGGAGCCTCACCTCCACAACTGTTGATTCCTTGCTTATAACATAACCAAGGCATCACTTTATCACACCAATTGTATGTATCCTACCATACAATCAGTTTATCCACCTTTAACTATCCGATTTCTCCCTACCATTAATCAATGAAGTGAAAATTAAATGAAATAGTAATGTATTCATGAGATGGTAAACCTACAAAGGTTTTTGAAACTGTGTTGTTTGAAAAATAACATGGCCCTCCCAAGAAATAGTTCTGGATTGTCTAACATTAAGAAACCCTTGTATCACTCCAACCATCTAATGGAATCTCAAAATCATCTAAAACGAATAACATTGGCTATTGAAGATCTCGGAAATAAAATTTATTCTCTGGATCTATTATCTTGACTCCATCTGATGTTGAAAATCCTGTCAAAATCTCGAACTCGTGATCGTTGATTTTATATGTAAATAATGGTTCCCTTTCACACTGATTATACATTATCTTAATTAATATTTCCATATTGTATTACTCATCTTCTGTTCCCAATCAATAAACTAAACGTTTTGTATTTCCTGATTTTGGCTATATTATTTATATCGATGTCAATTTGCTATCCTCTGATATGATCGACAAATAAGTAGCTGAGATTATTTGTAATAAAAATATTAACATTAATATACAATAAACCAATCAAATTCTATGAATTCAATGTATAAATCAGATGTCAAAATTATTATTGTTCAAAAAGATTCTAATTATGAGTTGATTTTAAAAATCAAGTATCCACATATATTAAGCTTTGAGTTCTGGCCATAAGAAGAAACGTTGCTGGATTAATTATTATCCTCATTTTTAATGATTATTAAGTTTATGAAGTATCATTTTATTCATCTCTAATGTTTAGAGTTTTTTGTGTTGATTTTATATTCTATAATACTCTTATAAGTTATGAATTACTTACAATTTAAATATTTCATTTTTTAAAGCTAAATTATAAGGGTTTTTTATCCATTTACGACTTATCTATCATGGCTATTAGAAAATTAAGTTCGTATTTCAAAATAAACCTAAAAGACGAACTTTTTGACTCTTATGAAGATATTAAAAAGTAATAACAAAAATTTAATTAAATCAAAAATTGATAGTGTAACTTCAATATAGCAAAATCTGATAGAGTTGAAATCCTCAACAAATAGTTGAAGGATCTTTGGTTATAACTACTGCTCCTAATTTCAATTTGATATCTACAACTATTCCATTTAATCATGAATTTATTACTATGCTAGACAATGATAAAAATAGATATACGAAAAAGAAATATGATTCTTTTAACAAATGAATATTAAGAATAAATTTATCACACTATAATACTTTTTAATAATTGGAACAATATCAATTAGAAATTAATCAATTACAAAACGAAATAAATACAACCCTTTAAAAATGATTAAATAAAAAAGAAAGAATAAAATGGACTTTGTAAGAGAAAACTCTTTGCTAATCCGAATGTATTAATCTTAATTGCTTTACTCATTAGAAACAAATTATTTAATCATCTTAAGTATCTATTCTTCTTTGGAAAATACTATTAAACATTTTCTTTATGTTTCTTTATCATCAATTAAAGGAGCTCAAGTTCTTTTTATTTGTTCTACGCCTCATTCAACTACTTTGTCATTCTAGGTTTGACTTCCCTTTTACTCAATATTCTTTGAATAGAAGTAGATTTTAATATGTCTAAGTGATTATCAGTTTTTAGATGAGTTCCTTTTTGACTTAGATTATTGGATCGACAATATAATTGCCTATCGGTTTAAGCATTTATTTGATGAATTTCTTATAAAGGTTACAACATTTATTTTTTGGAGGAACTCTATTACATAAAAATCTTACTTTAATTTAATCTTAAATTATCCTTTATGCAGTTAAATAGCACCTTAATTATCTTCCTAATAATCAGGTTATCGTTGGTATTGTTGATGAGCATCATATTTTGATTATTCATTTACTGACAAAAATTCCATAATCCTCTTCAACTCCGATATTTTATTGTTGTTATTCACAATTTATTAGTTTGAGTTTCTGATTTTTAGAAATAGATCAAAAAATATTATATTTAGTACTTGATTTATATTGTTCTTAGTCTTATTGGTGCTAGCACATGCTTATACTTCTGATTGATAATTGTTTTTAATTTATAGCGAATTCTAGTGATTTATGGATGAGATGTACAATTTATGGGTTTATGTGTTTGATGAGCCATTTGATCATCATAATTTTAGAGCCATCCTGAAATGGATTAGGAATTTTCGGATAATTCCATTTTTAAATATATAGTTGTTTAATTAAATTAACAAATTTACAAAGGATGCATTTAAAAATCATTTGATTAGATGGCAAACATATTTTGAATGTGAGAAATGGATGATTTAAGAATAAATACAAAATTAAGTTTCAATTTTGTTTATCTGACTCAACTTTGACTTAATCTATCTTAAGTTACTAGCCTTGATTTTGATAAGTCTAGAGTATAGTATGGAGATGAGTACTTGAAGCATCATTAATAATTGCATATTAATCATTTTTTACTGGGCTAACTCTCTTTGGCAGATTGCTAAAGCCATTTAAGCATTAGGCTCATCCAAATTAGGAGTGGAACCTACTTGACTTTGGGAGTTTAAAAAGTTTAATTGTTATTAAACAATTAGTGGATGCTAATTAATACTTCTATCTGCAGGCTAAAATAGTTATTTTGAATAAACAAACCCTCAAGTCAGGTGAAAATGTTCTTCTGTGTTAGGGAGCTTCTCTTTCCAAATCATACATGGATTACACTTTTCTCGTATAGGTGAAGTGATAATCCGAATCATCTTTCTTTTTTTTGTTTCTGTCTCTGGTTTTCTTTTTTCCAATTCTTCCTTCTTTTCTATAGGTTTGCAAGATGGCCTTTGCTGTACTGAAATTGACTCCAAACTCTTTGGCAGCCTCTTTAATAGTGGCTTCTTTAGAGAGAATGCGTTTAAGTAATTAAACTCTGATCTAATGATCAATTACTGCATATTTCTTTCCATTATCCTTGAGGCCCGAATTGGCATTATTATTGTGTCTAAAATAGTCAAGGTTCATACTAAGAGTTTGGAGAGAAGTGATCACCGCTGCTTTCATCTGAATGGATCATTTAATATTTCTAAAAAGTTTATTTATATTTTAATATATTATCCTCAGTAGTAAAGTTTGAAATGGAGTTCGGTATAGGTCACCAAGAATTAAGATTTCTGAAACACTTTAAATGGTCAATACAATTGAATTCGCAATGAAATTAAATAATAAGTTTTAAATATTATATTTTGATGATTCCGGCGTCTCTATTTCAGAGAAACAAAAAAGAGATCAAAAAACAAGTATCCGAGAGTGATGAAGACGAAACACCTATGAGGAGAAAGAACAAATTGAATTTTTAGAATCTGCAATTAGTTGATTTCAATGAGATTGCAGATCAAGAAGAATTGGAAGCAGCCAAAGAGGAAGAATAATCAAGTAATTTGAATCCTTACTTTAAGATCGATTCAAAAACAATAGTATTAGAGAAGAAGAAGAATCTGAATAGAGTGAATCAACTACAAGAAAAAAGAACATTAAGTAACTTCGCCTTCCTAGACTGAGTGACAGAAGATAGTTAAACACTTTGGAATAAATGGATTAAGTCTAGGAGAATTAATAGAGCTAGGAAGAACCTATGGCTGAACCTATGGCAGAATTTGTCAAAACTCCTTCTCCAAATAGAGCATAAAGTAGGTCTCCTAATCAACAAAGTCAAAAACAAGCAACACTTCAAAATTAAGAGGGTATCTGTGTGATTGTGAAAAATAGACAGTGGCTCTGAATTCGATATCTTCAGTCCAAATAAATCTATGGAAAAGGAACAGGCTCCAAGAAACATTGAATTAGATGAAAAATTAAGTAAATTAACTCAAGAGGCTAATGCAATTGAAAGAATTTTACCTAATTGTATCATTAATCCATATGGAAGGTTTAAATCCGCTTGGAGTGGAGTTATGATTCTTCTTCTAATCTATGTGTAATTCATTTACTAACCAAATTAGAGTTTTAATCTTACCAGTTCGTTTGGCTTTTGAAACTAACACTCAAGAATTACTGGGATTAGATTTATCAATAGATTGTGTATTCTTCTTCGATATGGTTTTTACATTTTTCACAGCCTATGAAGATGAAAGAGGCATTGTGATAGTTGAATTCAAAAAAATTGCCATCAATTACATGAAAGGGTGGTTCTGGATTGATCTTGTTTCAACTTTCCCTCTATACCTAATACTTGATCCATCTGTGCTTCCAGGAGCATCAAATGTTAATGGACTTCTAAGACTGGCGAGATTGCCCAGAATATATAAGTTAGTTGGAGTTTTGAGAGTAGGCAACCTTATCAAACACCAAACCATACAAAAGTTGTTTTTCTTTTTAAAACTTAATAAAGAATACAGTCTAATCTTAAAATTTATAATTATGACATTCATTGTTATACATTTGGCTGGATGCTTTTGGTACTTCATAGGAACCATAAGTCCTGATCCAAATAGTAATTGGATTGTTGTTTATATTCCAGATGGCACATCAGCTGTTGAATAATATATAGCCAGTGTTTACTTTGTATTGACTATTTTGGTTACCGTTGGATATGGCAATATCCTACCTGTGAACAATATGGAATATGTGGTGGGAATAATCTTTCAATTTTTGGGAGTAGCCTTTTTCGCTTATGTAATGGGTACATTGACATTTACTTTTGCTAAACTCTCCTAAAAATTGACTATGATTAAGGAAAGAGAAATCTTTTTTAATGAATTAGCTCACACTTATCAACTACCCAAAGAGACACATGAGAGGTTATTGATGTCAATTTAAAACTCCATTTTCTCCCACTCCAATCAAATGTTGGAATTCTATAACGAAGAAGACATCATACAAGAATTGCCACCCTTGGTTTAAGGATTAGTTTGTGAATTTATATTTAAGGATATTATAGAGAAAATTAGATTCCTCTAAAATAAACCTAGAGGTTTCTTGAGGAGATTGTTTCGATCAATGATTCCAGTATTTTTAAATAAGGGTGATGCTATCTTTTTTAGAGGAGAACCTGCTGATTTTGTTTACTTTGTAATAGAAGGTAGATTAGCTACAAAATGTGAGGATTAAAATGGAAAAATTAGAACTTTAATACACGTTGAAGGATCTTATTTTGGAGAGGTGGACATTTTAGTATCAAGAGCAAGAGGAGAATCTGCAATCGCTGAATCATAAGCAGAAGTCTGGAAGATTAGTAAGGAAGCATTTCTTAGGATTCTAAATGATTACGAAGATGTAAAAATGGAGATTTTAGATTATGCGGTTAAGAAGGAGAAGAGTAGAAAAAGCACAGTAAAAATTGTAAAAAATGCTTAATTTTTTGAATTAATAGCTAAATCTAAGAAGGATTAAATTTGTTTGAACAAGGCTTAATTAATATTAAAAGTGAAAGAGAAAATGATTAATTCTTTGAATGAAATAGTAAAGAATAAAACTGAAAATGGAAAAGAATTATTTCCTAATCTTTCTGATTTAGATCTCTTCTTAGATAAAGTGAGCGAATATAACAAAGTAAATATCTTATCAACTTTGTATTTAGATAAAAAAGAAGTTACAAATTTCTGATTAAGATTTAACTTCACTCCAACATCTAAGAAACACTAACTATACTGATCCTGAAATCGAAGATTCTCTGCTAAAAGGAATGAGAGTCTAGTCCCATCTCTAATCAATTTAAGAATATTTATGATTTATAGTTATTTGATTAATTTTGTGATCATTCAAATCTTTTTTTGTTCTTCTAGAACCACTTTATGTGGTAAAACATTTGCCTAGTCCTAAAGTACAAACTAAATGTATGGAACATTTTTTGGATTAATGGGAAACTTTAGTATGACAAATCTTACAGTATAAATATGATGGAGGCAGCCAAACCAAAATCTGTTAATAAATATAATATCATTACAATAACTCTTTTTTGATGTGGTTTGAGATCTTTTAATCGCATAAATTAATTAAATTGTTAATAGTGCACTATTAAGTACTTTCATAGAATATAGTATCTAATTTGTATTATCATTTGTTATTTCATAAAGTACTAAACAAAATCCTAGGATAGTAATAGGAATAATTTTTGTAGATTGAGGTATTCGTAATTTTTATTTCAGATACTCTTTCCTTATATCGAAAATTTCTCTCTTTCTTTACAATAACACATAGAATAAATTTCCCAAGACGATAAAGATTGAACAAATTAAACGGCCATAGATATCCATATTCGTGAATCTTTCATCATAGACAAAATATAAAAATTGATTCAATAAATGAACTAAAAATTTCTATCATTCATACCAATCAATTCTGCAAGTAAAGAGAGCATCATTACACTAGATCCTGATTCCCCCCTTACTAATCTATTTAAAGTCAGATTCAATATCATAAAAAGCGGTAAGGTAGAAAATATTCCATGCAAAATCTTTTCATCTTTAAAATAGATTGATAACATAAACGTTATCCAATATGTGAAATCAGCAAAAAACGGCATTTCTGGTTTCTCTGGCTAATTACAACTTCTAGTCACTTTCATTATAGTTATTAATCAATTTTTCAAGATATATATCTTTATATTATTGAATATATTAATCAATAGAATCCTCTATCAGCAACTTAAATGAGCTAAACCTCATTTATCATAATATCTTAATCATTCATTAAGGCCTCAGCCATTTCATTAGTTTGTCTTTCCAAATCAGCTGATATTTCCTCATTTTAAGTAGGGTCAACTTGAACTTCAGGGATATCATCGATACCAACATTCAATGGGGTTTCTTGAAGTGCTTGTTCATCAATTTTGAAGTCTTCATCAAACAAGGGCATGCTTGTGTCAATATCTGCAAGCGCATCGATTTCTCCTAATTGAATCAACGAGACATCTTCATTAGTGATAAGAGTTTCTGTAGCATAATACTCATCTTATGGAGCAGTTTAATTATCTTCAGATGCCATTGGAGCCTCCGATCCATTGAAATTTTCAGCACTTTAACCCATATCTGGGGAATTGCCATCATTTTAATAGACATCTTCTGGTTTTGCACTTGACATTTAATCGATGGTTTCTTCAATATAAGGAATATTGTCAATCACATCATCATTAAAAGATTGTTCAACTTCAAGTAAAGTTGTTTCTGTTGAATGCTTAAGTGCTTATTCAATTGCATGAGTGGTTGATTTAGCTGCCTTATTAATTTAAAATTATTATTTTGTAAGAGGTGGTGATACTTAGACTTCTTATTAACTTATTACTCCAACATTATTGCTTAAATCATGAACTTCTCCTACAGTGCTTGTCTATTTAATAAGGCATACCTCTTCTTATGTCTCATGTTATGACCACATAATGCACAAATAACTACAAGAGCCAATATAGCAATTCTCATTTATTTTAATTAATGATCCGTTTTATACATAGTATTAAAAACATATTCAATTTTATTATAAATACTTTGGCATAACTCCCAGGCTCGCTTGAATTTCATAATATTATAGTTATGATTCTTCTTTAGAGTCTGTCTTTTCTTTTTAGAAAATGTAAATTTTGGTCCATCTTTAATATAACTATTGATCTGATGTCTTCCTGGCCCTACAAGTGATAGTTCTTGATGTTTTCTCATACTTTCCTCCAATATGATAACTGGATCCTTTTGAATTAGTATCATTTATGTTGTATTTTCTTGAACCCTAAAATCAAATTCTAAATTACAGGTAAAGAACCATGAGTTATCGATGTATTTTCATCTTTCTCTTACTTAGTTTTCCTTTCTGTAATTCCAAAACACACACTATTTTTTACTCTGAACTTGCAACTTCTTTCCAAATGACATCGCTTACTAATTTGGTAAGATTATCAGAAAAATTCCTTTTACAAGAGTAGGATTCGCTCTATCAATAGTTCTATATTTCAATGTAACTCTATTTTTTTTTTGCTTTAATAGTTTCTAAATCATAAGAACCAGATCCTGGTGCATTAGAAATAAACATTTAAACTGTTGCTTGTGATAAGCCCTTTGTTAGTAGGTTAAGGAGATGACTGACATTAAGCTCATAATGACCAGGCCCTAGAGTATTAATAACATCATTTCATTTATTTTTTTCGAATTACTTTTAGAAATTTAAAGCTGGAGATTTCTTCCAATCAGTTCAAATTGTAAGTGCATGGTCGAAAATCAAGTGGGATATATAAGCCTTTTTGAATTTGATGTTAGGAGGATTCGGTTAAATAATCTAATTGCAGATTTTTATACTGATAGATTTGGATCATCTGCTCCTGGTTCAGGAATAGGCTAAGGTTCTTAAAGTTACTTGTGAGGGGATTTAGAGAATTTAAAACCTCCTGATTATGGAGATGCCAAAGATTATGAATTATTTCTAACATTTATTTGAATAGTGGTACTTTGGATATTGTTTGATATCCCCTATAATTATGAAGTTCATCAGTTAATTACCTCTTATCTTTTGGCATTAGTGAAGGCAGCAGAGAAAGAGATATTAAGAGCGTGAATCATTATATTTAATTAATGTTTTGTAATGATCCGTAATTTACATTACTAAATATTGATGAAGAATGGAGCAATGTGAACAAAAAGACCTCGAATCCGTTAAATGTTGAACCATGGATAGGAAACTATGATAATATTTTCAAGTAAGATAGAAAATAAGTCTCTCCCAAAAAAATGCAAATCAAAACTCCAATCAGAACAACTACTCAAACTAGAAGAAGATCAATTGAAACATCTAATCCTAGTCATCAAGAGAGTTGTCCTAAGATCGAAATCAAATCCTATATACAATCATTTTAGATGAGTAGCCTTTCTCCTCGAAAAAATTCCACTTAAAAATATAGAAACTCTTGTGTCAAAGCTCTTTTCCAAAAATCTTTATATAATAATAACTCATTAACTTGGACTGACTATTATAAAATAATATAGAAGAATAGAAACGAAGAGATTCTGAACTATAATGTGATCGGTTAGAATATTAAACTTCTCCAATCAGATGAAAAATAACAGGTTTGGAATAATTTTAGAATGAAGTTAAAATAATAAAAGAAAAACAAAACTGTTTATTGAATTCATAGTTATTATTCTTCTAAATGTGTCTAAATTTCATGTGCTATGGTTGCTATGGAATTCCATTTATGAAAGAGCCAGAGATTTTTCAATTTAACTGAAAATTGAGATGTAATTAGTAATTGCTTGAACTCTTCATAGATTTATTCATTATCCGATTAATAATAATCAAGTATATGCTGAACCAAATGCATTTAATTCTTAAACAATTTTCGATTCTGTTGTTCAGATTCCAACACCTAATTTATCAATAAGTTAAAAAAGCTAATTTGTTATTGATTCTCAATTATGTTAAAATTGATATATTATTGCTATCCATTCTTATCTTAATCTAAAAATGTTTATAAAACTACTCTCCATAAAGTGCCCAATATTTTTGTATTATGACTTGTATTTAAAATAGTGCAAATTGGTTTCACTAATTTCTGACCAAAAATTAAAAGCTCATGTAACTTAATTAAAATCGAGCCATTATCGATTAATGCCATGTTATACAGTATATCTGCACCTCTTTTAATAAACATCTACTCTTATTTACTTAACAAGAAATACACTGTTTCTGCCATTTCCCCAAACTTAAGATTAATTGATTTATCCTCCATTTAAGTCCAATATTTCAGGAACTATTTAAGACAATAAACTAACTTTAGCAGCATAAATAATGATCTATGAATTGAGTGGCTCATTATCAATCTCATATCCTTATGAATAGAATATCATTTTCTCCACTATTTTTAACATCCTCAAATTATCGCTTAATTCATCCTCGTAAGTCTATTCATCAACCGATTTCAGCATCCATACTGCGGCATCGATTGTCTAAATTAAATCACAAATGTACATCCAACAGATTTAGATTATTATCCTTTTATAGCACATCAAAAATTTTATCTACCATCATCTACAAGACCTCTCCTTGAAGATTTTCGCCTTTCTCAAGTTTCTCTCGGAGCGAATTGGACATCTCCTACATTTATGTCTATTGAGAAAAGAGGAATTGAATATAATTTTTTCTTGATTCCTTGAACTGCTTTTCATTTCTTTGTTTTCGGATGTTCACATGGAATTGCTCCCTTTTCAAACTTATAATACCCGCGTAATCAAGCATTTTATTATATTCAAATTTAAATAATAATAAATCACTTAAATATTTGCAAACATTAGTCAACATAATCCCATCTCCATCATTCATCTAATAATGTTTCAACAATCCTTAGCTTTTCTTAATGATTCAATCTTGTAGCAACAATGAATATTAATCTGAGAATTCTGTTTAATTATATTCTTTCATACTCTTAGCCAAATTCTAATAAATAATTGATACATTAGTATAAATTCTTATTATTTATTTTATGTAAATTTATCTGAACTTTTCATTCTTTTATTAGTTATTTCTTAGCTCCTTCCTCTCTATTTAAATAATCTATTAATTATCAATATGATTTTTATTTCTATTAAATTCATTAAGATAAACTAATAATATATCATTTTTAGTATCTAATCATCCTATTAATTCATTAAAATTAATTTCTTCTTCAATTTTAGGATATCTGAAAAATCTCCTCAATTTATTAATTTAAATCTTAATAATTTTCTTAAATACATAAGTATTCTTGCTTCTTGAATCTCATATTTCACTGAACAAATTAACAATTTTCTCAGAAAGATAGAGCAACTGATTGATTAATCTATGATAATCAAATTTAAACATGCTGAAGCTTCTATCCCAGAAATGATACTTATAGTAATTAAATGTATTTGTTATTCACAAAAGTTTCCTAATAAACCACAAGTCAAGTTTAATTAATCAACATTAAATAATAGTACTCATTCCTGAGTACTTTATAAAATTATAAAAAAGTTCATCCTTTTTATTTTATGCGGATTTTTTAAAATTATTTTCTATAGTAATTAAGAATATTATTTCTATAAATTGTTTTTTATAGATATCCGTATACCCCTTTATATTAGCAAATGTAGGATGAAACTTGAAGCAAGGATATTTTATAAGAAGTAAGTATAAATTTAAATCAGAATATAAATTATTAAAAATGCAATAGCAAAAGTGTTATGTACTTCCTGGATTTCTTAAATCAGGTATCTTTTTTCAATTATTCCAGTTTTACTAAACGGAGATTAGAGAATCTATATATTTATCTTAAATCAAATATAAGACATGAAAGAAGTTAGTTTAATGATGAATTAGTATTTATCAACAATCAATGCCTTTCAGTATTTAATTTAATACAATTAGTCCATATACTTGGGTTATTTGTAACTAATAGCCATTACCATTAGAAATTAATGGAGTAAAATAAATTCTGAGTACATTCTGCAAGTATCATTTTTAGTTTATTGAGAGAAATATTCCCTTACAATAAGTTTAGAGAATAGAAAAATTAATTGTTATAAGCGATCAAATCCAATTTACACAATTAGCTAATTTGATTCCAAGTTTATGGCAATCATGTTTAACTAATAAAGTTCATCTGATTTTGAGGTATCGAGAAATAATATGTAGATTAAATCAAATAATTAGTCATAACATTGAACTAACATAAAATTAAGTGGAGTTTTTATCCAGAATAAATAGCAGGTATCAAGAAGAAGTTCCTTTTTATGGAAAAGATATATCAGAATATCCAAAAGCGAATACAGGAGTACCAGAGTGTTTAGAAGCAATCTTATAATATTATGAGAGACATGATGATTATCTTAGAAAATAAGGTGTAATCTATTATTAATTGAATATTTTAGGTGTGTTTAGGACTTCTGGATCAGTTTAATAGGAATAGAAATTAATTTAATAGTTTAAAGTCAGAAATTATTCGGTTCTTGAGGATTATGATCCTGATGTTGTATCAACTGTATTTAAGAATCTACTAAGCTAACTAAAAACACCTATATTTCCATTTGAGATGTATGACATTCTTAAGGAAACTTAAAGTATTTCCCTCTTCTTGAATTAGTTAATACAAGTGTAGAGAAGTTATTAGAGATGTTTTAAGTATTTTTCGCTTATATGCCAGAAGTCAATCGTAAAACTACCAAAAGAATTGCTGAATTGTTGTATCATGTAGCAAATTATGAATCAGAGAATTTGGTAATTGTTATTGTTAATTTAGATGGGACTTCATAATTTATCTATTGTATTTGCCCCATGTTTCCTAAGACCGGAACAGACAGATATTTCAGATTTTCATGGTGCAATAACTGTTGCTCATCATTTTAATTTACTGGTCTAGAATGTTGAATTTTTCGTATAACAACTTAGAGCAAACCCTTAACAGGTATAACGTTTAACTTGATTGGATTATATATTTTATCTTTTTTTGGCATTTTATTTGAATGATTAATTTTCTATTTCAAGAATTAACTCAAATTTAAGCTACATTTTTTATTTTATTATGGATCAAATAGACTTGTCTTAAATTTTAAAGAAACTAAATGAATGGAAGAAATCATCCCCAACAGCTGTATATAATTTACTGGATTAAATTGGCACTCAAAATTTTGGGTAAAACAGAATTGTACATCAGAAATTTTTACTAGCAGTCCAAAAATTAGCTTAATTACAAGAAATACCACCAAATAGCATTTATAAATCATATGATTATGAAAAAATGATCAATAAAGCCAAAACAATACTTAAAATATTGAGATAACCATTAAAAATGGAAGTGGAAAAAGAAAAACCAGAACCAATGAAAAAACATAATTTATTTGCCGGATACTAGCAACAATATACAGGATATGTTGATAGAATATAAAATCTAAATCTAATAAGCAATCTAATTTTACACATATTCAAAAACTGGGAGTAAACCAACAAAGAACAATTAATTTCAATTGATAAAATTAAAGCAGTTACTATAGGTTTAGAGAAAGAAATATATTTGAGAAATTTTTACAAAGACTCCAGGAAAATGACTTATGAAATGGATATTAAAACTCTATTGCAATTTATGAAAAGAGATAAGACTGGGGATGTACTTATTAGAGTGTTCAATAAAAGCTTATCCTATGAACAAGCAGCTTAATTGAAATCAGAGGATTGGATTGATGAAAAAACTAAACTAAATCAAAAGGCAGCCCAAAAGGAAGAACTTGAAATTAATTAAATAGGCTTCTACAAAGAAATCTCCAAAAGAGAAATGGATGGAGTTGAGGGTAAATTATGCAGAGGATGCCATCAAAAAAAAGTATATTTAGTAGATGAAAAGCAAACTCGATGTGCTGATGAGCCTACTACTAAATTCTTTGAATGCTTTAACTGTGGAGATAAATTCCGTGTTTGATTAATTATTTATAAATAAAACTGTAAACTTAAAAAAAAATAAAGTAACCCATTTTGTAATTTATATCTTCGTGAACCCTTTTCTACCCTGTATAATGAGATTTCTCTGAAAATTTTATAAGCATCTTTTTATCTCAGATCATCATTAAATTAAATGAATCATAAGAGGATTTTGCAGTTAGAAAGCAATATAATAGATATTTGCAGTTAGAAAAAAATATTTCAGAGAACTATTTAATTACAATAAAGAAAAATAAAGATTTGAGAAATATTTAATAAGATGTAAATGATTAGAATGATAATGATAATATATTATAGTTAAAAGTTGAAATAAATTATAAATTAAAAAGCATGATGAAATTTATAGTTTGATCTGTTAATATTTTAAATTGGATGAGAATAAAATCATAACCATAAAAGTATTAAGAAGACTTTTAAGATACAATAGAATTAATTAGTATAGATCTATTTTCAAATGAAAAATCAATAAATGAATAAATAGATGAATGTGCAGATCCATTATATGAAGTTGAATCTATAATAATGAAAAAGATTGAAAATTAAGAATCTCATTACTTAGTAAAATGGAAAGGATATTCTGAATTAACTTGGGAACCTCTATCTAGTTTATAACATTGTTAATTACTTGTTGATGAATTTGATGAATAAAACACATCTAATAATGTAATTGTTGTTAAAAACAGTATTACTAAGAAATCTATTACTAAATCAAAAAAGAAATAAAGCAAATCTAAAAAAGGAGGTTCTTTTCAAAATTAACATTAAATTTAATCATTCTAAAAATTAGGTAGAATTATTAAAATTAATGGGATTTCATAATAATAATTGAAAGTACTATCTCTATTTATGTATTCTATAGGTTAATATAAAACAATCTAATAAATCAAAACCTAAATCTATTTGGATCAATTTAAATGAATTACATACTAAAGCTCCAAAAGAATTATTATTATTCTATGAATCACTACCTGCCATTTAATAATTGTTTAAAACAACCAATACTTTTAAATCAAAATCCAGTACATAACATTGATAATTACCAATCATATAAACATATTTATTCATTTACAATTATAAAAATAATTATTAATAATATTTTATATAAATTTATACTAGCTGATTACTAACATCTTCTAAAATATAGAAAATGTTTAGAATCAGTCATTAATTCTTTTGATTGAGACTGGTTGAGAAAGTAGGCTTCTCGCTTCATTTCTTAATGATATATTTATTAGCATGCTTTGTTGATATAAATCAATAGTTTTTTGAAGCAATTCAGTTAGTGTTAATTCTTCTCAAGCAAATTGAAAATTTTTAACGTGAAAATTATTCTTAAATTAGTTGAATATCAATCTTTATTAAAGTGTAAGTTGAAATTCGTTAAATTGTAATCCCTAAAAGATTAAAAAATGGATAATAAAACTCTGTTTACTTCCTTCTTTTGAAATAAAATTGAAAGTTAAATATAATTTTTATTGTTTTAAACAGTTTAATAAATAACATTAACATATTAACTTGTATCTATTTATGTAAATTTGGGCAAATATTAAAATTTAATTTTAAGTTTCCAAATTTTAAATGTACGCTTATCGTTAGTAGTACTAATAATAACTATATAAAGAATAAGATTATAAAAGCCAAAAAACTTTAAATGACTGCCTCATACTCATGAAAAAATAAGTATATCAATATTAAATTTTGAGGATTGTGTAGATAACAAACTCAAGAAATCTTCCATTATAAATTATGTGTAGATAATTTAAAGAAAAAGACTCATTCCAATTCCTGACAACTAATTAATATTTATTCTGCCTGCTACATAATTATTAATTTTTATCTATCATTGAATTCCATAGTCTTAAAATTGTTTGTTTGGAAAATTTAAAAACTAAATATTATGCATAAAATAGATCAAATTTAAGCAATCCATAAACAGCATTTCATGAAATATGTTAAGTATATAGATTGTCAAATGCAATATTGATTTATTTATTTTTAAAAAAATTTTGTGGTATGGAATAATTCTCCCCCTCATAAGCACTTAGTGCACTGATCGAGATCCATTAATAAGCAAAAAGTTTTTAAGATCCAGCTTTACAAAATATCCTAGTAAACTTAACACACTGGGTTTTTGCCATGTTGAATTTTTTAAACAATAGTATGAATTAACTATTACCATAATTATCTGCGCTAGAATAGAAATTCAACGTTTAAATTGAGTAAATCAATAATGACCTTTCTCAAAAACAGAACTAAAAACTCACACTGCAACCTAAATAGAAAAGCAATATAATAGACATCTTGGAGGAATCATCTGGATTGCAGAATTGCAAATCCACTNATATATAAATAATTTGAAATATAATTAATTATGATTAATGATTAATAAAATTTTTTTAAGGATATCAAATTCTTAAGAGTATTTTTTGAAAACAATCATAAAGCACTAGGGCTAAAGATTAATTTACATATTTTCCAATAGTGAAAGAATTTCCCTTATAAAATCCACTAAAGCCTTCTTTCTAAATAATTAACTTAATCAATCCAAAAAAGCCCTTAAACTATATAACTAATTGAATACAAGTCTTTTTGATGGAGGTTAATTTTATTACATCATGATTCTTCTTCGAATATTATCAAAGGGAAATGAGAAAGAACTGGCAATAAAAGTTGATAGGTAGGCAAGTAAAAATTTAAAGAAAAAGGGAGCTTTATATTATTTTAACGCCTTTCCCCAAAAAATCTATTTTCCAGTATCATAACACCTTAGCAATTATAATGAAATTTACCCAAAATAAAGAGCTCTGTAAACAAAAACTCCTGGTATGGATAAGCCCAATCCAATAAAGACTTATTTAATTTAATTTTAGCGTGTTGAATTTCTATTAGACTGAGGTCCAGCATTATTCATTTACATTATCATTTAGAAATCAAGAAGATACACAGTCAGCATTCCCACTATTCCTGAAATTCCACCATTAATTAGTGTGCCATAAAATAGCCTAAAGTAATTTTAAGAGAAACTTCTTTGTGTTGTTTTAAATTTCATTATTTGATAACAGCAAGTTCCTTAATGTATCTTTAACTGAAAAATGTACTCCAGATAATAAAGCACTTCTCATTATTTTCTAAAACCCGTTTTTAAATAAATAAGTTATAATTCCATCTTCTTGAAGTAATCGAAAATAACAAAAAAGTCTCTCTAATAAGATATATTTAAAATATACAAATAAATGGAATAGGCTGATTTGGATTTTAAGAGTAAATGATTATATTCATTAAATCAACAGGAGTTTAAATAACCTGAATAACCCCTGATGAAGCTCCTCCTGCCAAAAAACTCAAAAGAAAATTGTTTATTTCCACTCGCCACATATAATTTTAAATATTAATAAATTTTATAAATTCTTTAGAGTTTATAATAAAATATAGTAATATTATTTATTGGATACAAAAAAGAGAAATGTTGAACTAATATGATGTAAATGATTAGAATGATAATGATAATATATTATAGTTAAAAGTTGAAATAAATTATAAATTAAAAAGCATGATGAAATTTATAGTTTGATCTGTTAATATTTTAAATTGGATGAGAATAAAATCATAACCATAAAAGTATTAAGAAGACTTTTAAGATACAATAGAATTAATTAGTATAGATCTATTTTCAAATGAAAAATCAATAAATGAATAAATAGATGAATGTGCAGATCCATTATATGAAGTTGAATCTATAATAATGAAAAAGATTGAAAATTCAGAATCTCATTACTTAGTAAAATGGAAAGGATATTCTGAATTAACTTGGGAACCTCTATCTAGTTTATAACATTGTTAATTACTTGTTGATGAATTTGATGAATAAAACTCATCTAATAATGTAATTGTTGTTAAAAACAGTATTACTAAGAAATCTATTACTAAATCAAAAAAGAAATAAAGCGAATCTAAAAAAGGAGGTTCTTTTCAAAATTAACATTAAATTTAATCATTCTAAAAATTAGGTAGAATTATTAAAATTAATGGGATTTCATAATAATAATTGAAAGTACTATCTCTATTTATGTATTCTATAGGTTAATATAAAACAATCTAATAAATCAAAACCTAAATCTATTTGGATCAATTTAAATGAATTACATACTAAAGCTCCAAAAGAATTATTATTATTCTATGAATCACTACCTGCCATTTAATAATTGTTTAAAACAACCAATACTTTTAAATCAAAGTCCAGTACATAACATTGATAATTACCAATCATATAAACATATTTATTCATTTATAATTATATAAGGACTAAATGAATTTTCTAGTATATGTTTAATTAGCAAAAGTGTTTATTATTATTTAAACTAAAAGCCTGATATTAGAAATAATAGTTTATTTCTTTTTATTTCAATATAAAAAAAAAATTCTATTAAAAGGAAAACATTTGTATCTTTAAAGTTTTGTTAGCATAAAATAAGTATTCTTCGATTCCGATCCTTTTATTAAGATAAGTTAATCTATTAAATCAAAATGATTTGAGATAAATTAATTTTTTTGATCACAAAATAATTTAAGGTATTTCTACACTCAAGACTAATTTTTGGGAATATGTCCTTTTTTAACCTCGCTGTCAGGACAAAATAGTAGATCGGTCAAGGAAGATTGATTAATCCTTAATTACTTGAGCAATGACAAGAATCTCTATTACTTATTTAAATTTATATTATTAAAAACTATGAAATGTGATATTCATTGTGCAACAAAAATACTAACACTAATTTGTGGAGGTTTGATTGTAGCTCTTGCAATATCAAGATTTACTGATCTGTCTATAGAACATCCATAACAATTCATTCTTACAATTCATTATATGTAAAATTTGTCTTTTAGAATTAGATGGATGGGAACTATTTTGATCTTGGCAGAGTTCCGTTTTGCATATGTTCATTAAAAATTCAAAGTTCTGACTAGTTTCTTTGGAAGAGGATTGTATTGTATCTTGTAATTCTGAATAACTTATCAAGTCTGGGCACTTTAATGATATCAACTTTTTCTCCTTTGTAGATTGCAACTGCTGTTGTTTTGTTTGTCGTTGCTCTAATATATATATTGCTGTAGTTATTTGTATAAATTGTATAATGTCATTCATTAGAGCAAGAAATTTGGATGGAGTGCAGAAGACGCGAAAAATCCATATTAGATTCCCTCTCAAAATCAACCTAATGCATATCAACCACCATATTAATCAAATGTTAACTTTTAATAAGGTGGACCTGCCTTAAAGTGAGTTGTTTTATATTTGAATTATTTGATTCAATAATATTAAAGTTTTACTTGAACTACAAATCAATAACTTCAAAATTAGTATTAATTTATTTCAGTTTATTATTAGATTTAATTATGTAAATAATTGGCTTTGTTTTAAAGAATTAATGTTCTTTAATATTCATGTCGAAATCTTTCCATAAATTAAGTGTTTTTATATTCTTACAGTTTTCATATTCGGTCTAAATAATGATTTGTTATTACTTTTTTGATTTTCTATTTCAATTTAAGACAAAAAGCTAATTTTCTTCTTTTAATTGAATGGCTGTTGAAATAGTAATTCTGAACTGGGAATTTCAAAAATTTTATCAGTTTGGAATAAGAATTAAATTCAATTTTCATAAATTGATAGCTCTTCATTTCATGTGATATTTAAAAATCATATATAATAATTAAAGATGTAAATTTAAGAAAATTTATATAATTGGCTTTGCCAATTAAGAGTACTACCATAAGATGGAAAAAAGTACGCAGATAAAGTAGAGATTAGCAAGGCATCTTTGGGATAGCTAGAAGGTGGAATAGCTTTTGGTTAATTATTAAAGGAAATAGTGAAGTTACGAAATAGGTTGGTTTATTAAGATTTAAAAGGCCTTCCACTCCTTTAGCTAAATTAGATACTCTTAAAGACAATTAACAAAAATCATCGATCCTATATAACTGGAAAATACTTTGTGAAGAATACTAGAAGGTGGATATCATGATAGATTAGGATACAAAAGCATTAATATTAGGAGGTGACAAAGAAATGATTCATTAATTACTTTTGGAAATCTACGATAAGAATTAAAGAGGTTAATAAAAGTCTCATTTACTTGATGATTCTCAATTAAGTTTAGATGGAGCAACTAAGATTTTGGCTACTAATAAAATTTCATAAGGTAACCATAAATAAATAATGCAGCAAATCAGTAGGTCGATCTCTCCAAATTAGATCCTAAAAAGGACTTAAATAAGACCTAAAATTGTTTAGAATTTTTTATAATAGCTTTAGCTAAGAATCTATAGCTGACAATAAAGCAAGCAGCATCTCTTTTTACAAATAATAATAAATATTTAGCTCATATATTAGCAAAGGGCGTTAAAGGAGTATTTGAACCGATAGTAGCATTCTATAAGGAAGCCTATGCTAATTCAAATTAATTAAATAAATTATTTAATGAAGATGCTACTAAGAAATCAATGATTTTTGCATTTCAAGTATTCCTCTAAAGAGATTAATATAGGCATTAAAGCCAGGGTTGGTTTCAAAATCATATGATGTGGCATATGAGGCAGTTAGACTATTTACAAGGTTGGGTTCTCTAATTCCAGCTTAATTAATTAGGGAGTGGTTTCTGGAGGATTAAGGTGGGTTATATACAGCATTGATGGGAGCTCGAAGACATCCTGAACTAGTAAAATTTTAGGTAGAATTGATTCTCCAATTTGGTCAAAACAATTTTGTTGAAGTTTTTACAACTGGAATTAGGCATGTGTTATCAGACACAAAGGACTTTATTAACGCAATAGAATTAATTTTTATACCTCTGAGTTAGAATCAAGAATTAGTATCCACAGGAATTTTGAATGATTGGGTTACATAAGCTATTGGAATTGCAGAAAATGAATTTAAAAATACAATAGATACTAGAATTTCATCACTTAATTTTTTGTCAGAAGTCTTGTTAGTTAATACAGAATTAGATGAATCTCTAACGAATACTATCATCACATTATTAAAAAAAGGAACCAGGGATAAATCACAATCACTTTCACTTCTTTGTTTAAGTCATTTATTTAAATTATTGATTTCATTTAGTACACAAAAAAGCAATCTAGCTCCAACAATATACAAAAAGTATTTTAATAGAAATATATTTTAGTTTAACAATAGCTTTAGTAGAGAATCATGATAATTAATAAATAAGAGAATTCATTTTAAATAATTTTATCCAGATATTTTAAACAATTGATACTATCCCAATTAATTTAGTCTTGGAGAATTTAATAAAGTAATTATAAATATCAGAAGGAGTCACTTATATTCTGAATATATTTGATATGCACTTTTTCATGTTTATATCAAATTTAAACATGGGTATTAAGAATGCAATTTAGCTCCTTGACTTTTTAGCAAAAATATTTCTTAATAATTTAGTGTATTAAAGTATGGCCTCTGAAATAATTTTAAATATTTTATCGAAAAATGTTGAGAATTAAACATTGCAGGAGTTTATTCTAAAGTTTATCAAAATTGCTTTGGCTATGTTTTTTGCTTCTGAGAAAAAAAAGTAAGGTAAAGATCAAATAAATGCTTAGAAGCGAAATTAAATAATACAGATAATAAAGACTATTGTTTAATTTTAATAGCATTAAATGAATGAGAAAATTAAACCATTGGTTGCTCATACCAATATTTAGATCAAATAATTCAGTAAAAGAAATTCAAAAGGACTCATGGCTATATTGGAGCTTTTTGGGAATGCTGAAAGAATATTAGAATAGTATGAAATAGAATATAGGGAATAATAGATAAGTCAAATGTAGGGTTCTATTGATGAGGAAGATTAGCTTAATCCACATAATTAAAAATCTATAGGGTCAATAAAATTATCCAAAGAAGAATAATATACACTAGCTTCCTTAAAAACTACAAGGGCAGATCCAAAAGTATTAGAGAAGCTTGAGACTATCAAAAAGTAGTTTGATGAAAAAGCAATACAAGAAGCCAGAAAAGCAGAACAATATAAAGAGGCCCAATTAAAATAAAAAAATAATCTTCGTAAATAATTAGAAAAAAGATCTGTTGAATAGGGAGTATCCATTATTAAAGATAGAGAAACAAATTTAATATTTAGAGATGGGTCTAAAAGTGCTGCCCCTCTTAATAAGCATGGATTAACAGAGTATGAAGTATGGGATCTCTAATTTGAAGAAGACAGAGAAAGATATTTAGTAGAATAATTATTCAGAAGATATCATAAAATATTTAAATACATATTTTTTAAGTATGCAAACTCAGGTAGTAAAATTGGCAAGCCTAAAGACTTTGATGAATTAAAGGATCAATCCGATACAATTAATGAAGCAGAATTTTGGGCATTTCTGAAAGATTATGAATTAATTTTTAATGTTTCAAAAGAATAAGTGAGATCATTACTGAGATCTATTGCGATATAATTATTGAAATGTAAAAATGAGCTGACAAATTTTAGCTATGAAGGATTTAAACATATTATTACATAGTATGCTTGTATAACATTTACAAAAAGGAATAAATATGTTTAGCCTCATGCTTGTATTGAATTGATGCTCTAAAAAATGTAATAAGTAACTGCAAATAAAGGTTAGAATACTTAATTATTTGATGATCCTGACAATATGTATTTTGCATAAAAAGAAGTTATAAAAGAATTCAATAAAAAATTGGCTGAGGATCCAAAATATGTGCTACCTGAAGGATACAAGAGCTAAAAAGAAGAAGTAGTTAAATTTTATCATGTTTTTGAAATTTAAGATGGGAACACTCTTGCTTATCAAATATTAGATGACATTGTTTATAATGTATGTAAGTGCCATATCATTGAACCTTTAACAGCAAAGGAATTTTAAATAATTTGCAAGCCTAATCTATTGGGATACGTTGAATCTAAAGTAAAATAAAATTTAGAAAAAGATCACTATATGGAATAAAAGAACAAATTACTTAAGAAATCTGTATTAGGAGCTTAATCAGAACCTGTTTTGCCCTAGTTACCAAAACGAAATTTAGAGATCGAACCGTTTAGATAGTATAGTTTAGGTATCAAATTGGAACTTGCCAAAATACCTTTCAATTAGGCAAAACAAAGAAGTATCATGGAATAGGCCGCTGATGTTTTGGAAGACTTAATATTTGCTGTTGAAAATAATTAAAAAACAATTACAAGAAAATGGAATATTGTAAATAAGGTATAGAAGGATAAATAAGATGAGAAAAAGAAGGAAGAGTTAGAGAATAAAAAAAGGGATGAAAAAATCCAAAAAAATCACGAAGAAACTAAAGTTAGATTAGAGTAAATGAAAAAAGATAAACTAGAAAAATAAAAAGTAGAGGAGATATAAAATGCCACTAAAAGGGATCTTAAAAAAAATAAAAAGGAAGAAAAGTAAAAAGAGTAAGAATCATATTTAAAATCATAAAAAGAAAAGATAGCATAAAAACAAAAAGAGGAAGAACAAGAAAGATTGAAACGTGAATTATTAGAAAAAAAATAAAGAGCAGAGGAAATTTAAAAGAAAAAAGAAGAATTCAAATTGTTCAATGATAAAAAAATTTAATAATATGGAGAAATATTTAAAGCAGAATAATCGAAACTCAAAATAGCTATGGAAGAAAGAAAAATCTAAGAGGCAGAATATTAAAGAATGCACGAAGCAATATATAAAAGTATCGAAAAAAAAGGAGAGCAAATTAAAATTAAGGAGAAGGCTACAAGTGAGCATATTTAAAAATTATTTAGAAATCAGATCTACTAAAATATTTTCACTACCTATAACTTTAAATTAAGCTATCTCTATGAACTATTGTAACTAGAATATTATAAATCAATTGAAATGGTTGATTTTAAGGAAATACCTTTAAAATTGTGGATGTGGTTTGGAGATAGATTTAGAATTTATCCAGACATCATTTCATAAGTTGAGTTCATTCGCGTCTTCAATGCTATTACTTATAGATAGAATGATATTCAAGCATCCTTAGATTATGTTGAATTTTTAGAGGCCCTTTTTAGAATCAGCATAAAAGGATATCAATTCTTTAATAAACTTGCTGAAAGTATAAAAAAGCCTAAAGCTCAAAAATAAGAAAATGAAGATGTGCAAATGCTAGAGTCCCCTCCTTAATCAGTAAAGCGTACTCAACAGACAAAAGAGTTCATGCTCAATAGAATTAAGGAAGTTCAAAATGAATAAGAGAAAAGACTTGAAGCAGCTAAAAAGGAATTAGAAGAAAAGAAAAAAATGGAAAAGGAAGCTTTAATTTTAGATAATTATCAAGCATTGAACGACATAATAGGGACTGATAATATAACTGGTTAAAACTATAACGAATAGACACTTGATGCATTAATCACATATTTAGCATTGCCTAATGATAAAACTGGAATTGAATTAAGATTTAGGTACTTAATGGAAATTGAAGCAAAGAAGAAACCGACAAAAGTTAGAAAATAAGGTAAATTATTACTTTTACAATTATTAGAGGCTTCCCAAAAATTAGATGAAGATGTTACTCAATGGAAAGAACATAGAGTTGTTGAATCAAGTAGATAACCCATATTTACAAGTATATTAACAATATTAATAATGTAGAAAGAACAAATAAATATAAATAAAGTCCAAAACCTAAGGAAATATAAGATCCTATACTACAAGGGAATGAAAATAATGATTAAGATTAAGAATAGGAATAATAATAATAATCAGATAATTGATTAAAAATGTATAAAATAATAATTATTATATTTAAATTACATAAATGGTTTTCATTAAATTTTTGAAAAACATTGACGAAGAAAAGAAACCGTTATTTTGTCTATTTGCCAAAGTTATAGAGCATTAAACAGTTATGGTATTTTAAAATGCTTTGTATGTTTTTGATAATCAAACAATAATTGATTATTTTATTGAGTATAGAAAACAATTTTAAAATGTTTATTCATTATAAGACACTTGCAAATCCTGCTATTAATTACATAGGAAATTTGATGCAGATATTGATGTGATAATTTACAATTTTTTGATTGAGGATCAAACAGCTGATAATAAAGACATAGAAATTACAAAAAAGGGAGGGAAAAAAATTTCATTAAGTGTTAAGAAAGTTTCATAGCTTAATTAACCGCAAAAGTCATCAGTTTTGATAGTATAGCATCCTTTGTGTATTGTATAAGTCACAAAATAACTTAGAATTTTTATCTGCTTTTAAACAACTAGTTCAAATAAATACTGGAAATGAAACTCAAAGACATAATAATTAGTTTTTCTATAACAAATGAATAGTAATTAATAATTTTGAATGAAAAAAATGAGTTAGAGATTTATGAATTATCTCTTGGTATACTACATAGTTAAAGTATTTTGTTGAAAAGAATAGCTTTAAATGTTTATGATTAGATATTTTTTAAAATAACATGTAACTATCTCCATGGATAAAGAAATGTATACAAGGTACGACAAGGTGATCTGCACGAATTTTTAAAGTATCACGATGTAAAGGATTCCTAACCTACAGACTTAGAATAGTTAGATGATAGAATGACTGACATAAGAAATATGAAAGTGCATCAGCTGAGAAAAGATTGTTGGGTGTTTGCATATAAGCGATATGAGCATTTTGTTTATTCTTAAAATAGTATATACAAAATATTAGACCAAATGGTGATTACTACCATGGCATTGTCAAAGTATTTTTACTAAAAAATAAATCATGTGGAACAAGAGGAGTATTTAGTATAATATGAAATACTAGTAACGGCAGGTTTAGATTAAGAGAAAGAATAAAATGCAGATAGGGCTTACATAAAGATATTTTAATTATTGTAATCATCCTAATTGAAATGCACAATGTTGATTCCTATCTTATAGATAGTAGATTTGAAATATGAAATTGAGTATTTGGAATTTATTGGACAATATGATTTAATAATTAAAGACACAAAAGGTTAGATTGGAATAATATAGTTTACAGTAGAAGAATTTGGGTAAGTTCTGTTGTAGGATTAAGATTGATTGATAAATTAAAGAAATGAATAAATATCATAAAAAAGCAGCAGTTCTTTTTACATAGTAATCATCTCTAGCTTCAAATTCTATTTCTCCATCATCATTGAACAAACCCAATTTAAGTTATTTCAATTAAAGGGTAAATCTAGGGCCTAACTCTTGTAAGGCCACTTTTTATCCTTCCTCTTAAAACATATATCTATGATGTCTAAAGAAGATGAAATCTCTTTGATTATGGAAAGTCACAACCCTTCTGCCTCTAAATTGAGGTTTAGAAGGGAAGAGAGCAGCCAAACCCCTTCCTACTCTTCTACCTACTTTAGTGTTAAAATGATTGAGAATCAACTCAGGATTGTGATCAGTGAATCTACCATGATGATGGATTTCATCACAGGGTGTATAGTTGGTCAATTTAAACTTATAGGTTGGTCCATTTGGTAAATGCACATAAATTAATTAACTGACTTCTTTTCTGTGTTCTCTAAATACTAATAACTCTGTATATCCTTTGTTAATGGAATACTCTTATATTTCTTTGAGTGAAAATTATTTACGAGGCCAATAATGTGTTTCTGGTCCGAAAACATCTTTAACATCCTTTAAAAAATCGAATAATTATCTAGAAGGTCTCTCACTTGTAGTGATTATAATTTTTGGATCTTAACCTTCTTAAAAATAATTTTAGAATTCATCAATTAATTCTTCATTTTATAATTCGTCTTAATCATCTTCATCAAAAACAAAATTTTCATCAATTTCTCTTTTATCATCAATTGTCAATGGACCCAATTTTTCTCTGTCAGGATTTGCATCTTTTTCTTTTCTTTCCATTTTCTTAGTTTTTTTCTATTCATTCTATTTTCTCTCCAAGATTTAAATTCTTTTCTCTTTATTCTTAATTCTACTCACATCAAATTTTGCTAACGATTTAAATCCTCCAACTTTCCTTTACTTTTATCCTTTCTACTCCTTCTTTTTAATCTTTTAACTAAAAGGAGCATTATGTTTAATTTTGATTGCATGCACAGCCTTGCTTTTGTTTTTTGCCATAATTTAATTAATATTCTAATTCTAAATTTTCATCAAATAAATTGTCTTCATTTCAAATTATCTTATAAGTTCTTGGACTTTCACTATTAAACTAATCTCTCTACTACTCAAGTCTCAATACCCGTCCTCTCTAAAGCTATATGAGAATGATCATTAATCTGCTGGAATATTACCTATAACTTCATGAGAATAATCCAATTAATCTAAATTTAAATACAATAAAGATTTCCATTGCGAAAGAATTGAGTTTTACATTTCTAAATCCAAAAAGTTAAGATAGAAATTTCTGTTCTTCCCTCGACAGCCATTCTTACTTTTTATGGTTAGAACACTGATATCTTGATTATTACATAATACATCATCGGTTTCAAGTAATTGGCTTTGATAAAATAAGAGTGTAGACTCTTAAATTTATACAATTCTAATACAAAAAAATCAATTATATATTATTATTATAAAAAGAATTGATGTAAGACTTTTAGCCAGGCGATGTGATAGCTCAAGAATATTTAATTTTTACTATGTTGGCACAGGGATCATTTGGTAAAGTATATTTGGGAAAATCTTAAACAAAAAACATGAATGTGGCAATTAAAGTCGAAAAGGCTGAGGTCTCATATTTCAATAGTTTAATCAGAGAAGTATGCTTAACAATAAATGCCTTTTAGATTGAGATTTTGAAGTTATTAGAAGGGGTTCCGTGCGTACCTAGGGTTATTTGGTCAGGATAGGAAAAAGGCATGAGAATCATGATCCAAAATCTTTTAGGAAAAGATTTAATTCATTATTAAAAAAAAATGAAGAAATTTTCTTATGAATGCGTTTGCAACATTGCCTATTAGATGATTGGAATTCTGGAATAAATTCATAACAAGTAATTGATTTCTGAAATTTTGAAGAAACATCATACACAGAGATCTCAAACCTGAAAATATCTTAGGAGCATCCCAATAAAATAAAATTTATTTAATTGATTTCGGAATTGCTAAGAATCTCGAATCGAATAAAAAAACCAAAGAGAAAGTTTCATTTATTGGAACTACTAGATACGCAAGCTTAGCTGCACATATTGGAAAAGAACAAAATAAAAAAGATGATTTGGAATCCTTAGGTTATATCATAATATATTTCCTAAATGGAAGCTTACCTTGGACGAATATTGAAAAGGACGACAAGGAAAGAATCGAAAAAATAGGACTTTTGAAAAAAGATATGTCTCCTGAAGAATTATGTGAAAATTTACCAAATCCAATTTTAAAGTAAAATCTCTTATCTCATTATTAGTATAGATATATGAAATATGTAAAAGGGCTGTCTACTAAAACGAAACCTAATTATTCACAATTAAAAGAGCTATTTACCGTCGCTAAAGTAGCACAGAACATGCCTTTTGACTGGAATCAAAGAGCAAAAGCAAATCGTAAGATGAATTCGAATAAATCCATTAAAACATCCAAATCGGCTAAGGTATATAGCAAATCCAAATCATAATTCAGAAAAACCTAAAATAACAATTCTTAGGAATCATCACAAGTTCTCGTTTAACAACATCAAGCACCAATTAAAAAGTAATATAAAACTTTTGTGTAACCAGACTCTCAAGACAAAAGTTGTAATCATTCGAGTGATGATTTTCAATAAGAAAATAGTCTGAGTGATGAAAAAAAGAGTAAAGAAAGTGTGAAAGTCGGATATTCGATTAGTTATGAACCTTCCAAATTTTCTAGATATTCCCAACACAATAAAAGTCCAATCCAGTAGTAATAAAAGGAGAGAGCCAGAGTTTCCACTCTTGATGCCAATCCTTAAGACCCATTCGTCATGCCACTTCAATCAGAATAATAACTACAAGAATTTGAAAACCAAGACTTAGCAATTAAGTACAAGTAGTTGTTCTATAAATCGATCCTACACAATTATAAAAACCCTATTCAAGATTTCAAGACAATCCATTATTATTTTCTTAATTGATATTTTTGATTATTATTTCTCTTTAATCAATAATAATTATTTCATTAACAAAGATATATGACATATTATAAATATGTAAAATAATATATAATTAAATACAAAGATATTTCAGACATTATAAAGCTCTCCTGAAAATCCTTGATAATAATAATAAATTTACAAATTACTAAATGAATTCAACTTCACAATACAGTAAATCCAAATTTGAATTTGACGAAATAATGCAACAAATTGAAAGTGACTCCCCATTATAAACTGTCTATAGGAAGAACAGTTTCGCTATTAAAAATCTCAATTTATATGAAACTCCTGATGAAGAGATGGAACAAACAGAATATTCAGCCAAAAGTTTGTAAGAGAGCTAGTGAACCCCACAAATTTGATGTCTGTATTCAATATATATTTAAATCACTACTTATCAACAATTCTCCTTTTTCCTATCATACAATTTTATCGTATTCATTTATTATAATATGTATGAATATGTTCAAGTATATAAGCATGAATAATGCAGTTTTAAATAAATATTTAAAATAAATAAATGGGGTGCATGAATTCTAAACCTCCTTCAAAATCTTAACCTCCTCAATCTGCTCGCACTTAGATTCAAATCTAATTTTAAAGCCAAGATGAAAGTCCATATGTGATAAAGAAGAATCCAATTTTCTAGAGAAGAGCTTCATAAAAGTCCATCGTTAGCCCTTTACAAACTACATCTTACGTTCAAAGAAATAAGTGAACCTTAAACAAAGAATGATCTTTCTTAATATTTTGTTATATATAAATCTTTTAACCATTTTTCATCTTAATATAATATAATCCCTGTTTTACCACTAAAGTTCTGCAAATATTTTGGTAAGTCCAATTAATCATTAATTTTCTCTCACTCTGTTGATTCAATCTCAAAGACTGCATATCAGGCAAGAGAATTATACAATTAATTTTAAACAACTTCAAAGGATTTTAAACATTCATATCTAAATTTTAATTTTTTTCGTTTTTATTTTTGATATAAAAATAATTTAATATAGCACGTATCAATATTAATTCAAGTAATACATACAAGAATGCTTTTATTAGTTAATTAATAATAATTCAAATTGAAATTTCCTAATTCTGTATTCCATTTTACCCTCAACATTGACATTTCCCATTTTTAAATATACTAGATGACATTTCAACTTAGGAATAATTTTCAAAATAGAAGATTAAATTTAGAATCAAAAGAATAAACGAATAGATGAAAACAAGTAAATTATTTTAAAAGGAATGCCAAAATTCTGAAAATCCTAAAATACAAATTTAATCAATAAGATCAAAAATATTTGATATTTTATTCAATATTTGATAACTCTTTGTAATATCTATTGAAAAGCAGGTCAACTTGCCGAGCTTTTTCTTCATATTATTGAGAAACTTAATTTTTTTATATACACTTTTTAACATGATTTATTGTAAATTGTTCTATCCTTTGTAAAACTGGTTTTTGTATATTTGTCAATGTTTGTGCTAATTTTCCCTATGAAACCAGATTATCTAGAAATGCTTAAAATGAAAAATGGAAGTGCTTGTCATTTTTTATAAATTTGTTGATCAATGTGTTAGTAAGTTATAACTACTCAAATTCTTCTTTTATAGTTTTGCATTTATTTAAAATTAAATTAAGTGCATTATTCATATCAATAGGGTCGTTTTATTCTAACTATAGTTAAGGTTGAGGTCTTTAAGGTCTCATTGATCCTTATCTTAGAGACGCTCTCTTGATTCCATAGTTTTGAGCATCAACATCATCAGAAGTCTTCATAATGGTTTATTTCATAGAACCGATTGTATTCTACGTTTATAGTTTGAATGCCAACTTTGGATTTTTATTAAGGGTAATTTTTGTATGCTATGTTTTAGAGGTTTCATCTCCAGGAGTCTATTTACCACTCAAAGTTGAATCGTTTATATTATTCTCATCTCCTTCCAAGTTAACCCGCGAATCTCCCAATTTTTTGAGTTCTTTTATTGTTTTAACAGTTGTAGATTAAATAATGTTAGAATCAATTACAGATTATTACATTAATTAAAAAATATATAATATTTTATATGTCAATGAAGATAAGTATTGCATTTGTCATAGATCTCCAGAGTCTTATTAACGAACTCTTATCTATCAGGATGTATAATTTAGGAAGAAATTGCTTTCTTGGTGTATTAGGAAGTAATTCTGGAATTATTAAAGGAAGTATTCAGTTTAATTTTTTTTTAATATTTCTTTCTTAGAAATAGGTTATCCTCTTCGGTATTCACATTGATCCCCTGCATCACAGAGCTTAGTGCACTCTAGTATTGATTCTCAAGGTAATTCCTCATCTGAGTTCTCTTCTACTTAACACTTTTTGATGCATTGATTGGTTCTCTTTTCTATTGCTTAAATTTTAGAGCTTCACTTATAATCTTGTTCATTTTCTACTGTTCTTAGAATAAATCATAATCTTGATTATAGTTTGTATAATATTGTTAATTGAATCTTTGAGTTTCATCAACTTACGACATTAACTTATCCATTTGCTTTTGGGTATCTTATTCTTGTAATTTGTTTATCTTATCCTTATTGCATTCCTAAAATTATATTTATGAAATTGCTGATTCACTAACATATAACAATGAAAACTTACAATGTCTAAATCTACTAATAATCTATTTTCTTGTATTGTGTTGGCTCAATGAATTTCCCATAAATATTTAGTTTCTGATACAGCTGCTTTTTATACGGATCCATAGGTATGGTAAATTCATAGTACTCTTTATTAGTCTACTTTTTCACTTATTATTTTGCCGTCTTATTTTCTTCCTCTTCTAGTTTCAAAGGGGGAAGTAGAGACATTTAAGAATTTTAAAGAGACAAAAGATAGTCTTACTTCTATTTCTGCACCTTCCCTATTAGATCAAGTAAATTTTCTTGACAACTTATTGACTTAATTAAATCAACATCACTATTGAAAGTAACAGATCTCTTTCTAGGATGGATTAAATCACGAGACTTATTAGAAATTTTATGTTTAGACTTACAAGATGATGTTGCTCGAATATGAGAATATGTTTTGCATTAATCCATTAATAATATTTATTATAATCAGCATTATTCATTAAAATGTTGAATTGAAGACAGAATAACTGAATTTTGTTAAATTAACCATCATTTAGTCTCCAATCTGATGTAGCCTCTTATTAAATCTTTCTGATCTATAAAATTGATTTACATCAATTTTTTTAAGACTTTCCTTATTCTCTCTTAATTAGCAAATTCTTATTCTTATAGTAACACTTAATGTGTAATACAATTTGACTCAGAATGGATCTTTGCATGTATATTAATAATTTTAAATATTATTCTAGCAGAATTCATACTTATAATATAATTGATATTTGTGACTAAGTACGTAATATATATCTGATTAATCTTGATAAGGATCATCAAAATATAAAGTATACTCATTGGCTATCTCAATAATTTCAATTTTAATATTGAAAGATAAATTTATACTGACATTTCCATGATCTACTATTGTTCTATCCAAGTTTAATAATTTACTTGTACAATTTTAAAGAAACTTACTTGATCAATTTAATCATTAAATAATATCCTTAGTAATTAGTAATTTGTGTCTTAAATTATAAATTCAATTTTAATGAATTGATATAATTCTTATCATAATTAAAATAATAGTTCATATGTTTTCTTCAAAGGATGCTTAAATTCCTCAAATCTGCATAGATTTTATTATTGGAGCAAGCTCTGGAATCTTACCTAAGCTAATTGTGAGCTCTTTCTATGAACTTTAATTTTTGATAATGATTGGGTATCCATATTAGAAATAGAATCAGCCTATTGGAGTATTGGATGGCTGTAAATAAGTTATTATGGATGGCACGTTGTTGAGACAATTAAGAAAAAATACTAGGATAGTTAGATTTTCATTAATTTAAGGATTCAAATTTTCAATTTACAATGCTTTAAATAGATTGAGCTTATCAAAAATTGATGTGAATAGGCAATTACTAATGTGAATAATATACTTTAATCTATGTAGATACTTTGGGTATTCTTTATTAAATGGAGGAATTGCAGGAGTTGTTATATTGCCAATATTTTACCAATTAGATTTTAGTAGAGTGAGATTGGCGAACAATTTAATAAAAGCATAGAAAGAAAAATAAAAATTCGGATTCATGTTAAGAGACATGTATAAGGGATTTGGGATGACAGCTATCTGTTCATTTATATACAAAGCATGCTATTTTGGGTAGATTCATAATATTAATATTAATAAGTGGGTATGATACTGGGTAATACATAATATGGGGAGATTAATTAGCTAAGAGAAACGAATTGAATTTGAGCAACTTTTTATTAGCATAACTTGTAGTCTCTTCATCAGAATTACTGGTGCATCCACTGGATACTGCGAGAAAACAAATAATGCTAAATTCTGCAAGTTGCCAATAATTTGTAATAATTAAACTTATAATTAAAGGGATTATTTGATTATATATTTAATATCTACAAAAAGGGAGGTATAAGGGAGATATTTAAGGGATATATTCCAATAAAACCAAGGCAGTTAGTTCCTTCTACTTAACTTTTAATATATGATAAATTATAACAAACATTCAATTTTTAAGCATACTATTGACTGCAATTGTTTATTATACATTTTTATGTTACCACTTATTTCAAAAATTATTATTAGGTGAAGGAAGGGAACCCTCAAGTAAGTCGATAAAAAAACTAACTAAATTAATTTACACAAATTTGTTAATGTAGTTGGCCATTGGAATTAAGAGGAATGTAAATGGAATAAGGATATTTGGGATTTGCAGACTGATTAGGATTGATATTAGAATGAAAGGGTAGTGCTATTATTGGTTTTTAATAAAGAATTAACCACAAAATAAATATCTAATTATAAAAATAATTTTTATAATAATTAGCAAATTAGCGAATCTTTTTAATTATGTTATAATTAATGCGCATACGGTGTGTATAAATGCAGAGAATATCTTGAATTTTTGATAATAATTATAATATATCATCATGTAAGTGAACTCTAGAAGTGCATTGTAAATGTTTTACAGAAGCGTGTATAACAATTCACATGGACTTTTGAAGAAGAGAATGAGAGAGCTTGTGCCTGTGAAATAAGCCTTATTGCGAGATGTCAGAAAGAGATATGGAGCAAAAGAAGTGTGCAAAGTGACAGTTGACTAAGCAATTGGAGGAATGAGAAACGTGTTCGGTCTTTTCTACGACGCATCATTGTTGGATGCTAAAACAGTAATACATTCATATTTAACGAAATAGGGTATCACAATGAGAGATTACAACATCCCTGAATTGTAGGAATATCTCTAAAAGGCTGAAAATGGACACGAGCCTTTACCAGAAGCCTTGTTTTGGTTGTTGTGCACAGGTGACTTCCCATGTACATATATGTTTTTATATATCTTTTAGCCGAACAAGAATTCGCTGACGTTCAATAAGAATGGAAATTAAGAGGACAATTGGATAGTGAGACATAAAAGTTCATTTTGAGCTTACCAAAGACTGCTCACCCAATGACTATGTTATCTTAAACATTGTTGTTTTTGTAAAAGGACTCTCAATTCCAACAAGCCTATGACCAAGGAAAGGTTTCAAAGCCATAATATTGGGAATACTTCTATGAAGATGCCATGGATTTATTGGCCAAAATCCCAAGAGTTGCTGCCTTGATTTACAGACACAAATATAAGGTATTTATTTGTTTATAGACTTAAGAATGGTGAAATCATCTCAGCTGATGAGAATTTGGATTGGGCTGGTAATTATGCTCACATGCTTGGATATAATAAATTTGAAGTTAGAGAATGTTTGAGAGGATATTTAAGCATTCATGCTGATCATGAAGGAGGTAATGTGAGTGCACACACAACACATTTGGTTGGATCAGCATTGGCAGATCCATATTTGTCATATTCTGCTGGTGTCAATGGTTTGGCTGGTCCATTACATGGTCTTGCAAACTAAGAAGTCCTCAAATGGCTATTGGAAATGAGAGTATCTCAATATATTAAACCTATTATAGGAAGAATTGGGTGAAAACATCTCAAATGAAAAAATCCAAGATTACGTTCTCACAACCATCAGAGAAGGAAAGGTCATTCCAGGATATGGACATGCCGTTTTAAGATACACAGACCCACGTTTCATCCATCAAAAGGACTTTGCTGCTAGACACATCAAAGATGATCCCTTGGTTGACTTAGTCAGACAATGCTACCATGTTATTCCACCTGTTTTGAAGACCATCGGAAAAATCTAAAACCCATGGCCGTACTTATAGATTATTATCATAGAAATGTTGATGCACATTCAGGTGTCCTCCTTTATCACTATGGAATGAGAGAATTCTAATATTACACTGTCGTTTTCGCAGTCTCAAGAGCCCTTGGATGTATGGCCAACCTCATCTGGTCAAGAGCCTTCGGATTACCAATTGAAAGACCAGGATCAATTACTATGAGATGGATTGAAGAGAAGTTTGGAGAAAACTAAGGCATGAAATGAACATTTACAACATTGCATATATCTATAAAGAATATTCAATTTTAGTAATATTAATATTTTATCATGTTTATTATTCTAATAATCTCTTGACTCGCTTTATTTTTGTAGAAACAAAACACCTTAAAGTGTATAGACTAAGTTTTCCCTTCTTTTGTCTGTGGAACTTGTTGGTTCTTAAATATAATTCTGGATTCATACCTCTGTATCACATTGTCATAGTTATTATGGGGATTGTAGTACTTGAATAGATGCATTCTCTCAAATCTATTAAAAAATATCTCATTGTATTGAAAATGTGGATTCTTATAAATAAATCAACTTAAATACATCAGGAGTGTTGATTACTTGGAATTGAGATTATAGTATGCTAACTTTCGTTCCTGTTTTAGTACTTTTTTTTCTATTTGTATGTCTCTAATTTTATTCAGATAATGATTGATCACTATGAGAAGCCCTCTCATCCTTCTTTTTCTATTGTGATTAAAATTAAGTAGGAGATACTCTGGCTGATTTTGTATGTACCTTTGAAGCAATGGATGGATTGTTTGATATGTTATTTGAAAGAGGATTCGAATAAGTGTTTGATCGATTGGATGTTTGTCTTACAGAATTCTATTGTTATTAGTATTGAATTGACTCCTCCATCTAGTTTGATTATTATTATTGATATCGGAATGTCAATTTGGTGTGCATTGATCGTGCTGCAGAGTATAAATTATTCTTCTTAACAAATGCTTAGGAACTACTGGTTTACTTACTAAATTAATTTGAATCTTCGTGTTTTGAATTGAGAGAGTCAAATTATTTACTTTATGTTGCTTCACTAATCATTTATAATTTTTCTTTGTGCAAGTTTTCTATCATAGGCTTATGAACCTTAGTACCTAGGTTTTCTGCCTAAAAAGGAAATCCAGCAGTTCTGAGAGTCGTTTTATTTTATTATTTTCTGAATTGATTATTGAGTACTGGGTCTATTATCATTTCTTCATATAATTGATCTTCAACACTGTCAGGATTCTCGCTCAGTTAATCTGGGTTGCCTTTATGGATCGATTGAGTCTTACTTAAGTAGCTGGCTGATTGTTGGGTCTAATCTATATAGATTTAATATATATATATCAATTTTATTAATACTTTCACTGTACGGTAGCTATGAGGACATTGGGAAATCCTCAGATGTCATAATTTCCTAAGATAGTTTTTACTGAAATTGTTTTGCACTTTCTCCAACAACAAACAACATAAGTAACGACTTCGGCGACTTCAGACGCCTTTCAGTTTTAAATCGCTATTGTATATGAGGATATAAGTATTTCTCAATGACATTCATTTTTTAAGGATAGTATTACAAGTATTAGCATTCAAACAGCATATGACCCTAAACCTTACAATAGTGGCATTCAAACATGTTATGATTCTGATTACAGTTATCTTTATAAAAACAAAAGATTTCATTATCTTAAGGAAAGGACTTGATGATTTCTAAGAAATCAGATCTCCTCAATCTCAATACGGTGGTTAAACCCTCACTATTCAATGAAATGTAAGATGGGATTCCGCTAATAAATGAAAATTCACCAAACGTTTAGCCTTCTGTCAAAGTGTGAAATGTTCTCTTTGGTTTCCCTTAAAATTACCCTTGGAATTGTATTTTGACTTTTCCTTTCAAAATGTAATATAAACAATGGTCTTCTATTTAGTGTTCCTTAGAATTACTTTTTGTTATACTTAGACTATATTTTCTTCTGGGTTGTATTGCGCAATTTCAAACCAATAGATCAATTGCTGTCTTAGACTCGAAGAAAACTTCTTAAACAATTTGATCTTCTCAACCATCTTGGAACGAATGGAGACTTGCAATTCTTCTTAAAGAGCAGGCGACAACTTCTTGGTCAACAAATCACGGGTTTTCATGATGTCTTCCTAAATCTGAGAATCCAATTTACATCAACTATATACTCAAGATATGAGTAGCATCTGCACTGTAATCCATAATCTATGTTTTTGTTCTTGATTCCCTAGAGGAATGAAGCCAAATGTTTCTCCTTCTCCTGTTCCAATTTGATCGACGGTTTGATCCAAATGAAAATAACAGTGGCTGTGTATATCATGGATAACGAACTGATAATCATGTAAGTTTGAAGGAGGAACGAATTCGTGGGAGTGACATCCACAGCGATTATCCCATTATGAGTCAGAATAGAGACTGCAATAGTAAGTGAATAATAGATGTCCTACTCGGATTCAAAGAGACAAACAAATGACATTACAATTGTAAGCCATAAAACTATAATATAAAAAAAGAGCGAAATTGAAGTGTAAATATTTTCGAAACGCTCAGCTTATCTTATCAACTGCAAAATGAAATACGGGATAATCAGATATTTCACATTATAATAATAGACCAATATTAATAGGATGGCAAATATGATCCTAAATAGATCTAAGCCTAATTTGGTGTCATCAATAAAAGACGTATTAAAATTGCCTTCTTACAAATGAAAAGGTCCTCTTTTGAAATGAATGTCTGCTGTTATTTAGAGGATGACTAAACAGTGAGCAGTGTAAGCTACAACCTTAAATTCTAATTCTTCAACAATTTGCAAAGGTATGATGATTATCGATAAGATATTGATCGTCGTACTAAATAGAAAGTAGAATATTGTAAACCACTTATAAATCTAAGGATTCACTAAGATCTATTTCAAAAATGAGTACCTTCTTATGCATTATCTATTAAAGTGAAATCGTTCAACTATGTCCAATCCACTTTCCTTTTCATTTTCTAGATAAACCTATTGATTATAGCTTTGATATGTTAAGAATTGAGTGTTGAAGCTTTGTTGTTATCTACCAAATAGGACTCAACCTTATAATAAATATATTTGAATACAGAATCAGATTAAGGAGATTGTAATGCACTATCAAATCCTGAGACATCTACTATTTTACTATAAATAAATCAATAACGACTTCATACTTCTTTGATTCTGGTTAGAATAGGTTTTTATCAAAACTTTTAATTGAATGTATATTCGTATAGATGGTTGGCACTTTCATGTCGCTTCCACTAAATTCACAAGGCTACTATATCGAAGAATTCATGTAAGGTAATTTTGCTTTAGGTTATTGCAGATTTGAAGAGGATTGCTCCTCATCTTCCTCTTGAATTGATTAGCTATTTTGATAACCGATGGTTTTGGACACTCTTCTCTAGGGAAACGACTCACTTGGATCAAGATCTTGGAATTCTTCTAATTTCTTGGATAAACTATATGACATTATATATTTTAATTTACGACAAATCTCACTGAAAAATATTCATTATGAACAATAAATCTATTAATCAACAAGACCATCTCCCCTTCCCCTTATTTAACAACAGGTTTTTCAGTGAGTTCTCATAGGATTCGAAATTAATTGGACATCTCAATTAAGAAATGCTACACCTCAATCATAAATGCTCCTACAAATGGATGAACTAACCAAAATTAGAATGGACTCTAGATAATGATATCAAAATACTTGTGATTACATGGAATATGCATGGAATTATACCTGGTTACTCTTTAAAGAGACTTTTTAATATTGAATAAGTCCATCATGATTTAATTGTAGTAGGCACTTAAGAATGTTCTAGGAGCATAGCTGTATCACTCCTATGTGAATCAAAAGGAAGTTGGGAATCAAAATTGAAAGAGGAACTAGGTAAAAATTACGTTAAAGTCCAATCCGCAACACTGAATGCAATGCATCTCATCGTATTTGCCCATGTCCTATTGATCCCTAAAATTAAAAATGGAAAACCTTATACACTCTCCCAAGGATTTATGGGAATAGTAGGTAATAAAGGAGGTATTGCAGTCTCTCTTAATATTAATGATAAAATATTCTTATTTGCAAACAGTCATCTTGAAAGTGGCTAGAATGCAGAGAGTAAGAGGTAGACTCAATTCTCTAAACTTGAAACTCACTTTGAAAAAGAGGTTTTTTCTAGTCACAAGAATGTACCATATGATTATTTGATCTGGACAGGCGACTTTAATTCAAGAATAGATTAAAAAATTACAACTTAAACTATTAGACATCATTCTGATTTTTTTATGTGGCTGTCTAGTGATCAAATGTATCAAAGTAGAAATCATTCATAAGGTACTATTTTTCATTGATTATAATTAGATTATTAATCCTATTTTCAGGAAGGAATGATCTTCTTTCCACCCACCTATAAAATGTTAGAATTCCAGAATTAATGGGCTGTTGGAAAAGATTTCAGAATACCTGGATGGTGTGATAGAATTCTTTTTAAAGAAAATAACAAAACAAAAACCTTCTCCTCAACTCAAGGATAAAATGGATGTGTTCCATAAGAACTTAAATTATAAAATTATGATGCAAATTTCGATATCCTAGGCAGTGATCATAGACCTGTTTTTGCTCAATTCACAGTTTCCTTTTAATGACGTTTTATAATTAAATATTTTTTACATTACCTTTTCATTTACTCATGAATTTAATTATATATTCTAATATTTAATTAAACAATAATATCCCATTATTCCTATTATACCTACATTCTATCCAACAATATGATTCAATTTTATCTATTAAGTCGCATTTGGAGAATTATGACTATATATAGTTGTTTTTACTATAATAATCCACAAAGCCTAATTTGTTCATTTTTAAGTGAATAGGTAGGTTGAATTAGAATTTATTCTCAAAATTATATTCATATTGTTAGTTAGATGCCCTATAACTCAAAAAAGAAGGTAGAGATAAAAAACTAATAGGAAAAATAGAGTCCAAATTTTAGTCGAATTAGATAATTAGTTTAATCTTAAATTTAAGAATTGTTATCATAATTTAACTATTTTAATATTATATTTATTATAAGGTATTTAAAGATTTTACAAAGTTTGAAATGGATTTATTAAATTTTAGTTCATCATATTAATAGACAGTATTTTGATAAACTATATATTAGAGAGAAATTTATTGAATTATTGTGTTTAAATTTGTACTTGATTTATAATATCTGTTTCATTTAAATCTTATACGTGACATGTAACAGATGAATGGGATAGTTATTATTATTTTGAGACTTTTATATTAACTAGAAGTTTTAAGAATTTCTACGATTATATTATGACATAAATGTTTACAAATAATGAAAATTATATTTCAATTATATTTTGAAAGTTTTTTGATATATTTTTTCAACTATTTTTCATGTTATAGCGATTAAAACAAACTCACCAGTATTCATTTGTAATATCGAAAGTCTGGATACTGTAAAAAAGAGCGAGCTTATTTATTTTGCAGTATTAATTATATTATAGAGTACTTACTATTGATTTTACAGAAAGTGAAGTCGATGGTTGATATCAGAGGAGATAGGAAGAATAATTTAAATCTAAGAAACCTCATAAATACAATAAATTAAGTAAATGAAATAAATTAAATCTATACTTAATTAATAAGTAGCTTTAGCAGATAAAATCATAATTACATTTGAGTTATCGAATTCATTGGTTATAGTTTGGATAATGATTAAGGGCTAAGTGAAGTGTCAATTAAATTATTTATGATTATAGGTTTGAGGGTGGTTTTCATAAATTATCTTTGTGGCATTAATACCTATTGTTTAGGGGATTTTGATTGGATAGTAGTTTCAATTTTATCAGGTGAAGATAAACAAATCTATTTCAACCTATTTTACAATTACTATTATTTCAAATTATTCAAATTTAGTTATTACTTTGTGTAATTATTTTATTATTGAATAGCCACAGTTTTATTTACACTTTTTTCAAAATTGTTTGTTGATTTGTTTTATATAAAGGCACTCTTGGTAGATTGTTAATTTAATTATTATTAACTTGTTGCTTTCTTCAAACCTTCTATTTCTTTTCTTTCAATAAGTTATAGTAATTTTTTTTATTTATATATTAAATTCATCATTCTATTAGAATTTTTGTTTTATTTATATAATAAATCTCTATAAAGCTGAATAGGAAACAATTTATCGTCTTTTAACTCTAATTTAATTTATCCTTTAAATGTAATCTCCTCTTCAGGATTATGATACTCTCTAAAATATGGATGATTTAACGCTTCAATTGCATTTAATCTTTTATTTGGATTGTAAGCTAACAACTTAGAAATCAAATCGAATTCATCATTTCCGCAATTCAATATGGATTTTAAAGTGAATTTATAATTTCTGGAGAATTTCTCAAATAACTATTTTTATCCTCCAAAACTTGAGATATCTTCTTAAGTAGGAGGGCCAAGAACCTCAATAATCTTCTCTATCTAATTTATTGTTGAACCACCAGAAAACAACACCTTACCCATTATCATCTCACTCATCATACATCCCATAGCCCACATATCAACTCCAATCGAATACCACTTTGATCCTAATAAAATTTCTGGGGCTCTAAACCATCTTGTTGCTACATAATCTGTCAATATATCATCCTCCCAAGTAGAGACCATTCTTGCCAAACCAAAATCAGCCAACTTTATCTGACATTCAGAATTTAATAAAATATTTGCTGGCTTCAAGTCTCTAAATTATTTATTATCTTCTTTCATACCTATGTATCATGCCTGATGAGTGGATGTACTTTAAAGCCTTAAAAATTTAATATGTTATATATCTTCTGTGAGGAGGTTGTAAGAGCTTAGCACGAATGGCCACATGAAGATCAGTTTCTATGTATTCAAAAACCATATATAGATCATTTTAATTTTCAGCTGGATACGTATCAATTAATGATACAATGTTTGGATGATTTAACTTTTTTAAAAGACTAACCTAAAATAATAATAATAACATTCTCGATTACCTCTCTGTAAGTTCTTTATGCGTCGGTTGGATTGTTGAAAGCATCAAAAACTTTTTTTAAGGCTACTATCTTTTAACTTTTAATATCTTTGGCTTTCCAAACTATTCCATATGCTCCTTTCCCAATTTTAGTCAAAATTTCATATTTCTTTAAAATACTTTGGTCAATTATTTCACTCATTTCTAAAAATAAATAATTTTTTTTTATATATCTCATTTTAAAATCAATATTTGATGATAACTCTAAAGATTATAAATATTATATACATATTTTGTTTAGTTGATAAATATTTTTTAAAATTCTGCAGTCGTTAATGAAGTTCCATGTAATTAAACAAAGTAAACGATACCGAAATTCTAAAGTTACTACAGATATGTGAATGTAGATTATAATAACAACATATAACAAATAAAATATATAAATCATTCAATTCTGATAATTAAATGAATTATTCATTTACTTCGATATATGATAATCAGATTTTTGAACTTGGCATTACTGAATCTTTAGAAATATGATGTTGTAATTGTATTAAAATCAATTCAAAAGGCTGAATTTAATTATTATTGTTTATACATATATTAAGAAATAACAATATATGTCTTAAGTTATTATGGTATATCTTTTTAAAAAAATAATTAGTTGCTCAATTAACTCTCTCTTTTATTCAAGAATGATGTTAATCAGAGTTTGTCGATAATATTAGAAGCTTGAGCATGTTGGTTTTGGCATCCATATGTTCTAACTCAAAATTTGCTTCTATTTAAATTTTGAATAGAAACTATTATAATACATGTTACTACAAATATATATATATATAACTCGATATATTTAATCATTAAGGAGGTCACTTAGTGTGATTTTTCATATATTGACTGAGAATTGATGTTCTTGTTTATTGTAAGAGAGCCTCCATTTGAGAGATTATTGTTTTTAATCTCTAGCATTACTGTAATTTCAAAACATCATTATTAGTGATACGAGATTTCATTCTTTTTCCTGAAGGAACATCTGTTTCTGAATCAGCTTTTCTAATTTTTTTAGATTTTCTGTTAACATGTTTAGTTTTCCTTTTTGGTGCTTCTTCAACATAATTAAACAAAAGGACAGGCTCTTCTTATAAATACCCATCAAAAGTATTAAGTTATTCTGGCTCCTAATAAGCACTTTGGTCATATTCATAGTATTATGACTCATTCGTTTACTCAATTTAGGGATCGTTAATTAACTCTAGAAATATATATATTTGGTACATTAAGAGGCTTGTTCTTCAAAGTCAATTGGGTAGAAATTCATAGAATTATAGATAATACTTTTTTTTAATTATATTGAAAATTTCATGATTTAATCTTTTTTATTTCATCTGCGTTTTTTTGCAGTAGGTAAGTTTATTTATCTAATTAAACACTTCAAATGTTATCCAAATAAATTGTGTGAATAAGCATAAAACATTAATTTATATTAATATAGAGAATCAAAATAGATCATTTTCTTCTTTATTGTTGTTATGTGAATTGCATCCCTGGGAATTAAAATCCAGGAAATCCTGCCCCTCCTTATTAAGAGAAATCTCCAAATTAAAATGGGAATCCTGATCCTCCTCTCATGTTCTAACCCATCCCTCCTAAATTAGTTGTGAACATAGTTTTGAATCCTCCTGGGAATTCTCCTCCTCCCATATTTCCAAAACCAAAATCACCGAAATCTGCTCCTCCTTCTCCACCAAAGAACATTTTAAATATTTGGGATGGATCAATGTTTGTTTCGAATCCTCCTGCTCCTCCCATTGGATCATTTGGATCTACTCCCATATCATATTGTTATCTTTTGTTTTTATCACTCAACACACTATAGGCTTCAGCAATTTCTCTGAATTTTTTATCAGCTAATTTCTATTCAGATATTATAAATAATATACCTTCTACTCTTCATTCTCTTTGTTTTTGTCTGGATGCCATTACAAAGCCAGTTTTCTATAAGCCTTCTTAATGTCTGCATCTGTAGCATTCTTTTCGACTTCTAAGATCTTGTAATAATCCTTTTTTGACAATTATTTCTGTCTTCTTGTTAGGTCATTTATCTTCTGTCTCATCTATTATATTGATCCTTGATCCAATTCCATAACCTTTTGATAATCACTTTAGGCACCATCCAGATCTCCTAATTCTTATCTTGAATCTCCTCTTCTCAAGTAAGGTTTGAAATATCTGTCATTCAATTCAATTGATTTATCAAAATCATCAACTGCTTTCTTATGATCCTTCTTTTTCTGATAAGCCAATCCTCTATTAGCATAAATTATGGAATTGAATTTAAAATTGTTAGAATCAACTGCTAATGCTTTGGTATAATAATCAATAGCATCATCAAATTTATTTGAATTTAAACAATCATTTCCTTTCGATTTATAGCTATCCTAATCTTTTGCCATTTGAAAAGCAGCCAAGCACTTTTTATTATTCTAATCTTATCTTAATCCTTCTTAGAGAATTGATTTAGCCTTGTCTGGACTTCCTCCGTATAATTCTATCAATCCCTTTAAATAGTAGGTTTCAACTCTTGGTCCATGCTTATCTTAAATAAGTCTCAATTATTCTTAGGCTTAATTAATATTGGATGTTCTGGCTAGACATTCACAATTTAGGATTTGAATATCGACAGCATCTGGTACTTCCTTGGCAACTCTCTCAATAAATGTTAAGGCTTCCTTAAATTGGTTGGCATCCAACTTCTGTCTGGCTTATTGCAAGTAAGTGATCAATTCTTTTATTAGTTTATGTTCTTTGAGGGATTACTCACTGTTATCTAAATTGACAATTTGCTCAAAAATAGGTTTGGCTTCAGTCAAGAGTCCCAAATATTACAAACTCAAGGCTTTTCTTCTTAGAAATTTGATGTTATTGGGATCCAAACTAAGTGCTTATTCGCAGTCCTTCAAACATTTGCTATACCTAATGATAATATTAATAAATTACTTTTTCATCTGAAGAAAGCAGGCAGCTCTATTGCCATAATAATTGGGTTCATTTGCGCATAGTTCTAAATATGAATGGATTTGAATACCTATGGCTTTTTCGTATTCTTCAGCAGCATTTGAGTATAATCCTCTTTTAAAATAATCATTTCCTTTATTTTTGTGTTCTTCGGCTTATTATTTAAGTTTATCATTTCCTGTATTGCGTTCAACTTCCATGAATAATAATTTAAAAAAAAATAATATTTTTTCTTCACTTTCCAGAACCTTCTTAAAGCTCAAAAGTCATTAAATTTAATATTCGATACATTTTATAGAAATTGAGAAAAATATATTATGCTGAAAAATTAGTAGTTTAATTGTTATATTAAATTACACTAGGAACTTTGAGCATAGGTAAAAATTATTAGAATATGTTAAAATTAATAATAATAATAAATGGGGATTTGTCAAAAAAAAATAATTCAAACTTCGAATATTAAACAAATTGGGCCTACTGATCTAGAAACCTAAATTACCATGATTAAAATCCATCATTTTGGTAGATTACTAATCCAATATTAAAGATAAGAACTCACAATCCTACTTAGTGAAGGATGGCTCTGATTAAAAAGAAAAGATAATGACAGTAGTACACAAAATAAATGATGACCAATTAAAATTTATTTTGAACATAACCAGTTAAAATATACATAAAATAGAAAAAGTATATTAAACTGATTCCTATTCAATAATATTTCAATAGTACTAATTTTCAATATTTCAGAAAACCCTAGGGTCTGTCCATATTTGAGTATTGCCTTAAGCAAGAGACATTTGATGAATTATAGGCCAAATAGTTATTCAAATAATTGATCTAAACTTTAAAGATGTTAAATGATTTAAAAATTACATATAAGTAATTATATATTTAGATTTAGTTTGCGATCTCCAAATCAAATTCTAGTTACACCTTAAGGGAATATTTTGTTGAATGGAATTTATATCAAATACAAAAAGGAACCATTTACTCTATAAATCTTTAACCCTCCAGAAACTGAATAATTGGATGTAGAGAAATTAAACGTATGGAATTGCGGAATCCTACTTTACATTTTATTGAAAGGCTCCTTACCTAATAAATATAAATATCTATATCCTTATACAGTGAAGGAACCCCAAAAATAAATACTATTTGATCCTGAAGATCCCACAATTCCATTTCTTTAAAGAAAGCTATTGATTGAAATGTTGAATGAATAACCTGAATAGAGATTAAATTACAATCAAATATTGCATAATTAATGGATTATTGGAAGTTCAACCAATGTAACTCCAAGATAAGTTATAAACAGAGAAGTTGTTTAATTTGACAAATATTTATTATAATGCATTTAACTTGATTAATATTTAAAGGAATTTATTGAAACCTATGCTCATCTTCACATAGGCCATGATAGGATGTTATAATCTTTTTCAAAATTTGACTTAAATAGATCAAAAAAGATTTAGCGAAAAGATTTAAATTATATAAAGTAGGTTTTAAAAAATGAGGCATTGATTCTCAGTATTTTACACTTTAGTGAATCCAAAACCACCTTTGTTTATGAAGGTATTATATACTCTTATAAAGTTAGAGTGTCTTTAATAATGGGAATAAAATATAATTTAATAAAAAGTAGAAAGTCTGAAGTCTTGTTTTCCTAATTAGGAGGTCAAAAAATCCCAAGTTATTAACTATTTATAGCCAAGAAAGAAGAAATATGAAGATGGATTAATCTTAAGTGACAATTCTTAGATGATTACGAATCTAACAAAAGATATTTATTAGTTTGATGAATTTATTTTAGAAGTTGAGAAAGGAATTAAGGAAAAGGCAAAATACTTTATTAAGAACCAAAAAGTTTTTATTAAGTCAGAGGAAATTTAATAGGAATTTAATCAATTATTGAATATTTTAAAATCCGATTAAGAATACTAGTCTAATAAAATCCAGTAAAATGGGATCAAGCAAATCTAACAAATTTTAGGATAGAATATTATGCTGAATTTAGTATTGTAAAAAGAAATAATAGATCACTTAGAATAGTTTGAGAAATAGGATTAATAAAAGAGATACAAATAATTATTAAACTAAATGATGAATAAATTATAATGATGAATATTAATTAAATCAATTATAAAGTTTAATGGGTTGTGCCGCTAATAAACAAGATAAAGGTATTTAAGCAATATACAGAGAAAAGACATGGCCGATAATCCATTTTTTGTAGGGCCTTCCTTATTCATTAATTTAAAGGGTGGAGATCTTTTAAAACATTACAGAATAGAGAAACACCTAGGAAAAGGTATTAATTTGTAATGAGACTAGGTGCTTAAGGGGAGGTTAATTTAGTTGTTCATTTGATGAGTGAACAAAAGAGAGCAATGAAAAAGATTATAAAATCTCAGAAAATAAATGAAAAACTTATAGCGAATGAATGCTAAATCATGATGTATTTTGATCATCCAAATATTGTGAAAATATATGAACTGTTTCAGGATAGCTCGCATTTTTATATTGTTTATGAATATTTAAGTGGTGGAGAATTACTTGAATTATTGAATAAGAAAAAGGAGTTGAAAGAGCAGCAAATTGCTAATTATATCAAATAGGTATTGGAAGCATTAAATCATTGTCNTGGATTATTGGAAGTTCAACCAATGTAACTCCAAGATAAGTTATAAACAGAGAAGTTGTTTAATTTGACAAATATTTATTATAATGCATTTAACTTGATTAATATTTAAAGGAATTTATTGAAACCTATGCTCATCTTCACATAGGCCATGATAGGATGTTATAATCTTTTTCAAAATTTGACTTAAATAGATCAAAAAAGATTTAGCGAAAAGATTTAAATTATATAAAGTAGGTTTTAAAAAATGAGGCATTGATTCTCAGTATTTTACACTTTAGTGAATCCAAAACCACCTTTGTTTATGAAGGTATTATATACTCTTATAAAGTTAGAGTGTCTTTAATAATGGGAATAAAATATAATTTAATAAAAAGTAGAAAGTCTGAAGTCTTGTTTTCCTAATTAGGAGGTCAAAAAATCCCAAGTTATTAACTATTTATAGCCAAGAAAGAAGAAATATGAAGATGGATTAATCTTAAGTGACAATTCTTAGATGATTACGAATCTAACAAAAGATATTTATTAGTTTGATGAATTTATTTTAGAAGTTGAGAAAGGAATTAAGGAAAAGGCAAAATACTTTATTAAGAACCAAAAAGTTTTTATTAAGTCAGAGGAAATTTAATAGGAATTTAATCAATTATTGAATATTTTAAAATCCGATTAAGAATACTAGTCTAATAAAATCCAGTAAAATGGGATCAAGCAAATCTAACAAATTTTAGGATAGAATATTATGCTGAATTTAGTATTGTAAAAAGAAATAATAGATCACTTAGAATAGTTTGAGAAATAGGATTAATAAAAGAGATACAAATAATTATTAAACTAAATGATGAATAAATTATAATGATGAATATTAATTAAATCAATTATAAAGTTTAATGGGTTGTGCCGCTAATAAACAAGATAAAGGTATTTAAGCAATATACAGAGAAAAGACATGGCCGATAATCCATTTTTTGTAGGGCCTTCCTTATTCATTAATTTAAAGGGTGGAGATCTTTTAAAACATTACAGAATAGAGAAACACCTAGGAAAAGGTATTAATTTGTAATGAGACTAGGTGCTTAAGGGGAGGTTAATTTAGTTGTTCATTTGATGAGTGAACAAAAGAGAGCAATGAAAAAGATTATAAAATCTCAGAAAATAAATGAAAAACTTATAGCGAATGAATGCTAAATCATGATGTATTTTGATCATCCAAATATTGTGAAAATATATGAACTGTTTCAGGATAGCTCGCATTTTTATATTGTTTATGAATATTTAAGTGGTGGAGAATTACTTGAATTATTGAATAAGAAAAAGGAGTTGAAAGAGCAGCAAATTGCTAATTATATCAAATAGGTATTGGAAGCATTAAATCATTGTCACACTTGTGGGATAGTTCATAAGTAATTTTAAATGTATTATGGAACTTTAGAGACGTGAAGCCCTAAAACATATTACTGGAATCTGATGAACAGGAAGCTTAGATTAAATTAATTGATTTCGGAGCAGCCAAGCCAGTTGATCAAAATGATGTTGATGTCGCTGGCACAGTAATTAAAATCTCTAAACCCTTAGCCATTATATATAGCACCAGAGGCAATAACAGACAATTCAAATGAAAAGAGCGATGTATGGTCATGTGGAATCATGACTTTGTAGCTTCTGACTGGATCATTTCCATACAGAAATGAAACTGATCCACAAAGAATATGTGAAATGATTACTCGCAACGAAATCGATTATACCCGTATCTCATATGTCTATCATTTTATTAGTCATTGATAAGATTAAAACGAACAAGGCAAAAGCTTTCTTGAAAAAAATGCTGTGTTTTGATCCTAAAAATAGATATACAGTAGAATAAGCACTTCTAGATCCTTGGATTTAAGATAACAAAAACAATGCTTCGATTGATAAACAAGTTTTAGAAAACTTAAAGCAATTTCATGTATGTGATGAGATTATATATAGAGTTGTAGCAAATTACAATAAGCCATTCTGTAACTAATAGCTTCCACAATGATGAACAATAAGGACAAACAAAAGCTAATTTAATAGTTCAAATCTATGGACAGAAATGGAGATGGGAAACTATCTCATTAAGAATTGAAGCAAGGGTATATGAAGATTTACAATGATGAATTGAAAGCAGAACATGTTGTATAGGAAATATTAAAAAAGGGAGATTTCAATCATTCTGATACTTTGGAGTATTCTGAATTTTTAGTTGCAGCCTCTTAATATAATCAATTAGTAGAAAAGGACAAGATCGAGAAAGTGTTTAAATTATTCGATTAAGTAAATTATGATCTCTATAAATAGGATGGAAATGGATAAATAACAATAGCAGAATTAAAAAAAGTGATGGCAGGAGCAGCAGAAAAAAGTACTGTATGGAAGGATTTAATCAAAGATTTTGATTAAAATGGAGATGGTTAAATATCTCATTAAGAATTTTTTGATACTTTGATGAAAAAAATATAGGAAAATTAATGAAATATGGAAATGATTTTGGTTGTGATTTCTTTTATTTATAAATGAAAAATCTCAAAAAATTTGAAATAAAATGTTTTATTTAGAAAACTCTTAGAAGGATATTAATTATTGAAGTTTTATAATTTTTGTCTTTTATTTGTCATTTAGTTGCAAATCGATAGATTAACTTAATCATTAATTTGATTAATAATCATATATATATATAAAAAATGAGTAAGTAACAATAGGAGATAGAAATGCATGATGTATAACAATAGGATACATACATATCTCACCTTGACCTATTAAAAGAAGATGATAGTCATCCTATAATGTGGTTACTACATATTCTGCTAAAAGCATGCGCCTTTTTTTCGTAATCATATTTGATTTAATTATAGGTACTTACTTCTTGGATATTTCATTTAAAATATGTTTTATGAGATGATAATTTTATTGATTTGTCATGGGGTTGATTTTTATTTGGTAAAAAATGTTACCGGAAGATATTTAATTGGAGTAAGGTGGTACACAGATTTATCATTTCATGGTTAAGAGATTTATAAATATGAATTTTATAACAAAGGAGAAGTGAATGCAGTAGATTCAACAGTTTTCTGGTATTGCCAATTTGGGTCTTCTTGTTTATGGGCTTTCTTCGTTTTTGCAAATATATTTTAATTTGGGCTTATAGATGTATAGTTTTATTAATGCAATAGATATTCTTAGCAGGTATTGGAGCTTGTCTGAACTGGATTAACCTATGGGGATATTACAAAGGATCTTAAGAGTAATAAAAAAAAATGAGAAATATTAAACAGTTTCTTGCCAAGAAGGGAGCCAAATACCTGATTAATTAAAAATGACCAATATTAATTTTAGTTTTATTATGTATATTTACTAAAGAAACTTTAAATGAATTGGACTCCAGAAACCCATAAAATTCAAAATTTGTATTGAGTATTTAATTTACACTTGAATTGTTAGACAACTTATCCTTATTCAGGGGCAATATCGCTGTAAGTGACGTACCAACGGATACGCGAGATTGCTAATTGAAAACTACTCCAATGCGAGTGTATGACTTCCTTGTGAAGTCGTTCACCAATTTCTGAAGAGTCGAAAGACTCACCCCCAATCAAATTAAACAAACGAAATTTATATATATATATTTAAATTATGAATTAACAAGAATAGGAATTCCTTCATACACTTAGACAATGCCAGAAAATGCATTGGATTCAATCCAAATAAATGTCAAATGTGAAGATATTTTATACAGGAACTAATAGTTTCTATTAAAGAGGAGACATTATTTTCAATAATATATTACCCCTCAATTCAATATTAGATGAGAGAGTCTAATATTTTAGAATTGACAAGCAACAAATATCTGATGGAAGTTTTATCGAAAGATGCAAATTCAAAAATTAAATCTATTCTCTTAAGTATTAATATCACTTCTTCAAAATCAATGAATCAAGTTAAGGAATTCATAGAAAGTACGATGATGCCATCATGGTTTAATAATTAGTATTTTCTAAAATTGAAAAATCAAGAACAATCTTAACAATTATTTAACATCTAAAATCGAAACCAAATTATGCATTTTTTAAGTTTTTAAGAGAATGCATTATCAATTATTCAAGTTTGGAAAATGCAGAGTTATTTGAAAAATAATCAATTTTATCAGAGTTTCGTTTAGATGAAGAGGAAGATGAATCAAACAAGTATGTATGCAATTACAATGATACTGCTGAGTATTCACCTAAAGAAACTGATGAAAAATACATAAATGAACATTATCGGTATCATATACTCTTATTTCAAATAGAGTAACCTAATTAGATTAAGAAGACTAAGACATTTATTATAAATTATTTTAAAAAGTAAGTGAATACAAACTCTCTAGTAATACTTTGATAAGATGGCTTATTGCAAGAGGGTGTAATTATAGCATTTTGTAATTTTAGATTTGATATTGATGCCTCATATGCTGCAATAATGAATTGGATTGTATATCTATTTGATTTATTTTAGGAATGGAGAAGACAACATCGAATTAATCGGTTATCAGCCAAGCAATTTCCAGAATTCAAAGGAATACTAGAAATTGTAGGGGAGAGCAAATGTGGGAGACAAGTTGTATACACTAAATAATCTAAATTATAACCAGATAAAATGTATTTTATCATTTAAAACATTTAGAGATCTCGAGAGATATAAATGGTACTTTATAGGTTTTCTTGAGGATGTGTGTCGATCTTGTAAAGGTTTTGTAGATTCCTATATTACAATTCTGGATGTAGATGGATTTGGTTTCTCCAATTTTGATCTCTAAATGACTAAAAGCCTTCTTAATATGGTGTTGCAGTTTTTTCCAGAGAGACAAAATAAGGTGTTTATCATTAATATGTCTGGTTTTGTAATGGGATTCTACAAAATGTTAAAGCCTTTCTTGCCCACAAGGACAAATGATAAAGTAATGATTAGATTTTATTGTAGCTAATCTTTTTGGGAAAGGATAGATAGGAAATTAAAAAGACATTAATGGAGCATCTAGGATTCAGTATAAATTTTGAGTGATCTTATAATAATTTAAGAAGAGCAATTAATAATATATTTTGGAGAATATAAAATTATCTATTATGCTGAAAATAGAAATGTATATTTGATTCAAGTAAATAAATAAGCATACTTCTTAAAAATAGCTTAAATTTATCTATATAGACAGGCTCCATTTTTCTAATAATGGAAGTCTTCTCTATTTTGATGATTCAGCAGAACTTTGTTTCTGAGACCAAACTTTTGATTAGGATTTCTTGTTCTTAATTGCTTATACATCTTAGTATTTATGTCTTCAAATATGTAAGGATGCTGAATTCTATTGTTAACTTAAATTTCAAAAGGCAATTTATAAATTGTTGAATCTGTTATATCATAAACTCGTTTTTCTTTTGAATATGATGTTTTTGTTATCAAAGGGTGACGAAATTCATCAGTTTATTTTTTTTGAGACTCATATTAAATTAATCTTTAATATCTTGGAGTATTAATCTGAAATTAAAATTCATCACAATTTCTAAGAATAACTTCTATTTATTCTTAAGCTGTATAGATAATCTATTTTTTTGTATGAAATCTTCTTATGCAATTTGGGCTTTTATTATTTAATTCATTTTCAGACAAAATGGGAAGATTCAAATAATTCAATAATTAAGGACAAAGAGATTTAATGTCAATTACATTCTTCCTTATTTGATCTCTTAAAGCTTCACAACTGAATTTCTTAATCGGTGAATCTTCAGCTTCAAATACTCCAAGCAAGCCTCTTTCATGGAAATACAATTAATCCTCAATTTATCCTAAATAATAATAGTTTATAGCCATTCTTTCGTATATTTAAATTTCATGTTCCTTACATAACCATGCATATTGAAGTCCTTTTTTCAACAATAATAATGCTTCCTTGTTCATTTTGACTTCGGTTGCGCAATTTGCCAATCCTATAAATGACACTGCCTTCTCGGAGTGATTTTTGGTTAGAGTATTTAAAATTCTCTCAAATATTATAATAAATTTACATATTAATTATAGTAATAACAGGCATTATTAAAATCCTTAATTTTTAGTAAAATATCTGCAGTCATACAGATGAGTGCCTGAAATTATTACAAATTGCCTTAATCAAGGATTAAACTTAATTAGATCTTAAATTCTATAGTTATTCTTAATAATCATTTACATCTCAAATATAAATCAGATTATCTCAACAATAGTTACTCAACGATCGGTTTTGAAAAGAGGCTTATGATTGAGATGTTCTGAGGGATTTGTTATAAGATATTGACGCTATGATGTTATTGTCTATTATTTTCAATGTCTTTCCTTGATGCTAGATTTGGACGAGCATTATCTACTGAATGGTGTTAAAAGGAATAAGATCTAGTTTTGTGTAAAGAACGGTTAAAACTAGTATATTTGGTGGTTAGAAATGAATCTGCATGCATTATTAAATTTAATATCACAAGATTTCATCTAATTTCTTTGTAATTTCTTGAAATACCTCATCAATAGTTTTGTCTGCCTTAATATGGATGCATTGTGATAGAGAATCAAAATATTCTAAATGCTTACAATTAATCCATACATATAATTGGTCGTGTAGATTCATTGTATGTTTTCAATCTTTTAACCAGAGTTTCATCATTATCATCCGACCTTCCACTTTCTTACGCCCTGATCTTAATTCTATTTTTTAAGGTCTCTTCATCACATTCAAAATAAAACAATTTTTTAAAATCCACCTTATCTCCCATTAATTTAACCCAAACGTCGAAATTCTCTTGATTTCTGGGGAATCCATCAATCAAAAACATCTTATCCAAACCCTTAGCTTGCATAGCCTATTCTAATAACCCAATAGTAATGTGACTCTATTAAAATATGTATCATAATTACTGGGACAATTTATCCACTCCTAATGATTTCTTCAATCAATTCAGCATTTTGTGTTTTTTTGGATCTCTTGAAAACATATTTTACTGAATTACCTCCTCTCTTAACAAGTCACCAGCAGACAAGTGAACAAAATGATACTTCTCCACCATCTTTACACTTTAAGTACCCTTTCCTGCTCCAGGTCCTATTTTGATTGATTGATAAGAGAATACCTCCCAAAACAAAAAATACTTTTGGCTTAACTTAATCCATAATAAATATATATTTAAATTTCACTAATACTTCCTATAGTATTTCTTGGATTTGTGAGTTGATTTGGATCTTCTTCTATAGCCATCGCTACTATCTGATTTGTTTCGTTGTCTTGATCGAGATCTTTCTTTGCTTTCTTGTATTTTAGTAGATTCTAATATATAAAAATTTAAAACTACTTTCATAATCATATTTGTAACTCTTGGAATGTCTTCTTTCAAATTAAAATCCACTATAATACTTATTATTTTTATATTTATCAGAGTCTACAGATTCCTATCTTTTTCTTCTGTAATCTTAAGACTTTTATGAGCCTTCACTGCTGGATCCTTACATTACATAAGACAATTACTTCTCTTATTGTACCCCCTATTTTTAGAGTGGTCATCGTCATCATAATATCTCCTACTAGTTCGAGGTCTCTCATATTTATAACTCTAGTATTTTTATTTCGATTTTGATTTATCATAATAGTGCGATTTTTCGTATTTATATTTATCATACCTATCGACCGAACTTTTTTAATTATAGTTATATCTATGATGATGCGATTTATGCTTTTGTTTTGTTGACATATCTCTACTTTTCCCTGATTCTGAACTACTTTATCTCTTTTGATGCTGGTTATTGCTGGAATCAGAGGAGCTGTTATCACTGCTGTTCTTCTATCTATCGCTTCTTTTGCTGATTTAGGATGGTTAAGTAATCAATTAGATTAAGGGCAAATTTTATAATTTAGGAGTGTCCTCTTGTTAAACACTATTAAATCTCTTAAATTATTAATCCTGTTGTTAGTTCCCATCTAATTATGTTTAATCTGGCATATGTCTTTTAAATCCCAATATGGCATTTAGGATCTTTCTTGTCAACAGGATTAAATTCTTTTTCCTCAACATTTATTCCGAATCCGTTAAATTCTTTTAGATTTCCTTACCCAAACAGTATTAGATATACAACTAAGTTTCATAATCTCTTAGCAATGATGGATAACAGCGTTTAACAAACCAATTATCAAACTTCTACTCTCGGTACTTCAAAATATTAAATTGATAAAAATATGGAGTTATTAGATCCCAATTCTTCATAAATGCCATATCATTAGTCATCATAGTATTTTAGAGATATTTAAAAACGTATCTGCACATCTACATTGACATTTAATCTTAAAACTATTCCAATTTTAATTGACAATCCTCTTAAATCATTTCAAAAAACATTTGCTTAGTTTACTTGATCTGATTTCTTAAACATAATATCAATATAGTCATATTCTTTCTAGGATGTGAAGCTTCAAACAATAGTACTTTGGTGGAAGAAGAATCTTTTTCAATTCTCTATTTAACCTATTTGCATTATTCTTTATATTAGGGAGAAATTAGAACAGTGAAGTAAGTCATTTCCTTATCATTATTGGTCTCTTATTCCAATAGTATTTTAATCGCATTACTAGTCTCTTAAATCTATTGAAGAGTGCCAATTAAACAGACTTCCTTCTCCCTATATTGTATATAAAAGAATGGATGATTGATGTCTCTCTAAGTTTGTTCGCCTTTTGCATTATAAACAGAATCTCTCGATATACGGATCTCAGCATGTTGTTTTAGATGATACATGTTTTATTAAACAGTCTTAGTTTCACTTCTGCTGATATACAGTCTTTAAACACATAACGTTTTTAAGATTTTTGATATCTCTTGGACAGTTGATTCGATGTTCTATTTAGACCCCTTAATTTTGATTGGAGTAGCTCTGTCCATAGGAAATATCTCTTCACTATGAGCCAATGATTTATTATATATAATGTTAACTTCTTGTTTTTTATCTAAGCTGTTGCTATTAAGAATTAGAATTAAATAAATACAATTTCATTATTAATCTTTTTAAATAAATAATGGGTACTTTAATCTACCCCTCTATGATACCTAGTTCTTTTTTGAGTTCTTTGATAATCTATTCAATCATAGTTAAGATCGATCGAAAGATACTTATCTATTAAACAGAACCAATAACAGTCAAATTATTCTCCTTCTTGAAGAAATCTGCATATTGTTGATCTATTTATTCAAAACTGATTTTGTTTCCAATCTTATAAATTAATGGAGCATTCTTTTTGACTACTTTCTATTCTAGAATATTGATTTTAAAGCATTCCTTTTTAGTATCAATGTTTTGGATGTTTTACACTTGAATCTATTCTATTTACTATTGCAAATCATTATTATTATCATATTGCTCTTCAAATTTCTTCTAGGCTACATCAACAATGGATTGCATCTACTAAAGTTTACCACTGTTTTATGGTTGTAAATCTATTGATGATTTAACAAATTGATCTAGGTTGTTTAATGATGTGCCAGTAGATTTCATACCCTTTTAAGGTAGATGCAAATCTGAAATATTAGAATCCAAATATTCTTTTTTATTATAATTGATATCTTCCTCTAATTTATTTACTTATTATTATTAATGTTGTTTCTATTATAAATATTCTCTGACTGTTTATTTCTCTAAAGATTTCATCATCTTATATCTGTTATCATATTCACTATCAGAATCACTTGAAGAAGATGATGAATCCATCTTTTTCTTATTCTTTTTCTCGTTATTCAATTATTTGACTTTCTACTATAATAAACCTTCTATTTTTTCTTTCTCTTTCTCAGATTCAGCCAATATCCTTTTCTCATCCTAGCATTCCTAACAATACCAAGCATCTTTTGGTACTGATGACAATGGAGGTACAAGACATAGTAAATGGAATCCACAATTGCATTTATCGCATAACAATAGTTACTCATCATCTTATGGTGTTTTAGTTTGACATATTTTGCACACCATATTTTCTAGATGTTCTTCCCACTCTTCTTATGTTACATCAGTTGGTTTCAATCCCAAATACCCCTTGCATTTATTAGCTCCACAAAGACATTTAGTCAATGGCGTATGAAATACATCAAATTAATAATCAAAGGTCAATTCTTCATCTTCATTTATGTCCCGTATGGCAAATATACCTATACACACTTCACCTAACACATTCCATTTCTCAGTAATACAATTTGGCTCACAAGAATGATTTATAAACCTTGCCAGATTCCCTTTAGATGTCGGATCAATAACTTCCTAATTGTTGAGTTTCATCAAATATGTGCATGTAGATTTCTAAAATAAACACACAATTCAAACCGAATATTCCTGCACTCGTCTTCTCCCAAATGCACTATTGATTTGAAATATCTCGCCAACATATTGCATTATGAATTGTCCTTTCAAAATACGTTCACCAGCAAACAAACCCATTCCTTTCCCTCCACAACGCAATGGATATACACATGCATCATCATGTTTCTAAAATCTTCGATTTTTGCATTGTTCTGCACATGGACACAACTCTACATCGCATTCTGTACAAGTGAATCTATTCAAGCATCTCTCACCGCAATTATAAGAATATTATGGACCTTAGGGTCGACTATTTTTACTATTTAATGTACTTTTATATTTGATCTTCTGGACACATTATGCAGGAACAAACTAAAGTCTCATCTCTGCTAACTCTGTATTGCTTCCTCTCCAAATATTGATTCTTTTTTAATAACGTAAAGTATTTAAAACTCTCTTTCAATCCCTATAATCTTACTGGATTTCCTTGTAATTTAGAAACTATCTTGCATGATAATTATAAGTAATTACATTTCTATTTTTGGAGGTTTCCTTAAGGATAGACTGTTCATTTTTCTTTGTTTTATTACTCTCATCCAATTACATTATTTTAAAATTATTATCATTATAATATATTAGTAATAACTTTTGATGGACAATTATGTTTGCATTCATCACAGCAGACTAATTTTATAGGTTAATCTTGAATTAGTAATTTCTTTTCATTTTCACTCAGTTCTCTTTCCTTTTCCTCTTTCTAAACTTTTTACTACATAACAAGAACTATTTACCTTAAAATTAATCTACTACTCAATATCCTTTATAAAAGTTAACCTCTCGATAGATTTATCCAATTATTTCTATTTTTCACGTTGCTCCTCTTGTTGTTTTTACTGAATCATAATGTAGTACTCCTATTGCTTTTTGTTTTCCTCGTCTCTTCTTTTTTACTCATTTATTTTAACTTAATATTGAATCTCTTATTTGAATTATTCCATCTATTGTTTTTTCGCTAACTCAGAAGCCTTCATCATTTTTTCATTGCTTTTTTGTATATACTTAAGTTGTTCTTATTCTATTTTATTCATTTCTTCCTGTTACTATTTCAATTTCTGCTTTTCGCCTAATGTGTATTTCCAATAGTTTATCATTTATCTTTATTATTAGGCTTTAATTTGTTGGTTATGGATTTGCTCATTCTCCATTTAAGTCCAAAACTGAGATTCTATTATGTCAGATTTGTTGTTTTGTAATTTCTACTAACTTTTTTCTTCTTCCTTAAATTAAATTTAATTTTTAAGATCCCTTAAATAATATTATTGCAATTATTCTTTTTTTTCTAATTGCTTTATCTTTCTTAGATTGTCGTCCTTCTCCAACCTTTTGAAAAAGTTAGCTACTTCAACTTATTCATTTTATTATTCAGTTTTTACTCTCTATTAATGCAATTGGATTAACTCACCATTAATTTTATGATAAGTGAAGAATTTCCTTCTTTTTTCTTCAGCCAACTAGTCTCTATATTAATTTTCCTAATCTATGGATTATTTGACTTATTAGTACAATTTCTAATTAATCTATTGAATATAATTACTTAATCCTCTTATCGTTGTTGTTAAACACTGAATTCCTTTTATTTCATAAGTGATCGATTTAAACAATTATTGCATATTTTTTTAAGTCTTGGATTCGATGGAGGAGTCATCTATAATCCTGGACTAGTTTTGACATATTATGCAGATATAGTAGGAGTGAGGCATTTCTTAGGAGTGTTTGGATTTGATTGTTTAATTGATTCGTACTTTTATCTCATTTAGCGAATGTCTTGCATAAACTGACAAATAAAATTTATTCCAAATAAAAATTGATAATTCTGTTCTCATTTAATTATGTTGTTTCTTAAATTAATAATAAGACATGACAATTGACACAAGACCTAATTTCATTCATTCTAATTAATTGCAATATGGATCAACACCAAAAATAATTATCAGAATTTGCTAGAAAATGAAATTATTCGAAGAACAATTTGGATATAAAAATTCCTTTATTACTTATGTTACCTTAAAGATGCGAAATGCCAAAAATGCATATCTAATTTAACACTTCTGGATTTGAATTATAAATTTGAATAATTTAATCATTATATATTGATTTAATCAATTGATCTTTCAGTAGGTCTTGAAAATCTAGTTGCAAAAATTGAAGAATTAGATTTCTTCATTTTTGATATTGGCGACGATACACAATTAGTGTTTGTATTTGTATTTGATTAATCCATTTGATTTTATTTTTAAATCCTTTTTAATAAAGACCCTAACATCTTTGATCTTGACTGCTTCATTGATTGGACATTACATGGATCATTATCTTACAAATCTATTTATTTTTTTGGTTCTTGTCTTAAACTATCAACTATGCTATCTACTTCAGCCTTTTGTAGCTTTGAAGCTCTTTTAGCACCATAAGAATTTTTAATAAATAGAGAAGGTTCTACACAATGATTAGGGCTTAATTGAAATGTTTATGCCTTTTGTAAGGTGATTTTTCGAGGGGATGTTTGTGGACTGATCGCCAATTCCTACTTTACTTACTACTTCAATTATTGTATCTAAATTGAGAATATGATGTTACCTTTTTAATTTTTTGTGAATACTCTTGTGGGATATGATATTTGTTATTCAAGTAATCAACGTATCTTTCAGAATATGTCAAATCATTCTAGATTTCTTATATTTATTTTTAATCAATTCGAATAAGCTTTTCATCTTATTCATTTTTAGTTAGGATGGTTTAAAGCTACTGTTCGAATGCCGGATTAGTTTCATTTAAGTACTACCCTTCTATAATCAGATATAAAACTTTGGCCAAATATCCATCCTCTCTGTATTTAGCTTTTTCTAAAGGTAAGTCGTAAAACGTCATGCTTAGGAGGTCCAACTTTGATCATGGAAGCATCAGTTTTGCAATTTATCCTTGTTAAGAATTTCTAACTTATATGTTATTTTACAATCGAATTTATTCTCTTGCATCCACTATCTCTGAGCTTTTGGTGAGCCTGTATGAGATTAAAATTAATATAGTTGTGATCATTTCCTAAAAATCTTCGGCATGGAGGTTCTAAACTGCTTTTATCAGACATTAGGCAATTAATTTGTAATAAGAAACTTTAATATAAACACTTTTTAATCATGAAAACTCAATATTACAACTGAATTCTTAGATGGGATGAACTAATTTATACTATACCTCCTGATGAAATAATTTAGGCTCCCAATTACTTTTAAATTAATTTAGAGATAAAAAAACAGAAATTCATGTTTTGTAATAACACTAATTACACTGCAACACATACGCAAATTTGTCTTATTAAAAGTTTTTAATTAATTAAATTAATTTAATAATTAAAAGCTACATCAAGATCAATTAGATTATTTAATAAAACAACAAACATTGCTATTAACAACAAGAATATGTAAAATCACACTCCATATGTCTTAAGTCTCTTAGAATTGACCTACAGGGTTGTATTTTCTACAACGTCTTCCACTTCTAATTAAACTTTTTATTTCTATTCTTATTATTCTTCTTCCTATTTCTACTTCTAAAATTCTCTTGGATCAACCCCCTTGAGAATCAATTTTTTATTTCTCTTCGTAGTCTTCCTAATTTGAGCTAGTAATTTTTCAGCCTTATTCTTTTTAATTTTAATTGAACCATCTCTGTAAGGAGCCAATTTCTTTATTGAAACATATTAATTCAATAGCTTATCGTCTGCATAAAGCAAGTCATCGTTAGTCAAACCAAAATCTTACTTTTCAACATCAATATACTGAAACTTAGTCTTGATTCCTCCTGCTATGATATCTTCGAAATCTAAACTATAGTATTCATCAATAATGTTCTTCATATTAGAAGGCAGCTTCTCTCTCAACTACTCAGGATTTTCATCAAGTAATTTATTCACATCTACGACCTACGCCTCTACCAATGTATATCTATTTTAATTCTTGTCCTTCTCAAAGCAATCCACACACAAATAATCTTTCTTACTTTTATAATAATCGTTTTCATCTGTCATTTTAATTTGGCATGCTCTACAATACTTAAATTAGCTAATTAATTATTCAGCCTCCTCTGCTTGAGGAGGTTTACAACTTTTTGGAACAAGAGACTTTTTTAATTTATGTTAAGGATGTTCTTTATTACAATTCTCACAAAGAGTATAATCCTCACAAATTTGGCAATCCCATCTGAAATGATTTGGTTCAATAGTTTATTTACAAGCATCACAAAACCACCAAATTGTTACATCTTCATCTTTTAATGCATCCATTTCTCTATGAATATAAATATACTAATTACTCTTAATTCAAGTTTTTTTTCATAATAATTGGAATTGTAGGCTTAATCTTTATAACATTATCTACATCAAGTCCTTGGTCATTTTTTTCTCCCTCTTAGCCTTGCTCCTCTTGATTTTCTTCCAATTCTTCAGGAGATTCATCTTCATCTTCAAAATACTCCTCATCAAATATCTTCTCCATCTTTTTATCAAACTCTTCTGGCTAAAAATCTTTCTTATCAATTTCTTCTAATAATAACTTAGCATCCTTAACACCTCCTATCTATTATATCTTCTACAACTTCTAAATAATTTCATTCTTTTTTGCTGCCTTCAATTACTTTAATTCTTTTTCCAATTATTGTTTTTATTCCTACTCTCTCTAAGCCTTTGCTAATCTCTATCTATGTCTTGCAGTTTCTGGTTCCTATCTCAAAGTATCCTTTAGATCTCTTTCATAAGTGATCAATTAATTTCCTCCCTCTTCTTCAAATCTAAAATTATATTTCTCTTCAAATTCATCCATTCTTTCCTCATCCTCAGATGAATCTATAATTTCATTCACATCATCTCTATCAATCCATCCTTTTGTCAATATATATTTTCTAAGGAATTTATCTTTTTCATCCAAGTCTTCTTCATTTCCCCAATACCTTTATAAAATATCCGTCTCTTCAGGTTTCTACTTTTTTAATAACTTCTCAAACTCTTTGTTCTCATCTTCAATTTCTTTAACTGTTTTCTACTTTACCTTCAATAAATCCTTTTGTTATTTGCCTGAATTTTTTGCTGCATTAATAAAAGCATTTTTCAATCGTATTTATTCCTCATTTGGAGTCAATCCAATATTTGGCTCATATTCTTCCTCTTCCAATTCCTCTTCTTCATTTTCTATTCCTTATCCTTAGAGATCAGCATATGTAACCTTCTTTTAATCCTTGTTTCTTATATTAGGTTCGTCAAAATCCTCCTCTTAAAATATCTCTTTATTCTAATAAATATCGGGATGCTTGTATCTTATTTTGGCAAGAGTTTCAATAAATTTTTGGGTTACTTTATCATTAATCAAATCTCCATTCTCATCTTCTGGAATTTAGTCTTCACTGCTTTCTTCCTAGTCTAGAATCTCTCCTTTCTTATCTAAGAGTTCCCGCTCCTTTTTCTTTTAATACTTTTCAGCAAACTGCTTATTTATTTTTAATTTAAGTTTTGGTTATTCTTGACCTTCAAATAATTTCATTAATTTTAATATATATTAATTTATAACTAATTACATACATGTAATTAATAATAGTTAAGAATTCAAATATATCAACAAATAATATACATACATCATTAATATAATAATAATTCTTCGATCAATAGGGCAACAAAGTTAAAACTTTAAACAATTAATCATATTTAACAGAAGAGTCTGACCATTTAAAAACATTATTCATTTACTATTCATTCATCATTTTACTCAATACTAATTTTGCTGTGGATATTTCAATTAGATTGGTTTCTTGATCTGAAAAAAATTTTACCACTTCCAATAATTTATTGAAATCTGCGTAAATCAATTTAAAAGATTAAAATACACTATAATAAGCAGCTTCCAAATCCAATTGATATTTGTCTTTCTTATTTTTCTCTTAATATAAATAAGTCTCTTTTAAGATACCTTGAAAATTAACGTCATCAACAATAAATCCTAAAGAAAATAAGTATGATGATAGATTTTCAGATAACATATAGCACTTTACCCAGGCTGAATTACTCTCATTTGAATCTCCCTATTAAAATAAGATGAAATTTGTAGAACATAGTTAATAAAACTCAGGATCCTTTTCTTTCAATAGGTCTTTGAATTATTGAGCATCATATTATTCGCATATTATTTAATGATTTTTATTATTATCAATAACAGTATCAACTTTGATTTCTGATAATCTTTTCAAATTTGGTTCTTGTATTAATTTTGAATATTTAAAAAGGTATTGTGATATAGTGAGTAAATTTTTTTAAGGTTATCTAAATGTTAGTTCATATCCAAAGCTTTGTTTAACTTTATAATTTCTATCAGTAGAACTTATTTAAAAAGGTTTAGTATTGAAACTCATTTGTGATTATTATTATTATACATTTTAATTCTCAGCCTCCTTGGTCTAAATTGAATTTTTCAACTTGTCCTATATAGATTAATAATGAAATGTTTCTTTATTACTATTCTATTAGTTTTTAACCAATTATTCTTTCTATTAATTAGATGATGATTGTTATTTATTGCTAAAATAATCTTCAACTTTCATCTTCTTATTTTATTCTTAAGTGGAAAATTTGGTTACTTCATCTTCAAGCTTATTTTTATACGCGGGACTCTAATCCTCATTTTTTTACTCGCTAATTATTTTACTTCCTGTTAGATAGGAAACAGGTTTAGCATTTTATTATTATTATTTTTCTTAAGGAACATTTTCAAAGACATTATTCATAATTTCTTTAGTCTACTAATTCACTAGTTTTGGGTTCGATTCTATGATTTATTTAGGAATTTATTTTGTTGTACATTCATATAAATCTTATAATAAATTATCTAAGTCTTCCTCATCTTTATCATTCACGAGGGACTTTTGCTAAGAATAATCATTCCTTGCATTCTAATAAATATCATCAAAATGATATTATTAGATTTGATCTTTAACAATTTCTATAGTTTCATTATGTATAGATTATAAAAGTGATTATTATTAAATTACAGATTGTTCATTTTAACCTCCCCCAAAATGTTAAAATTAGGTATTTTCAAATTATTCTGATTAATAAAGTCCAGATTAATCAGGTACCTTTTATCGATGACTTAAAAAATTATCTAAAATGTTACTAATATTATTTGTATTTGAATTATTTTATCTGGATTATTTCTTAATGTGTTCAGATTTTATGGACATCTTTTTCATTTGTGGAATGTCTTAACTGTCATTCAATTATGAGGTAATTTAAAATAATTCCTCATATTGATGACTTGATTTTTTAGTGCTCCTATCCAGTTATTGTTACACCGTTTATTTTATGGGAAGTTATGGAATAAATACAGGACTTTACTATGTTATATTAGTAAAATGTGACTCATTGATATTCTATTCTTACTACATCTATTACTATTGCTATTTATAAATTTAATGGGAATAGTTTTGATTTTAGGATTGCTTGTTTTTAGGCGAAGCTTGAGGAACATCTTATTACTTATTCAATAATTATTAATATTAATGCTATTGTTATGGTTATTAAACCTAATACAAATCAGGCATTGGTTAACTAAAGGAAAATCTTTTATTCTATTCTTGATAATAAGCATCTAATTAATTTTAATATTCATCTTCTGAAATTTTCTAAAACTATTATGCTGATTCATCTTAATCTTCTTAAATTTGAGCATTTTGATTTTCTGGCTAATTTTTCTTTTTTTGGATATTTTCAAAACTGATTGACATAATTTGCTAAAGCTTTGCTTTTTATTTAGTAGATTTTGGCTTAGTTTTATTCTTTGCTTCCATTTAAATAATAATAATATAATTTAATAATTAACATTATTTTCTTACATTGTGAAAACCTCTTCGAAAATATATTAAAATTCTTTTTATCTATACAAATTTGCAGACTGCACTTATAACTTATTAAATTTATTTCACGTTAGATATAATTTCTTTATTATTTTATTAAATTTTATTTTTAGAACGCAGTTGATTTTTTAAATATTTTTATTCAATAATGCTTAGTTATCAGGTTGATTTTATAAAATAATGAGATTTTAATGATTATATTCTCAAAATTTAGAGTAGGCTTAAACAATTAAATTAATACCAAATTATTAGATTAAATTTAATGGGGAATGCTTGTTTTCATAGATTAGACAATTAGAGATAAAAAATTATAAAAATAAATGGATATCCTAAGTTACATTGTCCAAGTAAGTTGATCTTAGAACCTTGTATATAAAATATAACATAAAATCTGGATACTTTTGAAGAGGACTTTTTTAAATGTGAATTTAAATTGGATATTTCTCCAGATAATCAAAGAAATCAGAGTGCCAGAAAAGTAAAATTGGGGTCGACCATTGAAGATGTCAAAAAACTAAATATAATTGAATGCCCTTCGTATTTTGATGAAAAATCAGATTTTGAATTGGAGAATTCATTTGACTTTGTTATGAACCAAAATAGCAATGACAAAATAGCCACTTTTCATGGTTAAAAACGTAATCATTAAAAAAAAAAAAAATAAAAGGTTTCACTATAAAAAATAGAGAAGCCTAAAAGCATTCTTAAAACTCACACCTAATAACACAATTCATCCTTTTGTAGTTCATAGTATGTAAAGTCCCTAAAATCAGTTACTTTCAGCATTGATACTTATAATTCAAGAAATTTAAGATCTTTATCACCATTGTTAAACTCCTTCTAAGGTAGATTACCCTAAGAAATGAGCAGAAGCATGACATATTTATAATAGTTTCCTTACTTGTGATATTAAGTATAAGATTCTAAAAATAACATTTCTTGAAATATGTGATTTAGGATGTTATAATATTTAATTTGCACCTAAAATTATTAATATTTCACTCTAAAACTATCTTTTAGAAATAAGTTAGATAAGAATATTGCACATTAATTTTCTCTAAAAATTAATGAAATTAATTATGACATAAAGAATTTTTGATTATAATTTATCAACAACATTTTTATGGTTATGTATCACCTACATCTAATTGAATGTTTTATTGATTTTTTTCTACGTTTTGAGAACTATTAATCTATCCTCTTCTAATGAGTATTTATTAAACTAATTCTGTATACATTTCCTTTACTTATGCACCTGTCCTTGCAGAACATTCAAAATATTTTATTTAATACTTGGATAGAATAACAAAATACTTTTTAAGCTAATTGTTAGCCTTCCAAAGTAGTTACTTCCCTTTATGCTATATCACACTTATTTGCAACTAAAACTATAGAGACTTATTCACAATCAATTTAGTCTTTTAAATTATCAATCCAAGTTTAAACTTATTAAAATGAGTTTTTATCCACAACACTATAAACCAAAGACACTCCTTAAGCATTTCTATAAAAAATTGGAGTAATAACTCTAAATCTCTCCTATCCTAAACATTAGACTTAATAGTTACCCGCAGTGTCCCAAACCTAAACAATCAATTGCTTTTCTCCTTAAGTAAGAATTTTCTATCTATACTCTACTCCCAACGTAGCCTGGATATTCTCAGAAAACTTTTCATCCACATAACGATTTAGAAGTGATGATTTGCCAACAGCACCTTCTCCTAACATTAGAATTTTGACTTTTTCTTACATTTATTTTTAAATTTATATAAATAATATCACTAAGCCAAAGTTTATAATTATTCTTTTATTTTACACAGATTGTTGTGAAAATTATTAACTTCATTTTAGTTAAGCTGAAATGTCACATTTTCCTTTGTATTTTTTTAGGTATTTAAAGTCTCCAATTATAAGAATAACACAGGCATATTAACCTATTAATTATTTATATAGAACAATACCTTCTATTAATTATGCGTCTAAATTTATATATCCACTCTCCAATCAATATCAATCAGCGAATCTGCCTAACATATTTCTCGATTTGTAATCTTATCACACACTATTAAGAGTTTAAGAAATATCTTACATTCAGAGATCTAAAGTATAGAATCTGTTAACAATTTAGCTAATTACTAATCAAAATTAGAAGGAAAGAGCTACAAAATTGCCTACTCATTCCATTATAGCAATTCTGCATTTTCTAAAAGCTTTACCAATCCTATAATGAGAGTATGAGCTTATTTCTCGGATATTTATAAATCTTAAGGCAATGAAGCACTTACAGGTGTTTCCATATATTCTTAAAATGAGTTGAGTTTGTTTCTAAATAAATAAGCATATTCGAATAGTTTCCTCACATATTTCTTAGATGGCAATTATGAAAGAAGCCCAAGAATTTCAAAATTCATTATTTATTTTAATAACCCATAATATCCCACATTTGTAATAAATATTTAAACAAATAATATGTATTTATTTTCCTCGATCCTTCCCTGGTCAGATTGACCAAATGATGAGCGAGAATTAAATCCAATTGCGGAATCAAGTCTGGTCTCCAAACTCTTGTTACGCATGGACTTAAAACTATCTGACTAAACTATATATATATATTAAATATTGTTATAATTCATCCTAGAATTCTCATATAGGATGATGAAGACGCGTGTTCTTATTTTCATAAACATTAAAATAATTATTGTATTAATCTAAATATGTTTCATTGTTTTTAAATAATTAAATATTAGAAACTACTCATAATCAAATTTGCCTACAAAATTAGTATTCAAACATTTGTATGAAAATGTCACAAAAAAATAAGTTCTGATACTTGAAATGTTTTATGTGTTTATTGCGAATATTAGTGAATTTAATATGAAATTAGAAAGTTCGGAAGTATTATTTGGATGTGGATTCCATTTTCTAGATTATTTCTACATTTTGAGTATTCTAATTATATAATGGAATTCCTGTTAGGTTGAAATTTTCTTATTCTATATCAATACAACTCTGGCATCTTTTATATCATTCATCTGTGAATGTTGAAAAGATTAGTTGTGTAATGAGATTGTTCATATTCAAAGTCTTAGTCGTTATAAAATTGCGCCTTACTTTTAGACATTAATTTAATTAATGGATATTACAGCAGAACTTAAGAGTCTAAAAAATGGAGAAATTCTCTTAGCAGAAGGATTTTCATTATTTGAGGCTATGTCAGCTACTGAATTATTTGACAAAAAAATAGATGTAAAACTGGGTTTGGCTGATGCAGATACTCCCTAAAAATTATTACAATCTAATTAGATAAAATCAGGATCACAACTTACTAATGAAGAAGTAAAGCTTATTCAAAATAATTATTTAGCTTATAGGACTCTTTGATTTAGTGATTCAGAAAATAACATGTTGGCTTAATGGAAATGCATTAGCTTAGACCATTTACACATTAGTATATTAGTATGATGATTCTTTATGGGATAATCCATTTGTTCAAGCTTTGTTTGATACTTTGAATACAGTGGGAAGTCAAATTTTCAAAATAATCAAGGATGCTCCATTCCTCAGAGAAGAGGATTATAATCCATCTGTCTTCAGTTTTAGAAACAAAAGAATACCCACTATTTAAGAGCTATTGACAACCACATTAAATCCATTGGATACTGAATTAAGTGGCAAAGTTAAGAAATCTAAGCAATTAACTATAGCAGATGCCCTGTCCTCAAGAATTAAAGTACTTAAGGGCTTTTGTTTAATTGTGCAATGTCTTTAATAACCATTCAATGCTGAATCACAAAAATAAATAACAGATCACATCGAATTTATTAGGAAAAGATTTGATGCTGTTGTCTAGACTAAGGCTATGGGAAAAGACATGTAAAATTATTAGAGTGCAACAATTCTTAAGCATCTCAAATCTATGATCAGTATGAGGAAAATACCATTTATAGAAAATCCATATGAATACTTTAGCACCATGCTAAATTAATTAGAAGCAGTACTTGATTTAAGTGCAGAACGAAATTATTTTCAAATTCAATAGAAAATTTGTGCTTTAATTCACGATTACCCTAAGAATATTTTAGTTAGAGCTTATCTAGAATAAAATCTATTTAAATATGATCAATTCTTATTCTTTCACTCAACTCCTTGGATTAATATTATAGTTGGAACTCTTAATAAAATGTTTTCCCATAATTTTGATTAATTATATCAAAATGTATTTAAGGAATATCAAGATTGTCTAGTACCTGTCACTTATGAATACATAATTAAATAATTAAGATCTAAATTTAGAAAAAGTAGAGACTTCCATAAAAATTATTCTCATCTGTCAATACTTGTTCATCATAGCAATTAGATTGACCAAGACATCTTTAAAAACAAAAACCCTTTGATGATTTTCAGTTATGAAATTGCTGTACAATCCATGATTCAACAATTATAATATGGTTTTGATCTAGAACTCTATTCAGATGTAGATTATGCTAGTATTTACTTCTATTTAGAGTATTTGACAACCATTCTTGATAGAAATAGAAGCAACTATGTTAGTCAATTGACCAATTCACAAAGAGAATAATTGCAGAACCAAAATAAAAAGAAACCAAAAGTATCTCCATTGATAGATCAAATGTACTCTGAAATTCAATATTGGAAAGGATTGAATTGTCTTTTTAGAGTAAAATGTTATAATAATAACAGGGCTTATCCAGATTGTATTATACCTTAATGGAAAATGGATTCATCAAGAAAGTCCAAGACATGAATCATAGATATTCCAATAGAATGAAGATTTTCGATACTTGCTACTACGTCAAAGCCGTTAAATTTGAAGAATACACCCAAAAGATGAATTCATATGGATCATTCTAAGAAACACTCAAATTTGTCAGTTCATCTCTAAGTGAAGCTTAACAGCTTTTTGCCTAAGCCAAAGAAAATAAAATTCTAACTTAATAAATGTAAGATCAATCAAAGGATTTGGTTATGGTATTTTATATTTATTATAATTATTTTAGATTTGTGTTGTGACATCAGTCAATGCTATGAAATTGATACAAAATTAAAAATACTAAATTTCATATAAGAAAACAAAAGTACCATTTGTACCTTAAATAGAGTTAATTGCATTATAATAATGATTCAAAAATAATTTTATTATATTATGATTAGTATTTCATTCTATGTATTTGTTGGTTGTTAAAACTTACATATTAATGAATTTCTCACAAAAATTTCGATAATTATTTACATTCTAGTTTTAATAAATATTTTATGTATTTTTAAAATAAATAAATTTCCAAAAAGTACAATAAAAATTCTCTAAGAATTCTATTTGTAATATAATTTAATCTTATTTTTCAAAACTGAATAATAATATAGGTCTTAGATTAACATATATAAGATGAATAATGCAAATATTATCTAAATTGATCTTTTTTTATAATTATTCGTATTTGAATATTGAATACATTTCTTAATTATGTAAGTTGATCAATGTATTAAGTACTTTTCAATTTTTTAGTGAATTCTATTTTAAACAAAAGGTACTTGTCAAATTCAATTCGGCCATCTTTTAATTTATATATATTTATTAATGGAATAGAAGCCTAAATTGACTTTTGGAGAGATCAACTTTAAAAATTTGGAATAGTTCAAAGTCATTACCTAGAAGACCTTGCCAGTAACGTATAGTGAAAACTTTTATATAAAAATTCTAACCTATTCTGACTTTTCTACTCTTGGTATTTAAAATTAGTATTGTGTAGGTTACTATAATGATATTGCAGTTGGAGCTATAACAGCAAGGATAGAGGAAAAGGATGGTAAAAAGACAGCCTATATAATGACATTTGGTGTTTTGGATGCATACCGTCGTTTGGGATTTGGCACATAACTTTTGAATGAATTAATAACTAGAGTTAGATCTCATGAAGAGATAAGAACTATATATTTGCACATGTGGGTTAGCAATGAAATTGGATTTCAATTTTATTCCAGACATGGGTTTGAGAAAACAACTTATAAAAAAAATTATTATACAGACATTGATCCACCTCATTGTTACATTTTAACAAAGCGTCTCTACCCAGATGTAGACCCTCCAATTCCATACACGGAAGAGGATGCTGAAAAAGTATAGGAGATAGCACAATAATGAAGTATATATTTAGTAATATTAATAATAAAAAAAGTAATTTTAAGTTATTATTTTTTTAATCTTCGTTATATTATTCAAATTTTGTTTGATTAGAATAGTTTGTTAGGTGAGATATGAGAATTAAAGATTCTCGAAATTATAATGTACTCCTTTATTTTGTGCTGAATAACCTCAATATAATTTAATTAACTATGTAATGTGAGAACAATCATTAATCCAAATAATTTATCTGCTTCAAAAACAGGAGAAAAGATTTAAATACTTATTATGTAAACAAAGCAATGGTTTAATAATTAAAATAAACTTATCTTAATTATTTTTTATTAATAATTAAGTTGAATGAAATAAAGTTTAATTAGATTTTATGGCTTAGTTAAAATTTTTTCAATCAGGTTTTTGAGGTGTTAATTAATCTTTATTTTGCATTACTTTATATTCATATATAAATGTTAACATAAATTGAATCTTGGCATAATTAAAATTAGTCTATGTTATCAACTAATGAAGTTGTGAAATGGGAATGGCAGCCATTTAACAATAATATTGTTCATAATGGGCAAACTCTCAGAATAGAAGCTTCTAAAGTTATTAAGTATTAGAACTCGAATCAGGGCTATTCGCTTGATTTAAAGTTATGGAAACCCTTTCCTTTTAGTACGAATATTGGTTGGAATTGGCACAAATCTTGGAACATCCCTGAACTAGAGTGTTAATTAAAAGTAACAACATCATTTATATCATGTAGATCGACAATGATTTGGACCATCACATACTGAATACACTAACCATTGTGGCAAATCTCTATATTGTTAAACATAATTATGATAAAATGGAAATGGAAAGCATAGGATGCAAAGGTTGTACAGAAGGGGTCTTTAGAAATGGGATTTCAATATTAAGATAATTAAAGTTCAATACAACTTCGTATAAGAATGAAGTATTGTGTTATACATAATTTTAAGTATCAAAAGTTCTAAATCCTTGTGGTCATTACTTAAATCAATAGCAGCCAGTAATTTGTGATCGATGCAAAATGTTCCCCCTATATATTTGTAGATTCTCGTAAGCATGCCAGATAACAGACTCTTAATAATAATATTCAACTAATTATTGATCCATTTTTACCAGAAAACCTAGACAAAGAATTTGTTAAGAAGGAAAGAAAGAATCAGCCCAAAAATTTATTGAAAGTCGATAATACAATCCAAGGTTTAATTAATTACTTCACAGCTCCGAATATTAGACATAAAATCAAACACCCGTTATTCTTGGCTATTAAATTTGACAAATGTGTAAAATTATACTTAAAGAAATAAAATCTTGCAAAAAATTCAAAGGACATAATACTAAAAGTTTAGAGCATTTTGATGAAATCAAATCAAGAAAGACAATATTAAGACAAAGGGATGGCTTTACTATTTTAAATTGATTAAACCAACGAACTGGAATTTAAAAAAGTAAGTTTTTTTTAATCATTAAGGTATATGAAATAACTCAAATATTTGAAAACGATATATTTATGTTATACACAAAACAAAATCAAATACCATAGGATTATACTCCCATTGAAGAGACTTAAAGATTGAAGTACTATTACAAACAGCTGTATCCTAATTTGATAAATCAAAAAAGCATAATGAATTAATAATCTGAAAATTAAGAAGAATAACCTATTGTTAAGTAAGTAATATTAAATGAAAAGGATAATGAGAATTAAATAGATACACATTTATTAATTAAATAGTGTTAATAACAATAATAATAATCAGAAGAATATAATAATTAAATTTTTAATTATAATAATTAATACTCATATTATTATAATTAATATTAATAATAATAATAATAGTAATTATAATAGTAACAATTCTAAATTTAATAATAATAATGGTACAATAATATATAGTAGCAGCTTCAACAATAATAACAATATTATATCATGCAATAATAACATTAATATCGCAGATTCTATTGATTTATTAGTATTAATATTTATAATACTAGTTAACAATTTCTTATAATTCTTAATTATTCATTCATTAATTTATAAAAGTACTTTTTTGTATATATATAGGAAATAATATATTTAAAAAAACATAGTCACCTTCCAAATTTTTACTTTATGTAACGAAATTAATTTTCAATTGATTATTTCAGCATCTTAAATATAGTTTGGTGCATTATACCCTATGACAACATTAATAAAATTATTAATGCATGCTAAATATTAAGAAGAAAAACCTGAGAGCTCACAGAGATGGAGAAGGAACATCATAGTAGAGATAGATGAATTCGAAACTATAAATCTTCCACAAAATGATGATACACTTTTTGATTTTTAAGTTGATGTTTAGTCAGTCAATATTTATGATAACAAAGATAGATTTAAGAAAAAACTAATACATCCCAAGAAATAATCTTAATATGAAAAAATAACCATATAAAGTATGGCACAATAATAGAGAAAGCAATAATAAACACATTAGCAGAATTAAATTAAGGATCTATGGTCAGAAGAAGGAAACTAAAAGAACGTTTTAAGAACCGAAGCGAGGGCTTTTATAACCCCTCATCCAGGGATAATCATATAATCCTTAATATAAAGATATATAATGAATTTTTGGATGATGTAGTAAAAACAGAAATTAGATCGCACTAGAGATTATAAAATGAAGAGACAGAAGCAGAGAAAAGCTAAAAGTTGATACAAAGGTATATAATCAGCAACCACATTAGAGAGCGAGAAAAAAGAAACACAAAACATGATCGAGATTTAAAAATTTCATCGAAAAGAAGCGATTGATAGGTTAATTGAAAAAAAATCATGAATCTTATTAGTAAAGAAAATAAAAAAAGAACTTAATGCTGAGGCTAAGTTGAGATAACAGAGAAGGAAATAGAAGAGAAAAGAAAAGAGAAAAACTATTAGAAAGAGCAAGAAAATAATGGTTTTGTTAGGCAAGGATTGAATGAGCCTAAATAAAAATGAAATAAATTATCAAAGGCCGAAGTTCCCTTATTTAAAATTAAAGTAAAATGATTGTTAAATTATTAATTTATATTTCAAAATATGTAACAACATTATCTTGACAGTTCTAACACTGCAAATCCTCCTCCTGCAGCCTCAAATCAACCAGCAGGAGCAACTGGTGGAAGCCATTTAGATGAAGATTGGTTACTAATTGCTGGTATTGTACTAGCATTTTCTTAATTGGGATTTGGATTTTTGGAGGCTGGATCTGTTAGATATAAGAACGCTTAGTCAATAGTTATAAAGGTATTTCTCGGAATGTGTTTAACAATATTGATATATTGGTTGGTAAAATATTTATTAATAATTCAAAATAGTTCGGCTATGGATTTTCTTATGGTGATGATTTTGGAACATTCTTCTTGGGAGGTACAAAGCTTGGAGCATATAATTGGGCAGCAACAGAAGCCTAAAATGATTATTCAAATTTTGGTAGTTAATTTTAATTATTATTTTAGTGTTCAAAGCTACATTATCCTGCATTGGAGTTTCAATAGTATCAGGTGGAGCAGCTGAAAGATTAACATTCTTGGCCTGGGGTCTTTTGGCTCTATTTTATTCAGGATTTGTATCACCTGCAATAGTTCATTGGACAAATTCCAACGGTTGGTTAACTAAATTAGGATACAAAGACATGGCAGGATCAGGATTCATCTTCTATTCAGCTGGTGTTGCTGCATTAGTAGTGACAGTTGTATCCAAACCAAGAAAATATAGATTTGATCCAAATTCTTCGTTGAACTTTTAACCATTCACCTCAATATACGTGGCATTCGGTACAGTCATACTCTTTGCTACATGGATGTTCATAAATGGTGGTTAAATTTAATCTGGCTAAGCTACTCCATATGTTCAAGGATTAGTGGCAGTAAATACTTTGGTTGCTGGAGCTGCAGGAGGATTTTGGAGTTTTATTACAAGATACTTCACAAAAGAAACAACAAGTCTATTCTCAATTTCAAGGGGAATATTGGCTGGATTGGTGGCCAGTTCAGCAGCTGCTCATGAATCTTAGATTTGGGCTACTGCTATTGTTGCTTCTATTGCAGGCATTGTTTATACCTTAACAGCTACAGCTTTACCTAAAGTCAAATTAGATGATCCAGTCTAAGTGGTCCCTATTTTCTTGGTATTTAATTAATTCATATCTTAGCATGGTGGATTCATTGGAGTCTTATTTACAGGATTATTGGATGTTAATGGAGGATTATTCTATGGAAAAGGAATGAAATTATTGGGTTGCTAATTATTAGGATTATTGATTATCACAGTTTGGGTTGCCTTCTTTGTTTTCTTCATCTTGATAGTTCTCAAAGGATTTGCTGTGTTGAGAATTGATTCAGATGCTGAAGTAGCTGGTATTGATAAGGAAAAATGTATTTTTTATTATTAATTGTAGGTAATTATGAAGCCATTTCATTTTCAAATGAAGATCAACAACAAGTCAACATTATAAAATCAGTGTCATATTGATTCATATATATATATTAATATTCATATTAAAATGTATTAATAATAATTTGCAAAACCTCTTAAACAGATTAAGAGCAAGGCATTTAAAGACAGACTCAAAGGACACAAAGATGCCATCATTACATTGGTTAGTCCTTATGGAAATAATGGCAATTACCTTTACTCTGCTTCCAGAGATGGAAACGTTAAAAGTATTTATATAACTACTTAAGGTTGGGATCTACTGAATAGACAAATCGCATCCAAATTTCTGATATCCAAAATCTCCGATGATATAACAGTATAGGATTAAGATGAAAATCAATAAAGCATGAAGGGAAATATCATATGTGCAGCAACTTTTTCTGAATTCAACATCTATGTCGGATACGATGATGGTTTTATCAAATCCAATAACATCAAGACTGGAGAGCCAGTCTATGCCTATCAAGGACACAAGGCTTAGATTACATCTATTCATTTCCTAAATATCAGATAACTGGCATCTAGTTCTTTGGATGGTACAGTGAGACTCTGGGATACCACTAGTAATGAATGCGAAGTTATATTTAATATTGGATATCCAATCAATATGATGAATGTGATCTTCGATAAGGAAATTAATTTACTATATGGCAAAAACACTGTTGTCTAAATTGATCCCTACAAACAAACCATTGTTAGAAGTGTCCAATTCCCTAATTTTACTATCATGTCATATTTAGTACATAAGAATCTTTTGATTCTTGGCACCATTGATAATTTCATACACATCTATGAACTCTAATAATTAGATCAGCCTAATCCACAACCTATTAAAGTAATTGTTGGTTTACATGGATGGGCTTTATGCATGCTTGTTCACGATCCTTATTTGTATGTAGGAACTGATGATAAAAAAATCAGGGTTTATGAAATGAAAAACTGGGAAATGAAAGAGGAGTTCTCAGGACATATTGATGGAGTTACAACTATGGCACTTGCTAATGGACTCCTTTATTCTGGTTCCTATGATCATCTAATCAGATCTTGGGATCTTGAAGAAATGTACTAAAGGATCAGAGAGAGAGCCATTATGGAAAAGGAGGATTTAAATGTAATTATTTTTAATAAGGATTTAGAGTAGAAGATATGATGTTTATTTAAAGAGTTTACCTAAAAAGAAGAAGGCGATGCCTAAGAAAAAAAAGTGATTTTATATTTATTTTATTGCTTAAATTATTTATAAGTATTAATATTTTTATTATAAGTCAATTATCTTCTTCATAATTAGTAAAGCAGGTAAAGTTCAATATTAAATTATTAAAGTTCGAAAATTAAAATGATGAGATTATTACTAGATGGTTTATGATCATCAATGATTAATATTTTAAATAACTGATAAAATTTTAATTATATATATATTATTTTTAATATTTTCATCACTAATTACTTAAGATACTTAATCTCAATGTAGGGAGATATATAATATTTGACTTCACTTTAAGTATTATGATAATTATAAAATCATAAATTATAATAACTTTATAGGATTGAACTTTCCAATTACTATAACAAAAATATTCCCTTCACAATTCTACAAATTATATCCATAAATGAATATATTTAATAAAAACGTATCTAAAGCATATACTTAAAAAAGCTATTCTTTGGTATATTTTTATTCAAGAAACTTATCTATCTATTGAATGCCATAATTATGATTTATAATTTTAATCTGAATAATTTACAAAGGGATGCTACCCTGAATTATTAAATGAAATTTGAAATAATTTGACATTTGTTCTAATAGAATCAGATGTGTAATATATATCTCACAAATCTGATTTCCACTTTGGGCCATCCTTTATTCAATTAATCTTTTCTTCAGGAGTTCTTCTTTACATTATCGATTTATTTTATATATTATTGAAATCTTTCATAGATATAATCTGAAGATAATATTAAAATTAACTAAGTAGTAATAAATATTGTATTTAGTAATATTTTATTAAAATTATTCTGACAGAAAATGAATTATCACATTTATTTGAATAGATGAATTTAATTGATTAAAAACATAATATATGCACAACCATATCACTTTGGTAAAATCAAAATGAGAAATTATGAAGTTGTCTTTTTGAATATCCAAAAAAAATGAATTTCTGTATATCAATTAAAGTACGTTTTTAACAAATTTTATGCAAAACACTTGTATAGATTTTTAGTTGATGATGTGAAACAGAGATAAATTCTGAAGAGTATCCTAAATAAATTTATATGATGTAGATTTACAATTCATTATTTTATTATATTAAAATGGGGTGCCATATTTAGAAACACCAATACACAAAGAATGACATCATAATTTCATCTCCACCACCTACAGTTCCTTCCTCTCATGATATCATTCTGATGCCATATGCTCTTAAGTAATAGCATCCGGCTTCAAGGATACCAGATCAAATTCTTTGGAACAGTGAAGTTCAAAGAACAAAAGAATAGTCATCTGAAATAACAAATTCAGTTTCACCGAATAATAATCCCAACCGAAGATAAAAATGATGCTTTCAATAATATTTATATTAGTAGATATTAAATATTTTTAACTCAAAAGACTAAATTAAATAATTTATCATAGATAATTTGATAAAGATAAGCTAAGTGTTTTTCAACATTTACATATTTTTATAAAATATATACTTTCATTCTTTTTATTTCTTGCTTTTCTAACCAAAATTAGTGATTAAGAAGAAAGCATATGTGCCATATAACAAAATGTGAGGAACATATCGAATATTGCTATAGAATTTCAAAATTGGATCCACACTCAATAATAAAAATGTAATTCCAAAGACATTGAAGACTGTATTGGCTACATACCATCTAACAATCTTGGCTAATGGGTTAGTTTCAAATATTTTCAAATAATTGGTATTGCAGGACACTCTGAATATAGCCTTATTGACATTGTTCATAATAGCCCATTGGAAGAATGAAAAGTAATAGCCAATATAGAATCCATGCCACAATGATGACACAACATATGTCATTTGATAAGCAAAGTTTTATTTAGATGCACTCTTCTTCATTTCTTCTTCTGAGTAAATTCGAGTATAGACATATCTTCTTAACCAAGTTTAAATGGAGATGTTCCATTTCTCTACCTTATCCTTCATATTATATGTCAAATCCCAATCTACATCAATAGCTTTGATTTTCTCAAATTTTCCATCTCCTTAATAGGTAATACCACAAGAAGCCATACTCATTTCTCCTAATTGCCACCCACCATAATATTTGGTCCTTTGGATTGCTACCATAATGTTAAACCAAAGAGTTTGATATAAAACATTGTATGTTCCAAATTCCTCAGTGGTAACAAAATGCAAGGGGAAGTATTTTTCAGTAAATAAAAAGATGCCCATGCATATTACTGCATTCTTCAATAGTCTTAATGTTTCCTTGATTGTTGATGGAATACTTTTGTATTCTTTATCTTCATTAATGAATTAATCGAAGTCATAGTAATCAAAACAGGGTCCTAACACACAGCCAGCAAAGAAGAAGATAAAGGAGAAATACTCAAAGAAAGAAGGCAATTTAACTATCTTTCTAATTTCCTGTTCTTTACTCAATTATGTTTTTAATCCATCACTTACACAGAAGGCAAATGCAGTCCATTTCGGAGTATCCATCATCAAAATAGTTGTGACATCCATCTTCCAACCTCCATAGTCAGTATATTATCTGTAGATATGATGAGCAGCCACAAAAATCATAGATTCTACAAATACAGGCCAAGGACTTTTCTTCCCCAAAACCTTAACCAATATATAAACCACAAGTGTCTAAAATAACACATTGATGATTTAACTTCTATAAATATAGTAGGTGATTACGACACCAAATACTGATCCTGCAATCAATCTAGCTTACCTTCCTATATCATCTATTCAATTTATTACCTCTGATAGATAATTTAAAAATGAATCCAAATAATGTGCAAAAGAGCAAGGAAATGAAAATTTTTAATTAATCATCTGGAATGCCTGTTTTAGAACTCAACTCAATTACGTGAGTATCAATTAAGTCCATAATTAATTTAAATTAAATGTCTTCAGATATTTAAGTTGATTTACTTAAAAGAAGATAATAACATGAAACTTTTCTAAAATGTTTTAAGGATCATTTACTTGAATTACAATTTCCGTCTGATGAAGAGTGTAATTCTATCAATTTATTTTAGTGAAAGCTGCAAAAGAAGGAGGAGGACAATTAGGAAGCAAACTCATGAAGTTAGCCTAAAATAGAGATTTACATCATACTGATATGTCTGAGAATTATGGGCTAGATAATGAATAGAATAGAGATCGATACAAAAAAAAAAATTATTTGAATCTTTTTCAAGTTGAAAGAGGTCCTTGCAGAATATGCTCCTAAAAAGACACTAAGTGTCCCTTTTATAGAGCATGCTTTAATATTGAAACATTTAGGGGGATTGAACTTTTCTCTTGTTTGAATTGTGGATGTCCCATGAATAGTCATGTCATTTTATAATCTGATTATAATTTTTCAAATAGTATTTGCTCATAAGTGAATCGTAGATATATTAATGAATCACATTTATAATTCAAAGCCTGTGTTTCTATCTTTTTTGTAGATGCAAACACTGCAAAAGACTTCAAAATTGATATCGAGAGTTTTATTACATCATTGAATGAAGCAGGATTTAATGCACTTTCCTTTTATGAAATGGATATTGCAACATTATAAAAAATATGGTTAGAAAAATCGCTCTACAGCAAGAAGTCAAATATAAAAGCATAAGAGTTCCAATAATATTTTCAGTTTTTTGGAACATTCTTAGAAATGATTGCTAAATTTGGAGTTGCTGATAAATTTGCTTTATAAGATTGCTTATAGAACCCAGATGACATTAAAATTTTAGAATTTTATCTCAAAAGATTAGATAAAGTAAATTAAAAACTGGGTTTGGCATATTAAAGAAATAAAATAGCATTTATTTTTTTGATATCTGGTAATTAGTTATAGCTCTAGGTTGATTATAAGAAGTTTTTATTTGCAGCTAAATCTTAGATATAGTATTTACATACTGATTATAAGAAGTATCTACTTGAGGAAATCAAATATTCTGATTCATCCTATCAACCTTCTGACAGAATCAAAACTAATTCTACTTAAGATTTATTTTATACGCAATAATAACAATAGTAATTTTAAGAATTTCAATCAAAATTATCACAGAGATCCTAAGATATGATTTATTATTACTCCTCTTCAACTAAGAATAAAGCTATTAGAGATACATTGTTATTTTTTCCTTAATTTTATAAGCTGAATGTTGTTTCATTCCTATTGACATAATAAGTAGATGAAATACACAATGACAGAAGAAAAATGAATGATACATTTATGGATATGTTGGACTTTAATAATATAAGCATTTTTAAATAAGATTTTGGTTAAGTATTACAAAGAACTCTGAATGAAGCATTTAAATTTATACCAAATTAAGAGAGATTTTTGAAAAGTATATAATTTGATGGAAGTGGTGTGAATATTAAAATAGGATATAAAATAGGTACTTAACAATTGAATATTATGTCTTAAAATTTACCCAATTATTATAAAATATCACAGCCAACTTAAAATTAAACGTTATGTGATCGATTATGTCCGGAGATATTTTATAATCAAAGAATATTGATCATATATAGACCTATTGTAATTAAAAGTAATTTGTCTGGTTTATTAAATAATGTTTGGAAATTAAATGATTTCATTGAGATTGACTCTGATTATGTGCGATTGTCATTGTAGGAAGCAAGGATGTTAGCATAAATTGAGAAGATTCATCCACAAAATCTGAATAATTATTTAACAATGATGACTGAGGGTTATTCATAAGTTGTGTTATATGCTAGACCAGGAGCATATTAGGGAGCTAAGATCATATCAGATGGAAGTAAGACTGGTTTAAAGGTTAGATAATCTAAAAAGCTATAAGAATTATAAATATAACATTAAGCAAAAACAGGATAATTTGTAGAGAAATTACCAATGAATTTCCATAATTTCTTTGAATAGTTTACATCTTAGAATATATTTTTATCAATAAAAGATCTTTTTAATTTAGAAGAATTAGTTCTTTAAGAGAATACAACAAAGATAAATAAAAATATATTCGTTAATGAGGATGATCATGTGTTTTTAGTTCCAAATTAAGCGGATTAAACTGGAATATCACAATAAGTTAAATTGTAATTGATCAGGGATTTGCCTAAAGAAAGTATAAAAAAGTTCTATTAAAATAGATTACAATTATTATCTTTACACTAGTAGTGATGAAATAATAACTGAATAATTGGCTTCATTATTTATTCCTGAATGCACTCAAATAGGTATATAAGTATCTAATAACCCTAGAACATATCTATTTGATAATAAAACCAGTGCTTTAAAATACAAAAGATAGTGTAATTGACGATATAAAGCAACTTGTGTCTCGAATGAAGTTCTCAATTTTTGATTGCAAATAACTTACTCTATCAGATGAGGAATTAGCCAAACTTATTAATTTGATAACTCCCTACAAATTGAATAAGTAGGATCTATAAATTTATGTCACAGAATATAAATAGGCTCCACTATATATGTTAAGTTTAATGAAATAGGCAGGAATGAAGGAAATGAAAAACTTTTTGACAGGCTTTAATTTTTCAGTTCCCACTTATACAAAACCATAACTTATTCATGAAATAAAACCATACTTAATTCCTTGTTTGAACTATGAAATCATTAGATTTATTTCTGCTCAATTCAATAATGGATTTTATAAATTTGATGCTTAAACATTTGAGCAAGATAGCATGAACGAATAATTATTATATTTATTGAGATACATATTAGCATATAGTGTTGGAGTGAATATGGACAATGAATGTGAAAAGCTAGTTCAAGAATCCACACTCAGACATACTAATTTTAAAGTTTCAAGTGTTTCACATGGAGATTTCGAAATACGTATTAGATCTATGCATGATCAAATTAAATATACAAAAGCATTTGAACTCTAGTAGGATTATGAATTACAATCGTGGTATTACATGAAAATAAATTCTTTGTTTCCATAAAGAGCACCTGTTGTCTATTAATATAGAATTTTATTTCCCGAGAGAATCGAATGTGGTGAAATTGATTAAGTCTTTGATTGTCAAGAATATCCAGGTAGGAACTTTCTATTGGAAATCTATAGATAGGTGTTTGACTTTGGATATAGTGTTTTTGAAGCTCTTAAGTCAGAGAAGTTAAAGCATGTGGAAGAGAAGTTTAGTAAGACTCAGAAGGAGATATAAAAGAAAGTAGTGAAGACTTTTGAAGATTAAATGTCTAGAGTTAGTTAGTATATGGATAAAAGATCTAAAATGATTGCTTATTTTTGGGGAATCAAATTAGCAAAATTCACTAAGGAGTTAGAGTTAATTAATAGTGATGATGAATTTCCTAATGGATTTGGAGATATTATTAGGAAAGAAAATGGTTATGAATGTAAATATAAGATTAAGACTCCTGAATATGACCATATTAGTTATCTCTATAAAAAACATTATAAGCAAGTATTTGAGAATATTAATACATACATTTCAGAGAAGTTGGAAAGTGATGCTAATTTTCATGAGGAATTGAATTAAATGTAATCTTCAAACTTCGAATTCGGTTAATCTTAATTATTTTCTTAAATAGATTAAAAAAGGGATATGAGCAAAACTAATGTAGAGAGAAGATTGACTAGATTTTTTAATTCCATATTGCCAAATGATCAATGTTGTGAATTGTTAAAGGTTAATATGAATGAATTTAAAATCATACCTAATAATCTTTAATTACAATAGATTAGAATATAAAATGAAAGAGAACAAATCAAAACTCAATAATTTGATAATCAAACTACTTTTTTTGATTGGAATCATGAAGCAAACGAATAAAAGAGAAAAAAGGAAGAAGGTTAATCATTGATTACTCCTTACTGTAATTATGTTCTTTCGCATTGTTTACCAATTGTTGGTTCATAATATGAATTGGCTGCAAATGTGCTATATTTATTGCTTGTTGAACTTAAATAATTGAAGTTTTATGATAAGTTTATTGATTTACAAATTTTATAAGAGGATGTCCATTTCAAAATGAGTAAATCAAAAAAGATGGTATTCACAAGCAAAACTGATAAGATCAAGACTCAATTATCAGAGATGTCTAAAATGGATTATTTTGATTGGTTCAAAAATAACTTTTAAATAGACAAATAGGAAACAATCGACTAGATTATTAAAGGATTTAAAGATTCTTATTTTATCAATGAGAATATGGTTTAGTAGATGTAACAAATTTACAAAGAATAATAATACAATAAGAAAAAACAAATGCCAGATTTATTATACATGTTTCTATATTTGAAATGTTTAGATGAAATGGATAAGTACATTAATCTTCATAGATAGGTTAAGGAAAGAATGGCTGCTTTAAGCAAAAAATCATTGAAAATGGAATAATATTTTAGTTAAACTGAAGGTCATTTGGACACTTAGAAATAAGATAATACTATGAGATATTCGGAAATTGAATAGTTGAAGAACGAGCAGAGATAATATGAATTTTGCATCAAAACAATTCTAGTATATATATCCAGTGATGAATTCCAAAAAGAGTTCTATTTTGATAGTGAACAAGCAGAGTTGAAATCAAATTAAGTGAAAATCAAAGAATTAAAATTTAATTTAGAATATTATAGTCATTATATGCAAAATAATTTAACTCATTATGATAGCGAAGAAAGAGAGGCCGAGATTTAGGATCAAATAACCAAGTATTTTGGGTTCAAATAAGATAATAATTAGTAGAAGGAATTCATCGAATCCAAAAGATATTTCTAACCTTTAGAATAAGGAAATAATAAAAATGAATGGGGGAAACTGGATTAAGAAACAATTGATGAAAGAATGTAAGAGTTAGAGAAGAAGAGAAGGGATGAGTTAATTTTAAAAATACAAGAAAATGATACTAAAATTCCTTATCTAAAAGATTACATCAAAGATGATATTCAATCTAAATGGGTGGAAGGAATGGCAGCTCAATAAGGAAGGTTTGTTGATGCCAGACCAGATAATTAAAAAACAGGTATCTATGTAGACACTGTAAAAACTGTGGAGAAGAAATTAGATGAAAAAATAGATTAAGTCATTAAAAAGTTTATGTAGGATAAGATGAATAATTTTAATAAGAAATAATGATTCAATTAAATTTTTATTTAATAACTAAAATGATTATTTATTAAATAATATCATCCAATATCTATTGTATTTTTAATTTATTATTAATAACAAAGATGTAAATAGAAGAGAATAATATTTATACGATAAAGATATTTTAGAAATATTGTTAAATATTCTGTCTGTGTGACTACTAATTCCAAATTGTCATTATACATTAGATATCTGATTATTGTAAATATTAGACTTAATTTCTTGATAAAAATTCGATTATGCAAATATCACTTATGTAAAATAAATCATTTTTTGGCAGTTTATAATAACATATTCGCAAATTCATCGTATTAGATGATTCCGTCACCATTTTTATCACATTAAGCTATAATTTGTCCCCATTAGGCATTATCAATATCTACACCGCACATAATGTCTTATAACTCTAGTTTACTTATTTGACCATTACCATCCTATTGATAATTAACTTATAAAATACCTTATCAAACATTTTAAATGCCTGATCAATTTTAGTTTTTGACAAAATTATATTTTGTTTAGCTGATGCAACTAAAAATTCAGTGTAACTTATTTTTCCAGAGTTGTTTTAATCGATTTATGTGAAAATATCGTCTACTAAATGTTTAGCCTTTAATTCATCATTAAAAACTTGAGTGTAAGCTATATTTATGATAGATATGAATACCTTATATTAACTCTTCTTTAGAAAGTTATCCGTCTTTGTTTTTATCCATACTTTAAAAGGTTTAATTCAATTGGTCTTTTTCTTCATTGGTCATCATTTCACCTGCAATCAATTGTAAAATAGCTGCTCTCATATTACTTTCATTCTAAGAGGATATAGTATAATAATTTTTACATGAAATTTGCCTAAATCATTCATAACATCCAGACTTATCTTATCTTCTTTTGCTTTTTCCTTGATCCAAGGATCGTTCAAAATCTCACTTGCTGATGGTCTTTTCTTGGGATCCAACTCAAGCATGGACTTAATGAGAGCTTGAGCTTCAAAAGACAAACTAGTAAACTCTTTTGAGTTAAAATTATATTTTCCCGATTTGATATTATTGAATAATTATTGTAAACTTTGGACCTTGACATCAAAGGGGAATTTTCCAGTTAGAATTTAATACAAAATGACCCCACATGACCAGATATCGCATTTTTCAGTATAATTTTTGTCAATGACTTCAGGAGCTATGTACAAGGGCTATAATAATAATAATAAGAATAGATAAATACTGTTCCGATAACCTAGGTCTAAGACTCCCCACTCACTTACTTTTTGGCTGTACCAAAATCAATGACTTTTATGGGGGATTTGGGATCGGGGGATGCTAACATAATATTTGATGGTTTCATGTCTCTACATAACATAAATTTTTAATATACCTATGGATAATATTTTAGGCATGACAATAAGAGAGGGCTGACAATACTTATTTCATGTACTCTGCTGCTGTTCTCTCATTAAAGGTTGACAACTTGGTTAATTTATCTAGCAATTCCCCTCCATTCAAGTATTCGGTAACCAAATAGTAATTTTGACTATCCTGATACAACTCGAATAATTTGACAATGTTCTAATGATCCATATCTTTGAGCAAGGCCACTTCACTAAACATAGCGTCCTCTTATTCCTTGAGTATTTTCTTTTTTTATATTTATTTCATTGCTCTTTATTATCCAGTCTTCTTATGTTAAACAAGTCTCACCTATCCATATGAACCTGACTGATAATTTGATGTTAATACCTTCACCTAATATTTTATTAATGATATAAGTATCAGTTATATCACCCTGCTTTAAGTTAACAAAGATGTTGGGGCCAACCTCGAATTTATTTACAGCCAATTCTAAGTCTCGAAATAATTTGCTTACGTTTCTGTTCTTTCGACATCGCTTGTTGTTTATCTCCTCCTTATTTACCACCACATGCTCCCATTATTAAATAAATTTATTGATAACAAATCTAATAAAATTTAAAGTGTCTTATTTAAGATGTTATTTAACACAAATTTCTAATTATTATGCAAAAAAATTATTTACCTGAAATTCAATAATCGCAATCAATCCATCATTTGGATACCAAAGTGAAATCTAAAATGCACTCTCCAAGTTCTTCAATCGAATGGGATCAATTAATCAACACTTCTATACCAAATTCAGTCAAATAATAGTTAAATCCTAAAGGTTAAACAGTTATCAATTTATCAAAATTGGGACCTTGCTCTGATATTTCATATCTTAGATCCACAAAAAGAAACTTTGCTAAACTTGGAACTAGCATATATAAAGAGCCTGAACTTTAATAAACTGTATTTATTCTGCATAAATTAGAAATACGACAAGAATTTGTAATCATTTTATGGCACTCTCTATCGTAAAACTAATACTCGTATACCTTTTAATACGAATTTGGAAAAGGAAAGGTTTCAAGGACATTTATTAGATTTTACTGAGTTGTTTCAAGACAATTAAAGATCAACAAACTTGTAAAAGTACTTTGGGGAAATTTTAAAATTAGAGATGTAATAATCCATTCAAGAAAAAGAAATGATTCCACCAAATAGACAATAAGCCATTGATTTGAGAGATTGGTTATTCATGATGATTGCTTACACTAAATAAGAGAGCTCAAACATGAGCACTCGAGAATTGGCTGAAAGAATATAACTTATCTATGCTTCTTGTCTTAGAGAACTAATAAAGTATGTTTTAATCATCAAATAGATAAGTGAGTATTGAATGCACAGAAAGAGGAGATCTACTTTAAACTGTTTGGGATTTTTACGTGGAATTGATTGGCCAAATTATTAAATGTTACTCAGAACAACAAAGAGAATCAGAAAAATCTTATCTTGAATAAATGTAAAGAATTTAAAATTTTCATGATTCTCAAATGGAAATTGCTAAAGTCAGATACCAAGAATACTAGAATCAAATTCTAAAAATCAAAAACGAAACTTCTGACTCTATCGATGAATTAAATATGACCAAAGCCAAAATGTTATTATTAACCTCAGAAATGAGATAATTAATAGAAACCAACGAAACACAAAAAAATGAGATTGACTCCTTACTTTTATAACTCATGCTACTTAAAACATAAGATTATAATGAAAATAAAAAATTTGAAGATTAGTAAATAGATGTTCAGTTAGCCAAAGGTAAGAGTATCGTATCTCATTTATTAAATTATAAGACTATTGCAACCGAATATAAATTTAATAAAAAGAAGGTTAAGAATACTAATTTTGAAAAGTTTGAATCACTTAGAGAATAAGAATAGTAACTAAAATTTGATTTAATTCAACAACAAATCTTAGAACCTGACATTGAATATGTGGATGAGGAAGTATAAGTTTAATAGGATTTGGTTTAACAAGAAACATAAACAGATTTAAACTCTTAAGTTTTAAATGAATAATTCTTATAATTAGCAAAATTATAATCTTAAATTCTACAAATGGAAGAATAATAATAAAATAAAGATTAATTAATTGTTCATCAGTAATATGAGATAGATTAATAAAATTATAAATCTGTTTAAGAACAATTAATTTTAGAATAAAGATTGAAAGAGGCAATCTCTCTCATTTAAGAATCAGAATTGGATTGTAAGGAATCTATCTGCGAGACTATTAATTTATCCATTCAATAATCATAACATCTTTCTTAAAAAATGATACTATTAGAAAAAGAAGAGACTCAAAAGAAAATTGATTTAATGGAAAAAGAAGATGAAAATTAGGAATTGGAATCTAAGCTGACTTAAGCAGTCTAAGATTTTATTGCAATAATAAAGTAGAAAAAAAATCAGATCAAAAGATTAATGAAACAAAAAAGTAGTTTATAGGGTACATTAAAATAGATATCCACTACTTACAATATTGAAATCAATTAATTAGAAACTTTGGAAGAGGAAAAGGAGTCATCTTAATTTAAGAGTTATGATTAATCATCAGATAGAAATCATGAATCTAAAAATGTTTAATAAGATGATAAATACATAGATGAATAAGATGAATTAGATTATTAACTAACAGATCGAAGTAGAATCAAAGATTAGGATGAGGGATCAAAAGCTAAGAAATAACTTAAAAGAATAATATAAGGAAATGACAAAAATGATTCATAATATATTGCTTCAGAAGATGAAAAAAAATTGAATGATGAAGATCTTGAAAGAAACTCATCAGACTATGTAATAAACTAAGAATAAACAAAGAATTCAACAAGTTTCAATTAGTTTGCTGAGTATTAAACTCCAACTATTAGAGCAAACAATAATGATTTAAGTATCTCATTACATAAAGCAAGATAACCTAGCTTATAAAATATTTAAAAGCAAAAAAGGTAACCAAATACTCCTAGATAAACCAAATTTTCATTGTAAAATGAATAGTTTAAAGAAGAAAATAATAATATAATTCCAAGTGAGTAATAATTTGCTTCAAGAAATTCATCATAATAATTATCTATAAAGAAAATCGATAAATTACCCAAATAACCCTCTTCATCATAATTAATAGATGGACCCTAATAGTAGAACCAATAATCAGCTTAATAAAGAAAATAACAACTTGTCATTGATAATGAACTATTTTTAAATGTAAAAAATTAAAAGCCAGGTAAAACTCAAAAGCATTCCATTTTAGAACAAAAACATCTGTCTTAGATTAAATCTACCTAAGAATTTGATGAAGTTAATAATTCAAGCAATTAATTCTCTAATTCAAGAGCCTCTTATCAATTTGAAATAAAATCAAAAGGATAAAAGCAAAGTTAGTTTGACAAGAATATCAATTTATCTTAAAATGATGAGTCTTAATCCGATGAGTTTGAATTTGAATCTTCCCCTGGCATCTTTAATAATATTTAGGGTGAAAGGGTGAAATCTGTAATTCTGTAGTATAAGGATCAAAAAAACAAAATAAGGAGTAGATACAATCCTATTTAATTAGAATAGAAAAATTCAAAGAGATTCAGGAGAGTTTATAGCTAGAATACAGATATAGCGAATGGATTATTGACAGATGTAAAAATGAAAAAGAAACCAACTAAGAAAATACAATTTTCAATTTTATAATTACAGAAATTAGTTACTTAGATACTTAATGATATTTGCAAATAAGCTGAGGGGTATAAAATACCGTTTCATGTCTGCATCTATGATTATTATAAAAATAAATACGGATTTAAATAAGTTGCAGAAAAAAAGATTCGATAGGTTTATTAATTTATTTTTTATGAAAAAGGAAATCATATCAAAGCTTAACTGTTGGCATAATTTTGTTATATGGTAGGAGAAATGGATGAAATAGGACAAAAACTATTGACAGAAAGTTATTAATATTTTTCATCAAAAAATGATCTAAATTATGGTAAAGTGGATTTATTGTTAACATATGAATAAGCCAGCGAATTTCTAACAGAAAAGTCATCTAGATGGTTGTATCAACAATAGATATAGTCTTTATTGCAGTAATATAGAAATTAACAATAAAACAATTAAAGATATTTTATTAATCATGATAGTTTGCTTATTAAAATATTGGAATTGTACTCCAACAATAAAAAAGACTAATAGAGTATTTTGGAATCCTTGTTTAAAGCAGCTGATTTAGATGGAAATAAATTAATTGAATTTTCTGAGGTACTTTTTATATACTTTACAATTTAGTTTAAAACTTTATATAGAGCAATTCATTAAGAGAAATTATCCAAATCTTAACTCCTATCAATATTTACAAACAACGCTGATTTTCAAGATGAAAATGGAGATAAAATGCTAACTCTTCCTAGATTTACTGAAATGTCAATAGAATTAGGCATATTTTAAAAGGAGATTGTATTAAAGTATGGGGAAGGTAGTGAGGCATTGATGAATTATTGGGAAAGGGATAAAACCGCCATTAAATATAGGTATAGGTTTTGGCATAAATTAGATTTTTGAGAGCCAAAAAATTCTAAAAAGTTAGACATACATTTTCAGAACTTGAAAATTAGATTAAATTTTAAGAAAAAGATAAGCAACTCATTTTATGGGTAAGCTACAAATTATTGAATGAGGAATCATAAAGGGTTTTATTAAAGTATTAATATTAAATTAACAATATAGTTATGAGACTAGATAATGTATGTTTTAATTGTTGCCAGAACTTTATATAATTGAACAACTAAATAAAGATATTGAATAATTAGAGTGATTTATTGATGAAATTTTTCACTTTTCTTTAATAATATTTTTAACTAAATTTATAATAAAATAAAGTAAGAATACATTCAATTTTTTATTTTTATAAAAAATATATTATCATTTTACCTATGCTTTGAAGTTTTTTATAAATTAATTATTGCGGGTAATTTTTAATAAATATTGTAAGAATCATTTTAAAATTAGAATTTCTATTACGAGTTATCTACAATTTCAAAATTAATCTTGAAAGCTTTACTAATTTCGAAATCAGCGGTCTCTTAATCAATATCAAATTCATTATTAATTTGAGATTCATCATCTAATTCATTTTAGTTTAGAATCTATTATGCCATCTTAAGACAGGTAGCTTCATTAGTTATTTTTGTGAAATCCACATGAATTAATGTCTATTTCATTTCTTCTACGATTTCAAATAATCTACTCTATTATTAAAATATACCCATATATTGGTTTCCAATTCTATTATTCAACTATTCTTAAATAAAATTTTTAATTCTTTCTGTCTATATTCGGATGCAAGGTTTCAGACCCAATTGTAATAATTGGAGGTTGAATTGGATAATTTTTTCTAAAATCTAACAAAAACTAAAATAAGATAATAAGTTACTAAGTAATGTTTAAATTTATAGGGACCAATTTTGGGTCTCATCTCGATTTATACAATATTATCTTTATCCATTTTAATCGTAATTTCACAGGTATCATCATCCAATTAATTTAACTTATGATCTTGCATGTCAATCTACAATCTTCTTAATGAGCATCGCTCATCTAAATTTTTATTAACATTTTAAGGAAATATTAGCATTTTTTTATTAATAATAATAAACTTAATACTATTGAGAATATATATATTTGATAATGTCTAAAAAATGTTACGATGTTAAAAGAATTGTAATTATATAAGATAAATGTTTTCTTAAGCATTAATTTGTCATTATCATCTTCGAATAATTATTGTATTTCATACATAATTTTTGGTTAAATTAATTCAGTCTTCAGGCAATATGATCACGTGAATAAATTAAATATAAATAAAAAATTATATAAAAATTTTATATGGATAATTTAGTAGAAGAATAGAATTCTATGCATAATGAGCATGAAAACCAGTAAACAGATGTAATAAATTAAAAAGAGGATTTAACTAATGATAATTAATAGAACGAGAATAATGGATTGGATGAATAACCAAGAGTACATAAAATAGCTGAGGATTCAATTGTTAAAAATGAAAATGAGAATAATTAATAAATACAAGAATTACAGGAAAATCTAGAGCATGCACATCTTGAGCTTGAAGAATATATTAAAAAATATAAAGCATTAGAATGTTAATTTAGTGAAGCATAAAGATTCTAATAAAAATAAATTGTAATAATTAAAGGTTAGTTTGATCTCTAAAATAACGAACATTAAAGCCAAATCATGGAATATAAGAATTAATTAGATAATTTGCAGTCAGAAATTGAGAAATTACAGGTTTCATTAAAAAAGTCAGAATAAAAATACCAACAACTTTAAGAGGTATAATTAGAATAGAATAATCAGCATAGAATAGATATTGAATCATTAATAGAAAGATTATAGAAATCAGAATCTACTAAAGATAATTTATAATAAGAATTGTAGAAGCATTAAAATAATTTAGAATTGATCGCAAAATAAAAAAGAGAAATTGAATCTTTTAAAATAGAATTATCTGAATAAATCAATCTATTAGACATAACCAAATAGGATAATAAAATGATTGTATAGAATTTAGCTGAACAATTAGAAAAAGAATAATAAAAAATTCAAGATGCAAATAATGAAAAACTTAAACTAGAATAGTCTTTACAAAGATAATTAAATGAAAAGAATGAATAATTACAAAAGATGCAGAATGAAATTCATTAGTTAAATTAATAATTATCATCTTAAGAAGAAAACAAACAATAAATTGCTAGGTCTCTAGATGAATAGATTGAAAAAGCTAATAGTGAAATCACAGATTTGAAATAAAAATCATAACATATTAATAACTTAAATGAATAATAGACAATTAAATTACAGTAGCAGGAAGACATTATTTCATAAATCATCAATGAAAACTCTTAATTTAAAGCATAAGTAGAAGAGTAATAAAATCTAATAACAAAACTAAAAGAATAGTGTTAGAAGGAAATTGAATAAAAATCACATTTTGATAAAAAATGCTTAAATCTATTAGAAGAAAAAGAAAATGCTGAATTGAAAATAAATTAATTAGAATCTAAATTACTAGAATAACAGAATGAGTAAAAGTAAATAGAAAGTAACACTTTTCAAGATATTCAAAACTTTTAAAATAAAATTCAATCTCTCAATTAGAGATTAATAGAAGATTAACAAATTTCGGAGGACAAGATTTAGGAATTGAACAATCTATTATAATAATAAATTCTAAATAATTAGATGATGACTAATTAGTAGGATGATTTAAAGAGTCAAATCGAACTACTTATTAGTTAAAAAGATGATTAGGAAAAATAATTATATTAGAATTCACAATAGATACTAGATTTAGACAAATAAATTTAAGATTTGAAAATAATAAATTAATCATAAAAAGATTAAAATGAATAACTTATTTAAAAAATTGATGACAATATCTCAAAGGCTGCTCAAGAATCTAGCCTTTAAGAACAATTAAAACAGAAATATAGTTAATCTGAGGACCTGATAGAATAATTGTAGAAGGAGAAAAGTTAACTCTAAATAGAACTTGAATAACTGAAAGAAAGTAGTAATTTAGAAAAATGTTAAATCTTATAAGAACTCTCCAATGCAAAGGAAGAAATAACAAGTTCTGATAAAAAAAATAAAGAATAAATATAAGAAAAAGAAGAAATGATACTTAATTTAAGATTGGATATTGAAGAAAAATCATAGCGTTTTTCGCTATTACAGGAAGAAAGCAATATTACTAATTCAAAATTATAATAATCAGAATAAAATTATTAGGAACTTCTTAAGTAAGTTGAAATCTTAACTTTGTAAATTAACGAATAATAGGATGCAATAAAACAGCTTGAATAAATTAAATCATCATTTTAAAGTCAATTATTGATATGGACAGAAACAGTTAATTAAAAGGTGAGTGATTTAGAATCTGTATCCTAAAAAAATGACTCAAACACTAAGTTACTGAGTTAAGAAATTTAAGCATTAACATAAAGATCAAAAGATTAAGAATTACTTAGTGAGGCTCAAATGGAAATGGCTTCTCAAAATGAAAGTTCAAAGGATAAAAAAATAGAATAACTTTAATAAGAACTTACAGAGGCTATTGCAAATTTGGAAAGTAATCAGTAAAAATACGAAGCCCAATATGTTGCATTGCAAGAAAAACTTTCTAAAGAGTATGATGAATTGCTTTAAAATAAATTAAATATATAAAAATTATAACTCAACAGTCAATATGACTAATTGAATTGTGAACTTGCAAATGAGATTCAAATTTAAAAATAATTGTTGCTAGATTGTTAATAAGAATTATAATAATTTAAGGATCAAGAGAAATCAAATATCAATTCTTATAAAAAAGAAATTGAAGATTTAAATGAATTAATACATAAACAAAAGTCTGAGAAATAAACCTTGATTGAGGATGTGGAATAAATACAAATTAAATTGAAAGAGATGGAAAATTTAAAATAGGAAAATGAAACATTACAGAACAGTGTTAGAATAGAATAAGAATAAAAAAATACAATGATTTAGCAATTTTAAAAAGAAATTGATATATAAAAATCATAAATTATAGAAGAATAAAAAAATAATGAATTAAGCTTAGATAAAATAAATTAATTATAGTAATAAATTTAAGACTTAATAAGTAAACAAGAATAGGTTAATATTGACCTAGAATAGATGAAAGTAAGTTTGAAATAAGTGCAAGAAAAAGAACTAAAACTAGTAAGTGATTTCAACTATTAAAGTGTACGATTAGAAGAAACCTAATTAAACCTTGAAGCAAAAGTTCAGTACATAAAATAGTAAGAATAATAGTACTCAGCTGAAATTCAATAATTGAAGGATCAAGCTTTTGGTTTAAAAAATTTAAATCTTTAATTGGAATAATAAATACTCTAATTACAAAATGCGCATGTTATTGAATTAGAGTAAAATTCAAGGGATGTGGAATCTAAAATAAATCAAGAAAACTAGAACACTTTGATTTAACTAAGAAATGATTTCGAAAATGCAGCAATGGCATTTTAAGAATAGAAAAAAAGAATACAAGAAGAAAATGATGAATTTTAAGTTTAAATTGAATAGCTAGTAATTAAGAATTAAGAACAAAAACAATAATCATAGGAATAATTAGAGAGAAAGCAGGAAGAGTACTTGTAGGAAGTGACTTTGCTAAAAAGACAAAGAATGGAATAAGATGAAATGATATAATCATTACAAAAGTCTTAGGTTCAATTAAAAGAGAAGGAAAGCTAACTAGATTAATTGAATATCTAATTGTCAATTATATAAGAGGAATTATATCAAATGGAATAGAAATATGAAAATAAAATATTATCTTAAAAGCAAAAGCACGAATCCTAAATTGATGACTTACATAGATTAATATAGGAATTGAAATAGTAATTGAATACTGTTGAGAGTGAAGGCAGAATGATGCAAAATAGTTTAAATGAAATGGAGGTATTGGACTTTAAATGCAAAGAGCTAAAAACTGAAAATGAGGAGCTTAAGATTAAAGTTTAAGAACTGCAAACGTAACCAAATTAATAGAAAGTAGAATTTTAAAACAATACTCATAATAAAAAGGAGAGTGATTAAATCTAAGAATTGAACTCAGAGATTTTGAAGTAAAAATCAGAACATTTAGAAATTTAATAGCAACTTATTCAAGAAAAAGAATCGTTAAATAATTAAATCGTAGTACTTAAAGGAGAAATTCAGGATTAGAAGAAATTAATTATACAATAATAAGCATAAATATAATCTATTACTTTACAACAATAGGCCAAATAAAATTAGGAGTCCCCTAATTTAATTAATTTTAATCCATATTTGTAAAATCATTCTTATCAATAAGCTTTAACAGGAGATAAATAAAATAATGTCCCTTAAAAAGAATATTAGACACTAGAGAAAAAATCAAAGGAATAATAAAACCAAATTTAGTAATTATAAAATGAACTAACTGCTTTGAAATCACAATAAGATGACAAAGCGAAAGTGCAGAATTAGAAATTATCAAGAAACTCAACTTCTATGGAAACCATTGTTGAGAAATGCGCAGCTCTTTAATAAATAATTGATGAGCAAAGCATAATTAATTCCAAGCTCAATGTTGAGATTGGTCTTTTTAAGTAACAAAATGAATAATTGAAAGAAGACATTAGAGTATGTCATCAAGAACTCAAGGAGTTAAGAATAATTTCTTAAGATAAATTCCGATTGGAAAGTGAGCTGTAATAGGCACTTGCCTTAATAGCGGAGCAACATAATACATCAAATGTACTATATTTAATTTATGTAGTTAACCCAAGAATTGTAAGAAAACAATAAAAAATAATCTGAAGAATTAGAAAGTCTAAAGAAATAATAGAAATTAATGGAGAAGTAGAAATAAAAGGTAATTTTAATTAAAATTATTAGATTTAAGAAAAACTTAATGATGCAATCGAAGAATCAGACAAATTAAAGAAGCTACTCTAAATTTCTTAGTAAGAATAAGATCAAAGAAACACAAAAATAATTGAATTAGAAAGGTTACTTCAATCATAATTGTAAGATTTTTCAATTCTGGAAGGTTAATATAAGGATTCAATTAAGAATTATGAAGTATTAAAGTAATAAATGGATGAGTTGAATATTAAAAGCACAAGAGAAATAGATGAGTTAAACAAGGATAATCAATAGAAAGAATAAAGAATAATACAGATGTAGGGAGATTTCTAGAATTTAATCAAGGAAGTCCATGCATAAAAGGACTTTTAGGCAAGATAGAAATAAGTGTCTAATGCTCCATTAACAAAAAAAGATAAAATAGTAGTGGAATCCATGGCAAATAGAGTATAAGAATTGGAGATGCTGAATAAAACATTAAAGGATCAATTATCAGGGAAAATAATTAAATTGACAAATGAATTAGAGGAAAAAGTGTCATATATTCAATTGTTAGCATACCATTTTAGTAAAGCATATCCAAATTTAACTGAGGCTGATATGTAAGATTATACACTATAAATATTAGAATAGAAAAAGAGGATGTCAAGTTGATTCAATAATTGAAGAAGAAATAGAATATCTAAGAAATAATAGAAGTATAAATAGAATATAATTATGATAGAGAACAATGATTGAAAATTTGCAGTTAAGGGAATAGATAAAGTTGTTAGGAGCTGAGCTAAATAAGAAAAAATGACGAATTACTTGTTTATTTATATTTTTTACATAATATCTATTCATTGTTATTTTTATTATTCCTTATTAGCTTTCCATGCAGCAATATCGATAATTCTTGGTTTTTCCCATAAAAATTCAGGTTCAGTTCTACCAAAATGACCACCTGAAGCAGTTTTAGCATAAATGGGTCTTCTTAATTGAAGTTCTCTAATAATAACTCCTGGTCTCAAATCAAAGCTTTCTTATACAATTTCAGATAGATCATCATCATCATAACCTTCAGCGTGTGTTCCATATGAATTAACAGAAATTGACAATGGTTCACTGATACCAATACCATATGCAACTTAAATCATGACTCTCTTGCATAATTTAGATGCTACTAATGATTTGGCAACCCATCTGGCAGCATAAGCAGCACTTCTATCAACTTTTGTGGGGTCTTTTCCTGAGAATGCACCACCACCGTGGCCACCCCATCCACCATAAGTGTCAACAATGATCTTACGACCAGTCAATCCTGCATCTCCATATGGTCCACCAACAGTAAATGCTTTGGATGGATTTAAATGGTATTGAGTGTGTTCATCAACATATTATTATGGTAAGACATGCCTTTTGAGAATAGAATTAAGTTATACTTGAGAACATGAGAATGTAATTCGGCTTGTATTTCACTATGTGTGATTTTTTCATCATGTTATTATGAGATTAACACATTGTGAATTCTAACAGGGAAGAATGTTGCACCATCTCTCTTGTATTCAACGGTAACTTAAACTTTAGCATCTGGTCTCATCCAAGGACAGATTTCTTTTTCTCTGCATTCCTGGAGTCTCGCAATTAGTTTATTGCAGAGATGATGAGTTAATGGCATCAGTTCAGGGGTTTCATCTGATGCATATCCTATCATTAATCCTTAATCTCCTGCACCAATCTCGTCTTCGTGTTTAGCACCCACGACAGCTTGATTAATCTCTCTAGATTGTTGATCTAAAGAGACTATTATGGATGCATTCTTGTAGTCCAATCCCTTGCCTAAATGATGTAATAATTAATTGGATTACTTATGTTATCATAGCCAACGTTCTTGATTGCTTCTCTAACGATTGTCTCATAGGGCACTTAAGCATTTGTTGTGATTTCACCGAATACCATAACAAGAGAGTTTTTGCATGCTGATTCACATGCTACTTTAGAATTGGGATCTTGGTCTAAACAAGCATCAAGAATGCTGTCACTAATGAAGTCACACAATTTATCGGGATGACCGGCACTAACACTTTCAGATGTAAATAAGAAGTGTCCTTTTGGCAATTGGAACTTTGTTTTATGAGTTGAAAGCAAATGATGCTATTCATCTAATCTATAATGAGTGGCCATTTGTAGCTACAGAATTAAAAAATTAATTTTATTTACATTATATAAATATATGTGTATATTTAAATCACAACTTATAAATCTTACCACGTTCATCTAGAATATTTTTCAATTCATTTAATTTACGTTGAGATTCGATTTCAAATTGTATAGTCTTTTTTTGATATTCCCCTTACTAATCTTATGGAATAAGATATTGCTTTGATGGATCAGAATTGTTATAAATAGGTAATGCATAAAACACTTTATTCCCTATTTTCCTCTTCTATTTCTCTTCAAAGTAATTGTCCAACTCTAATCAATTCTTGTTCATTCATACCTAATTCACATTGCTTGAAACAAGTCTCCACTGTTTTCGAATTTATGTCCTTTACACAGTTGTATTAGCATTAATGAAATTAGGCAAAGGCACGAATCTTCAATTTCTTGCTCATTACTTTGTAATCATGAACACATTTAAGAATTTTGAGATCTTAAGTATCGACATTCTAACCAAACATTAATTTTATTATATGCAAATTAAAATTATACAATCCTTATTCTCTATCATTCACAATTAGGTTGTATTCATTTTGTGTTCACCCTAAAATCTCATCTAAAAACTTGAATAATAAGATTATCTAACATAATTTATATAAAATCCATTAGTTTAACACAAACAATACAATCAAATCTATTATGATTTACACTCAGTTTCAATTATAAAAAACAGTTGTTCATAAGTAATCTTTGGTAAGTATGATATAAATTCTTTAGATAAAGATGTTAATTTAGTTAATTCAGTCTAAATATTGATGTCGTTATCTGGTTTACTTATCTTTCTTCTAAACTATTCAATCAAATACTAATTCTTAGCATCTAGAGTTTTATAATCATGTAGTGACAATTATAAGAGTTTTTAAAATATATTCCAAACCTACAATCCTGGTTCTTATTGTTCCTTTTTTATTTCATACTATTAATCATTGATTTTAGATTACAAATCTTGTAACTCACTTTTCAAATCATCCTTCTCTTACTTTATAGTATCCATCAAAATCACCATCTTCAAACTTATCATTTCTAACAATTCATTTACTGATGGTCGTTTATCCTCTTCCTTCTAAAGACACAACTAAACTATGTTTATTAATTCATTGCTATAAATGCCTTAATTGATGGGTTCATATTCTAATTAAACAATCTTTTTTGCAAGCATCAAAGGATTCGCAGATTGAAACGCAGGCTTTTATTAAAGCATTTCATATAACACACATCCCAAAGCCCATACATCTGCTTTCTCAGAATATGCCTTATTCTCCACTATCTATGGACAAGTGTAAATCAATGTTCCAACAAACGAGTTATTGATTATATCTTCCTAAAAGTGTTTAGCCAATCCAAAATCACAGATTTTAATTGAATATGATGAATCTACCATTATATTTGCAGGATTCAAATCTCGATGAACTATGTTCTTATCGAAATGTAAATATCTTAACACCGACAGTAGATCTATCAATATTTTCCAAACATTTTCTTCTTCTATTTACTAGTTCTTCTCATTCATTAACTTAATTAGTTCTTATACATTCATTCCTTTTATGTATTCTATCACTAAACATAATGAATGTTCATAGATGAAGCATTCATATAATTTAACAATATTTGGATGATTCAATTCCAAATGGATCTACACCTCTCGATACTACAAAGTTTCAACATCATTGATTTATTTAATTGCATAGAAATTACCTCCCAATCTACATAAATAAACCGATCCAAATGCTCCTTTGCCTATTTATTCCAAAATCTCATAATTTCCAATTTTTTTTATTGTATTTTGCATATAAAAATTTTCAGCAGATTGTTGCAATGTTTCCTGCATACACAATAAATCTTCAGGTTCTATTTAATTGAAATCATCCACTAATTTTTTATATGCATTTAAAGTCTTATTAAAATTCTCGATATCAATAAATTATTATAACAATCTGGGGATAAATAGTTATTTAAAAATGTGTCTATGCCTATTCAGAGAAGCTAAATATCTTAGTAATCTAAATGTATAAATCTGCAATTCCAAAATAGCCTTTGGGTAATCCTTCTTATTAATATCAATAAACTTTAATTGCTTAACTCTATGAGGATGACACATAAACACCAGATTAATTATTTTTTCTAAGTTTATAACTTATACTAATACATAATCCTTTCTATGCGATTCTAGATGACAACTCATCATCAAAACTTAATTAACCAAAAATATTTATGACTGTTGTAACTATCATGTATTCCTAATGATCTAAATTTTGTAGTAAAATTTCTACAATTCCATATAACTTATAAATTATTTGTATTTTTACTTTAAGATCAGTGTAATTTTTGCTATCAGATGATATTCTCATTAATAAATTCAAAAGAGGTATTTTTACTTCTAATTTATCGTTGTCTTTCTTTTCAATTTCCTAGATTACTGTTGCCATTCCTGTTAATTTGCGAAAGTTTTCGCTAAATTGATAACAATCTAATAATTTTGTAATCAAATTAGCAGTCTAAATCTTTAATTCTAGGTCATTGTTTTCAAGCAAGACGAGCATCTTACCAACATAATAAAGAGATGAAATTTCAGTTTATATTAGCTACCCATCGATTTCCATTGCTAATTTAATATAATCTAATAGACTTAATTTCAAATCCTTAGAAGAAGAAGTCATTATATCTAATAGTGAATGCACATACTTAGAATTAAAGGTTTGCAACAACTATGATAATTTTAGTAAAAATAGCACATACCTTGTTATTGAAATAAATTAATCTTTTTTAGATACTCAAATTTTCTATTTGCATCATAGTAAAAGATTACGAAGTCTATTTTTGAATGATTTGCATTAAATCTATCAATAATATAAATTCTTGAGATTGAACATTCAGTGAAACATCTTGCGATCTTGTGAGTAATCTAAGAACTTAAAACAGTTTGAATTTAAATTCTTTATTCTCTTATTCAACTATGATGGTCTTTAATGAATTCAAGATGGTTATAAATAATTTGAGATATTCCTTTGGAAAGGATTTCTATTTTTCATTCTCTTGAAGAAATTTATTTACAGTAGTGAAGCAACCTTGTTATGTTGTAATTATAAATAATACTTTGAAAATCCTGTTTACTTAGTTGATCAATGATAATGTTCATCATTTTAAATTATTAAATGTTTTATTAAAATAAATTAACGATGTTATTAAAAGAGAGAGGTTATAATTGGATTAATGTTATTGATAATGCAAGGATAAAGAATTAGACTTGATTGGGTTATATATAACTTATGATAATATAGATTTGGTTAATTTTACAATAGATTTTGAGAGGATATTGCTAACTATTTTACTTGTAAGTTTGTTAAATTATTAATTCAATAATGATACCAATCTTGATTATACTTGAAAATAAGATTAAGAAATTAGATATTAGAATATTATTTATATATTACAGTACATACTTACTTTTCATCAAATTTATTAGCCTAGTTGGTATAGAATGTGAAAATGAAAGAACTATTAGTAATTAGTTGATTGAGAAAATAAACTTAAGCTAAAGAGTCTTTATTAATGAGTCAAACATAGGTTAATTTAAAAAGATTGGTGTTTTATATGATATAAGTTTAATATTTGAACTGGCAACTTCTTAAATTAGCAATAAGTTAATTAGGATAATATTAGGATCAGAAATAAATATATTGGACAAGAAAAAATTGATAATTAAATGGAATTGGAATATTCTGTAAGGTCAGTATATTAGAGTAGATTTAATAATATGAGATTGTTGAAATAATAAAATACTCAGAGTTTATAAGTTAAAAATATAAATGACTTCAGATTATGATAAAAGATTAATATGTGAAATCAAATAAAGCCAAATAAATTTACAATTAAAATTTATCCAAAAATTTCAGTAATAAATAACCAAACCAAATTCAATAAGTCCTAAGAGCTCAACAATTTTTATTTAGAACTAAGCTATCTACTCTTAAATAACAAAATTATCTTCAAATGTAGCATTAGTTGAGTCAAAATACAAAGCCACTTTTAAGAATAAACTCAATATAATCAACCTTAGAAGAAATCAAAAAGATATGAGCTTACATTGAATAAAAGTATAAGAATTGAAATACTGTATTCTATGACTTTCACTATATTATGGAGAATGAAATAAATTTATGTTATTTCACAATGTTTTGTTAATGTGTATATATTTATATAAATATCTTATACAAAATGTCAGGTTTATAAAAATAGATATCAGGCAGTGATTCAAAGACATTAATGTCTAGGAAATCTTTTTGTGGGTCCAATTCAAATATGAATTAACTCTTTAGACCTGAATTCGGGTCTACACAAAGTTTAGCGAATCATGAAAGATTGTGGCATTTGATGTAAAATTACTTGCCTTCTGACAAAAAAAGGTATGTGATCGTACTTAAATTTAAGTATTCAGGAACAGATCGTGAACCATGTAGAATTTTCACTCGCAAGAACAAGATTTGATTTCCATTAAGTACATTGTTATTAAGCAGTGTCTCACTCAATAAGAGATAGATTGATTGAAAGTTTTAATGATACTCAATTGTATTTTCATGAGTAAGATTGCAAGAGAGTATACTATTTATCAATTGAATTTCTAATTGGAAGATGTCTTTAAAATGCAGTAGGAAATCTTGGATTACAAGATTCATATACTGAGGCAGTTCAAGAGTTGGGTTACAAATTGGAAGACCTCTACGACGAGGAAGTAGATCCAGCCTTAGGGAATGGTGGATTAGGGTATAAAATAATCCATTAATTTCTAGTCGTTTAGCAGCCTGTTTTTTGGATTCACTCGCAACTTTGAATTACCCAGCCTTTGGTTATGGTATTAGATATAGTTATGGAATATTCAAGTAATTGATTCAAAATGGGTAATAAGTGGAAGCACCAGATTACTGGTTAGAGAAGGGTAACCCTTGGGAAATTGAGAGATTGGATGTGTAATATCCAGTCAAATTTTATGGAAGAGTAGTCAAGAGACACGAGAACGGTTAGGAAAAGTCATTATGGGAAGCAGGAGTATATATCTTTATTAGACTAAATAGGAAACAATAGTTGCCAGAGCTTATGATACTCCAATCCCAGGATATATGACATTCAATACAATAGCTTTGAGATTGTGGAGATCTGTGCCAGCAAATGAGTTTGATTTTACTAGTTTTAATGAGGGAGATTATTTCAAGTCATTGGAAGCCAGAGAAAAAGCAGAATACATAACATCAGTCTTATATCCAAATGATAATTCCTATGCTGGAAAAGAACTCAGATTGAAATAAGAATATTTACTAGTTAGTGCTACACTTTAAGATATTATGAGAAGATTCAAAAAAGTAAGAAGAGATTGGTCTATTCTGCCAGAGAAGGTAGCCATTCAATTAAATGATACTCATCCTTCATTAGCTATATTGGAACTCTTAAGAATTTTGATTGATCAAGAGAGTATGACTCATGCAAATGCTTGGGAAATCATTTCCAAGACTTTCGGTTATACAAATCATACAGTATTACCTGAAGCTTTAGAGAAATGGGGTGTTGATTTGTTAGGTAGTTTATTGCCTAGACATCTTGAGATTATCTACTATGTTAATATGATTTTCTTGAATAAAGTAAGTGCTAAATTCCCAGGAGATGCACACAAATTATCAGCACTCTCACTTATTGAAGAAGGCCCAGTGAAGAAGATCAGAATGGCTAATTTATCAATCATCGGATCACATATGGTTAATGGTGTTGCAAGAATACATTCAGAGTTATTGAAGACCGACTTGTTTAAGGATCATTTTGAGATGAGACCAAAGAAGTTCATTAACATCACCAATGGGGTTGCACCAAGAAGATGGCTCAGATCATGTAATCAACAATTAGCTAAATTGTATGATGAATGGTTAGGCACAGACGAATGGGTACTCAATATGGATATGTTGAAAACTCTAGAAGACAAATGCGAAGATCAATTGGCATTAATCTAATTTATGAAGGTCAAAAGAAATAATAAATAAAGACTTATCAAATGGGTTAGACAATATTGTAATGTAGAAGTTAATGCAGATACTTTATTTGATATTCAAGTCAAGAGAATTCATGAATACAAAAGATAATTCATGAACATCCTTTATGTCATCTATAGATATCTTTTATTAAAGGATACTCCTACTGAAGGCAGAAAAAAGTTTGCACCAAGAACTGTTTTCTTTGGAGGAAAGGCAGCTCCTGGATATTTGAATGCAAAAAGAATCATCAAATTAATTAATGCTGTTGCTGAAGTCGTAAATCATGATTTGGATACTAATCATTTCTTGAAGGTAGTGTTCCTACCCAATTATAATGTCTCATCAGCAGAAATCATTATACCTGCCTCAGATATCTCTTAGCATATTTCAACTGCTGGCACAGAAGCATCAGGAACTTCCAATATGAAATTCGTAATGAATGGGGGAATCATTTTAGGAACTTGGGATGGTGCTAATATTGAAATTGCAGAAGAAGTAGGACTTGATAATATTTTCATTTTTGGTGCAAGAGTAGAAGAAGTTGGCAAATTGATTGACAATATGAAAAACTCTGATCCTTTTCAATACATTCAAAAACCTCTTTGGAATGTTATCTAATCTATAAGATCTGGTATCTTTGGACATGATCATCATGGGTTATTAGACTCAATTACAAATAGAAATGACTTCTATTTAGTGGGGCATGATTTCTATCATTATGCCTAAGCTCAAATCAAAGTATGTCATATATCTCAATATTTTCCAGATTGATCAATTGTACCAAGATAAGATTTAATGGGCTAAGAAAGCATTCTACAATTCTATTAGATCAGGCAAATTTAGTAGTGATAGAACTATTCATGAGTATGCTGAAAAGATTTGGTATTTTTGAATATCTTAAACTCTTAGGAACATAAAACCTATTGTTGTACCTTAGCCTACAGCCAATAAATAGGATAGATTTAAAATCTAGAAATGAATAATTTTTATTAAAAACATAAAATATTATGATCAATGAATTCTTAAACATTACATATTAATGGTGTGGAGATGAATAGAAAATTATTTAGGGATATGTATTATGCGATGATCACATAGCTGAATGCAAAAAGTATACCTAATAATTTAATGGTCCTGCAACTTTCTCTGATGAAAATTTTAAAATAATGGCAGCAAAATTAGATAAATATAAATTGGTGATCATCTTCTCAAACAAATTCTTGATTGATCCTTCTAAGTGCTCCTTTTTAATATCAACCAATGATAAGAATGTTCCATATTATCCAAAATTAATGAGTTATAAATTCGATCCATAAGAAAATTATAAAATCACTCTCATCAACTCAAAAAATAAATACAATCTAAGAGAGCAAATATTTATCAATACTTTTGAAAGACAAGTTACTACTGGATCTATTATACCTATACTTATATGTCCAAAATAATTGCTATCAAATATATGGGAATATTTTATCGAATAAGATTGTTATATTGAAACACTTGACGAGTTATAAGAAGCCTTGATGATGTCTTAGAGATAAGTTTAACTAGGAAATGCTATTATAGCTAATACACTTATTAATGGTTGTGCTCTATTTCAAAAATACATTTAAATTAAACCAAAGTTTTCTAGAAAAGAAATAGAAAGTGATATCATGAATCTAACATTCAGTGATTTAGAAAATTCATTTTCTCAATTTAAAGGAATGCCTATAATGATTAGTTAAAATGGTAGATTTGTTTAACAATTAATGATCTTGGTTAAAAATATGATCTCTCAATTTTTTAATTATATTGAAGAAACAATAGACTTATTATTAGAAAATGAATTTGATCCTCAAGAATTATCTTATGTATTAGAAGGGCAAATTGAAAACTAAGTAGGCTAATTCACTGTGCAAATGCATGAGTTTGCATTGGTTGAATAAGCAGATTTCATCATACTCTTTGAAAAAATTAAAGAGACTATTTTTGATATTCATAAGGATATCGAGTAATTTATAGTTTTAACTTCAACATTTGTAGATGATTAGATGCTAAAAGTAAATCAGATATTCTAAGATTATCCAGCATTAGCTAATGTTAGGACATTTTAAGCAATTCAAACAGATGCATCATAACATATAGTAAGAGAACTTTAGAATTATTTTTTAATTGAAAAATCAAATTTTTGGAGACCAGAATATACCAATCATTTTGAATTTACCAAGAAGATTATAGTGTCCTATTTAGAATACAAATAAGAAAGAATTAATAATCCAGCAAAAACAACAGATTTCTTTACTTCATTAATCAGAATGGGTTTGGATCCTAAAATGCCTATACAAACCATGTAGATAATAGTGGATAAAAATGACAGAGACTTTGTGAAAGAAAAAGATTCATTGTTTATTGAGAGGATCAATATCATAACAAGAGGAAAGCGATCAGCATTTAAAATATATCTACATAGTAAAGAATAACTTGTATTATATATGATCAAACATTATGTTATTATAGTCTCATTTGACTATTTTAATCAGAGCTTATGGACTGAAGTTGAAAAATTCTCAAATTTGAATATGAAATTATCATAAGGAGTTTAGCATATTCTTGAAACCAATATAGAGTATGTAAAAAATATCAAATTATATGAATAAGAAGCTTGTGGATATTAGCTTGATTCTAATGGATAATCAAAATTGATAGTAAATTTTTCGATGAATATGGATGAATAATTGAAGATAATAAAAAAATAATTTTGTAAAAAAATTGATAAAGCATAAAAAGGAGGTGCTCCTCAACCAACTGATCCAACAATTCTAGCAGCAGGGGCGATTGGATCAGGAATTGGCATTTTTATAGTTGATTGTCTTGATGAAAATATATCATGGTAAAAAAAACTGTAGAGAGCAGGATATGGTACAGCTGAAACCACTGCCTTTGCTGCCCTTTCAATGAATTTACCATTCGTGGGTTTTTTGGTGGGATAAACTTTTTTATTTTATTCTGTTCACAAAGTATTTTCAAATAAAGTCTTGAGTATGTAAAATAAACTAAAAAACATGGGTCATTTAGGAGTAAAGACTTCAATGGGAATAGGATCAGCAGTTGCCGGATAGATATTGATACCTGTTCCTGTTTTAGGAGCATTGATTGGAAGTGTGGTTGGAGGAGTTGGAGTAGGATTGTACCATAAATTCATAGTGCCTTCTACAAAGAATTCATTATTAGGGATAATCAACAGGCTAGAATAATTCATTTAACCAAATGGATAATTGAAATATGAGAAGTCAGTTATCAAAATGATGAAAATAAATCCTACTCACTTTTTTGAGAATCAACCCCAAACTCTTGATTGTTCTGATTGGCTAACTCTTGTCTCTATAAACTTAGTTAATGAAGTAGCTTATTTGTATGAAATGCAATGGGAGGAATAAAGAAAGAAGCTATTTGAAAAGGAGGATAATGCACATAAAATCGAGTAAATAATTACATTAGAAAATGAAGAAGACAAATTGGTTGAAAAACTTTGCAAATGGGAAATTTGTAGATATTATATCTACAAAGAGAACATTTCAACTTTTAAATATGCCAAATAAGTGGGCATATTTGTAGCAGGCATGATTTCCAACTTTAAAATCTGAATATTTTGATAAAAAAATTCATTAATTTAATAAAAATTTATTTTATGATGATTATCACAAATGGTGACAATTCTTCATGGACTTTAGTCATAGTTACACTGATTAATAAAACTATATTCTTATGATGTAAAATCACGTACGGTCTGCTGAAAATTCATGTAGATATTACGAAAACCCATTACTGATTATATATATATTATAATAATTTAATGAACTTAGACCCTAACGAATTATCAAAATGGAATTGCATTCTCGAGCCCAAGACAAATGGGATCAATACTTATAGTGGACTCTACATAGGAGACATTGATTGCGCCAAGGATCAATATTTGCTATCAAAATTACAAATACGCGCTGTTTTGAGTGTCATTGATTTTCCTGAAATTAATTTACCTGAATCATACATCCATTCAAAAATCTCAATTCCTGATTCTGAAGATCAATCATTATTAGATCACTTCCCTTTGTGTTTCAATTTTATAGACGAGAATAGAAAACATACGAATGTAATGGTTCATTGTTATGCTGGAATATCAAGAAGTGCCACAGTTGTTTTGGGTTATTTGATGCAACATTTTGAATGGAGTTTTGATCGAGCTTATTAAATATTATGGTGTTTGAGAAAATAAATATTGCCAAATGAAGGCTTTATAAAATAATTGAGAGTGTATGAGCAAATTTTAAAAAAAGAAGATGAGATTGGTAAACCTGATTATAAAATGGAGATTAGCAATAGTTCTTAAGTCACTAGGCAAAATTAGTTTTTGAAACAAATTGAATAAGAAATTGAGGAGAGACAAAGGAATTTAGAAAAACTAAAATAAAAATATAAGTAAATTTAGAATACTAAATTGATATCTCAGCAATCGAAAACCATTTTGTGATATATTACTAATACTATATTCAATATTATTTTGTATGCAAAAGTTATAGTATAATTTTATTAACAAAAAATGTAAAAAATTGTTGGGAAATACTCATTCAACATGAATCATTTAATTGGAAGAGGAGCATATGGAATTGTTTACAAGGGAATGTCATCTGATGGAATGCCCGTTGCAATTAAAGTGATTGATAGAAGAATGATTAATCAAGTAACGTATAAAAAATAACAAATTAGACTAATACTTAACAACTATTAAATGAGATTAGATCTATGAAGTAACTTAATCATAAAAATATTGTTAAATTTTTAGATTTCTATGAAACTCAAAACAATTTTTATATTATATCAGAATTTTGTAATGGTGGGGATTTAAGAGATATAATCAAAAGAGGTAAATTGGATTCACAATCAGTAATCAATATCCTAAAGCAAATCTTAAATGGGTATTGAATGAAATCTATTTAGTTATCATTCACTATTTCAAAACTCAATAATTCACAGAGATTTAAAACCAGCTAATATACTATTGCATTAGGGAATTCCTAAAATTGCTGATTTTGGATTTGCAAAGAAGATTGATTTCGAAAACGATTTAATGACAAGCATCGCAGGCACTCCTCTTTATATGGCTCCGTAAGTTATATTAAGATAACCTTATACATCCAAATGTGACATATGGTCTTTAGGGATGATTTTGTATGAGTTATTATTTTAAAAACTTCCCATAATTGCTGATAATATAATCCAATTGTAAGAAAAAATTTGTAAACCGATCATTGTACCTCAATTAGATAACTCATAACTATAGTATTTAATTTAAGGATGTTTACAGATTAACGAAGAGAATAGGATAAATTGGGAGGAAATCTATTAGAACCCACTTATTTCGGAACAAAGCAATTCAAAAAGACAATATGCAGGTGTATTGGTGGAAGTAGAGCCTGAATAAACTGATTACAGAAAACTTTTAATAATAAATTATTTGTAAATTGAGTTTGAAGCTAATTAAAGAATTTATTTGAATTAACTGAATTTTGCAAGAAGTGCATTTAACTTTAGTTTTTTCATTTAAAAATTTGAACAACCGTTCTATGATTTGGCGTAAAAATTAAGATGTTTTTCATTTAATTGGTTACTTTAGCTAGAAAACTCAAAGTTTTTAAAAGAATAACAGAAGTTTTTCAATGATGAAAGAGGTTAATATTGTTTGACTTAATTGAAACAAATGAAACAAGCTTTTGTTGACAATGCACCTGAAAACATTTAATAGTTGACTTTCAATATGATAAATTTAATATAATTACTTGAAGAATACTTTTCAAATTTCTCTGTTAATTTGGGCACATTAAATAGACATCAATTATTAGCAACATTTATGATGAAATACCTATCTAGGACATTAAGAACAGCTAAATTGAATGAATGTTTTTATGTAGCAGATCTTTCAGATATTTAAAAGTTTTCAGATAAAGAGATTGTGTAGAGGATCTTATAACCTTGATTTCAAATAATTTTATTATATTTTATTATTAATGCATCCAATAATTATTTATTTTATTATAAATAACAAAATAAAATGTAAAAAACATTTGCTATGGATGTTAGAAATATAGGAGGACTAAGAGCAACAGCTGATCATCTCTATAAACATTAAATTGCCGTACAAAATGCAAAGCCATCTATAAATATAAAACCCCCAAAACCTGTATGATTATACATCATAAAAGCCTGTAGATCAGAAATAGCGTCAAGAATGTAAATAAAATCCTGATGATGATTTCAATAATGTACTTAAAACATTTAAAGCAGTTGTTTAAACTAAAAAAATGTAAGATTAATCGATTTATTGTAGTTTAGAATTGATAACAATCAACCTTTCATGAAAAAAAGAACTCCAAATAACAAGAATAAAAAAGAAAAGTTTGAACAATATGAGCATGAAATGAATATGAAAGCTTAAAAAAGAAGAATAGGAAGTGCTGGATCAATGCAAGAAAGAAAGAAGAATTAATTTGATCCTGTAGCTCATCCTCCAGTGTTTTTCAGAAGGGAAGGCTAAAATCTATCAAATTGTCGACTTGATAATTTAATGCAATATATTGTAATAAACTTTGTAATACATAAAGTCAAAAGAGCAACAATAATCAGGCGAGAAAATTAATTTAAGTTCATCTATAAAAAGATGGTAGAGATCGAAATCTTCAACTAAAAAACCGAAAATCAAAATTCAATAATTTGTTGAAGAACCAGAGAAAAAAGATGGAGAATTTGTGTATGATTTACCTAAATTGAAGGGATAAGAGAAAAAGGATTATTATGAATTAAAAAAGGAATTAATTAGTAAATTAGCTTATTATTTTTAAGTGATAATATTCAAGCATAGAATTTACAAAAGTGAAGATTTAGAGGCTTTGTTTGGTAGACTATTAATACATAACCCCTCTTTGCATATGGTATGGATAGAAGATATTTTTAATGAAATTAGAGAAGAATTTCTAGATTTCGAGTGAAATTTATTTATCAACACATAGATTGAACTATACTAATACATAAATATATATTTTTATTCTTCTATCTCTTGATAATGACTTTATTGAGCTTAAAATAATGATGACTAGATTGCCAAAAATATTATAATAATAAATTAATGAGAAAAACTAATTAAAAAACAAATGATAACAATTTGAATTATTTGAATGGAGGAGGATTCGCAGCTAGACCAAAATCATTACTTTGTACAGAATACAGTAATTTATAGGCACAATATGTGGCAGAGAGTTTGGAACTGCTTCTCTAGAAATTCATTAAAAAACTTGCATCAAAAAGTATTAAAATGATCTCGTGAATATGGATCCTGGCCATAGATAATAGATGCCTACAAGTAATAATACATATTTGATATCTTTTAGCATAGTAGGTTTTATAAAAGTTGGACTAGGAAAAATAAGTTAGGTAATAAGGAGTAACAAAGGTTGGTTAAAAGTCTTAGTAGGTCTTATATGAATAACCCTAATAAGTCATGGCTCTTGTTGGAGTAAATGCGTTGAATAAATTTATAGTGCAGAAAATGTGGAAGAAGATTTAACCCTGATAGAATCAGAAAACATGAATCAGTTTGCATAGGACCGGAACCAGATATCTAAAAAATAAAAGAACAATAATAGGAATAAAACAAAAGGGCTGCGAAATATTTAAAGCCAAAAAAAACAGGAGCATCTTGAATTTTAATAAGCTTTAAGGGAAATGAGAAAAGTTAGATAGTAAGAAATAGCAGAAGGGAGAGGCAATCCTTTTGGTCATCAATAATATGGTTCATCTTATGGAATGTCAAATAAGTAACAACCTGCAAAAAGTGGGAAATATAATTAATATCAACAAAGCAATAATAGACCTTAATCTAAGTAGCAATATTAGAAACAATCATAATAATAATAATAGTTCAATCTATAAGGCTATTCATAAAGTGTTAAAACAACCCACAAGTAACCTAATTTTGAATAATAATAAACAAAGATGATTTAAAAATCTCCAATTTCTTAAATGCCTTAAAAACAATACTAGTAGCCTACTAAGAGTTCTTATAATGATGTTGGATATGGAAGACCTGCTTATAACACTGGTGGAGCATGTAAAATATGCATTTGAATATTAGCTTACTAAATTGCTCACTCGAATGTTAGCACTTTTAGTTTATTTACTTAAGATGGAAAGCCAAAAAACTATGATAATTATCAAAAGAACAATCCGTATGCAAAGAAGAATGGGTTATATTGATAATTTTAACAATCATTAATAATTAATTTACTATCATGCCATTGTTTATTTAAAAAAATAATATTTTAAGTTTAATTTACAATAAAAATAACAGAACCTATTTAGAATCGATAATGATTTAATTGGAAAACATACTTAAAAGGAAGGGGTTGAAATAATTTAATTGTGGGTTTATTTATATTAATGTTTATTTTTAAATTGCGGTATTATAATTCCTCAATTTTAACAGAACTGAATGCTCGATTTGGACTTCTAAAGAAGGGGATGTCGGTGATTGAATTGGGTTCTGGCTCAGTAAATATTTATTTAAATTAGGGTCATTGGACGGAAACATTGAGAAAAACAATTGGTTCAAATCGGGAGGATCCGAAAATATTTGCAATTGATGAAATCTAATTACCAAAAAGGTGTAGGGATGGAGTCATTTTCATTTAAGGAGATGTAGATAAAAAGGAAACAATAATGAAGCTTCAGAAATCCCTTGATTTAAAACCTGTTGATTTAGTAAGAATAATTTAGAATATAGATAATATCAAATTTACAATGCAGAAGTTAAAATGATAGAGATATTGATAATTTTGAATAAATCAGATTAAATAGAATTGCATTGAATATAGCATTAAAGACTTTAAAAACAGGTGGAACTATGTTGATAAAAGCAAGAGAGGGTTTACCAGAGGAATAAAACTTTAAATTTATTAATCTCTTTTTCCGAGAGACAATAAAGGTTAGGCCCTAAACAGCTAAATTAGATTTTCTTAAACATTATTATTTGGGATTAGGATTTAAATAGAGAGATGAATATCTGAAATATCCAACATTTTTTTAGAAAGTACTCAATTTTCAAGATGATCAAATATTGGAGGAGGAGGTTCCCCCTAGCTTTTAAACTCAAGCTGAAAGAGATTTGGAAATTTTGGAATTCTTGTAATATGCTGCAAAGCATTAGATCGCCGTTACTTAGAGTTAGATAGATGAAATAAAATAAAATCCAAGATATAAAAATATAGATTGGGAAAAATATCCTCTATTCATTGTTCCAGGTCCTTTGACGGAATACTAACAGTAAATGATCTTGATTGCCAGATATAATGGCAAATTAAGTTTTACTCCTAATACTAACTCAGTGGAGGAGGATATCAAGGAGGGGTAGGAAGTCATTGAAAAAATAGAAAAAGCGTTAGCAAGTGATGAAAAATCAAATGAATTATTGGAGGAAGGGGAAATCTTAGGTTAAGAAAAATAAGAAGAATCTGAAGAGTTAAAAATAATGAAGGAACAAATTAGTCGAATAGAGAAGGATGAAATGAAATACGAGATGAAAAAAGGAGATTAAGAAAAATTAGATAAATGGCTGCATGATTCTACTGGCAAATATCTTTAGGACAATTATAAAGGCGAATCAGCAGAAAAAATTATTTAATAAGAAATAGCTAGAGGTAATGTAACGAAGGAGGAACTGCTAGAATATTTTTAATTGAACGAGAAGAATTTAATTGATAAGGCAAATAGAGAATATGAAGAATGTAATATTTTGTGATTTAAAATAATAGAATTACAAAGAAAAGCTGACAAAGTCAACTAACAAATGACAAAGGAACACAGATAAGAATATTATAACAGAAAAAAAGTACTTAAGACTAGAAGACAATGAATTCATATTATTTTTTTAAATGTTAAATGAGAAAATATTAAAAATTTTATAAATTATGATTATTTAAGAGAGAACAAGCAATCACATTTATAAACCAACGGAAGGGGATTCATAATACTAAATTATCATAAAAAGGGATTAAGAAATAACTAGACAATAAATCGTGATTAGATTGCAAGGCCAAAATGTCAAATTCTCTGTACCAGACACTCAAGAAGCTTAAGAATTAAGTACTCTGTTAGAGTAAAGGGATAATTTGCCGAATATATAATAGCTGAATTATGTAGAATAAATTTTTCAAAAATACAATGAGTTTGAAGAACGATTTAACTTGTTTTTCACTTGTAGTCATTAAAGATTTAAAATTACTTTCGATCTGAACTAACTTATAATTACAATTGTCTATTGGAGTACTTTCTTTAGTGTTCTCTCAGAATCTATAGTATAATTAGAATTTATATTTAGGCTATCGAGAACAGTTCAATCATACAAAATGATAAAATACGCAAATAAATAGCTCATTAGTTGCCTGTGTATGCTTTTTTATATACAATCTCTTCATAAATGTAAGAATTTATTAGAAATTTAGATGTTAGCAAATAAATAAAATTTTAATTTGGATACTTTTGTTTATATGTTTAATAATAATACCATTATTTGTTCTCCTAGGATACCATCTTAATTTTTTTGGAAATTACGATGGGTTTTCTTAGGATTACACCGGTGTAGGATATTGCATAGTAAGTTTCGCAATTTTTATAAACTCACTTATAAATAGAGGATTTTTAACTTTTATTAAAAAAGTCTCATCAGCTGTTTTGGCTACCTTATTTAATTGCAGCTTCTGTGTATTAGTGTCATATTTCATACTTTTCAAAATAGTAGCCTTTATATTATTGGTTTAATCAACAAAATTAGAATATATAGTTGATAATATTACTTCAATAATTGCTCCATCTACATTTTTAGTAATTTTATTTTTTTCAATTTTCTTGATTAAAGGATTGTTCTTTTTAAAAAAGAAAACAATTAAATATGACTTATATTAGCTTTCGTAATAAAAGTATGCAGATCAAGACATTAGAAGAGAATACAGTAATTACCTAATGAACACGAAAGCTACAAGATACTTTACTAAACTAAAACTGAATTATGTTGTACCAATTTTATTCGCTATTTCCTATGCTGTCATAGAAATCTTTTGCTATGCTAATCTAATAATTGGATTATAATCCTATGATTTTGAATAGATAATTACTTTCGGATTCTTACTTATGGCAATACCAATTTTCATAATTCTTGGAATATGTTTAAGCAATTCAAGAATCAAAATGTAGAACATATATCTATACACACCTCTGCTATTTGGTGCTATTTTCAGTGTGATATGTATTAAAGTATGGAGTCTTACTATTGAGAACTAATACTTAAAATCAATTTCAAGATTAATTGGTATATGCCCATTATTAATCTCATTGATGTGGCTAACCGTTGGATTTTTTAGATCTGAAAAAAGAAATCAGAAGCTATTTGTAACGCTTTTCTCGTGTTATTCTTTTGCCCTTCCTTTTGGAATTTTCTTAACCTTTTCTGAATATTTTGATGATTCTGGACTGGAAATAGGTGCATTTGTATTAGCAAGTATTGGACTGATTCCAATAATACTCCTTATCATTTATTACATTATTGTAGTGTTAATCTATTTGGTTAAATTACCTAAGCAGGCAGAAAACCTTTAATTTATTGCTTTTGAGTACATAAACTTAAACAATTATGCAGTTTGGTATAATGCTATATGTTATGTCATATCATTTTATTTGATTTGTTATTTTGCCTGGAACGAGCCAGCCACAGCCACAGGAACCAAGAAAGGAACAGTTTATTATTAATTATATATTTTAGATCATTGGTTTATTGAGTATTCATACAGTCTTATTTATTTTGACAAGCAATGCTTTATCTCTTTAAGTAAAGGAGAGAACATAAGAAGAAATTGATTAATAATAGAATTTAACTTATACTTAGAGGATCACCAATAGAATTCAGGATGGTACTACAGTTGGCATTATACTTCCATTTATAGTTTTATTGCCAATAGGTCTAAGTGTTGAGAGTGAAGTAGCAAAGAATGCTTTATTAGCAAATTCAATTGGAGTTCCTTTGTCAGTGTTATATTACAAGTTTTAAGTTTCATTGAAACAAGAGTCAGTCAACTATTAATAATTTATCCAGCCCCTTGTAGTTATTGTAGGTTGGACATTTATAATAGGTCCAATTGGAACTGTATTTCCAATTCTTGCTGACTATTTTGAAAATTCCTCTCCAGAATTCGCCTTATTTGCTTAATTAGCTGTTGCTTATTCAATTTTAATAATTATAATAAGTGTAACAGTGTTATCCATATTTTATTCTGTCTTATTAAACAAAGAACAATTAGAACTGAAAAAGAAAGAAGTACTCAGAATGGTAATGCATGAATTTGCTGAAAATGGTGTTTTTGCAACTGAAGAGATTTCATCTTTATTGTTTGTCAGATATGTTCAACATAGAAATCCGATAAAGTTAGAGAAAGATTTGATTTAAGGTGATCCAATCAATATGTATGAACATCCAGAACCCAGTGAGAATCATAATATAAAAAATATTCTGGTGACAAAACAAGATTATGAAAATAAAATGAAATTAGAATAAATTTAAGAGAATAAAAGAGAAAAGATAAGAAAGTCCTTGAGTGCAAACATTACTGACACCTAATCTCTAACTTCTGCAGATACAACAAAATAAGAAGATAAAGTAGAAAATCATGGCATTTTATATCATTTACAAGATTGTTTATTCTCTTGTTTATTATGCAGATTTGGGTATTATGATTTAGAGTAAATGGAATTAAATGAAACCAATAAACAACTAGAAATATCAGAATTAAAAAAATTAAAAATGATGGAAGAATAAAGAATAATATACAGAGCTAGAATAGGGACTGAGAGAAGATAATCTACTTTGATACGTTAAGATCCCAAATATTCCGATTAATTTAGCAATATTTTATATGGATAAAAGGCAGAAAGATTCTGGGTAGCTCTTTATAACATGTTCTTAAAGTAAGGTGACTTTACAAGACTGTTAGAGATCTTAGCATTGGAGAAAGACCCTGAGATATTAAAATAATATTCAAGTTATGAGGAGAAAAACGAAGCATTTACAATATCAGACGAAGATTTTGGGTTGTTATTGTACGATAATTTTAAAGACAAACAATAATCCTATGATGAAATACTTAAAAAGTAAGCAGTTAGTAATTTCCATCGTTTAATTAAGGAATATCCTGAATTATATTCATCACTACCTAATTTCACTAATGTTTAGAGTATGATTTAATCATAAAACTTAACCAAATCTGAGAAGTTTAATGAGAGTAGAAAATGTTTCCACAAAATAGAAAATGCAGAATAGGATGGAAATGCTGAAGAATTTTAAAGGCTTAATTAGAAATACGAATAACAATTAAAAGAAACAGAAAATAAATATAAAATGAAGGCACCTAATGATTGTGAAAAAAAGATTTGGACGGCATGTAAATGCATTCATACTGCGATTTGGATAACACCCAAAAAATATACTTAGAATCTTATGAATCAATTAGCAGACCTCTATAGTAAAATTGCTCCTATTGAACCGAAACCCAATCCGATAAGTGAGGACTGGAATAGGATAGCACCAAAAATATGTAATTGTTTAGTTGAGGAATTTAATAAATTTGACAGAAAAACTAACGAATAAGAATATAAATTCCAAATTACTATCACAAATTGTTTGGCTGTGTTTTTAAGATGCTACGATCTATACGGATTGATAACATTAGCATTTGATTCTCAAGTAGGTTGGTTTGGAAATAGATCTGAATTCAAACCTATAAAAATGGTAGATTATTCAGCTATTTGGAGTGAATACAATTTTTTCTTCTTTATGGCTTTGGTGATGAGTATTGCTTATATAGATCTAGGATTAAAAGCTAGTAAATAAATAGCTGATAATTCATTTGGTTTTGATGAAGATGGGTCAATAGCAGGTATTAAGAGTTTAAGATTCTGGTTGAGTAAAACCATTTAAGTGATTAGTGGACAATTTATATTTGTAATGAAGACATACATCGATGCCTTTATTTGTGATTACAGTGAATACCCATACACTTTAGTAAGATAACCCTCAGTAGAATGTATGAGTGATCTACATTTTTTATATATTACTTTTGCAATCGTAGGCTGTGGAATTTACTATCCTTTGTCGACATACTTGCAACCCACATTTCAGTTTATGGATCGTTCATTAGACCTTAAATATAAATCGAATTTTGTAGTGTTATACATACAAGCAAAGCTATTGATTTTAGGATCAAGCTCAGTATTTTCTAATTTGTAAGAGTCTGCATATTTATACTAAATGCTTTTCTCATTTTTTGTGATGAGTGGCCTAGTTTATTTCCATTTCAAACTTGACCCTTGTTACATAAAATGGTTTAATACGGTAGACAGATCTTTATTACTACTTCTATGTTATGTAATTACAATTATTTATCATAGTTCTACTTTGGGGCATTCATTATTATGGTTAGCAAAAATGTCTAAGTTGGCTGGGCTATATCTCTATTTTTTACTTGTTGTACATTAATATACCTGGCTTATTTCTTGGTTTAAGAGAGAAGGAAAATTAAGATAAACTCATCAACATAGGTTAGACCATTAGATGTTTAGAATACTAATTCAGTAAGGAGCACTTGATTTATTCTATTAAATAATTTATTATTTATAAATTAAATTTCTATTTTTTAATTTAAACAATACTCTTAATGAAAACAACATTAATTTACCAAATTTTAAGCTATTCCCTTATTATTAACAATCGGAGAATTATAAAATTTTATCAGAATTTCACTGGCGGTAAGATTAAATAGAGTGTATAATATTAATTTGAACTGGAGAAACTTTTCAAAAACATGATGATAGATTTAATTAAGAATGAGATACTACACATAACTTAGTAATAGAAGGAAGAATAATCTAGCAAAAGTATCAGATTAACTTTTATTGTTCTTGTATATTGGTTATAGCCTTGTTTCCTCTTTGAAATAGTCAACTAAATAATAATGATGAAATAGATAATTGAGAAATACTCTTAATCAAATTTCAATTCCAAAAAACATCTTTTTTCAACATTTATTTATTGATATTTCCAATAAATGTTTCATTTAAGTTTGTTTTATTTTGAAACAAACAAATGTATTTCTTCCTAGAAATTAGCCTCAGAATACTTCTATTAAGGGTTAGGCGGAGTTTTTGTTTAAAACATCCCCTAGCCTATTTGGCTAGGGGACTCAACCTCAGCAACCTTCTTTTTATGCCTCATCTATTCCTTTAACAGCTGTCACTTAAACAAGTTCCTAGAATGAAAAGAATAAATAAGTACTTCAGAACATGTTGGATGAATACCAACAGTTGAATCAAATTATTCCTTAGTTACTCCCATTTTCATTGCAACTGCATATCCTTAAGTGACTTCACCTGCATGAGGTCCAAGATAATGAAATCCTATAACTCTTCGATTATCATTTAACACAATCAATTTAGCAAAGCAACTTTCACCTGAATGCATTTCAAAGTAATTCCATTCTAATGGTTTGAAGATTGAATGATAAACAGTAATTTTATCTTCTCCAAACTTTTTGATTGCATCTTCTTCACTATATCCAATACATCCATATTCTAATGGAGTAAACACAGTTGTAGCCACAAATTCATATGACATTAATTCAGTAGCCTTGTTGAATAACCTATTAGCTAAAAGCTATCCACATTTAATCGCTGTTGGGGTTAATTCAGGTCTGCCTTCTACACAGTCACCAATAGCAAAAATATTAGGAACAGATGTTTTATCATCCGCTGAACATAATATTTTTCCATTTTTATTCATATTTACTCCTACTTTTTCAAGATTTAACTTTTAGGTATCACTAACTCTACCTGTTGCAACTAAAACTGTATCAAATATCTCTTCGTATTTTTATCCATTGATTATCCAAGTCACTTTTCTCTTATTGTCTTCTGTTGCTTCAATCATGTCTGGCACACAACCTCTTATGAATCTAATTCCTTTCTCTTCCATGTATAATCCAATCTTTTCAGCTATCTCTTAATCAAATCCTCTTAATAGGATGCTTCTCACCATAATTGCCACTTCATTTCCAATTCCATGTAGAAATCCTCCACATTCCAATGCAACATAGGAAGCACCAACCACTAATGTTTTTCCAGGGTTTTCTTATAACCAAAATAAATCATCAGAAGTTATAACCAGTTTTTATATATTTGGGATATTATCTGGGTATGATGGTCTACCTCCAACTGCTATTAATATGTTTTTAGCTGTGACTGTTTCAATTTGACCTTTATTATCTGTTAGCTTTGAATATTTATTATTCTTTACTTTAATTGTATTAGCATCAATAAGTTCTGCTAATTTATTGTAATACTTGACATCTCCTCTCATTAATTGATTCTTATAACCGAAATTCAATTTACGTATATGGTTATTCACATTTTCAACCATCTTTTCCCAATTATGCTTTGAATCCACTTATGTATCTACCCATCTAAATTCTTAAAATAAAAAGTACCCTGCTTCAACTTAATCATGTCTCAATTCTCCTAAAGTAGCTGCAAAATGCATTAGCTTTTTTGGAATACAACCAACATTAACACAAGTTCCTCCCAATCCCCATTTGGTTCCTAAAGGAGATGGCTTCACAAAATCAGCCAAAGCAACTTTTGCTCCTAATTTTGCCGCTTATTTGGCACAAGCAAGACCTCCAGAGCCTCCGCCTATTACGAATAAATCGTACTATTTTTCGACGTCCATAAATTAATATTAAAATTGTATTTAATCTTATTTCCTATAAATATACTGAATACAAATGAGATCATTATCATCTCATAATTATAGTTTAATTTAAAATACATTGTTAAGAAATTATGAATGCCTCCAAAATTATATTAAATTCTCGAGTTTGATTTTAATTGGAATAATTTTATAATAAAGAATAACATAAAGTGAATAAAATTTAAACCATTTTGATTAACAACTACTACTAAACTTAGATTAAAAATATAAAATTTAATAGCGACATATATAATACATAATATATATAGTAAACAAAGAATTTTTTATTTAATTGAATTTAGGTGAGATTTACTCATCTTTCCTCAGAAATATTGATATAATTTCTCCAATTAAGTAGATTCCAGTACATTTATGCTATTGAAAAATTATCCTCTAATTATTCAAAGCAGTACCATTTCTAACTATCTGTAATGGTTAAATTATGCAAAAATTTGTTATGTCTCTTACTAGTAAGGATGGCAAATATACACTAATTTCTGGATATTTTTAGTTTAATTAAGTTCAAAAATATTCTTGACAACATCTTTAATAGTTCTCAAAGATTCTCTTTAGCTAAAAATGGAAATAATTTTTTTCTTAAATGCTTTATGTCTAAAAATAACAGTATCAGCAACGTATTATGAAAAGACTTATCGATATTAAATAGTTAAACAATAAAATATATATACAATCATTATTAGAGTTATTCTGAGATGGAAGTACTCAACCTTTTTAGAATGAGAGGAGATCGAGCCATTTGTAAGGAGCATCGATTACTTGGGGTACTTGATATATTATCTGATGTCTCAGTGTCAGAATCAAGAGATCTTAAGGAAAATACTAGTTTCTTTTTTGCGTCTTCATAGTTCAATTGTTTCAAAAGTGGATCTGTGAGTTATTCTAGTTTTAACTATTCACATAAGTATTTGGTTATTTTTTTCTCGATTTCCTTCATTTCTTGAAAACACAATTCATTATCTATCGTATCATTCATTATAATTAAAATATTAATAATTTTTGTATTATTGATTTAAATTTAAAACATGAATTGTGACAAGTCTATACTCAAAGAACTAATTTAAACAAATATTATTTTGATCGAAGAAGCCAAAGAATCTAACCTATAGAACTTTAACAATTCCAAGATGTGGATCAAAAAGTCCTTTAACAATTTGTTTAATCTACTTCCAAAGGAAACCCTTGAGATGGACATTAATCAATTGCTTACAGTGTCGGAATAGGAAGAATTGCTTAAAGACCCTCAGCTTTCCATTGACTTTTTTAAAAATAAGTTCTAAAGAGAGATAGATGATCAAGATTGGGAAGATGAAGTGGAAACACACCTTACCCCACCAAAAAAGTAAATTGAATTTTTCATAAACAATAAGATTAATACCCTAAACTCGAACTTTATAATCCAGCAATATGGGATTTAGAAAGAAGCCTGCTACAATTATATAATCCTCATAAAAAAAGCTTCTTTCTAGTGCAATTCACAATAAATACAAAAGAAAAATAATTTGATTTCATAGAATAATAACTTCATTTATGTATAAATAACTATATTCATAAAACAAAGAAGAATTCTCAAATCTACGATTATTTTTTAAGAGAATATTTATGCATGCATTTTTAACAAAAATACTTTTTTATTAAGATTTAATCATCCACTTCCTTTTTTTGGTTCAGTACTCTAAACATTTCTTTTTGATTTGATCAAAATTGAAGTGATTTGATTTAATCACATGAAATTATTTCACATGTGAATCTCTGATTAATAAAAGGAATTCATCATTGAAATTAAAATTATACATTCTTATGTTGTTCTAATGAAACAAGAAGGAACCATGCTCCAGGATTGAATTTACATGTATTCCTCTTGCTTGATTCTGATAATTCTTTAAAATTTCAATAAAAATAGATTAATAATATTCTGAATTTCTACTTATTTTACTTGGAACACCAAATAAAAATATTTCTAATTGCTATTTTCTTTGATTATCTTTTAAATGAACAATTGTCACGGTGTTGATTACTCAAAAGTGAAAATATTTTCGATTTTTTTTTCTCAGAAAACTTACTAAATCTTTTATAATATCTATCTTTATTTAGTATTTATAAGAACTTAAATTTTCGGATATTATATCATTGTATTTCATTCACAGTCAATAAGTTTTATTTAATGTAATCTACATTAAAAATCTTTATTATAATTTATATTAACTACACTTTAAATCAAAGTTTATCTGAGGTTTCTTTCATAGTGATATTTATTATATTTCTTAAGATATTTGTAATGCCTTATTCTACATTTTCCAAGATTATGCAACATATTGTTATTTCCATTTTTAAAAGAATAAGTACTCTCTCAATCTAAAATAAATAAATGATTTCTAATTTATAAATGAACCATAAATTTCACAAAACCATGTTTTAAATCTTTTAAATGTAGATTAAATATTAGAATATTCTATTAATTCATAGTAATTTCTACAAAAAAAATCTTTAATATATCAAAGATCTATAGGAATATCTAAATGTATCAATAAATTTTGGTTTAGAGTTATCTTTAGAATGTCCTTTGACCAAAAATTACTATATATAGGCTTCTTAAAGAGATAATGTATACAATTTCTCAAAATATTATTTAAATTAAATAAGTAATAAGTATGGACAACGACACATCAACATGCTCAATCAGAAGCAGCAGTGTGAAAGTTCAAAAAATCTTTGATTAATATATGGCTTAAATAGCTCCTTTGCCTAACCTCTAAAATTCTACCAACAAGGAAAATTCATTTTCAATCTCAAACGATTAGCGATCTAATTATCACACAAGAATTTAAACGCCTGACAAGACAACTTAAAGAAGCAACTCATAAATATAAGCTTTACAAGCCTTATAAAAAAAAAATATTGAACTTAAAACAGAAAATGATAGTTTGAAAGAGCAGTTAAAAAACTATTAAAATTAATAAAGCACTATTAATGAAATCAATTCAATTTATTAAAATCTATAATAGCAGTATGTTGTTTTGGATTCAGATCATAAATAATTGCTGCAATCCTATGAATTATAGCTAAATCAATTAAAATAAGAGAAGGATTAATGTATTGATCAACTCAATCGACAATATAAACTATAATTAGAAGAAATGAAGTAATAAATGCAATTCTAAAATGAAAGATTTAAGAACATAGAAGTTTGTAGGAGCGATTAAGATGGTTTACTTTAGAGCACTCTTGATGAATTAAGAAAAGAGAGATAAATGCTAAATAAACTAAAGTTGGATCAGAGATTATAATTGGAAGAAAATGAATAATAGTATGAAAAACAATTACAGTATTAATAAAAACTATATCAAGAAATGAAAAACTAAAACAATCTGTTGATGAAAGAAAAGTAAGATTAATAGGAATAAATAAAGGAACTAGAAAAAACCTATAAGGATCTTGTCTATCATTAAAAATAAGAGATTTAAAAGCTGTAAAAGTAATATACAGATATAAAGAGCTTCTTCGAATCTCAAATGTAATAAGTACAAGAAGAAGTTTCGTATGCAATGCAAGAATTGAGAAATAAAAACAGTGACTATCATCAATAGTTGTAGGAAGAAGAACAAATAATCGAAGATTTAGAAGATTTAAATAAACAGCTAAAATAATAACTACTCTTTAAAGATCAAGAGTTAATAAACTTGAAATCTTAATTAGAATAATTGTAAATTCAACAAGAACAATTAAAATAAATGAATGATGAACTCATTCATTAATTTAACCTTTAAATTTAAGACTTATCTTAGAAATTAGAAGGGGAGAGAAGAAATTATGAGGAAGAATCTGAATTAAATGAGGATGATAAGAAAGAAATTTATAATGCTTTACATAATGATAAGACATTGTAATTAACTACATCTCATTCACAAAATGATTTGGTTCCTTAATAGTAACCATAACCATAACCGTCAACTAGAGATGTTGAATATAAATAGTTGCTTTCATAAATAATTGAAGTAGAAAAAGAAGCTTTTCGATTAAATAATCATTACTAAACATTATTCTAGTAGTTCTCTAAGAACACTTAATTATCTGAATAACAAAAATAGAACATAAAATAAGAGATGACAGATTTAATGTAGTAAATAAGAATGAATAATTCAAAATTATATGAACTTAAAGCAAAGGAATTCACCTACTTATCTTGATAATTAATTTATATATATAATTATTAAATGCATAAATTAATTCTTCCAAAAAGTAGAAAAATTTATTAATTTAGAACTGAGGAAATGGTATCTCTTTTTATTCTTAGTTGTTTTGCTTAATTGCTATGTTATCTTTGAGATTTATCCATAGATTATTCTAAGAAGAAAAATTTAAAAAGAAGAACTAAATAGAATTAATAATTTTATTTTTCTTTGAACTATAAAATTTAAAAATCTGAGCTTCTCCTATGCTTTATTAATTGACAAGTATTTGTATTTTACAATGCTTTTAAATTTCTTTTTCTCATAGGTTTTGTTGTTTATTCTAACTCTTGAATTAATAAACCAAATTTAAATCTAATTGTTAAATTCTTAAGAATACCTATTTGCAGGTAAGATTGCTCTTTTCAGACAATTATATTGTTTATTCCTTTGTTGGAGATGGATATGAAAAATGTTTATACAGCCAATCTTTAAGATTTATGTTAGACAGTTTTGAAAACTGACGACTCTTCTTTTCTTATAATTGGTTTTGATCCTTGATAATGAGGTGTTATTGATAGAGTTTGACCTCATTTTCTAAAACTTAATGCATGTCTTCATTAAGATTGTTGGAATTGATCCATTTATGAAATAGAGCTTATAGCTCATTAACTTGTTGGCAAACAAATTACTTTCGTTATTCAGCATGAATTGACAGTGATAGTGACATTTGATTGAGATATTTATTTAAATTAGATACATTTACTTTTCCATAACCTAATAACTATAAATCAAAACAAATTATTTTTTAATAAAATGAGTTTTATTATTTTTATAAATAACAAACTCTACATGTATGAAATACATTTTTCTACTAAGAGTTTGCTATTGATATTTTAAATCGTCAACCTTATTCAATTTCCTCATAATCAAACTAAACATATTTCTCTTTTTAAACAAAGTAAAAGAAAAACGAGATAAAAATCCATGAAAACCAATAAGGTCATCTTTATTTGAAAGAAAAATATAATCTGTAATGGAATCTAATTATGCATAATATTTTGAAACATTAATTAAATTTTAATTATCACTTTCAGAATTTCAGTAAAGACAAATAGATAAAAATAGGCAAATTTAAAGTTCAGCGCCTAATTCTTCACGAATAGATGTTCAATTGTCTTTTTTGATTTAAGTCAACGAATCAGTCATATTAAATTAATAACTATATTTTACAAGTGATAAATAAAATAATTTATAAATATATGAGAAGGGTCAAAACAGAATAGAGTACACTTATCGAGCTTATTAAAAAAAAAGAACCTTTGACTATTTAACCCCAATAGAAACCAAAAAATAGAAAAATAAGCTAATTGGGGTATTTCAATTCTCTAAATGTTTCTAATGCAAAAGTTAAATTAAGTATCTTAATGAGAGATATTGTAATCCCAACTCATAATGGCGACAAAAATTTATCATATAAAATAAAAAATAAAAACAGATCTATTATAGCTGAGGACAAAAAACCTATTCGCAACAATAATAAGCCTTCAAGATTTATAGACATTCAAGAAAACTAAATATTTAAAAAGTAATACTATGCTAATCCAAAGTAAGTATTTGAGAATATCACTTTACGAAATAACATGTCTAATTAAAGAGCAAATGTTCAAAAAATTAAAAAGAACTTGAAATTATAATAATAAACATTCGAATAATAACAAATAATACATGATTTAATTGTATTGCCTTAAGTAATTAATCCAGAATAATAAAGCAAAAGTGTAGCCTATATAAAATCAGTGAGGTAATATGAAAAATAAGAGTAACTCTATCATATCGAAGGCTCTCTAGAAAAAACAATTGAAGATTTCAATGTATATATTCTATTAATTAGAGATTCGAATGTTTGGTAGTAGAACTGTAAAGAAACTGATAAACTCTGTAAAACCATGGGTCAATTAATTGTAATAGAAGAAATAATCAAAATATAAACGGATTAGATTAGAGATGGTTTAATTGCTGACACATATCCATAAATTAAAACTAACTCTAGAAGAATTTTCTAAAGGGGATGTATTTCCCAAAGTGCCTTATCAAAGCCCAAGAAGTGAAAAGTTCTTTTGTTTATGTAAAATGAATAAGGGTGATTAAATTTAGTAACTCTTAGAATTAGAAAAATATCTCGTCTATGAATATGATCCTTCTTTTATGACAGCACTTCATTGGTGTTGTGTAAGAAATTGTAGAGCTGCAGCATTAATTCTTCTCAAAAGTGGTGCAGACCCAGATGCATAAGATATGATAGGTCGAACTCCCTTATTTCTTGCACTTTTGCATAATAACAATGACATAGCATAGTTACTATTGTATCACAAAGCAGATCCTTGGAACAAGGGAATTTTAGATTATAACGAAGCAATTACTCATAATATTGAAGGCAAAACAATTTTATAGTAAGCAAGAAGGGTAATATTATTCAATTGAATTAATAGACTCATATCCTTTTGAGAATGACTCCTCCTGCAGAAAGATAATTTATTTGGCAATCTAAGTAATTTTTGATGATGTGTGAATGAATGATTATTAGTAATGAAAATTCATATCCTAATTTTTCTTTGACTTTCGTTCTGAAAAGTCGTAAAATTAGAAATTTCTTATTCCTCAAAACAGAGTACTTCAGTACTTGAAGGATTAAATTGTAAATAATTACACAATGATCTTTGTTATAATTTTTTTTAAACTTAAAATGCGTATTATTGGATATAGTAATTGAAAATTTTAACTTTTTCATATAGGAAAGTAGTGATATTGAAGAAGTAAGAAATAATTAAAATTCAAAAAGGAACAGAGAAAAGAGAAAAATTTAAATGATATATCTATTTTTCATTAACCTTAGTTGATCCAATATTACTCATATTTTTAATATTTCTCAGTGTTTCTTTTTAATATGTCTTCTAGAGGTCCTAACATTCTTTTGAAACTATGTCTGTCCAAGTAGATCAATTTAACTTCTGTCTATATAAAGTATGAATACTGAATTTACTTATGCAACAATATTGGCTTATCTTGGAATGTCCTTTAGTAAAGCTAATTCTCCAAAATAATCACCTGCTTTATATTGAAAGACTTTAACTGGTTCTTATCCCTGAACCAGTGTTTTTGTGGCAATCAATTCTCCCTCCTCTATCATATAAAATATATCTCCTTATTCTCCTTCCCTAATGACATAATCTCCGTTTTGGAAAGTGGCACTTCTGATTGCATCTGCAACATGAGACCTTTCATAAGGATCCATCATTGACAGCAATTCGATTTGCTTAAGGACATTTACATATTTTTCCCTCTTTCTAGAATATAATAAGTAATGCATACCTCATTGCTGCATCTTTTACAATATGATTAAATGTTTATCTATCCAATGCAAATAAGACAGAATTTGTTTTACACTGAATTGAAGCAGCTCTAGGTGCATTATACAATAAGGCCAATTCTCCAAATGATTCTCCGGGGTAATAAACTTTTAAAAATTTGTTTTCCCCATCTTTTGTAAATCTCTTATAACAATTAAGCTCCCCTTAATCGACAACATATAAATTATCACCATTGTCTCCTTATTGGATGACCCAATCCTCTGCACTAATATTGCATATCAAATTTTACTTGTAACTACGTTCTTCCATTGCATCAATTACGATGTCTTTTTCTCTTTAGTCAAGTGATGCAAACATGAACGATTGCTCTAGTCTTTTCCCTATTTTTTCCTTCTATTACTGAGTCTTGACAATCACTCTAGGTTAAAATGACTGTTATTTTAATATTAAATATACACCTCCTTTCTATTGTATTATCCATAGGCTTCAGCTGAAATAGAGGCTCTTTATTTCCTAGCAGCAGCAGGTCTTTTAGGCAATTCTATTACTTCTTCATCAGAGGAGGATGAAAGCGCATTTTTTTTCTATCTTGATTTAACAATATCCCTTCCTTATTTATCCAACCATGCTATAGACCAATCAATCTAATAATTTCTTATTTGAATTTACCACATTTTTTGGCTATTAGGCCAGAATATCCTCCATCAATTTCTAGAGTAGAAACACCACATTTTCTTGGGCATAAAGACGTAGTTTTTCTGCCTATTAATTCATTTAATGGATAATTAATTAAGAATTGAAGGATTTAATTTTCCAACACAAGTTCCTAGAGAACTTTGATAATTTCTAAGTCATTTTAAAGACCAGAACTCAGATTAGTTCCCATTATTGAAAGTAAAGGCCAATTTGAACTTCAAGGACATGCAATCACAATTACTTATCTAGTAAGTTTAATTAAAAGCTTACTACATAATGGAAGGGCTACAGGTCCACTGATTCATACTCATATCTGTTCTCCAATTATTCATCAAAACCTATTTATTTATGAATGAAAAATAAGAGTAATTTAATACAATTCAAATCACTATAAAGTTTTTTATCGCATGATATATTCTGAAGGATTAGGTGCTATTATTCGTCAATTTTATTCGTAGATGTAAGTTTCTAAATAAAAGAACTAACCAAAAACTTAAAAAAATGAAATTCGGTTTCTATGGAGCTTATGTCAAAATTCATAATAAACAAATAATAACAACTTTAAATGAATGAGTAAAAATAATAGGAAGAAATCATTGTAAAGTATAGATTACAACATAGAATCATAAATCTCAGATTACAAAATATAGTTAAATAAGATAACTAAAAAAATAAACTGATTTTCCAATCCAAACATAAAGATTTTTCAAATTTTTCGAGAGAAAGATCCTAAAACTCAATAGCTTATTAATTCAAAGAATTTTTGATTCTGATGATCTCAAGAGAACTGGATAACATCCATTAGAATAATATTTTAATATTTGAAAATAATGAAGAAGAAAAAGCAAACATTCTTAATGATTCATATATATATATTTAATTTTTAACGAATGCTAAACTGCCAACATAAATCAAATAAAAACATATGCAAATTATGTGGAATAGCTACTTATAAAGATGGATCTGTTGCTTATAAACATATTTCCTTTAAGAGTCATCAATAAGCAAAAAATCTTTTCGATGATCTAAGCAATATTAACATAAATTATGAACGAAGAGAAGAATTAATTGATTTCCTCTTTTAAACTAAATAGAGCTTATAACTAACTGATCAAACAGTTCACTTAGCCATTCACTTTTTGGATAGATGCTAACACTTACTCCAAAGTCAAAATCCAAAATTGATTTCCTTAATGTGTTTGATGGCCAGTTCTAAAATGATTGAAGATGATACACACATTCCAGGGATGAGCAAATTATCTAAAGCAAGTGATTTAAACTTAAATAAAAATGAATACAAATAAGCAGAGTGTTTAGTTTTAAAAACATTAAATTGGTAATTTAATATACTTATTTAAATAGGAAACTAAAAGTAAACACTTTATATGATTAAGTTTAAAGTCTCTTATCTATAGGAGTTTTCTTTTCTACAGACTCTAATGATGGAATCATGGATTACAATATGATTAATTTTATATGTTGTAAAATGCTAAAAGACCATTCCAAAATAGTCTATCAAGTAAACAAAATACCTTAATTGATGCAAATTAATACTAAAATTTTAGCAATGGCTATTATTTTATATATGAGAAAATAATGCCATTTGCATCCTCTGTAGTAATTTTTTGGTTATGTTCACTAGTCCACATTAATTATAAGGTTTATTTGAAGAAGATTAAAATCAATTGTTAATTGATACTTATGGTCAACTCAATAATCTTTTACAAAACAATTCATTAAGCAATACAAAAAGTGTATCAAGAGCCTTGTCACCTGTTACACTTTCTTCTTGCAAATCTATGCCTCCTGCCACTCGAGTTACGCAAAATGCAAGAATACCCCTGAATATCATCACAAATCATTAAACATTCATCAAGCCCAAACTCATAAAATCAAAGCATCAAGATTAAGATTTGAACCCATTAAGGGTTAAGCATAAGAATTGTTGATTGTTTTATATATTATTTGTTTACTATATAAAATTAATAAGTTATATTTTTCATTTTTTTTACTCATAAATTCTGTTCCTTAAAGCATAGTATTTATCCTATAAGATTTATAAACAATTTTCCTTGGAATGATCATCAAATTACCTATCAGTTTATAGTTTACTTGAATTGGAAAAATGATCAGTTCTTGCTTGATGTCTCTTTGTATTCTCAATAGATTATTGACCAAGATTTGGGTTTCCCTCAACACATTATTATTTAACTAACTTTTTTAATTGATTCACTGTATTGGTTTAATTCGATAAGGGTGATTGATTCCCCATAGCTTGAGAGTCATCTGTGCCTCTTTGTATTGAATTATAACTATTTCTTTGATTACTCAAAGTCGCAGAATTCTGCAAATATTGAGAATTTTAAAAAGATCTTTATTAATTTATTTTACTTTATTATTCTATATGATCTTTGAGTTCCCTTTGAAATTCAACTGCATATGATTACAATTCTGCAACTCTTTAATTTAAGTTCTGAATCTCCATTTATAAACCAGTATTTTCAATCTATATCTATTAGTTATCCTTGATAAGTAAAGAATTTCTTTCTTATAACTACCTATTTTCTTGTTGAATATCTTTTAATTCATACAACACTTATTCATATTCCTTTTTTACAATATCGTTATCCTATTCTAATCCTGCTATTTGTTGTTCCAGCTAGTCACACTCCTTCATTAAATCCTTATATTGTAATAATGTTTAATTAGTATTTTCTTTCCCTTCCTAAGCACTCTATTTTAATCCATAAGCAATGTTTTCAAGTTAATGAATTATTAAAACCTTTTCTTGTAAATCTTATTCCATTTATTTTATAATTTGATCCTTCTAACTTAAGTCTTGCTCCAACTTATTGATTTTCTATTTGATTTGATTCTAATTGTCATAAATAACTTTTTTTTCTATTTTTAAAGTTCTGTGTGATTTTTCTAATATTTTATTCTCATCCTAAATTTTGTGTAATTCCAATTTTAGTTAATTCTATTCATCTTTGATTTTTTTATCTTTCTCGTCTTTTTCAAATTGACTAATCTATAACTATTTGTATAATTATTAATTTTCATTTTCCAATAGATGCAACTCTCTTACCAGCTCTTAATATTGAAAATTTGCCCTTTGTTATTCTAATTCAAACTATTTTTGAAGTTCCTCATAATACTTAATTTTACTATGATACATAGATTCAAATTGATTGAACTGAACTCTAGAAAATAATACATAATACCTTTTCTGATAATTTGTAGAATTCATTTTAACTATTATCCAACTATTATTAGCATCTCTTATTCTCTTTCATTATACTCTAATATTGAGATTTGATTAAGGCATTCGTTTCGATTAATTCTTTAGTCTCCTGCTAATAGTTTTAATTCTCATTCTTTAATGTTACCACTTATACCTTGTAAGATTCATTCTCAGTTTTATATTTAATTAATGAATCTACTTATTCTTTCAATATATTAATTTATTATGTTTGTGATGACTATTATGCATTGGCAATTGTTTCCAATTTCAATTTGGATGTTTCCAATTCATATTATAAAGTTGTATTCTGCACTTCTAAATAGGATACTTTCTCAACCAATTCTAAATTCTATTCTTCATAAATGCAATACTTTTTATTAGTAATCTTGAACTTATTTATCTAATTTCATCTTGTAGAGTCTAAGTTCATCAACAATATGTTCGTTAGATTTTAATGATTCACTTATTTTTCTCTCACTTATTCTCTCTATTTCTTGTTATGTTTTAACCATCTTCTTCCTATCTTACATCGATCTAGTTCTAGATGATAAGAAATCCTGAAAGAATAGTTTACTCATTATTTATTTTAAAATTCAAAAGTTTGTTAATATATAATCATGATTATATTTTACAAATTGTTTCAATTGCCATCTAATTTAACCAGGATCTTCTAAACGTAATTTCTTCTCCATCTCATTCATACTCAAATTATCATATTTCATAAATTAAATTGCATAAAACAATGCAAATATACCACAATCATACCCATTCTTCTATTAACTACACTTCAAAACTCTGCAACTTCTGTTTTCCAATTTTAGTAAATTATAAAAAGCCTATTCCAGACTCTTATTCTCTTAATACAAAGAATCACAAACATGTAGCTATTTGTTGTCCTCTATCATTACTAAGAAATGTGATCTTTAAGAATTCATTACAAACACTTTCCTTTTCTTATTCCTAATTTCCTAATTCAATTCCTAATACGGTCTATTATTTTTTTATCATTATTTACATTTCATGATAATAAAACTTCTAATCATAATCGCAATTGATATATTTTGAAGTTTCATATGTATTAAAAATTACAGTCTAACCATTCGTGGCCTTTTCGGAATAAGTAAAAAAATGGTTGAAATAATCCAAAAAGTAATCTAATGAATCTTCAAACAACCAATGCCCAGTATTTAAGGCATAATAAGCCTATATTCGAAAGTTAAAGTCTTTATATGAACAAATACTTTATGAAACCTATTCATTTGAAAGAATTTTTGAAATAGTCTAATTACCCTCTTGAGATGTTATTTAGTAAGTATTTTGTTAATTGAAATCTTATTTATTAACCTATTGATTGCGATAAAAATAGTAAATCAATCCATTTTCTTCATTGCATATCTAGAATTATCCATGCATCATATCATCATTGAATTATCCATAATAATACCTATTATTGTAAACAATTTTTCCAAAGCCATGCTTTTTATTATGAACAAAATTACCCTAATAAATTATTTAATTATATTGATTCTTTATTGTCCCTTCGCCATTTAATAAACCAGATTACATATTACCTTAATAAACCAAATTACCTTGAGATAAAATAATTGTTTATCCATTCTAATCAAAATTCTCATCCAAAACACCCTCACTAACAATTTATATTAAAGATTATTCTGATAATAAACTTTATTAATAACAAAAACGTGGTTTTTAAAAGTGTATAACCCTACTTGTTGATAGTGGGATTGTCATTTAATTGTTGAATTTGGATACTATTCTAAAGTTAAATCAAAAAATACATGTCTCCATTTTATAATAAAAACAATTATTTCTACTTTTTATAGTTCAATTGATATCCTCTAAACTTTTTAATCAATAATTGTCTAAAATATTCAACAAAAGCAATTGAAATACTTACTCCTGGATTTTTTAAGTTTCCAATGCCAATTCCATATATCTATTCCAATACTTAAAAGAAAATCTCCTTTTATTTATCAATAATCGTAGTTGCATTACATGAGAATTAGTAGGTATCTGTGGCATTGATTAAGTTTAACAAAAAAGTAAAATCCTATAATTCAATTGTTATTCTTGAGAGATATTAATAAAATTATTATGCTAATTAGACATTAGATGCGTTGATTTCTTCATTTATTGAAAAATCACAGAGTTCGCAAAATTATGAATAAATCTCTCTTGTTAAACGAGCGATTAGTGATTTTTGATTGCCATCTAATATAATATTAATTAATTATTAAGATTTGTCATTTATCTAATTCTTAAGGAAAAAGTATATTTTAGTGCCATTCAATTCTTTTAATTTGGTCTCACTGTATTCCCCAACCACTTGGAATGAAAAAAACATCTCAATGATTAATTTATTATAGAATAATTAATACTCAAATAAATAAAGAACTACAGAATTTTCGTATGATGACTTCATTAAAATAATAATGTTTAATGTGTGCTAAAAAAAATATTTCATTTTTTGTCATTAGGTCGATTGGAAATAGTTGTCAATATCCTCTTCCTATTGGAATATGCCCACTCTGTTAAAATAATACTAGTGGCTTTCAAAATCTTAAAAGTTTAAATCTTCCTCCTAATTATTTATATTAAAAATAGAATACCTGTAGACATTATATTTCTGTGTCAATATAATTTTAATCATCACATATCATTTGATTTGATGATTCTTAATTAGATCCACAAATATCTGTGGTTTCAGTGTCCTCATGTAATTTTTATTTTAGTAATAAATTCTGCTCTTAAATGATCTCTTAGGTCTTTCTTTATTCTTCAAGTTCCTTAATTCTCAAGTCTTTAAGCTTCTTTTTAAGTTTGTTTTGATTCTTTCTCAAGTAGCTTCTCAGAAATCCCATCTTTTCGTTAGAAAACTGCTTTATGTCGGCCGTGAGTAATTTCACCTTTTTGAATAGTTAAGTGTAGTCCTCAAGGGTTTTTTTGGGAATTCCCACTATTTCGGCAGCTTAATTCAAGGTGACTTTGATTATTTCTCCGTTGTTAGTTTGTAATCCCTCAGTAAACATTAATCTCCATCTCTCAACTTTTTCAATTGCCTCACAAACCAGTCTTTCTTTAACTCTCTTGAAGGATTAGTGCTTATTAGTAATAGAAGTAGAAGTATACATTTTTAAAAAGTAAAGTAATTTATGCTTTGAATTTTTCATAATTTCATGGTTTTAAAACATTCTTTAAAAGATACATAAACATATATTATATTTTACAATTCAATAAAGGTTTCGAATCATGTCAATTGAAATTTTTTTCTTTCTTGATCTTTATTCCAAATGACTCTAAACTCTGGAAGCTTAGTTTGACGAATCCTCTTTAAATAATTATTAAAGTCTTTTAGAGCAATTCTCAATTGTTTTTCTATTTTCTTGGATTGATTTAATTTTTTATCTAATTGTAACCTGGTTCTCCTACCTTTTCTCATTCCCTTACAGACTTACAATATTATTGACTTAAATAAGTCTACTGTTAAAAATAAATTAAGTACGGCTTCAAAACTGTCGTGCTAATGCTTCTCACATGTTTAACAAATGAACCCATTCTTCTTCTTTGAGAAGTTGCATTTGTTATTTGCTCCCTATCAGATTGTAAAATCTTTCTATAAGTTTCTAACTATTCTTCATGATAGTGATCGAACTCCTCCAATTTTTTGTTTAGTCTATGACTTCTGAGTAATAAAGGGTCATTTTCCTTAAATAAAATATTTCAAATTACTTGTAGCTGCTCATTATTAGTATAATGAATTCTCTTAAGCAAATTATGTTATTTAATCTTATTCAAGATTAAATCTATATTCTCTTACTTTTGAAGCCATTCTGGATTTTGTGGGGGTTTTTCGTAAATGTTCAGTGTTAGTTCTGAAGAATACCTGAATGTCATTATTATAAAAATAATTTCTAAAGTTTCTGCATTATGTATTGAATCATATATACAAAATATAAAATTGATGTTCTAATAAAAAGATTATTTTATGATCATTTTTGCATCTTTTTTCTTTCTGCAATTTTCCTTCTAGCTTTTTTAGCTTAATAAAGCAATTTTACAACTATTTTCAATGCCATTTAAATATTAAGACTAGTCAAGGCAAATCGAATATCCATTTCGGTGACATCAATATATTCAATATATTAATTAATTATTGGCTACTTACCGAAATCAGTTACCCAATCATCCATAATGATCTAATCAATTTTCAACCTTTTTTCAGGAGACTTTTATAATAAACCCTACAATAATTTAATAATTGAATTTGAAAATCCTTAGGGCTAAGTAAAAGGTGGACTATATAACAATAATAACTAACTTGTCCTCCAATATTTGTTATCTCAACTCCATTGATTTCTAACTTGTAAATGGCAGTTTTCCATAGACCATCTAATACAGAGTTACTCCTCCTGCCCAGATATCAACTGGTTTTCCATCAAAATTCTATCCTAAATAATAGACTCCATCCGTACCTTTAAATACCTCTGGAGCTAAGTATGCTTGAGTGCCTGTCTAATTGGATATGCGACCATCTCCTCCGTCTTCCATGATATGAGAAACTCCGAAATCTGCAATCTTAAGCTAATTGTTTATGTTGACTAATAGGTTTTCTGGTTTTATATCTCTATGAATCACATTGACACATTCATGTACTGAATATTGAATACTATTTTACAGTAATACAACCCTTTTATAAAATCAGAAAAGTAATGGCGACATTGCTCTTCTGTCAATTTAAGCAAGGGATTTTTGTCCTCAATTTCATCCAATATGTTGGAGGTAGTTTTCTATTTTTTAAAGAACCCTTTGCTTAAGATACTTCCTTTGCCCATGTATTCCATAACCAAATAGAGCTTATCTTTGTTTGGGTCATCGATTACCTCAAATAATTGAACTACGTTTTCGTGGGATATCTAATTAACAGTCCTGATACCTTTTTCATGATGGCTATTTCTCTTTCTAACATGGTATAAGCATTTGATTTTGAAAGCAGTTTCTTTTTTAACTTTTTTTTATTTGCTATTTTAATTGCCTAAGAAATTGAGTTAATATATCTACAAAGATTTCGCCTTTAAAATTTTATGCTTTTTTCACTTTTCCAAAGGCTCCTTGTCCCAATGATTCTAGGACAGTATATTAGTTAATTTATGCCATGCCTTCTTCATTTACACTCTTCTCCAAATGTGAAGTTTGGACCACTTCTAGTGTGTGTTAGACTTATAAGGATTTCCTGGGTTGCTTCTGTCTCTGAGAGCTTAGCATCTAGGATTCCTTAATGCTCAAATATTTCTCCATTGATATTTCTACTTTCTCATACGATTTACTCAATCTTACTTCAATTTTCTTTGATTTCCTAATAACATCAATCAAATTTGTAGTTGCATACTCAAGGAAGGGCTTCTTGATCCCTGGAGACTTCGCATTAAAGGCTTACAAATTTTATGGATTTTGATTTAGAACTATTCTAGAAGGCACATTTCTGACTATTTCAAGAAGATTAGTCTAATGTTTGAGTTTATTTTTATGCGAAAACAAAGTTGTATCATCCCATCTGAGATTAAAATCACTGGGATCTGTTTTCAATCTTTCAGGCTCTTAAAGTAGAGATAGCATCCTTACCAGTCTAAATCATAGATACCTATAATTGTTTAACTGATTGTTTGATGTCCCACTGCCCATATATATTATATTCAATAAATTATTATTGAATTATGCAATCCGAAGACAATGAGTGGTAAAAAGTGGTTCAGACCACCACCAAAATAGATTAATAAATCAAGAATATCAAATTGAGATTATAGTCAGCATTGACATAGCTTATCATTCAATCCGAAGAAAATAATAAAATTAGCAATCCTGAACCAATCCTTCCAAAAACCAATGTTCCTTTGATCATACAACATACCAGCAGATCTATTGAAAAGAGAGACAAACCTGCAATCAGACAGTGTGCATCTAAATCTCCTATTAGAACCCCTGAAACTACGGACTGCCCATCTCCAATTTCATCAATAGCTCATAATTCCCTTCTAAGAATGTAATTGAAGGCAGCAGAAGTGTTAAGTCCAAAATATCAAAATATATCGGATAGATTCCATATAGGCAAATTTTTGGGTAAAGGCAAATTTAGTGATGTATTTTAAGCATAGTAAAATACTAATTTAAATTAGAGAGAAATCATCAAAAGTGTTAGTGGCTTTAAAAGTAATTCAAAAGAGTGTTATCAGCAAATATAAAATGGAGGCCCAATTGGCCCATGAAATAAAAATTTAGAGTTATCTCAATCATCCAAATATACTTAAACTATATGGTGTATTCTAAGAATAAACTAAAGTATTTAATTGAAGATTATTAGATTGTTTTAATTTTAGAATATGCACCAGATGGAGAGTTATACAAGTTGCTTAAGAAACAACCAAATCGTAGATTCAGTGAAAATAAAGCTGGAAACTATATTGCATAGATTGTGGAAGGGATTTCGTACATGCATAAAATGAAAGTGATTCATAGAGATATCAAACCAGAAAACATATTAATTAGTCTAGTAATAAAGATGAATTAAATTAGTAATTTCTAAAAATAGCTGATTTTGGATTAGCTACATATTCACCAGAATCTAAACCCAGGTAATCCTTTTGCGGCACAATTGATTATATGTCTCCAGAGATAGCTTCTGGGTAAGACTATGATCACTCAGTTGACTTGTGGTCGATAGGCATCCTAGCGTATGAATTGACTACAGGAACCACACCTTTTTATTAATCATCTAAAGAAGATACCATGAGGAAGATCATAGAAGGTCGAGTTGATTTCCCTAAATATGTTTCGAATGAATTATAAGATTTTTCAAAGTGCTGTTTGAGGAAGGATCCCTCATAAAGGTTGAGATTGGAATAGATGGCTGTTCATAAATGGATTCAAATGAATCATTAGGCTGGGGGATAGTATGATCGAATGCTTGTTTAATAATTGGTAACAATACTGAAATGATTTATGTGATTATGTGAAAATTTGTTTTAATTTTATTATAAATTAATGAGAAGTAATAATTAGCGCGAGAATCAAGAAAAAAGAGTAAGGAAACCAAATCGATATAAAGTAAAATTTGTATTTTGAATCAAAGCAGTTTTAAGATGAGGAGGAAATAGATTAAATAATCAAATCATGTGAGAAAGCACAAAAATCTAGGAAACTAAGAAAATTAAGCCAGGAGTCTTCAATAGAGGTAGATGAAGAAGAGGATGAATAATCAGATAGTTAATATGAATCAGATTATAATGAAGATTATTGTTGGAAATGTAGGTAAAAGAATAGACCTTTATTGTGTTGTGATTCATGCTACAGATCATTTCATATGGCATGTGTAGGAATCAAAAAGATGCCTCCAGGTTCTTGGTATTGTCCATAATGTTGTCAATATGAGTAATCTTATTGTCCCTATTGTGACGAATAAAGTACAAATGAAAAGATTATATGTTCAAAATGTAATACTTTTATTCATTTTGATTGCATTTTGAAAGACATTCCCTTTGAAGCCATTCTCAGATCGCCTGCCAATCGAAAACAGATTTCAGAAGAACAATTTTCATAATTATTATTGGCTGATAGACCCACAAAGACTTCGCCATTGATCTTTCATTGCTGTTTAAGATGTTTATAAAGCTTTGGAGTTGGGTAAATCTTGACTCATTTGAAATTCAAAGAAAAATAATGTTATTTAATTTTACTTGAATAATCATCATATTTACATTGCCACTTTTTTAGTTAAGCATAAGTACAAACAGTTAATCAAAGGAAATTGAAAAACTATGTTGAGAAAAACGAAGGAAAATAAGATACACTAGAAAATGATAATGATGCTGACTTACAGGCATCTCTAAATTATATTGAAGAAGACATCTTAGAATATTTAGAACCTGAACGAATTATCGGATGTAAAAGAGGAGCAAATGATCAAAAGAAAACATGGAGAGAAATCTATAATTAGGAAATGCCTAAGATAACACAATATGGAACTAAAAACAATTACAAATTTTTAATTAAATGGTCTCGAATGTTTTATGAAGAGAGTAGTTGGGAAGATGCATATTTTATAATGGAAAAAAATAGGGATGAATTTAAAAGATTCTTAAAATCAAAAATATTAGAAGAAACTTATGGCACTCCAGAATACGAGTAGTTCATTAAGCAATTCTTGAAAGTGCCTCAAGGTAAAAGTAAGAAGAACTAACCTGTATGGATCACTGGAGGTCAATTACATTCATTTCAACTCTAAGGATTATAATGGTTATAAAAATCATATGAAACAAATAACAATGTAATTCTTGCAGATGAAATGGGATTAGGTAAAACCATCCAAACTATTTCCTTTTTGAACTTTTTGTAATATGAATATAAAAAGTCAGGACCATTTCTTATTATTGGACCAGCTACAATTTTATATAATTGGTTGAAGGAATTAAAAAAATGGGCAGAAACTTTTAATGTCATTGTTTATACAGGTAATTAGGAAAGTAGAGACATTATCAAAGCAAAAGAATTTTATTATAGTAATAACAATAATGTGTGTAAATTTAATGTCTTGATCACTAGTTATGATATTGCTATTATTGATTAAGCAATAATTAAAAAGATTAATTGGGAATGCTTAATTGTAGACGAGGCTCACAGATTAAAAAACAACGATTCCAAATTCTTCAAGGTTTGTTCTCAATTTTCTAGTCAACACATTATCTTATTAACTGGCACTCCATTGCAAAATAATCTACAAGAACTTATTAACCTTATTGAATTCATTGCTCCTTAAAAGGTTAAATAACTTAAAAAAGAACAATTAAATGTTTTATTCAATAATCAGGATCTAGATGACTTTTAGGAGGTTAAAAAGACTACACTTACAGAATTAAATTCCTTATTAAAGCCTCATATTTTAAGGAGAACAAAGGCTGATGTCAAATTGTAAGTTCCTGAAATGGAAGAAATTATTATCAAGTTGTGCTTGACAGATAAATAGAAGTTCCTCTATAAAAATGTTATGTTAAGAAATTATGAAAAATTAAAAGTTTTAGATTAAAAAAAGGGAGCCAGCAAGGCAAATTTATTAAATATTTTAATGTCTTTGCGTTTAGTATGTAACCATCCTTATCTATTTACTTATAAACGAGAATTTCCTAATGAGGACATTGAAGAAATGATTAATTAATCTAATAAATTGAAGTTTGTGGATAGAATCATACCCAGATTATTGGAGATGTAGCATAAAATGCTTATTTTCAGTTAATTTACAATGATGCTTGATTTGATGCAACATTATCTACAATTAAGAGGATATAGCTATGAAAGATTGGATGGAACTACAAGTATTATGGATAGGTAAAGAATAATAGATTCATTTAATAATTCAACTGGTAAATCTAAAATATTCTTACTATCAACAAGAGCAGGTGGATTAGGAATTAATTTAACATCTGCTGATACAATTATCTTTACTGATAGTGATTTTAATCCTTATAGAGATCTTTAAGCAATTAGCAGAGCTCACAGAATGGGTTAGACAAATAAAGTGAAAGTTTTTAGATTAGTAAGTAAATACACAGCTGAGGAAAGAATAATTTAGATAGCTACTAAAAAATTACTTTTGGAAGAAATCATAATTAATCCCATTAATAAATTTACTAAGGATGATTTCTAATCAATCTTTAAAGAAAGTACTTGGGAATTGTTTAATAAAAATTTAGAGGAGAAGGACTAAGAATTTACTGATGAATAATTAAATATTTTATTATAAAGAGATATTGAATAGTAATCTGATTAGCAATACGTTAATTTAAAAAAGAATGATATTAACGATTATTATTTGTCAGGATTTAAATTTACAAGTTTCAATTTGGAACAAATAGAAAAGGAAGGAGAGGAGAGTCATTAGAATGTGAATTTGGATAAATATTGGGAGACCTTCTTGGATGAAGAAGCAAAAGAATTTGCAGAAAAAGAATAGGATGAATTTGGAAAAGGTAAAAGATTGAAAAAGTAAAATATGCCAAACTATCACGAAGATTATCATCAATGTACATTATATAAGAGAATATTATTAGTTTCATCATCTTAATATAGTCCATCTGATTAGAGCCAAGGAACTGGATCTGAATAAGAAAATGATGAGAATAAGAAGGATTAAAAAGTAGTATCTGAAAGAATGTAGAAGTTGATCGACAAGGATTTACAAATCATGAGATTTTTCTAATAAACTGTTCTGGAGCATTCTGAATTAGCATAACTTAGTGTAGACAATGATATTGTGACATATGGTTTTACTGCTTATCATAGATTAGAATTTCTTGATTTTGTTTTATCATTTGGAATGGATTTCGATTCTATAGATTAGTTTTATTAAGTGTAATACTCTAATGTTATCATATTTTAGATTACAAAGAGAGAAACCCTAATGTTTTTCAGCTGAGTATAAACCTAGTAATGACGAATTTAAAAAGTACGTTAAGGAATTTTACTCTCTCCTTTTAGATTATGAATAATTTAAAGAGAAAAAAAATATTGCATTTTGTAAAATAAATCCCAAGGACATATTTTATCGAATTTGTGGATTGATGTATTTGAAAAAGAAATATTAATTCTACTAAAATAGATAAGCAAAGTTTACAATAAAGCATGAAAGTACATATAATCAATATCAATTTAATTAGGCTACCAAAAAAACAAAGTGCAAAAGGATTAAGAGTAAATTATATACAAAAATGAGGAGTGGACTAATTTTGATGATTTTACCCTTTGTAAATATATCGCTGAAAAAGGTTTTAATGCAAGTATTTGATTTTATTATTGTTCAAGTTGATTAAATTGTGGAAGATCAGGGCTACTTTTAATTTGCTTCAGAGTTACAGGAATTTCCATTCTGGTTCAAACTATTCAGAAAGATTGAGTAGGTGTAATTCGAATAGATTTAAAATGAAGAATAAGTGAAGAAGTATCTGAAGTATTGGATGTAGTAGAGGTGTTTAATGCTAATGAGTTTAATTATTGATTCTGAAGAATGAAAATACAATTATTAAATTATTTCAATGGAATATTATCAAGTCAAGACAAATCGAGTAGAGACTAATATTACATCAGTAAAGAGTAATGGCTAGAATTTGACGACGAGAGTGGAGTCTGTAAGCAACGGGGAACAAGATCGGAGAATTCAAAATATTACAAAATAAATGCAAATATTTTTAATGGCCATAGAACTAGAAAGACTTAGTGAATAAAATTACAAGTTATAATAGAGGTTGAAAAATATGGAGGATCAACAATTTAATACAATGAATCTTGAATAATAGATTATAGATTTGAAATAGAAAATGGATTACTTAGAGCAATAGTATTAAACAGTTGTAATTCAGAAGGAAGAAATCAAGTATAATTATGAAGAAATCATAAAATATCATGAGAAAAGTGAAGACAATTAGAATCTATTAAAAAATGACATCGAAAAACTCAGAATTAAATTAAGAGACTTTGAGGAATAAAAACAAAATGAGATTTTAGCCATCATTAAATAAAGAGATCTTGAAGCACAAAAATTATTGGTATTGAAATTTTTCATATCTAATAGTAAAAACATTAATAAGAGAATGATTTCAATTGGAAACAATAAATGGAATACATGGAGAAGGAATTATAAAAATACAAAGAATTGCATTACTAAATCAAAAAAGAAAATACAGAATTGAAAACTATGTTGCAATAGGAGGATCTTTCTAAAAATAGAGAATTGGAAACATTAATAATTTAATATAAAAATGATATAGATAGGCTTAATCATAATTTGAATAAATATTAATTAGAAAATTAAGATTTAAAAGAACGAATATATAACGTTGATTAAATACAAGAAGAATTACAGAAATTATTATAAGAGAACCAAGATCTTCGTGAGAACCTGTAATAATTAGAAAATGAGAACTAAGAAAAACATGTGGATTGTAAAATATTTTAAGAAGAACTTGAAAAATTAAGATATGGTTTATCAGTAAAAACCTAAGAACTTGATGAATATAAAATAAAAGCTACCAAATATGAGAAATCCTAAATAGACTTCCAAAGGAATAAAAAATCATTAGATGAAAAATTTGCAATTATGCAATAGGAAATTGACAGATTATAATTTATTATTAGGTAAAAAACGACTGAAATAGAGAATCTCTAAAAAAGAATTCATGACAATTCAAATGAGAAACAAAGAATGGGAGAATTGGAATACCTATCAAAATTAAATGATAAGAAAAATCAAGATTTGGATAAAAGAAATTAAGAACTTAACTAAAAATTAATTGATTAAACCAAAAAGATCTCAGAACTTGAAAAATAAAATAATGACTATCTCTCCTTACATAATAAACTCAAAGAGAAATGTGAAGAATTTGAAGGAAGATATAACAATCTCCTTTAAGAGGTAGATAAAATAAATAAATAACTTGCTTAGAAGTAATATTATATTTAATTTCTAAGAGTTTAGGAAAACGAAGGTTTGAATAAATAGATCGCAGATAGTAGAATGAAATTGGCCAATTATGATAGCCAACTTTAAGATTTATATGATTAAATTAATATCCTGGAGTAGGACATTGAGAAATTAAAAAAGTATGAAGAAAATGTAAGAGCATAATGATTTTTAGTGTAGAGTATTATCATATGAGATTGATAGATTGAATAGCCTGATCGCTTAATAAGAAGAGGAACTTAAGAAGTGGAGACTATAGTATGCAAATGAAGGATCATTAAATAAAAAGATTATTGAACAGTTATCCATAATGTTTGTTCTTATGATTGAAATAGATAGTTTAAGAAATTCCATTGTACAAAAAGACAAATAAATTGAGGATCTAAGAAACTAAAACTTAGCTCAATTTAAAGAAAAAAATAAATGATTTTAATATGTTTGCTGATTATTAATTTAATATCAATTTTAATCATCAACAATAAATTCACCAATAGCATTTTACATTTATAATAAATTTTTCGACGGTCTCCAAATTTTAATCAGTTTATCTTATCCTCCACTTATCACTAAATGGTTGTCTTGGATAACGTGCAATGCATTAATTTATTGCTAGAATTCTAATAAATAATACATTTGAAGCAGTAATTTCATGAAGTAATTGGAATTTCCTTTCCTCATTAACTTTGATGGCCCTGACATTACCATCCTTACAAGATGTGTAAATCAATTTCAAACTTTTATCAACTAAACATAGCCTTAAAATGTACTTGCTAAAGCAGTTATCAGATCTTTATGTATGCTATCATTTGTAGTAGATTCTAAACCTGTTTGCTGTTTCCAAAGTAACATTCTTTTGCTCAAAGAACTATTTAATCTTCATATATTTATACCAACTCACTATATAGTCCCCAAAAGAGGCAACTCCTGTTACCTTATCCAATTAAGGTGGCTATAACTATTAAATTTGATTATATTTATTTTTATTAAAGGGTATTCTTTTAGTATAATGCTTTAATGTCCCATAAATCAACTCAGAATTCTCATCAGAACCATAAATGCTTAAGATATCTGAACCCTTTTCAAATTCATACAAAATACTTAAATAATGTTATTATATACTTATTTTATCTGGAATCCCAAATATTCAAAGCATTAGAATTAATAGACTTACCTGCTGCAACCAATAATCCATTGATACTAGTAATACATTTGATTTCTTCTATTGAAGATTTAAGTAATCCTTTGCACATTAGTGTTAATGGATCATATAAAGATATTTGAGATCCATGTGAAACAGCAAAGGCATCTCGATTTGCCCAATAATATATGGATCTACAGTGATTACTTTGATCTATTGTACTGATAAGTTATTGAGATTCTACATCCCACACTTTAAATTATTTGTATTATCCAGAGCACAATATGTTGTCTTTTGTATATAATGATAGGATGGGTTAATCATGACCTTAAAGAGTTTTCACAATACTAAAATCGATATTAATATTTACTCATAATTAATGATTTCTTATGATGAATTTAACTACTCAGCTATCCAATATTAAGAAACCGAACTTCTAACTCTCATACTTGATCCTAATTACCCAAACGATTTTACATGACTCAAGGCTAAAGGTAGTTGTTATTCTGATTTTAATTCTTTGCTAATTGAATTTCTAAATGTATGATATGATTATGAATGCTATAATTATTATCCTAATCCAATTGACTTATCTTTTTGCTATTTATTGATTTATTCACTATAAAAATTCTTGTAGTAATCCAATTCTATGCTTATTGTTCTATATTAATTTTACAATGCCTACAATTTTCTTTTATATTCATTTATCTACCTTTTCAAATCATCTATAGGTGTATTTTATCTAATAGATTTTTTTATGGGACTAGGTTTTGCATGAAGAAGTTCTTGATTTGTTTAATTTAACTCCTCTATTTATTGAGCGTATAAAGTCATTTAATAATGATCTTTGACCCAATTATCAATAACATATCTGAATGATCTGGTACACCAATTATGTAAATCTTTGAAGTACTGATTAGTTAATACTATAGTATAGTAATCATTTGCTTTAGATGATATCACTCTATAATCATCAATTTTTTAGAGCTAGAATTCTATTGTTTCTGAGATATTTTCTCTTTTTTACTAAAAATCATTTAATTCTAACTCATATTATTGTACACTCTCAATGCTACAAGCTGCATTGCTTTATGTCATGTCAAATTGAAGTTAATCAATTTTAATTTGTAATGAACAAATCTTTGCCTCAATTTGTCTTAATTCTTCTTAGATTTCTTCTAACTTAGAGTATTCCTTAGTTATTTATTCTTCAGCCTATTCACCAAGTATTAATTCTGAAAACAAGTCATCTATTTACTTTTCAAAAGTGTCATATTATAATGATTTATTTGGATTATATCGATTGTGTTATTTGATAATTAATTTTTCATTTTTTTGTTTTTATAATTCATCCTCCTTTCGTTTTAATAAAACATCTTTTTTAGTATTATCATTTTTCAATTTACTTACCAAAGTATCTTATTATATTTTTAATTTTTTTGCATATATTAACTCTTTATGTTTTTACTCCTTGTCTTTTATGTATTTCTCATTTTCTTATTTCATTTTCTTAATCAAATCAACTTTCTATTTTTTCATTTGTTCAATATTAGTTCTAAGTTCTTTCACTTAAGTTTCCTAATCATCCAATTTCTTTTACAATTATTTTGAGGTCAATTCTTTTTATCTCATATCCAATATTTTAGTTTCGTATTCTGATATTTTCAATTTAAGTTAATTCATTTAAGCAGAATCCTATTTAGTATTGAGTTATTTTTATAGTTTAGCCTTCTCTTCTTCTAAAATAGATATTTATTTTAAATAGTTTTGCTTATCATCTGATAACAATTAAATTGTCTCTATCTTTATTTTATCCAATTCTTGAAGCTGATACTCCTATTCTTCAATTTGAAGGTCCTTCTGTATTATTTCAGAGTCATCTAACTCAAAATCGTCATCTATTTAATCTACATCTTATTTTTTTTTTTCTAATCTCATTAATTCATGTTGCTTTTATCTCAATAATTTTTGATCTCTGCGTGCTTCCTGTACTAAGTTATGTATCATACTAAAATACTTTTATCAATTAATCATTACTAGATTGTAATAGAAATATTCTTTGTTCATGTTCTATGACTACATTCTTTAAATTAGCAATTTCATTATAATAAGTATCCATTTGTTAATCCTCATTGAAATTAAATTAGATATTATATTTTTATAGAATTCTAAAATCAAATATATAATCTTACTTTTTTGCATCTTGAAATTGTTTCATATTTTAGTCTCTTTGTTTCTTTGCTTTGTAACCTTCTAGCATACTTTCACTTAATCCTTTTTACGAATTCTACAATTCTCTTTACAAATTATTTAATTGCTTTTCTAACTATTAATTCTAATTTTTTAATTTAAAAATAGTTTCTCCATGTTCTAAACAAGATTTTTAAGGTCCAGAACTTGGAGAGATAGATTCATAAATCTGATCAGCCATATATTTAACAGAATCAGTATTGATATGATTATCCTATAGTATTTAAGCAAATTGTTTGATTTGACCCTGAAGACCAAGTATCTATTGTTTTAAAGCTAGTATTTAAGCTGCATGTGGATCCTTAAATAACACTAATAATTACTCTGTTTTGAGTAGGCTTATTTTTAATTTCTCTAGCTCTACTTGCATATTTCAAAGTGTTAATTGTTTCTTCGTAATTACTAGCCGAGGGTGAAATACAGGCAATCATATAGGTGTTCGAGTTACCTCCCAAGGAATCTTATAGAATTCTAGATAATTATTTAAATATTTCAATACCTAGTTAACTTACTTTCTCTATATGGAACATGTGCTGATTTTTTTTAATCACTTAATGTTTTAATTACATTCCCTAACACCAAAAGGCTTTAATTAATATTAATCCCTTCTTCCATCTGCTTACCTATAGCCAGAGTTTTTTTTAGTCTCTCACTACCAGCCAAATCTACAAAATGAAATTTGGCACTTAGAGATTCTTCCTCTGATTCTGGGTTTATTTTAAAATAAATTGTAAATATCGCATGGGATCTTGAACTATTCAAATTCATTTGAGTTGCTGCTGTTGTTCTATGGGTTCCTCCTTTATTTAATATTTGAAGCATATCCTAAGGATTCATTACTGATATTTATGTTAAATTTTGAATTGAAATTGTATGATCCTTCTCCTCTCTTATTGTTGGTTATAAATTAGATTTCATCGTTGATTCATTTAGCAAATCAATTATTTATTCATTATATAATTCTATGTATGAACATGTAATAATTATGTCCTAGTCTAATTCTTGTTTCCTTTTCTCCACTTCATCAAATAATAAATAAACTGCTCTTGGTATCATTCCCCATTCGTTCTAGTCTATGTATTAATCACAATATTAAACCAGAATATTGATCCAAACCTAAGGTTCCCATTGTAAAGGTTTTCCCAGAACCTGTTTGGCCATATGCCAATATTGTACTATTATATCCCTCAAAGCATCTTTAAACTAAATTGGTTACACAACTAGAAAATAGGAATTCCAATCCTTACCTGTCAAAAATCTCCTCCTAGTTTGAATCCTAATTGAAGACATGATCAAAAGTAAAGATTTTTCCACTTTATGGCAAAATTATCTATATTATAGTTATTAATACTCTGGTTTCCTCATTCTTCAAACAACATTCGTCCTTTGCATTTAGTTCCTTGTTGCTTAAAGGCCTTACTCTGACTGCCACTTATACATTTAATTATTAAGTTTGAATATCCATTTTATTATTATTCCAACTTAAGTCAATTATTTATATATACAATCTTAAAACTAAAATATTTATTTATCTGCATCTATAAGCAGCTTCGAAACAAAAGTTTTTTGTTTTTCAAGATTCATTTATTTTATTTTATATGAATTGACAATCTTGTAATATAAATTGAGCTTTGAAATATGATTTTAGAGTAAAACAAAAAATGGAGAGTCGACATTTTAATTCGTATTTAGCTTTCAATTTTGCATTAGTTCCCTCTTTATTCTAATTATCGAATAATTTGATTATAATACATTATTTGCCATTAATATCTTACAAATAAAAAGTAATACAGAAATAAAGCTTAATGAAGCTTGCAATATATAATCACTAAGTCAAACTAGATTATTTAGAGAATCTTGGGAAAAATTCAATTTTTAATATATAATATGTTATCATTTTTAGGATTCAGACTAAATGGCCTTTGAATCCCTGAAATTCTTCTAATGAGAATAGTGCTTTAGTTAATGCTTTGCAATTGAGGAACGCTAGCATATAGTTTTTTTAAATTTGTAGGGGGATTTTATTTGGGTTTTACGAGTTTCTTTTCCTTTTTTTATTTTGAAGTGCAACAAAAAAACATTTCCTTCAAATCTTAATTTATAGCTATTAAAAATTATTTAATTAATATTTATTTTAGGGCAAAATCCCAAGATTTATTTGAGAAAATTATTGGATTAAATCTAATATCTATGATTTTTTTGTGATTTTTAAATCAAGAATTTAAAATGCACAATAGAATCATTCAAATATTAATATCAATTTTAATTCTTCTTATTTTCCTAATCTAAAATATCAAAAATATTTAACCATCATCATTTTTAATATAGGCCAATTAATCCATCAAGAATAGCTAAATAACATTATTTAAGGCTTACAGTCATTAGTTCTCATAATATACATTCACTTTTATTGATTTAAAATTACTAACCATAATGGACCATTTGATAATATCATCTCAGAATTTAATTTATGATTGTCTTATGCCTTGTAATCGTAAAAATAATTAATCAATGAATTTCTTACATTTGAATTGATGAGCAAATTATGATTATTTTTTAACTTGTTAATTTATATTCGTAATTATTATACTTTTATTCTTTTTCTATAATTATTTAAGTATTTAATGAAATTATTGAATTTTTTCATTTCTTAATAAATCAAACCAACTATCTAGTTAAATACCTAACTTTGAAAATTATTTAGTTGAATTTAAATATTTCTCATTTTAGTTTAACTTATTAAAAGGCCAATCTAGCTTCTGTTATTCCATTATTCTATTTTATACATTTATATCATTTTAATATCTTTAGATTTTATATTTTTTCCTGCTTTTAAGATATCAATATCAAAGTATTTAATTATTTCTCATTAAAATTGAGGAAGATAAAAATTTTACATTATTTTAGAAACTTTAAAATAAGAAAATCTTAACTTAAACAAAAGTTAGTAGAAAAGCAAGTTTGCTTATTTAAAATAGCCATCAATCAATTAAATTTTGCTTTTTTTCTTTTACTTTTAAAAATTTATACTTTTAGTGAACTGAAATAACAGAATAAAATTTGCATGAATTATCCTAATATTAATAAATGATAATTAAAACTAAATTGTTTCAAAATAAAGAATACAACCTACTTTTTTAGAAACATCTTTTAATTATTAATCTTTTGTTAAACTAGAAAAATAAAATTAATTCTTAGGATATTTTTAAGTTGATAATTCATTGTAAGTAAGGAATACTAATTCATTTAAGTAATTTAACTAGAATATTTTTCCCCTTTACTAGAAATATTATATGAATTACTTGTTTTTGATATTTGTTAATTGTATAATTATAATTTATATATTCTACATAAATTTACAGATTGTTTTATTTAAAGCACTTTTATGAGAAATACTCTATATTCACATAAATTGCTAATGTATTGTTATTTTTGGATAATTATAAATATTTTATAATGATATAAATTTAATTAATTGAAATCGGAATTGTATTGTTAGTGGCATGCTTAACTTTCTTCCTTTTGGGGTATCAATGGGCTGAGTAAGAACAAAAGCTTAACTATGATAGCGTATTTGTACTAATTATTTTTTTAGCTTGGATCTGAAGATGATGATAGCTAAGTACATATTTAGTAAATATAGAGAAGCTAGAATAATAGATAAGAGACTATAAATAGAGAGAAGTCTAATATCAGAAATAAATTCAAGAACTAAAAAGGTAAATAGGTATGGCAAATAACAAAAAGAATAGTGATCTATGAACATTATTTGTCATTAATTTAACATGTGGAAATTAAATTCATTTATTATATTAATTGAAATAGTAAAATATGGTAATAAGGAATAATTGGATAATATGTGTTTAATTGCGAATAAATTAATATTAAAGTCTTTTTTAATTGTTGTTCATCTGTTTTTTTATTCTCTGCAAGGAAGAGTAAACGAAAAAGGTTTGTTTCCAACTGAATAGTTTTTTTTAAAGTAAGAACAATTAATAAATTAGATGCCATCCTCTTCTGAAATTCCATAGGCTTCATGTATATGACCAAAAATATGATATTTTGGTTTTATTTATTTAATTCTTTTTAATAATTATTTATCACCAACATGTTCACAAACTTCACTTTTGGACATATCCCCATGGCCATATGGAGGTCCATGCGTTAACACAATATCTGCTTAATCGTTTATGTTCTTCCAAAAATTTTCAGATTCTTTAGGGGACAGTTAAAATGCTCCATTCCAGTATTCTAATGAATATGGACTACCCCATATTTTATATCCTTCGATATCAACTTCTGAATTTTCTAAATAAATAAAATTCTTTTTTAAATAATAAATCTCTTTTTAGAGCTCCGTATATTATTGCAATTCTGGATATTTTTAAGAATCAAAGCTTAAGTCATGATTTCCAGCAATGATGATTTTATATTTGAATCCCTATTATGCGTCAAGCCATCTATTGAAATTTTGAACTTCTTTATAATCCCCTATACAAGTAAAGTCTCCACAGTGTATTAACACATCCCCTTTTTCTAATATATGTGGATGGGAATTATGAGTATCACTTAGACAAACAAATTTTAATCCTTATGGTTATTACATTCTAAAATAATAATTTTTTAATTTCTTTATTGAATGATGTTATGATGATAATAATGCTCAGTCCCAATCAGAATCCATTACACTATAAATTTATTTTTCATATAAAATTAAGACGACTTTTGAGTGCTGATTTAATTTTGATTATTAATTTATATATTTAATGGAGTTGACTTTTGCATAGAAGTATAAATTTACTTTGGATAAGAAAATAGGAATTGGAGCATTCGGTTAAATCTATTTGGGTAAAATAGAGTTCTATAATAGGAAACAATATCAAAACTGGCGAAGAAATAGCAATCAAACTAGTAACTGAAATTCTAATTTTAATAGGAAAACGTGACCAATAACCATTCCTAATTGTTACATGAAGCTAAAATTTATAGAATCTTATTACTTGATGGTCCAGTACCTGGAATTCCAAATTTACATTGGTTTGGATAGGAAGGAGATTTTAATGTGTTAGTCATGGATATACTTGGACCAAGCTTGGAAGACTTGTTCAATTACAATGGAAGGAAATTCTCACTTAAATCTGTTTTAATGCTAGCTGATCAAGTAGATATTAATCAACTTACCCGTAGTTACTAACAAGAATTTCCTACTTGCATAACAAAGACTTTATTCATAGAGATATCAAACCTGAGAATTTTTTAATTGGCCTCAACAAAAAGGCAGACAACATTTATATGATTGACTTTGGTTTGGCTAAAAGATATAGATATCAAAGAACAGGTAAGCATTCATTCAATTCATAGAAACACATATCTAATATGGTGAAAATAATCAATTGGTAGGTACATGTAGGTTTTCTAGTATCAATGCTCATTTGGGAATTGAGTAAAGTAGAAGGGATGATTTGGAGTCTATAGGCTATATGCTCATTTATTTTTTAAGAGGATCTCTTCCCTGGTCAGGAATCAAGACAGAAACCAAAAAAGCAAAGTATGAAAAAGTTGGTGAATGCAAGATTGCCACTCCAATAGACAAATTATGCGAAGGATTCCCTGGTATTTGAATGTATTTATGAATAGAGGAGTTTGTTAAATACTTTAATTACATTAAGAGTTTAAAATTCGAAGAGATACCTGATTATGTTTGGATTAAGCGATTATTCAAAGATCTATTTATTAAGTAGGAATACACATGGGATAATGTATTTGATTGGGCCTAAGAGTCAAAATGAATATTAATTAAAATAAGAAATTAACTATACATTGATATTGATCTATAATTCAACCTGATATTAGAATCAGAGTTACTTGGTTTCCAACCTTATCCCTAATTATCTTAGAATGTCACTTATTACATAAGATAAGTGGGCTTAATTAAATACTCATTATAATTTTTTTGAAAAACTTTAATCATGGAAGAAATTATTTTATCAATTTGAGCCAAGTAGCTTTAAGAATAATAGTAATTACTTATACCTACATCTTTACCCATTCATATAAAATAATAAATTATTATTACAATATTTATATTTTTAAATTACAGAATTTAATTTTTTAAGCCGCATTTCAATTATCAATGAATTTTACTTCTAATATAAGTATCATTTTAAGTGGTCAGAATAAGATTTTTGTTTGTCACAACAATATTTACACTTAGTTTGCATCTTCAGAAATAAAATCTCCTCTCGTTATCCAAAATTATAAAGATAGTTATCCACTACAATATTACAACATGAAGATGATCTAATGTTAACTTTACTTAAGATTATGTTTAATGTCAACAAGGTTGCCAAAAAATACGTACTTTGAGGAACGTAGTCATCATTCTAAGTTTCTTTAAATCTTTTGTCACTAAAAATAATTTTATATAGTATTTTTGTGTTTGGTTGTAAGAAAGGAAAAACAATATATAAACAATGAAAATACTCTTATTAACTAAGTATATTATCAATATCCTATTTTCATAAATAAGTGTGTTTCTTTAATGGCTTGCTTTTTCTCAATATTTTTAGTGCTAACTATTTCTTGAAATTTTGGTACTCGCTCGCCTCCTCTATATATTTGGGGAATGTAATGATTTTATAGCTTTTTTATTAGAGTGTCTCTGTAGCCTAGGTATCGAAATTCATTAAGATTTTAATAATTATTTTCAAATATAATTAGATATGCAATATACTTTAATTAAATAATCACAGCCATAAATTTAAGAAATCATAGATATTGGAATCTAGACTAATGGATAGTAAATTTAATAATTAATTGTCTTCAGAAATTCCTATGAATAAAAGACTTTAATTTTTAAATATTATTACTATTTTTATCCTATTTTATTAAACTAAAACTTTTCTAAACCATTATTCCAAAAAATTCTTATATAAAATTAAATATATTATAAATATATAATGATAACCCTATAGCCAATCTAATCATTAGTTATATAGTTATATTTAACAATAATATATGTGAATGTATTAAAGTAGATAAGTTAATGATAGTAGTGACTATTAATTTTACTTTTCCCATAGGAAATCCTAATTGGCATGCTACAACAATCCGTAAGGCTTGAGCATTCTATTGATGATTGAAATTATTTTTTATTCTTATCCACTTCACTAATTAAATTGACATATCTTAATTCGCACTATTTTTATTCTAATTTATAAATAATATTAAATATAAAATAAAAATATTATTTTTATTATTCGGAAAGCCACGTATATAGTTAATATAACTACTAATTCTTTCGTAAATTTTATTTAACTTCATCCAATAATTTAATTATGTTTAAAATTTTCAGAGAAGTGCAAGTTTTATTATAGAGTATTTGTAAAAAGCAGAGGAAATGCATTAAAAGCTAGCTAAAGCATTCTAATTTAAAATAATTTATCAAATTCTTGTAATATGTCCTCATTCTTAAATGCAATCATAATAAAACTTGAAGTAATAAGTAATTCAGTTAGAAGATGAATCTTATCAAAAATCCTATGAACAAAACATGAGTAAATTCAACAAATGCTTAAAATGAATTGAAGAAATAATTGACTCCTTTTCAAAAGCAAAAGGTTAAATTAATAAACTTTGAAAAAGTTATCTCAGAAACTCAATATAAAGAAGATTTAAATGCTTTTGAAAAAGTCTTGCTTTCATTAAAAAAGGATATTCATGAAATTAACAATAATGATTAATGAAATGGACGGATTATTTTTTTAGCAAAGATCTTAACATAATTAATTTTGAAGAAAGATTTATTTTGTTTACCAATAAGGAGAAAATAATTATGTAATAAATAAGATAATATCAAAAAAAATAAAGAAATATTAATTCATCTAATAATCATTATAAGAATTTCAAAACTAATAGCATTTCTTAATCAAAATTTGCTTAAGATCAAATAAAAAGCTAAGCTAAAGGATGTAGAGAAAGTTCATTAAAGGACATTTAATGGCTGTTTGGTATATTTAATTTATCACTGATGAGGAGGTTAGCTAAAGATTTTTGATGAATCTATAGTACACAACACTCAAAAAATCTTATAATGAATTGAAAAATGTTGTAAATATTGCTTAGAGAATAAGAGAGGAAAAACTATATTAAATTAGGAATACTAAAAGTAAATTAAAAGTTACAAGAGTTTGATAAAAAGAAATTGAATAAAAAATAAGTAATTATAAGGGATTAAAAATTGGATTTATGGAATACAAATTATAAATATTGATTAAATAAGATCATATTAGAATAGTTTATCAGTTTATCATTCAATTAATTTCTTTACTATGAGTATAATTAGGTGATTAAGAGAGACATGGAGTGAATGAATTAATAGCAGTAGATTAAGTGTGGGTATGTGTATGTGTATGCTGAATTTTGGTTAAGTACTAAGATTGATTGGTTTATAATGTTAATAAGGTTCTTGCTGTTAAAGGAGGAGGTTTTAGAAATTAGAGCCTTCTTTTTTTGGAACATAATTTTTTCAGATACTATTCCTTAAATGCTTTAAGTGGTATGTTATTAATTTTATCATATCTTGGGATGAAACCCAATTTTGGAGATTAATATAAATCTTATCCGAATAATGTTGCAATTGCATCCTTTTCTGGATCGCTTTGATATTTCTAAAGGTAGATAGAATTTTTTTCTTCAATCAGAGTTCCTATATCAATTCTCTCTTAAACCTCTTTACTCTTAATCTTGATTGAATTATTTTTAATATCTATGAATTGTTTTACTGTAGTGAATTTTGGTTTTCCAATTCCAGTTACACTTTCCATGTTTTTGGATTAAAACATTTTTCTAAATTTACTTTTTTTATAGTATTCTTCTTTAACCCACAATTTGCATTCTTCAGGAAACTTTTATAAGAATTCATGTTTGTGGATAACCATTACAGTAGCCTCATTAGATAGAACAATGGAGTTATATTCACAACAACCATCTTCATTCATAACTATTTCTTCCCCAAGTAATTACCCCTTAGCTAATTTAATAAGAATGACTATTACTTAGAATACAAATCTTTGTCATTTAATCATTTATCATTTTTTCGATTAGAATATCTCCATATTGAATTAAATAGAAGGACTTTTTTGGAAGTCCGTCTACTGTTAAAACACAGTTTTTTTAAAATTATTCAACATCAAAACTGTATGCTAAATGTTCTAATTATTTTGATGAATAATCTCCTTAGACTGGGAATTTAGTGAATATTAGACTTTTCTTTTCCTTCATTTACTAGATGAATTGTTGTCGTATTAAATCGAAATCGTCTTTTTTCAAGATCAACAAAAATAAATCTTAAGTATAAGCACAAGCTGTTAATGCCCTTGGAACATTCTCCAATAAAGCTCTATCACCAAACCCTTCACCTCTCTTCAATATTCTGATAGTCTCCCCATATTTCTCACTTAAAACTTAAATTTCTTATTGACTTATTTAAACTCTCTCATTTGTCTAACCTTGTATTATATTACCTTTCATTTTATCAGCAAACCTCTTAGAATATGCCAATTATTTGAAAAAGTTTGTGCCAGTAGCATTACCATTTATAGTCTTCCTATATCAATCACAATTATATGAATACTGAGGTATTAATGGAGCAGGTTTGGCTAACTAATTTTGTGGATTCGAAGGTGTTTTTTGAATTTCAGGAGTCTTTTCAATCGTTTATTGCATTTACTAGGGTCTTGACTTCATCAATGCAACTTTCCCATTGAATATTATGTATAATTTGTCGTTTGACTTGTCTCCCTCTTTGAATATTTGTTCTCCTCCTTTGAAATGTTCCATTCTGAATTTGCCGCATAACTAATATAGGGATTTAATGTACATATAATAGACTCTCCCTTTATGTTCCTTTAAGATTCTTCTCAATGAAGGAGTTAAAATATTATAACTGCTGTAATTTGGAATAAATAATCTAGAGGTTGTCAATGGTTGGGTTAAGATGGTTATTCAACAGTTTTTGTAGATTTAGATTCTATTTAATGTTTACACTATATATATACCTCATTCATAAGGATTATAAGTTTTTTTAATTAAATATGAAAGAATCAATATCGGCTTATCTGAAAACTGAACCAGATTCACTCAAAGATCATCTTCCGAGCAAATTTAGGCAAAACATAATCTTTAGTAACCAACGAATTGTAAATGGTAAGAAAGTGACTTACTTGAACATCAAAAAACAAAGTCCATAAAACCAGAAAGATGCTTGGAAGCAAATTTTCGGCAATTTCCTACACGATATCAACTTGAAACAAAAAAAGAAAGGCTTTTCCTCTGAGGCCAAGGAAGTACCTATTTGTAATATGATCACAGCATCTCTAAGATCCATTAGTAAATGAAATTTCTATTCTACTTCCTCGTACTAATAAACAATTCAAATTGGTGTTCTACAAGTATCTTGAAGGAGAATAATCAATTCAGTAATTAATGGAAGTAATTAATTTTCCTCATGTTCATGCTGTAAGCCAATCTAATTTATACAAAAATAGAAGCAGGTTGAGGACTCTAAATCACTATAGAGAAAATTGTCAATAGTCCAAAAAATAAAAAAATTTAAGAATCATGGATACACTAAAACCAATGACTCAACTCCTTTATTGGATATAAACAGTTCAACTAGACAACTCAAAGCACATCAAATACGTATGGTTGATCAAAGAAGATTTACTGAAGCTGGAAAATTATTGGATATTTTTAAAACCAAAATAAATAAAAAGATTTAGGTTTTGAAAGACTTCTTTTAATAAAGAGTACTAGTAAAATCTAAATTTATTTTTTAATTTGAGAAAATCTTTAAATAAAGAACAAAGAGAAGAAGATATTAGAAATATTCATTTTATCAAGACTTTCTTTGATATCACTATTGATTATAATTAACATATACAGTAACAATAAGAAGAACTTAAGGATGATGCTTAATATTTAAAGAAATTAGTACCATGTCAATGAAAACTAAAATAATTATTAGTAAATTATGATAATGTACAACCAATCATCAAACATCTGGAAAAGCATTTTGATCAATTTGATTGCCCCTCTTTGGGGATGTTGAAAAATTAAATGAATCAATTTTCAAAAGATTATTTATTGGAATTGGAATAACAAAATAAATTTAATTTAAATCAGCTCTAAATTAAGTACGAAAACTTTTGGAATAATAGAATATTAAATTTTAATCCGAATCAAGAAAAAACCAAAATTAAGAGCAATTAAAATTCAATATCCTAATCCCCACTCACATTAAAATAACAATAGGATCATTTATTCTAAAGTAATTACAATTATCTACTGATTTTCCATGAGATGTTTATGTGGTTAGTCCCAATTGATTATTATTAATAAATTATAATTTCAAATATATTATCATATAATCAACAATAATATAAGTCAATTTGTTAATTGTAGGATTCTATTTCTGATCATAGGAAAAGGAAATAATTTATCATTACAAAAAAACTTTTCTAAGGGAATAAAAATCTGAAAAATTCTAAAGGTTTGATAACTAACTTTGATGTTAAATTATACGATTACATACACAATAGGAATATATATACATTGAATAAGCAGTATAATATGTTATTTAATGATAGGGTTAAGGAGATGACCTAGAAATTTCATATGAATAATTGGAAACAAATTTAAATCAATTAAAATATCGAAAATTGAAATATCTTTAGAGTGGATCTTTGAAAGCTTAAAAACGAATAAAAACTTAAAAATAAGTAGATGAGATTTCAGATGATTATTCACTTTAATCTATTTATGAAGTGAATCTTGAAGTTTTATATGATCAAACCAATCAATTGACCAAAAAGTTAAAAGAAATGAACGATGCAGGGTTTATAAAAGAATTAAACAACTGATTCGATTAGAGGAAGTGAATTCGTAAATCCTATTTAATTTATATTTAGACAATGCCTTAAGACAAATCTGTAGAAGTTGAAGAAATCCCAGAATTCACTAAACAATTGATAATATGGCTATGTGTTCTCTATTTATTATAAAAAGTTAGTTAGTTGCAGAATAAATTTTAAATTATATCTAATTAACAATGACAAGCAGAGACATGGATGCTCCTCCCTTGAATGAAGACGAATTAAATGAAATTTATAATTGGGTTGATACTATACCTTTATCAAGACCTAAAAGACATATAGGAAGAGATTTTGCAGATGGAGTTTTGATGGCTGAAATAGTTCAACATTACATACCCAGAATAGTTGATATACATAATTATAGCTTAGCTCATTCTGTTTAATAGAAATAATACAATTGGAATACTTTGAATACAAAAGTAAGTATACTAATCCAGATTTATAGGTCTTTAGAAAGATGGGTTTCTAAATTACTTAAAAAGATATTGATGCAGTAATTTCAGTTGTACCTGAAGCAGTCGAGAGAATTCTCAAAGTTGTTTAAGTGAAAATATCAATGTTTTTGGATAACAAGGAACAAAATTAGATTCATCAATAGGAGAGGCCTGTTGAAGTTTAGCAGAATCAAAATAAAGGTAGCAACAAACAGGCACCTAATAACAAATCAAACGAGAAAGATTTAATAATCTAAGATTAGAAGGAAACTATAGAGATTCTAGAACTTAAAATATAAAAATTAGAATAACTTGTAAAGTTAAAAGATAGTAAAATATAATAGTTAATGTAAAAACTCTAATAAGCAGGAATAAAATGATATAGTTACTCTATATATCATTCACATATATTTTAGAAATAGTTTGTCTCGATATTATTTTCACTCGAATCGCTTTTTCCATCATACTATCCATTGCCTAATTGATATTAATTTCTTTTCATATTTTCTTGAATCTCCTCTTCATCAGAAGAGAATGCTTATGACTAGCCTTTCATCTTCTAAAATATCGACATCCTTTATTTTTTTAAGGGTTCTTATATCTCCAAGTTTTTAGTGATCAAGGGAGAACTTTAAGGAGTTGCGTTTGGAGTTCGTCGTTATTTGATCGAATTCATTTCTATACTCATTTGTTGAATAGTTTGCCGTGTTGATTCCGTATTATCATTATCTTCATTATTTGATGTAGTATTAAATGTCATAGTACTGGATTTATTCACTCTTCTCTTAGGTTTTTTAAAAAACTTCTCTTGCTTTTCCAAAGGGTCTGTTTTCATTCGTATACCAAATGATTTTAAATATGCTACAATCTCTTGCTCTTTTTTTATCCATTCGTTTTCTGGATGTTGATTGCTAAGTATGAGTAATTCGACAGACTTGTCAGATTATTAATCACATGTATATAAATTTTGTACATCTCTAAAATTTAAATTTTGCGATATGTCAATTTTTTCTGTAGCATTAGTACATTCTTAAGTATTGAATGTAGTTTCTGATGATTAAAATTAACCTAATTTCATACACTGCTAAGAATGAAATGACGATTGAATTTTATTTATTATTATTAATATCATAATCTATTTTTGATTTGGACTTGTAGTATGATCACAGATTAATTGAAAATTCGATTAGATAACACCTAACTATTATTGATAATTGATTAATTAGAAATATATTAAAATAATAATTGAATATAAATACAGATAAATGTAGATTAGCTTCAATTTAATGTAATGTTTTTAATTAATTAAATAATTTTATACCTAAAAATATAACAGTTAAATTTTAATGAGTTAAAATATTTTAGCATTTTATTAATCTCCTCTTTAAAACAGCATATTATGAAAAAATAACTTAAAAATTTTAATCATTTTATAGAGACATTGACTTTTCTAAATTTAGTTTTTATCTCTTAATCATTTGCTATGTTCTTTAAGAGTCTTTTATTTTAGAGTAACTCCAGCTTTGACATTTTTTCATGCAAACTTTTATTCCTTGATTCTTCAATCTATTTTTTAATATCATCTTAGTTCTATTTACGACTTTTCCTGATTGACTATGAAGCATATAGCATAATAACTTACTTCCTATTTTTCTTACTGCTTCTATGAGAAGTTTAGTAGATCAAGTTGTTATTGAATGAATAACATCTTTTATTGTTCCTCTTCTGATAATTTTTTTTGCTATTTTTATTGGATTTGCAATTACAATTATTCTTTAATCAATTCCATTTTTTGTTTCTCTTTTTATTTCTTTTCCTATTCTTATTGCTTTTCTAATTGTTCTTATTTCTTTAATTATTCTACTAAATATTTTCCTTCGTTTTCCTCCTGCTCTTATTATTTACTAAGCACTTAAAAGCTATAATTGCTCATGAATTATTTAATCTTTTCTTCCCTTTCCTTTTTCTAATTCTCCCTCTTTTCATCCTCTTGAATCTACCTCTATAACTCTAATTGTTGTACCCTCTAATCAAGATCTCTTTATTGTTTCAAATCATCTTAAGCCTTTATAAATTTAATCAGAAATTACCTTTTATCTGAGTAACTCATTCTCCTTAAGTATTTATTAGAATTTTTCCTTTTATTCCTATCGTTTTTTGTTAAGTTCAAGAGACTCTCGATTGATTTCATTTTTTAATTGTTATAAAATTTCATCCTCCTTTAATTTAGACTACATTTAGATCTCCTTTCTAAGATATAATTCTAAGTTGTTTACTTTCTCAGTTTTTCAAGTTGTACTTGTTCATCTCTTAACTTTTTCTCCTCAAATTATTTATGTTTTTATGATTCCTTTTTCTATTTCTCCAATTATTCAAATTCAATTTTACGCTACTAATTTTATTAAGCATATAGTGCTTCCTTCATTTCCTCTTCTCTCTTTTATTACTCCTTTTCTTATAATTGTTTATCCAAATCTTCTTTTAACTTTTATTTCATAATTTATTATTTCTTCTTTGTTTCTAATTACTCCTTTTAATATTTTGCTGTATCATATTTAATAATGGCTGCCCACTCATCTTAGTTATCATCTTCAATCTCATAAATGGACTTCTATCGATTCTCAGAGGGGAAAGATTCTTGTCTATGTATTTCATGGCCAGCCAAATTATTGTTTTGATTATTCTGTTCTTGTGTAAGAGTGGTTATTTAAGCATTTCTGTTATTCTTCTATTTCTTTACATTTGGTAGTTAATCCTTTTGTAACAATTAAGAATTAAGGTTGCTAATAAGACTCGCCATTATCTATTCTTTTTCAGAATCAGACTTCAGTAATGCAGATTTAAGTTCGCTTTTTAGTTATCTTACACCTTGTTCGTTGTAAGATGAATATTTAGATTTATAATCATTTACATAGCAAGTTATTAACTTAGTTAAATAAATTTAATACTCTTCTGTCAATAGGCTTCTAGCCAAAATCATTTAATAGTTTTTCTAAAATAAATTCTGATATTTTGAAATGCTGCTTAGCTTTATCTTTATTGCTTGCTTATTGAGGATTCATATAAATATTTTATAAATTTAGAATAAAATTTAACTATTAACAGTTCAACAAAGAATTAAACTTAATATATATATAAAATTTATCATAGTTTAAGTCCAATTCATAATCATTAATCTAAAATACTGTCTTAACTAATTTCTATTAGTTTACTGCCTTTTAAATTTGATCTTTTCAGTTTTTCTAAATCAATAATTTCTCGGCAATTTGGACATTTATAATTTCCATTACATCTAATTAACCAGTTATAAAGACAGTCAACATGAAATTGATGTTGGCATAGTATTAATCTGAGATCACGCTTTTTCTCTTCCAAACAAATTGAACAAGGTTAATTATTATATTTTTTTCCTTTTTCTACTTTTTTCATGTATTTTGTTAAAAATTCCATTGAAAGAGTAATTTCTTCCATCGGAATTACACGTAAGTCATGTTATCTTCTATTAAGTCTACGTCTAATGCAGACAATCAAAATGATCAACATGATTATAAATACAGCGATTGAAATTGTAACAAATAGTATTATATTTAAGTTAGCATCATTAGATTCACTAGATGAAATTGAAGTAATATATAAATTACATCTTACTTCTTTCTCTGTTACTAAGCTAAAAATCAGACGATTAAATCTAAATCAAATGCAAAAGTACCTCAATAGATTTGAATTGTAAGATAATTTTGAGACATCGAACTTTATTGAATTAGACATGAGATCTTTTGTAAAAGTGAAATTCGTATAATATTGAGTTGGAGCGCCGAATATATAATTCTCAAACATGTAATAAAGTGTGACTTAAGTGATCTCTTAGTAATAATCACTTTCCAAACCCATTTCAAATACAATCTTTTCTAATTATGTAGGTTATTAAAAATAAAAGTATTTAGTCCCTAATATTGTCATATTTTCAATCTTCTCATCCAATTTTATAGCCTCACTCTCTTTAGAGCAATCTAAATCTATTCTATTCTCGTTGCATGAACATATCCCATCAACACATTTACCTTAATCAGAAGAACAATTGTTGGGACACGGTTGGTAGGGTAATTTTCTTATTTTAAGAAAGTATTAATATGTGCGTCTATCACTTCCTATTAAATTAGTTAAGAAAAACTTATCTCCTGTTTTAAAGGAATTAGATGGAATGATGATGTTATGATAGTTTTTATGGAGATAGAAACCGTTATAATCGGTGTATGTAGTTATGATATTAGAGTTTTCCAATTTGGTTAATTGATTTCTCCCCACTGCCATAAGGAAGTTCACATCTCCCTCTTTGGGATATGAAAATTATATTCTAATTATTACTATTATGTTACTCTAAAAATATATATCTAGGAATGTCATATGTATCTACTGTCAAGTAGAAAGTAGCATTTTTCACTTTTTGGGTTACCATATATTCACTACTTTCCAATTCAAAAAGTTCCCCACTGTCCATAAAATCTACGTCTACATTAATTATTGACAACATATAGTATTGAGATAGAAATAATACTAGATATTAGAACATAGGGTTTTAATTTATTTATTATATTAGTATCGGAGATTGATATATAATAAAAACTAACTATTATTTATAAAACATACTTCAATTCAGATTATGTATTAATAATGGAAAATTGTAATTGCTTAAATGATTTAGAGAGGACATTATACCAGACTCAGTCAACTCTTAACGAAATCAAAATTTATTGATAACTTTATTCATCAAGAATATATTATTATTAATTTTGCGCGACGTTAATTATTTTAACGAATAAATTATGGAAATTAAATACAACAGATCTCTAAGTGGAGTACCAGATAATCAATCATAATAACCTCTCAGAAGAATAACCAAAACCTATATTGAAAAGAGAGACCCTGTAAGAAGGAATTTAACTTAATTGTACAATGAAGGTAAAAATGATATCTAATTGGAATCAAGACACCCAACAAATTAATAAGTCAATGCTTGGCAGTAATAACGACTTAAAGAGAAAATAAGAAAGAGTCAAGCGATCTCTCAATTAAGACGTTCTAGAAGATAAGGAGAATATGCCTTAACACAAAGCCATCACAACTAAAATTTATACTCTCCCCTAAGAATTCTCTGCAATTTCAATTAAAGAGAAATTTGATCTTACTGTTTAGGAAAATTAGAATCTCTAAAAATTATATACAGATGATATATTTTTCTACTTAAAAGAGCAAGAAGTATTTATGATTTAAAATTTCACTAGAAAAAATCAACTCCTTTAGAATGGTTAAAGAATCACTCAGTTCCAAGCAATTTGAGAGCCAAAATGATTGATTGGATGGTCGAAGTGTTATGTTCATACAAATGCTCAGATTAAACATTTTTTGTAGCAGTAAGAACAATGGATTTCTATTTTTCAAAAAGCATCAAACAATTAGAAGTATCAGATTTACATCTAAGTGGTGTAACCTCTATGTTTATTGCTGCAAAATATGAAGAAATTCACCCTTTGAAATTATCTGTTGTTCATGAGAAGATTGCTCATAAAAAACTATCCACAGATCAAATAAAAAAGAAAGAAAGTGATATTTTGTAAACTATAGGTTTTGATTTGGTTGGTGGTACTCTTTATGATATTTATAATCTAATACTAACAAATTGTTTTATTGAATAAAGACTACAAGAGAAAAACTATAAATATCTCAAAAAATTATGTTTGTATCTCTCTAAAATGGTACTGTATGATTATGAAATTTGCGGTAAAACTAACTACACTGTATTGGCTGCTGCTTCCATTTTCGTTGCATTTAAAATAATAGAACAATTAGATACTAGTTTTAATGCTGATAGTTAAGTATAATTTTATATTAAATTATAAGATTAAAGATGTTGCTTAAATCATTTAAGTTGACCCAGATTAGTTAATAGAAACTGCAGCCAAAGTCTTGAATCTAGCCAAAAATTTTGAGAAGCATTTTCCGAATTTGGAAAATTTAAAAAAATTTAATGGATTTTAGTTAGAAGATGATGAATAATAATGATGTAAATCTATGTTTGTTACTTTTATTTAATTATAAGTGGCCAACAAAAAATATTTCTAATGTACTTCTATATTTTAATAAATCAATCAGCTTTTTTAGTGCTTTCAGTGGTGTGTTTCTCACCCTTTCCTTTTGTTGAAACCTTGGCTGAGGCCTTTCTTGCTAACAATTATTTTCTGTCTTCATTGAGGTAGGGTTTTGTGATGATGCATTATGATGGTCTGATTGGGATTTAGTATGGCATTCCTACAATAACAATTATTAATTTACCATTGGCTTTTGTTCTTGTGAGTTTCTCGATCTAAATAACCCATCTCTTTCTGTAAACCGATGAAACCTTACCCTTTGTACCCTTATGTGTGCCTACTCTCAATTTATTATTATACCCCTAACAACTGTGACTTCATCATCCTTTCTTACAGGTAATGCTCTAACATTGTATTTCTTTCTTAAATCCTTTGAAAGATGAGCACTCATTAATTTATATCTAAGGTTTGATGGTGCTCCCAATTGGGCTCTTCTGCCCTTTCTTCTTTAACTTGAAACTTCGACATGGGTTTTCATTTTGAAAAAGATTTAATTAAAAATAAATTTTTTGCTTTTTTCTTAGTACTTTCATGCAATATATTAAAATTCAATAAATTCTTATAGAAATAATCTAAATGGTTTAACATTCAAAACAAAGAGGATGTTGCAATCCAATATGTTAGGAAGTTATACAATACTTGGTAGTTAATAATTTAACATAAATTAAATAAAAGTCTATATTTTTGTTAAAATTACATTTATCACACCTTAAAGGAATTAAAATTCTTATGACTTGATGATATTGGAATAAATTCAAATTATTAATTTCTATTCCAAATAACTACAAAGGGATTTAAAGAATATTTAATTGATTTCATAAAATTAGTATTAAAAACTTACAGAAATATCAATGCTTGAAATTCTACTTACTTTTAGTATTATACCCAATTCATATGTACGATTCTACTCAAGATTCTGTTTCTCCATACCTATTATAGGTTATTATATGTTTAATTAATCCAATTTAATTTAATCAAGCCAATAAAAAGTAAGCTTTATTTGGCTTTTAAAATTTTGAATTACTGGAAAGAATGGTGAGATATCAGGAAAGACAGAGAGGAAGAGCTGATCCAAACGATTATTATAATGATAATCACTATTAGGAATTTATTTGAACTCAATAAATAGTAGGAAAATGAAAATGCTGCTTAAGCAAAATGTGTAAGAAAATGATTCAAAAGAAAAGAACCATGTGTTTGGAGAAAGTTAAGGTAAATTAATTAATCCTTAATAAAAATAAAACTCATGCACCAAATCCATAGAGAGTTCTTCCTTATCTCTTTAATGAGTAAACAACATCCATAACAGTGACTGTCTTTCTTCTAGCATGCTCAGTGTATGTGATAGCATCTCTGACAACATTTTCCAAAAAGCTCTTTAAAACATTTCTTGAGTCATCATAGAGGAAAGATGAAATTCTTTTGACTCCTCCTCTTCTAGCTAATCTTCTGATAGCAGGTTTAGTGATTCCTTCAATTGAAGCCTTATTTGGTTTTCTAGCATGTCTTTTAGCACTAACTTTGCCGATTCCTTTTCCTGATTTTCCAGCCATTTTTCTTTATTTTGAATTAAATAAAGATAATTAAAAAGTGGAGGTTGTAAATGGGATCAAAATCCAAATAGTGCCAAAATTAACCAATCAAATTTTTCTTAAGAATTTCATTTTTATACTGTTGTTTAATAATTATATGCGCCATTCTTTTTATTTTAATTTATTCAAATAAATCATAATAATAATTCTCCATCACTTACTAATTTTATAATTATTATTTAAATAATTCTCTCATCTATTTTTGAATAATTATTAAGTATTTTAATTAATTATAAATATATTAATGAGTTTCATTTCAATATTATCGAGTGAATTTGATTCACAATCCATATTTATAGAAGCTATTCATTAATCAAAAATTTAATATAAATAAGTATGATGAGTATGTAGATGGATAATAATAGTTAAATAATGAATTAATAAATAATATTGATAAAATTAAATGATACTCATGCCAATCCTCTTTCTTTCATAACTTCCAACATAGTTTTACCAATTTAAGCAGGAGATTTCACAACTCTGATTCCTGCTTATTCAAGTGCTCTAATTTTTTCTGGGGCACTTCCCTTTCCCTCTAAAAAATGAATAATATAGTTATATTACTAGATACAATAGCTCCTGCATGTCCCATTCTTCTTTCAGGAGGTGCAGTGATACCAGCAATGAAACCAACAACTGGTTTATTTTTGGGATTATTCTTCTTAATCCATTCAGCTGCCATTTCTTCATTTTCACCACCAATTTCTCCAATCATAACAATTCCTAAAATGAATAGAATTAAAAATGTACCTTCAGTTTCTGGATCAACCATGAATCTTTCTAAAACATCAATAAAATTAGTTCCATTGAATGGATCACCACCAATTCCAACAACAGTTGATTGTCCTAATCCAGCTCTTGTAGTTTAATCAACAGCCTCATAAGTAAGAGTACCAGATCTGGAGACAATACCAATTTTTCCATTTTAATGAATGTATCCAGGCATGATACCAATTTTGCATTCATTTGGTTTAATGATTCCTGGACAATTTGGCTAAATTATAGACAATATGAACATACACCAATGACACGAGTAACTGATTAAGATCTCAATGCATGTTTGACTTTAATCATATCATGTTATGGGATTCCATCTGTAATAACAACCTTTTACATACATATAGTAAAATTACCACCAAACCAATTTAGGCTTCGATTGCTTCAATGATAGCTGCAGCAGCTGTAGGAGGAGGAACATAAATAACTGAGGCATCACATCCTGTGTTTTGCTTGGCTTCTTGACAATTCTTAAATACAGGTAATCCTAGATGAGTGCTTCCAGCCTCTATTTTATTGATTCAATTCTTACTCTTAGGTGACACTCCACCAACCATCTTTGTGAAATAGTTTAATGCTTATTCTGTTTAGAAGGTACCCTATTATTATTTAATATCAAGCAATACCTAATTACCAGTGATACCTTAACAGATCACCTTGGTATGTTTGTTGACCCACACTTAAGGAGCTGTGGTCGATGAAAATGCACGAAAGATTTATCTGCCAATCATTTATTTTATTTAATCAATATTTATTAATCTTAAATTAATCTCTTTCTCAAACTAAGCAGCATCATTCTCATTCTTTTCAATACTCTTAATTCAATTTATTTCTATAGTAATTCTAAAACATCATTGATTCACCTCTTGAATACCAAATTTTATCTAATTATTAAATGAGATAATATTAATCATAACCATAAAAGTCTCCTTCAAACAGGGAAAAGAGCAACACTGTGTTTACCTAAATGGATTCAGTTGAAAATTGTTACTCAAATGAAAATAATTAGCATGATCAATATTTCAATCAGATTATCTAAATGCTCTAAAAAAGATAAGAGTTTTAAGAATAAGAATACAGAATTAAAGTAGCCTCTTTAGAAAAAAGAATTAAATACTTAATTTAAATCAGCTCCTAACTAACACAATAAAATACTTAACTAAAATTATAATATGCGGATTTGGTCAAAGAATATGACATTATGAAAGACAGAATTATTAATTATGAGGCCAATATGAAAACGAAAAATTCAGAACATTCATTGAGTTTAGACGAAGTAACTAAATTAAAAACCGAAAGAGAAAAACTCCTAGGATTAGCAAATAAGTATCATGAAAGATCAAAAATTAGAAAGAAGCAAAGTATTGAATAGGAAAAAGCTATCACGATTTTACAAAAATAAGTTAATGATTTACACAAGGATAACCTTATTTTGGTTTCCGAAAAATAAAATTTATTATTGCAAAGTTAATATAACCCTTAATTTCCAAATTAATAATAAAATATATTGCAATAGGAAATTGTAGGGAAATAATAACACCATATTGATCTATCAAATAAAAATGAGATACAATAGATTATCAAGCGATTCTTGAATGATTATTGCATTCATCTCACCTATATCAACAATGAGACCAATCAATTGATTGTTCTACTAAAAGAATATCATGACATCAATCTTGATCTTAATAATTAATCTAAATGTAATAAGCTTGTAAAACAATTTGATTCGTTAATTAATAAATATAATCAAATGTTAGAGCAACATAACAAATTTCAATACTAATTTAATATTTCTACATAAGACACTTTATTATTAAACAATAATAATAATTATTATTAGAATTAGAATTTTTACAACAATAATAATAATGCAAATAATACTATTTTAAGTAGCAAATTAAACAGCTATAATAATTTTTATCAAAGCAATGCTAAGTAAGACATTCTTAGAACCAGCAAGTTTATTAAAATCTAATAAATTAATATGTTCCTAACACAAATTGTTGAATCATTTATTATCTATATTTTTAGAGTTAGAAATCTAAATCATCAAATTCTCCAATCAGACCCAACTCATAATGAATAGAAAACTATTCTAAAGAAAACCATAATTATGATTATTGCAATAATAAGAATGCAAAAGAAAAAAAAATATCATGATTATAAACCAATGGTTATAGAATTACCTATTGAGGAGACTATGTATTAATTACTAGAAATAATAAGTACTTAATAACAATTAATAGAGAAGTTTTAGGAGTGATTTATATTTCATCGTAATTATTCACTAATCTTTAATAGTAACATATCAATGTTTTTATGCAATCTCTAAACTATTTGATTCATTTGGTAGTTCAATTATATAGTATATTTTTCTTATGGGGATTGTGTTTGTACCAATTCGGCTAAAATCTTAAATTTATGTTCAATCTTCTTAATTTCACTTAAATATTTTCTTTTTGTTCCTGCCAATTAATAATTGAGTGATTTAGCCTTTTCTGAATCACAATTAATCAATTCTTCAAGAAATCGTTGTGTATTTTGATTTTCATATAAATCAAGCTCTTCAATAAAAGTTTCTAATTCTAATAAATTTATATATAGTAGCTTATTATTGTCTAGATTAATATTCTAAGATTTAATTTTATTAGTAATCTTTTACTTCACTTAACTGTTAATTACATAATCTAAATCGCATCGCAATCCATTCATTTCCTAGATTTAATCAAGCAAATACTTTATAAATATTTTTATATTCTTATTGCACATCTAATTTAACAGTGTTCATGTTCTTTTTAAAGGTGTTTTCAATTTAAAGAATTTCAGGACGTCTAGGTTATGTTTTAGAATTCAAAATCTAGTTGTCCATCTCTATCATCCTTGTTTCGAGTTATTTAATTTGATAAGATAATTAAGAAGTATTTTGCTTACTAGATTTATGCTTCCCACAATTTTCATAATCATCTATTCTGTTTTATAAAAGGTGGATTTATTCTTCGATTCTGTGAACCTCTTCAAATAGTTTAATCTATTTCATTAATCCATCCTATTCATTAATGATTTTATTGATGTTATCTATGTTAAAAATACATGTTACTCTCTAAAGTTGTTATTTTTGAATTTGCCTCCGTTTCCTAATTTAACTTTGCATCACTTACAAATTGCATTAAAGAAGAAAAAATTTAACGTATATTAATTATCAATTTAGTAAATTTAGAAGAACTAGTCAAATAAAGGGTAATTTCAAACTAATAAATCATTTCGCAAAAGTTTATGTTTGAGAATTCCACAATACTAAGGCTTTCAATATACTATTCTGCAGAACAGATGATAAACAAACAATTTTATAATTCAGAATTATAAACCAAGAATTCATAGAATAAGAAGGATGATAGATTGGAATAAAATATGGTACTTTTATTTTTAATGTGTATTAGGGATCAACTTACAACATTGTGTAGAGTTTATACTAATTGATTCTCATTAACTTTTAGGATAAAGGTCACTTAATCTAGTTTAAATATTAATGATTAATACTTGCTTGTGGGTCCTTGTCTAACCATTTGACTGAGACCATTCCTCTTCCTTCTCCTTCTAAAATTACATTACAAGGTCTCTCAACAAATTCTGTGATGATATCTGGCATGGTGGCTGCGAGAATGCATAATGGATCTTGGATATCATATCTATTATTGGCAGTTTTCATTCCTTCATAAATTTCTTTGACGAATTTGCCTTTAATAGTTGTATCCTATTCAAAGACTGTAGCAATCTGATTATAAAGGAGATGATTACTGTGAATTCTGAAACTGAGATAACCCCTTCATAAGGTATTACAATTAGCTTCTTAGCTAAAACCTTAAAGACGAGATGAGCAGCTTCTGGATCTGTGTGAACATTATATTCAGCTACTCCATCATTCATAAATCCCAATCCTAAAATATTTCCGCATAAACCAATGACCAAACCAATATTTTCTTCAAAATCTACAGTCTTCATCATTGCACATGCTACATTTGTCAAAGCACCTAGACAAATGATTACTAATTCTTCCTTATATTTCAAAGCGCTTTCTATCAAAAAATCAACAGCATGTTATTGTTAGAGTGGATATTGCTATATGTTGAGTTCCTTTAGATATTTTTCTTAATGGCCACTTAATCCATCATCACCAAAGAATTTCGAGCTTAAAGTTATTCTTTATTTTAAGTTTCTATCACATCCCTTATAAATTGGTATATTCACTCCTGCGATTTTTTAGACAATTGTAATATTCTTGATCCCATCATCTATCTAAGAGTTTCCACTATTATATTAGAGACAGAGAATACTTAATGCAAGTGATACCTATTATTTCGATATTTTTCTTGGCTGCCAAATCAAATGCTGTCAATAACGCATGTATATCATCGCCTCCAGAATCTGTGTCTATAATCATTTTCGTTCTTTGCTTCAAAAGCTTTTGAGGAATACCAAATTGATGTTTGATGAATGATGGTAGCGAAATCATTTATAAATATTATTTATAATACTAATTTAATTTGCCTTTGGAGTGAAGATTTTTGTTATCAAATTTTAATTTTTCCTCTTCACTCTGTCCACACTCGATTTTGGTCTTAATAGAGTCTTCTTCATTACAACTACATCATTTATTCGATCTTTCTCTTATATTATTGGCTTAATAAAATCCATTACAAAATTAATTTTATCTTCAATGACTAATTTAGGTTTATGGAAGGATTGTTTTAAAGAGGTACTTTTCATTTTCAATTAATTTTCATTACTGCTAAATAGAATTCTTCTTACTTTTTTACCCCGATATTACGAATTAGTGTTGCTAACATTTTAACATGAACGTAGATGTTATAAATCAAGATCTTATCCAGATATTATCCAAGTCTATTGTTTTAACTAATCCCAAACCAAAATGTGAATATGTTCAAAATAGCAACCTGCACACCATTTCTTAGTTTCGCATCTCCAAATATTTAGCAAAAAGTTTTTAAAATTTTATTATACCTCCTTATTTGATTACATTCCTTATATCAAACAAATGTATATACATTATTGACTCTATTTAGGAGTTATGTAGAGTAATTTAGTTTATTTTAATTGCTAATCGCATTTGAAACACAACTATCCTTTTGTTGTAATGTAACCGCTCTCCATTTCTGCAATCATAGTTTTAATGTCCATAAAAGTTAAGGTGATTTCACTTTCTGCCTGTTGTAGTAATTTTATTTCTTTAGGAGATTAAGTAAAATAGAAATCCCTTTGCCCTAAAATAGACCATAAGTCAACACTCCCAAAGATTGGTAAAAATTCATCTTCAGTAGTACAAGTACCATGTTCAGTTTTTAGTATTGTTCCTTCTGTTTTACATCTCACTTCAGAACGTGATTTCAAATTGATTCTGCATATATCTAATGGTGTTGTGAATTATGTATGAATTCGTCTACTGTGAATAGCAGAAGGTAAACGAAGGTCTAATTATTTCATTCAATTTAAATAAAATTAAAATTTCTTGTTTGAGAATCATCATTTTATAACATTCGATAAACTTTTTAGTTCTACAGTATTATTATATGAAGGGAGATTCATCAAATATTATAGTATTTTTATTAATATAATTCTAACTTTTATTCCAGCTATCTCTATCTACTAATTATACTTCTCTATTTACAAATTGATACTACATTTATCATCTAGAAAGGTATGATACAATCTGATAAAATTAAGTAAACTTAATAAAAGTATTAAATTTTACTAAGAAAATCCAATATTTACTTTAGATACTAAATATTATAAATCAAAAATGGAATTATTTGAGCATTTTATGATATTGAAATAATCATGCATTTTCTTTGAATTATTTGGATGGATAATTTTACAATTAGTGGCACATATTATTAAATAATAAAATATATATTTAAAGATCTTCTCAATTAAACTAATTTAATAAGAATAGAACTTATTAAAGTATTAATACAAAGCATTTATTGATACTCCTAAATACAATTGATTTTTACAAAAACTATATATGATTTAATTGCAGTAAAATGGGTAGCAATATAACAAGAATCTTATAAATGATACTTCTCTTTATTCCATAAATTTATAAATTTTGGTAAAAAAAAGAGTGAAGTTTATTTTTCAATAATATTAAATAGTGATTAATTAATTTAACCAAATGGAGAAATTTAGAGCATATGCTGATCCTCATACCGGAATCAATTTATTTGTACCTGCCTTTGTCAATTAAAAGTTATCCCCACTTATTCTGCTACTACATATTGTAATTATTTTATCATTATAGTAATTAGATTCTAGGATTTTTATTGATTTTAATTAGAATTCCTCTATTGGCTATTCTGATTTTCTTATTAATAATTTTGAATACTTTGAAAATAGGCACTCTAAATTCATTAATAGGTAAATTGATGTTGTTTACTTGCGGATTTTATAAAGTTGAAAATTAGATTCCAATTCAGGATAAAGGTGGATAACTCATATTGGCAAATCATTCTAGTCCAATTGATTGGATTTATTTCTTAGCTTAATCATCGCCAAACTTCGCAACTTTCGTAGAATGTGGTGAAGAAATTAGATATCAAATTCTATCCTTAAATTAAGTGATTAAGAATTTGTTTTCAATTAATATAGCATAAAATGGAACTGGATTGCAATTAAACGAAGTGATATTTTAAAATAAGCCAACCTTACTGTTTTTTGAGGTATTTCATTATATAATTATATTTATCTAGGGTTGTTAAACAAATTAATTGGGAGTATTGTCACCACCAAAATAAATGATTGCGGAATTACAAAAACTTGGATAACCTATTGTAATTATTAATATAACAATAGAACATTTATATATTAACATATCCTGACAGATCTATATTTACTCCTATCAATACTACAAGGAATGGATTTTGGCACTTTATATTATTGTTAACAAATATTTGGAATAATTTAAAGGTTGTCAGTCAAGAATTTTAAACCTCTAAGGACTATTAGAAGCTCATAACTAATTTTTATGAATGTGAAGGATTAAAAATAGTATTTTATCATTTTATCCCTTAGATCCATTAAAAATACTCTGTGTAAACTGAATTTTTAAGCTATTTTTGGAGAACTTAGAAAGGAAATTATGTTAAATAAGATTGAATATGCTATTTATATTTTACAATAATTATAAAAAATTTAATTCTAATATTGAAGAAGAAAATAGAATTTAAGATTTTAATTAAAAAATTTGTTAAAATAAAAATCCTTCCGTTCATTTTCTAAATTATTAGCAAAACTTCTCATAAATACAATATTTAATCAAAAAAAAAAATAGTAATTAAGTGAATGGTATTTTAGGAATTACAAAATAATATTCATAAGGGCAGTTAATATTTTTATTAATTTGTATTTGTAAATATTCCTTTAAATAAAAATCTATTTTATAACCATCAATTAATTATGATTTATTAGATTATTAGGGAAATAATTTCAATGGTGTTTTATAGAAATTGATTAATTAAATAAAAAATAAGTGATTTAAAAAATATAACAAATCATAAGGAAGTGTTATTAGAAAGTGGAAATGAATATATTAGTATTTATTATTATTTAAATTTGATTAAAAATTAATGAACAATCATTATGAACCATATGTTAGAAATAAACGAGATTTAAAAGTTCCATACATTTCATGCTAAGATTACACAAACTTAGAATAGGCAGCAAAATTGATACCTGCTTTGAAGTAAATAAATTAGAGTGACAGACATTTGGCAGATGCTGCTAATGCACATACATACATTCTTCGTAGTAACAATGATGATGATATTCATAAGGTAATAAGTATAAATATTAGAAAATAGTCTATAAAATATGGAATTTGGACATCAAGCAAAGAAAACAATGAGAAATTGAATGCAAAGTATTTGGAAGCACAACAAGAAGGAATTCCAGTTTATTTGTTTTTCAGTGTAGTTAGAAGTGGTCAATTTGTTGGAGTGGCCAAGTTGACATCTGGATATAAAGAGGAGAGTTTCCAATATTGGTGGGAGATAAAGAAATGGAAGGGACATTTCAACGTGTAATGGCTGTATGTAAAGGATGTACCAAATAAACATTTTGAGCATCTGAGAAACAGGTTAGCATTTAATCATAACCATGAATAGTGATAACGTAGAGGTGACTAGATCAAGAGATGGCGTATGTCTGAGTTGGGAAACTGGAAAGGAGATGATGAAAATATTTGAAGAGTTTTCCGATAAAAAAAGCATATTGAATGATTTCACAGTGATCGATGAGAGAGAATAAGCGTTGAGATAATACAAATATTAGATGCAGCAGTAACGCAATCAACAATAATACTATCCTTATTATCCATATCAATATTATGATTACCAATAATAATACCAATAGTACCCTCAACAATATCAATAGTAATAATATCAAAATTATTATTGGTAACAACCTTAGAAGTGATTTTATATATCAAAGATTGTTAAAGTTTCACCATACACATAAAACAATAAAATTTATATAAATAAAATGAAAATGGAGAGAAGTCTCTATCTAAATGGCAAACCATTGATAAATCCTCCATTGACTATTGAAGAACAATTGAATGAAAGACTTGATAGAACAGGATACAAAATTGATGATTTGAATAGATTGAATGAAAGGCCAGTTTTACAAATTGTACTTATTCAATATATGGACTAGATAGATCTTGATGGTCTTACTTCTGGTTACTTGAACAACAATCCCGTATTTTAGATGTTGAAGCAGGAAATAATGAATTGGAATGAAAAGGTGACACTTCATAGAGCTGAACAAATCAAATTATCAGATCCATTAGTTTCTGACAATCTTTATAGATAACTCAAGAATTCCCTACTAGAAGTAGTGAGTACAAGGAACAAAATATAATAATAAGCTTTCTTAAACAAAGTATCCAATTGGTTCTTCTCTTAATTACCAAAATCTTAAACTGCATCATTGAAACAATCTCTACTGGAGAAAAAAGACACTGTATTTTATTTATCACTATTAAAGACTCTTCACTTTATTCCTAATACATACAGTGAAAATTTCTATGCCTCTGGAATCGAAGATTACACACTTAAATTTCGATCAGTCCATCCAGAATTCGATCCTCCAGAAGATAGAGTTAAAACCTATCAAAGAAAAAACCTATTATCAGATACTAGTACTCGTCCTGGAACAACACCAGGAGTCTTAGGAATTTCGCAATTTACAAGACCTTAAACTTCTTAAACTACTTATAAAATGATTGATCAAATCGAAAAACTCTAAAGACCAAAAACTAACTAATTACATACGATTCCAAAATAATAATAATCTTGGATGTACGATCCGAATTTTCCAGTCTTATAACCTAATGATGATTAACAACAACAGTCTACCAGAAGATAGATATAAAGGGAAGAGTCTCCTTTAAAAGCTGACAAACCAACTGATAGAGATAAATTAGAGTAAATTGAAGGCATAGAACAAGAACAAGAGGAGGATGAAGATTAATCACCAGACAAATTAGAAGAATCAAACAAAAATTTAGCATCTTAACAAGATATCTCACCAGTAAAAAAAGGTAAAAAAGGAAGAGCTGATAAATATATTAGTATTGCTCCTTCAAATAAAACCTATAAAACTGATTTTGAGACCTAAAATGCCTATTCAGTTGGATAGCAGGGTAGATTAGGAGAATTTTAAGGTACATTTCAAAATTATGATCCTACTCAAATTGAAGATAAAATGGTAGCAGCTAGGCTTAATTAATATTATACTGAATAAAGAGTTAAAGAAGTCAAAGAATAGAGGGAAGATATTGAAATGGTTTAATCAATGAGAAACTGGGCAACTAATAAAAGTAGAGTTGACGAAATGGTACTTCAATCTGAATATGTATTTATAATCTATAATCTTTATTAGTTAACTGCAATGGGATCACAATTTTCGAATGTTGGAATTAAAATTTCTGATTTGTATGAATCTAAAAAAATGGATTTGGCAGAAGAAAAAGCTTATGCCAACTATCTTAAAAGATCCTCTCTACCAAAAGCGAGAATGGTACAGAGTGCTGTACCCATGGCAAAGGTAGTTTAAAACACTGTCATTCCAACTTAAGTGGAAGAAGAGCCAGAAGATTTTTAAAGCAAATAAGCAGATCTTGAAAAATAAATTAATTCATAAAGACTTCGCTTGTTGAAGATGTCTAGAGGATCTTGTCTACCAGGTGGACTTATGAATAATCCTAATGAAGAAACCATTTAAAGTAATAGGGTGATGTCTTCTAGTTGCTTTAAAAGTGCTTAACCTAGAAGACAATTTAGTTCAATTTTAAAAACACATAGTATTAAGTAGGAAATGGACTCTTAAGTAAAAATAATTCTATTAAATTTATTTAGATTGGAGAAATTAAACAATTAAAAAATAGATTAGCGTCTGCTAATAAATTTGTTCCAATTAATATTCTTTAAAAATCTATCATGATACCTTAAGGACATGCAAATCCGTATAAAGTACCTCTACCAAAGCCAGGAATTCTCTTAGCGAACGTTCCAGTTGATTCAAAATAAAGAAAAGGTAAAAAAAAGAAAACATAAAAATGATTAAAATATAATTTGAATCTAAATAACTAATATACGTTTTACTTTGGTTAATGAAAAACATACTCATTTATCTTCTAATTTAATATTTTATAGGTTCTTTTGGAAGTTTGAAAAGTACATAAGTAATTTGTTGATTTATATATCTAAGCAAATGTATTTCTGTCTTATTTAACAAATATATTAAAAAAGGAGTTGATAATTACAACTTTTGATATATCTAAGAAAGAAACTTTATTTGTTCAAACTTGAAACATAAATGAAGAGTGTCAAAATCATAGGTCTATCATTAGTGACATTTTTCTGTTTCTAATATGTAATCATTATATCTTAGAATTAAATCCTTTACTATTAAATATGCAACTGGAATAATTATTTATTTTAGGATTGCTCAGAGAATTAATATAACTAATATTTTAAATCCGCATAAAAAGAAGAAACAATTTGTTTAAAATTTGTTAAATAAAGTGTATAAATATTTTTATTTGTTACACCTATTTGAATATATATTTATCAGAAAATAAAAGTGAGATTTCAGAAATTTAGTGAATTAATAAATAATTTAACAAATATTTTGAATGATTAGAAATTTAAGGAGTTAGCGAGGCAAAAAAGATTAATCTCTAAAAAAAGACTAGATAATAATGTGTAAGGAAGAAACTGAATATAAATTGTATAAATTATTAGAAGATTGGATTGTTAATGAGGAGAAAGTTAAAGTTACAGAATTAATTAAGTTTGAAGGAATTAAAAGAAATAAGTAGTAATACAAATGCTAAGGACATATGACATTTGATTGCTAAAATAAATGGTATCTATAATTAGTAATTTGAGGATTTTAATTGAAGGAGTGTCAATCATTAATTCTGATGAAACCCTCTATATTGTAGACTTAGAAATATATTCATAAGCAATTCGTAGTTTAATAAACGAGGAGAAAGCAGTAATCGAGAGAAACTAAAAATATTATGATGATAATGATGACAATGAGGATGAGCTGCCTAAAAAAAAATCAAAGAAAAATATCAAATAAAATGAAGAATTTAACGCGAATTAAGTTGAGGAAGATGAAGAATCAAATGATTCATATTCTTCAGCCGAAGAAGATCCAGTTCCAAAGAAATAAAGATTATCAAGAAAAAAGGAAGAAAAAGATTAAAAGAAAGGAAAATAAAAAAGCAAAAAATTTAGAGATATATATAAAAACCTAAAAAAAGAGTGTGCTTAATTTGAAGGAACTGAAGATCATTTTTTAGATCGTCTAAGTATAAAAGCCAACAATAAGGAAGTGATTCGAGCAGCATAAACAGGAAATAAGAAATTAATGGAAGATATATTTGCAAAAAAATGGAAAATATCTTGTGCCTAAGATAGTTGGGGACCAGAATTAGATATAACACCAGTTGAAATTTTATTAAAAAGACAAGATAAAGAATTATTATCATATTATCTATAAAACAGAAGTAAAGTTGTTTATGGTCATAATCAACCTTGCACATTAAAAGAAATTAATACAGGCTATAACAATAGATATGCATATGGTGTAAGATTACGAAAAGTTGCTCTAGGCAGAGGAAATAGGGAGGGAAATAATGCATTTGTCTATGATTTAGGTAATGATAAGCCGGATTATTAATTTTAAAAATTATTGGAAATTGAAACCGATCCTTAATTGTATGAATTATTTTTCCTTCATTGCAAAAATGAAAATTATGAAAGTTAATTAATTGAAAATGTTTCAAAGGCTGTTAGATGTGGAAATTGGAAGACTGCTAAATTTTTGATTAATTACTCTATAGCAAATAATGAAGATGGATATGGATTTAATTATCTTCATCATGATGCTTTTGGTGATAATTTTAGTACCTATAAATTGGCATAAATTAAAAAGATTTCAATTACAAAAAAAACATCCAACGATTTTTTAATCACACCTATTCATTGTGCCTGTATCAATCCATCAGAATAGTTTTTGAAATATTTCTTGGAGTAAACTATGGAATACAATTGTTAAGATGAAATAGGCAGAAAACCTGTACACTATGCAGCTGCATCTTAAACTTCTAATTGTTTAGAATATTTATTGGCTAATGGAGTTGATGGAAGAGAAGGTGATAAATATTTAATGACACCTGTAATGATAGCAGCAAAATATGGGAGAGCACATAATATAAAACTATTACTTAATACCAATCTTAAGGGTAAAAATAAAGAAGGAAATAGTGCCATTCATTTGGCTAGTTAGAATGGACATACTGAATGTGTTAAAATACTCATTGAAAATGGTGTATTAATAAATATTGCAGGTAAAAATAGAATGACTCCCTTGCACTTTGCTTGTGCATATAATCATATGGAATTAGTAGAATACTTACTTGATGAAGGGGCCAGAATTAATTCTAAAGATAAGTTTGGTAGAACTCCCTTGATTATGGCTGCAAGAAATGGAAATCTAACTATTTTATCTAAATTAATTTATTATGGAGCAGATGTAACTATTAGTGATTCATCAAAAAATAGTGCTATTCATCATGCTGCTGCTTATGGTTTCATAGAATGTATTGAAAATCTAATTGAAGTAAATGTTGATTAAAATTAATTCAATTCATGGAAATTGACTCCTTTAAATGTAGCATTAGCTAAGAATCATTTTGGCATAGTTAAATCTTTACTCAAATATGAAAGTACAGATGTTAATTGCATAGACGATGATGGATTAACTTTGATAGGTAGCATGGTAAAGCAATTCAACTCTACTCTAGAACAATATGAATTTATCTAATTCCTTATCACAGAGAAAAAGGCTGATATTAATATCTAAGACAAATATGGAAAAACATGCATACAACATGCATTGCTTTGTAGATAATCGGAGTTATAAGTTGAATTAGTAAAATTGTTATTAGAGAATGGAGCTGATATAAACATCAAAGATAAGGATGGAAGAACTTGTTTATTGCATATTCTGGGTAGTTAGTAATCTTAAATTCAAACAGAACTTGTTAAATTACTCTTGTAAAAAGGGGCAAATATTAATTCTTAAGAAAAAGAAAATGGTTAATCAGGCTTCTCTCTTTGTTTAAAATAAAGAAATTATTCCCTGATTTAGGAACTTTTAAACGTTACAGAAGTTGATGTCAATCTAGTTAATAATGAAGACAAAACATTTTTGCATATTATGATTGAAAACCAATTTTATTATGATCCCTAAGCAATCTAAATTTTTGAGATAATTTTAAATAAAATAAAGTCTTCATTAATCAACTTTTATGATCAGGATGGATTTGTACCATTATTAAGATTAGTTCATAACTTTGTTTAAAGTATAGCATCAAGAATCCAATAAGACTTTGACTAAAAAGTTGAAAAGCGTAAAAAAGAAATTTGGGATTAAATTGTATAGGAATATAAATCTAAGGAGGAAGAATTTAAAAACATTTTGTAAAATAATCCTTCAGCTAATCCAATTTATGCTTTCTAAAAAGAAATTGAATAAAGATTAGCAAAAGCTAAATAAATTTGTCATGCCTCAAGATATTCATATGAGAAAATTTATGCGTAGGTAGGATTAACTTAGGAAGAAGTTCAGGAATTTAATTCGTAGAAAGTTGATGATGGGTATAGACATTAGAACAATTTTTTTGAAACTATGAAGCTGTTAATTTCTAAAGGAGCTGATACAGCAGTAAGAGTAATTAAGTAAAAATGGTGCAGAGATCTAGAAAAGGAAACCTCCTCATTATAAAATAGTAATGTATTTCATATAGCCTTTTAATTCTTGCCTAGTGTTTCCTTTGTTACAGAACTTTAGAATTATTTCCCCAAATATTTACTATATGAACATGATATATTTGGTTAGCCAGTCCACTATTTCTTTTAAAATTACAAATAATATTAGGTAATTTTGGAGAGGTCTAAGAAGGAGACTTCTGAAATATTTTTTTAATACTTGATCACTTTAGGGCTAGACTTTACAGAAAAGAACTCAGTTGGCAATACTCCAACTTTGATGATTGCTTATAAGTTTGAAGAGGGCTATGTTCCATTGTTAGAAAAACTTGTGAGTTTAGGAGGCAAAATAAATGATGTTAATAATTCAAATGTGGTGCCTTTGCATAAATTCGTATCTTAATCAAACATAAAATATGTCAAGTCTTTGGTTTAGAAATTTAAATTGGATCCTAATTATTAAGATATGAATGGAAGGACAGCGTTGCATTATGCTACCAATTTCAGTAATCCAAATGCGAATGCCAGTTTTTAAATGGAATAGATCTTAATCAAAAGTGGAGCCAAATGCAATATCAGAGACATATATAATAGAACTCCTTTGTTTTATGCATTTACCAAATTTGATAATCCTAAAAGTACACAAGAAATAGATCCTTTTGAATCAGTTTCATCCTTATTAGCTTATGATGAATGTGAGGTCAATGCTCTAGATATATATGGAAGATCCCCTTTACATTATGCTGCATTAAGAGGCAGTGCCATTTCAGGTAGATATATGATTAAAATGGGGGCAAAAATTGATGAGCCTGACAATTTTAATAACACTCCTTTGGCATATGCATTTTTTGCACATTCAAATTTTAGTACAATGCTTATTGATAATAAAGCAAATGTTAATAAACTAATCTCTATCATTAGTGAAACTGATTTCAAAGCAGAGAAATATAAAATTTACTAGGAATAAGTTAGAAACGATAGAGAAGTAGATAGACTTATGAAATTAGAAGATTAAGAAATAAACACAAAACTGTTAAAGTTGAAATAGGAGGAGAGAAGTAAATAATTGGAGAAAATCTAAAAAGAAATGTAATAAGATGATAATAAAAATGATTAAATTTCAGAAGAATCTGATAATGATGGATAAACTGATAATAAAATTAGAGAATAGTAGCCTATTATATTTAGAAGAAGACGTAAAGATAAAATTATTTAGAGGAAGAAAATTATTGAATAGCTGGTTTAAGAAAAATTAAAAAATGATATAGACATAC